ACCCAAAAAATTAATCTGATCCTAAATGTACCAAAATAAACTATTCAGTATCAAAGCGGTACCAAAAAAACATAAGTAATACCGAAGTTGTACCAAAAGATTTATATTACCCTAATTGTACCATAATAACCTATGCAGTACCAAAGCAGTACCCAAAAACGTGTTTAGTACCAAAACTGTACCAATAAAATTAATGGTACCATAAGTGTGCCAAGTCATTCCCAGTACCATAAATATACCAAAAAAGTTAAATACCCTACAACAAACCATACCCTGCCGAAAAAACCCTACCCAACCCAACAAGCAGTACCACATGTACCAAAAAGACTAAAACCAAAACCAGTCATAACTATGTCTCAATAACAACATGTTGTTATAAACAGGCTCATTCGTATACGAACAGACCCATTATCCTACATCATCAAACCCATACCCTATCAACCCTCCCCCCCCTTCCAACCATTATTACGCCCAAATGGCCGCTTTTTGTGGGTTTTTTCGAATGAGTTTCATAAATATAAAGAAGTCGGCCTAAGGCTAGAAAAAACATTTTCTTTGCAAAAAATTCAAAATAAGTCTTTATGTTTTGCAAATTTGTAATAAAAAGCATGGCAACAGATCTATGACATGTGCAATGTCTAATAGAAAGAAGTCAACTTGCAAAAATTTTAGCTTTTACCCTGCCCAGCAAAAGAAGTAAAGGAGCGCTAAAAGTTCTGTTACAAAAATTAACCCCCAACACTAAAAAATTTTACCCCGCCCTCGCGTTTTACCACGCCCTATCAAAAAATCTTAGAATGGCCTACAATACCCGATTCTACCCTGCCCGAACTTTACCTTACCCTACCTAAATTTTCTTATGCTAATAAATCCTATCTTGATTTAATTTTCTACCACACCTTCGCTTTTCATCTCGCCCTATCAAAAAAATTCGAGTGAAAAATGACTTATCCTAACCTAACATACTTTAAACTGCTCTGCCTTACCGTGCCTTACCCTACTCTACTTTGCACTACCCTACTCTTCTTTATCCTACCCTATCCTAAACCTCTTTTTTTTTAAATAGCCCATGCCCCAGTCAAGAAATAAAATAGAAAACAACTCTACCCAGACCTATTCTACCCTGAGATCTCCTACATCGTACCACGCCCTTTCGGCATATCACCCCCTGAATATTTTTAAAACATCCTTACCCTGACGTACTCCACTTTACACTAAACTACCCTGCCCTACCCTATCACATCTCACTCTACCCGAGCCCTACGCTGCTCCGCCTGTCCTATCACATCCTACCCTACCATAATATTAACCATCCCGCTCTACCCTATCACATCCTACACAACCAAACCCTAAACCACCCTACCATACCATATAACCCTTGAATTATATACTTTTCGTTTTTACTTCAGACAAAAACCTTAAATTCTTGCCCACGAAAAAAATCTCATAGTTTTATGTGATCCCTTTTTTTGTCTGATTGCCGTCGGCATTAGAGAAAAACTAGAGATCTCACAAAATTATGAGAGATTTTTCGTGGACAAGAATTTAAATTTTTCGTCCAAGGTAAAAATAGAAAGTATATAATTCAAGGGTTATATCACATCCTACCTTACCAACCCTTATCCCACCTTAAAATCCCTTCCTTTTTAAATTTCTAAAAATAGCCCATGCCCGCGCTGAAAAATGTCAAAAAATTTAGTTGAAATCAAACAATCCCACCCCTCGGCGAAGCGAAAAACATACCTAAAAACGGAACGACGGAATTGGATTCACCGCGTTTTAGAATAGTCGTCTAATGAGATTGCGTGATTGAATTGGGCACGAAAGATAAAGGGCCGTTAAGATGTGTACAAGTAGGGATGATGAAGCCGGGTCTCCAACTCTAGGGGCTCAATTTGAAAATGATAGGCTTGGCGATGGTTGGTTTGAAATTTTAAGCCTGAAAGTTGAACGTTTAGCAAATATATAGATTTAGGCTTATAAAAATTATAGACTTAGGCTTATATTAAACACTGTGAACTTAAAATGGCCTTAAAGCTTAAAAATAATCTTTAACATTGAAATACACAATTTAGGCTTAAAATAAGTGCTTTAAGCTTGGAACAGCTTAAAATAAGTACTATAAGCTTAGAACAGACTCTAGAGACGTAACATAGACACATTTTAGACTTAAAATGACCTATTTAAGCTTAACATAAACTTTTTAGGCTTAATATAGATTTTTACACTTAAAATAGCCTTTTAAGGTTAAAGTAGATTCCTTAAGTATAAAGTAAGCCCCTTAGGCTATAAATAAACTCTTTAAGATTATAATACCCACCTTTAAGTTTAAAATAGACTTTTTAGGCTTAAAAACCACTTAAGCTTATAATATACTCATTAGGCTTGATATAGACTCTTTAGGTTTAAAATTAAAACTCTACGCTTCAAATCGAACATTTAGGCTTATAATACCCCCTTTACATTTAAAAAAGACTTTTGGGCCTGAAATAAAAACTTTAGGCTTAAAAAAGATTTTTTAAGCTTAAAATATATTTTTTAGGCTTAAAATATATTTTTTGGCTTATAGTGAAAACTTTAAATTTAAAATTAAAACTTTTTAATCCCTCCCCTCCCCCGCCATAATTCTAACCCCCCCCACCCCCCCCTACCCCGCTCAAGCTAAACCCTTGCCCGCTCAAAATCTAAAATTCCCCCCTACTTGTAACTCAAAAAAAACTCTTGTAATTCCCCATGCCAATTAATGAGAAGTAATAGGAAAAATTATTGGCATTAAAGCGTGCCATTCTTCATATTCAGAAGCCCTTCAAGTGCAACAAATCAAAAAACCGAAAATTAAAAAGAAAAGCGAAAAAGAAGATAAACAAAGAAGATGTTGGGACAATAAAATAAACTCAAACAATGCCTTTTACGGAATAGTTTGGAACGGCAGGGAAGTACAGTAGAGTTAAGCTAAATAGTGCTGAGGTAGCCCAAGGCTAGAACTGAAACTAGAGCTGAGGCTAAATCCAGAACTAAGGCTAAAGGCTAGAGCTAGGGAAAGAGCTAAAGCTAAGACTAAAGGCTATAGCCAAGGTTAATACTAAACCTAGGGCGTTGAGACTACGGCTATAAATAGGACAAGGGCAAGGCTAGAGCTAGGCTTAGAGATAGAACTAGGGTAGGACAAAGCTTAGAGCTAGAGCTGGGCTAGAGCTAAGGCTAAGGCTAGAGCTAGGGCTAGAACTAAGACTAGAACTAGAGCTACAACAAAGATAAAGTAAGCGCTACAGTATAAGTATAAAAAAGCTACCATAAGAGAAAAACAAGCCTAGGGTAAGCCTAGAATAAAAATTCGACAAAAATTAGTGTAAGTCTTAGTGTCAAGCTAAAGTAGAGCTATTATAAGGCTAGGGCAGGTCTAGAAGAAGACCAGGGTAGGGCTAAATAAGGCACAATAAGCCCTACCGTATAGCTGGGACAGGCTTTAATAAAGGCTAGAAGCCCTGACCTGCTCTTATTTACCCTACCCTACTATATTGTATCTTACTTTATCCTACCCTACATTAACCTATATAAGGTTGTGCCCTACCGTATCCTACTCTATAATACCCTACCCTACTTTACCCTACACTGCTCTGCCCTACCTTAATCTATTCTACCCTAACCTACCTTCACCTACACTATTCTGCCGTTGCCTAACATGTTCTACCTTACAAAGAAGCTCAGTGTACCCTACCATCCCACTACCATCCCCACACCAAACCAATTAAGCGAAAAGACAAAAGAAAGTCGGTCCAACCCCAACAAACAGCCATACTTCGAAACCAACGACTTTGGGTTTATTAGTTTCTATCGTTAGGGATATGTAAATGTGGGAGAAGGAATGTCACATATTCATGAAACTTGCAAAAACAAAACCCGTTCGAGCAGTTCGTCTCGGGCATGTCACTTTTTCTCACTCTGCCTCGAAAACGGCGTGGCAAAAACGTTGGTTTTCGCCGAATTTCAACAAAAATTTGACATGGGGGTTTACAGTAGCAGTAAACATTTAAATGGAATGAGGAGGAGGGTTACAGTAGCAGTAAACGTTTGAATAGGGTGAAGAGGAGGGTTACAGTAACAGTAAACGTTTGACAGAGAATTTATAGTAGTAGTACTACACTATAAAAAACCTCAAGTATGGAAGAGTAAGGTAGAGAAAGGTAGGGTGAATTAAGATGAGATAGAGTAAAATCATGGTATGACAAAGTCACTTAAAGCGATAAACGACTTTATGAATAGTCAATAACAAAAACCAGTGCTTTACATACAACTTTATTTAACTTGAAAAAAAATCAAAATTTACAAAAATTTTTTTTGACCGGTCGATTTTTTTACCAATTTTTTTTGAAAATCGACAGAAATGACCAAAATCAACCTCTTTTACATTTCAAAAACTAAAAGCAAACAAAAATTTTCAGAACTAAGATTTTCGATCGGTCGATTTTTAAAAAACTTTTTTGTGTATAATTCTACAGGTATGACTAAAATCAACACTTTCTTACATTTTAAAAAATAATTAATAACAAAAAAAGTTTTTTCGACCGGTCGACTTTTTTCCAAATTTTTTTTCTAAAAATCAAAAAAATTACCTAAATCAACATCATTTTAATAAATATAAAAAAATAGTAACCTAACATATAAATTGTATAACAATACTAAACAAAAAAAAAAGCTTTAAAGAGTTATCATGATATAGTACATGTATAAGATAGATCATAATATAAGATAGATCATGGCAAGAACACACAAGCCTTTATAAAAAATAAAAACCAGATCCAAATCCAAGTGAATTGACACATTTATCAAAGTGAGATGACCAAGTATTAATATAACAACACAGTAAAACAACACACAGTTATAGATATATACCGCCCAAGATATTCATATACAATATAAAATAGGCAAATTAGTACATTATAATAAACAAGTTAGTATATATTATATTCTCCAACGTGAAATCGTATTTTACATCGTATTCAAGTGATTTGCCTCGCTGATCGACTTGACACTCGACATACCACAGCTCTGGTCGAGTTTCGTACAAAGAAGTCGAGCCAGAGCCTTTGCTTCGTACTCAGTTTATCGCCTGGTCCTTTGACTTCGACTACCTGAAAGGTCAAGGTCATGATCTGAATTTCTAGCAAAATGACATTTAAAAATGACAAGAACTTTCTTTACAAAACAAAAAATAGCAAAAACTTTCTTTCCAAAGCAAAAAATGGCAAGACCTTTCTCTACAAACTAAAAACACTGGAAATCAAAGAAAATATTTAAAAAATTACTGCCATCCGCTTTTCAGTTTTATTCCATACGGTTAGATCTGGTAAACCACTTCTTGAATTCCGATAGTCGGCTGCAAACCTACGAAACAAGTTTGTCAGCATTTGAAGATCCACACATTCCAAAATGTCCCAGAGACGCTAAAACCCAAAATTTTCAAAAAATTTTTTAAATTTTTTAAATTTAAAGTAGAACAGCTTAGCGTAGCGTAAAGTCGAGTTAAATAGAGTAGGGAAAGGTAGTTTACAGCAGTGTATCATTGTTAAAGTAAGTAAGGGTAACGTATGACAAGTCGGGGAGAGTAAGGTAGCACAGAGCCGGGTAAAAAAAGTAGAGTACAGAACGATACAGCACGGCAAGGTACGGTAAAAAATTGTATGGTAGAGTAGAGTAGGGTAGGGTAGGGTAGGGTAGAGTAGGGTAGGGTAGGGTAGGGTAGGGTAGGGTAGGGTAGGGTTGAGTAGAGTAGGGTAGGGTAGGGTAGGGTAGGGTAGGGTAGAATAGGGTAGGGTAGGGTTGAGTAGAGTAGGGTAGGGTAGGGTAGGGCAGAATAGGGTAGGGTAGGGTAGGGTTGAGTAGGGTAGGGTAGGGTAGGGCAGAATAGAGTAGGGTAGGGTAGGGTAGGGTAGGGTAAGATAAGATAGGGTTGAGTAAAAGAACTTATCATAACTTACATTATCATCCATATTGAAAGTATTCCAATCGATATCCGCACTCCTTGTGCCCATATAAAGTTCAAAGTTTTGTTTTATGATTTCACATAGCCTGTCTCTGTCATTTTCAATTTCATTGAAACGTTTTTCGAATAGATCTTTGCGATTTGTGTAGAATAATTGGCTGTTTTGGTCCATTGGTCTGGTCTAAAACAACAATATTTTTTGTTACCTTATCTTACTACAGTATACCATACCCTAATTTAACCCATCCTATTCTACCTTACCATACCATACCCTACCCTACCCTACCCTACCCTACCCTACCCTACCCTACCCTACCCTACCCTACCCTACCCTACTCTACCCTACCCTACCCTACCCTACCCCACCTTACCTGCAGTTCCGACACCCAAGCATTGTAGATGCCATTTTCGAATATTATATCAAAGCAAGCTAAGCCATACAAAGTGTGCCATACTCCACCTTCAATGTGAAATCCATCTTCATATCCTTGGTTATTAACCATGTCCATCAGCGCTATCTGTTCCACACTACAGTAATCCATGTTGTCGCCGGTGTTATTCATAAACATGTTGATTCGGCCGTTGCCCAGGTCTTTCGACAGAGTTGTGGCCGAAATTTCAATCTGAAAATGTTCAAAGTTAATACGAAGAGAAGCAATTATATTACCTACATTTTAATCTTTTTTAAAAAAGTAGGTTCCACCACGAAAATCTGATTTTAAAAAGTCTGTTAAAAAATTTCCCAAAACCTACCTTCTTAAAAGTTTTATAAAAAAGGAGGATTAGATTAGTACACGTATTTTACATTCCTAAACTATAAAAATAAAAATTTTGGGTCCCACCACAAAAACCTGAGTTTAAGAAAAACCTGTCTGAACATTAAAAAACCTATTCTGCCATTATTTTTTAAAATAATAAAACGAAGGACCGTATTTTACAAATCTAATCTCACTCAAAAAGCAAAAATTTGGATCCCACCACGAAAACCTGAATTTATAAAAACTTTCAAAGTAACAGCCCAAATTAAACTTATGACTTCATCTCAACACCAGGTAAACCAAAAAAGATCCAAAAAACTTACAATTTCAGGTTCAAGAAGCTCAATTACCGGTCGAAACTCTATTTTTAAGGTCTTGGCCAATCTTATTGCTCTGTCCTGTAGTTGCAATGTGTAGCGTTTCAAAATTCGATCGTCTTTGACATAGAAAGAGCAAAACTTGAATGAGTATTCATTGTTTTTCAGATGGGATTGTAGATTCAGTACCAGTCGATCGATGAGAAAGCCCTTGCGGTTACTGTAGAAGCGGTCTAGGTCTGAAAAAAAAAACATTTCTTTAAGATACAGTAGGAAAAGTAGGGTAGGGTAAAGTAGAGTAATATGGGATAGGATGAGATAGAGTAGGGTACGGTAGAGTAGGGTAGAATAAAGTAAAAAAGAACATAAAAAGGCAGGGCGGGTCAGATCAGAGCAAAGGGAGGCGAACAGGGCAATTTAAGGCAAAAGCAAGGAAAACGCAGAGCAACACAGGGCAGGACGCGGCAGGGCAGAACAGAGCAGGGCAAGGCAAAGTAGAGCAGGGGCAGGTCAAGCCTTTCCTTCCCCAACCCCCTCTGACCCACAATTCATACTCAAGCCTATCTCATCTTACCCAGAGCAGGGCAGGTCAAAATAGAGAAAAAAAGATAGAATTAGATAACATAGATTAAGGTGAGGTAGGTTCGGGTACGATAGAATAGGATAGCATAGAATAAGACAGTAAAGGCTAGGGTATAATAGAGCAAGATAAAGTAATCGGAAAAAATTTAGGTAACATACCACTGTTAAGCAATAAAAACGCAATGGCATCACAAGCATAATCGTATCTTTTCAGCTTCTGGGCTGCTTCGATTCCATGCATCATAATCCTTATCAATATGGCTGGACAGGTGTATTTGAGTAGAAAGCCTGGGACATTTTTATAAAACGATAACAACCCATCCTCATCCTTCAAGAACTTCTTCAACTCCCCAGCGCTCATCTCAATGCCATTACAGATCTGCTCGTGCTTCTTTCGTCGATGTAGTGCTGCACAGTCCATTTCTTTCATTTTTAAGCTGATATACATCATGAAATCGTTGAAATCGCGGTAAACCCCTTTGATTCGGTTGACTTGCTTATGTGAGTACATGAAGCTCTCCGTTTCTCCTTCAACTTTGTACAATTCATACCTAAAATTAGAAAAACCATCTTTTGTAATACTCACTATCAGTTACCTCCCGTCGATCCCCCCAGCGCCCGGCCCTGCTCACTATTATCAGGTACCAACATAAAGAACCCGCCATACTTTTCCTGTAATTTCCTATAAAAAACGGCGGATTCTTTGTGTCGGAACCTAATAATTTTGACATAACCACAATGATTACGTAGCTCACTCATCCCCTATCTGCCCATACCCTGCCGAATAAAATTTTAGTCCAAACCCATGTTTAAATTTTATTTTTAGAGCAGTGCTTGCTTGAATTAGGCAAAAAAAACGTACAACAAGTCCCTAATGAGTACCAGTTGTTCGTCATCAAACAGTCGATGCGCGTCCATAGTGAATGGTGAATATACGGTACAAAATGATATTACAAATTGATAAAATAGAAGGTCAAGGCGATAAATTGGGCCAACAATGCTTCGTATTCTAAAATAACATCAAATTCGATTAAAAAATTTTTAAAAGGTAGAGAGGTAGAGGAAGGTAGGTAGGGGTAGGTGGGTAGGTAGGTAAGGGTAGGCGAGTAGGAGTTAATGGGCAGAGCTGGGTGCGTAAGGGTAAGTGGGTAAGGGTGGGTGAGTAGGGGTAGATAGGTAGGAATAAATTGTTAGTTTTTAGAAGGAGGGATAAAAAATAAAAAAAAAAGTTTTTTTTTGGTGCACAAAATCATTTTTCAAAAATTTTTTTTCAAATTTGCCACGTACAAGCCCTCCGGACTTTTTTTTCGAATTGGCTCTAGAGGTAAATCCACCTCCATTCAAAACCCCCCCCCCCTACCGACGTCCCTAGGGGGTAAGGTATAAATATAAAGAACAAGTCGGACCTGAAAAAAAATTTTGTTTGGGCCAGGCCTGGAAATTCCAGAAAAGCCCAGCCCGCTTCCACGTAAAACAAATTTGGTCCGGCCGGGCCTAAAAAAACTCAGATCGGGCTGGGCCTGAAAAATCAGCCCAGCCCAGCTAGACTTAAGAAACCAGCCGAGCCTGACTAAAAAAGCGGAACGGGCTTGTAAAATAGGCCCGGCCCGTCTCTCATGGTTAAGCCCAGCCCGGCCCGTTCCCCATATCTATTAGGTGTCGACATAAGAAACCCGCCATACTTCGCCTGTAATTACCTGTAAAACATGGCGGGTTATTTATGTCGACACCTAATGGTAGGGTATTGTAGGATTAGGTATGACTTACGCTTTAAAAGCCGACTCCTCCACATTACTGCCATCAATCCGAGGCCTGGACCTTAACTCTTCTATAATTCTACTCTTCTCCTCTTCTGATTTGTTTTTCATTTTGTTTAATTTCATTTTCTGACAAAATTTCTTCAGTTCTTCGGCGCATAAAACGTCTATAACTCCACGTAGGTCTACATCTTGTTCTTCTTCTAATGATATTAACAAACCTTGTTCGTATAATCTTCTAAATATCTTGTCCATTTTGTAGTGTTCACGATTTCGTATGCTGAAAAATGGCATTTTTGTGTTATATTCATGGCTTTTTTTAGGCATGAGGAACGGGCCGGGCCTGAGCAAAATTTTGACCCGGTCCGTTCCTCATATCTAGCTTTTTTAGCCTAAAACATCCATTATGTGTCGTATTTTACTTAAAAATGCCATTAAAAACCACAATATAACTTATGACAAGAAGTAGAGTTAGATAACTTACCTTAACCTTGAAGGCACATGCCATCTACGACCATTTTGACACAACCATAGAGCCACATCTTTGTCATCACCTTCTTCGTTACCTTCTAGTCTTAAAAAAGTAAACAAAGATGATAAGAAAGGTGCCCAGAAAGAGCAGCATGGTTCGTCAGTCAGTTGATGTTGTAGTACCTAAATAAATAGATATCAAGCAAAATTTTGAAAAAACTTATTTATCTCATCTTACTCTACTGTACACTACTCCAACTTCTTTTGTTCAGCCCTACCCTACCCTGTCCTGCCCTACCCTACCTTAACCTACATTACCCTACCCTGTCCTGCCCTACCTTAACCTACAATACCTTACCCTACGCTACCTTACATCCCTACCTTAATAAATAAAGACCTACAGTGTTACAAATGTGTTTGAAGAGCCGGACTGAATAATGAACCTTCTGCAAATCGACCGGTAAACTTAACATGTCCACGCATTTTCGATAGGTTTCTTCTGGTGACATGTTATTGATCTCGGCACGATAATACACTGGTGGTGGTCTAAAATGAAGTTTTTCAAATTTCTTTAAATATTTTTTCAAAAACTTAAGAAAATTCAAAAAATTTTAAATATCAACTAAAAATTTTAAAAAATTTAAAATTAGAACGAAAATTTTTAAAAAATTAAAAAATTTCAACTCTCACCGTTTCAAAGTCCCAGGTGAAGTCTTGATCAAAGTAGCCTTAACTTCCTGGCTCTGACTCTTGCTCGCCCCTTGTGAACCTTGCTTTACCGCCAAGTTCATCACAACATCCATAACCTCAATATCCGAATCGTCCCCATTGTTCCGGTCGAAATTGCTAAAACATTCGCCTTTGTGCCGTTGTATGTAATGAACCGGCACTAAAGCTCCACATTTCTTACAGGGTAAACCCCGCTTTTGAGTTGCAAACGCGTCCATCAAGGATAACATCGTACTACATCTGAAAAGACAGCTTTAAATATCATTTTGGTGTGATTTTTAGAAATTACTCGGTAAAATAGACATTTTAACACGTTATAAAACAATATATGTGTGATTAAAAACAAGAAAATGATTAAATGATAGTCAAAAATACCAAAAAATGTGGATATTGGCCGTAAAACCACCTGTTTTCACAGTATCATTGCCAAATAAAGTAAAACCAGTAAAAAAATAGTCAAGAATGATCAGTAACGTTCTTTAAAAACTTCTTTTCAGGCTTGGACGTTAATCTCATTTAAAAAGTCCGCTCTTTAAAATCAAAGTCGGGGAAAATCAAAACAAGACGAAATTTTGTCCGGCAGGGCGCAGCTTCCATTCCTTTTTAATTTTCGCAAAAAAAGTAGGAGGACTTTTGGGGTTGTAGCCCATTATTTTAGTCCAGTTCCATTATGAAAGGTTAAGATTCAAGTATTAAACGAAAATTAGGCTTATAAATCGTGAACCAAACATTTAAGGTTACTAAGCTTAAACCTAACAGAAAGGAACATCTTTATGATGTAAAATATCGAAACATCGAGATTTGTTCTACAGAAATCCACTGTATGTTTCAGTAAGACAAAATTTCTTAAGGGCTATACGGAGCAATTCCTTAATTAATCAATACAGGCAATGTAAGCCTAAAAACCCCTTTTATAAGATAAAAAGCAGTATTCTACACATTCTAGAGTAAACCAACCAATTATAGGCTTACAACCACATCGAAAGCACCCTAATAATAAGAAAACATAACAGCTGTTAGCGACAAACGATACCTACTTTCAATTCTTTAAATAATTGGTTTTAATAACAGGATTTATGAACTCATACAACAAACAAAAACAATTTACTCCCAACAAGAAAATTAACGGTAAGATTTTTGGTAGCGGGCACGGGCACCTGGACCACCGAACTTCTTGGGCTCACGGCGACGTGGGTCAGCGACCAACAACGAACGGTCGTATGTAACCAACAGTTCCTTCAACAGTTTCTTGCTTTGTTCATCGACGTTCTTTTGGTAGTAGGCGATCAAGGCTTTGGAGATGGCTTGACGGATAGCTGAAATGTTCAAGGTAAAATTGTTTGATTCTTTAAAAATTAATATAACTATGACCAGCGCAGTACTTATGAAGAAACCAGCTATCTATGAAAACTTATAACAAAACAAATAATCTCAACGGTTTCAATATGTGCTATATTCAAAATCTCAAAAAAAAACATTAAAAACAAATTTTAAAGAAAGTTATAATCTTAAACTTCAACATCTGCGTTTACTTTTACCCTACAAAAAATGTTCCTCCCTTCTTTGATTATATTTTACCTAAAACAACAAAAATCCCTACAACAACATCAAGCTTCCTTAAAGATCAAAGTTAACCTTTTAAACGCATTCTATTCTGTTGCTAAACCCAAATTTACAATAAAAAACCCAAAAACTTACCATAAACTTGAGCGACAGCACCACCACCCTTAACGCGGACTCTCATGTCGATACCGGCGAATTTGTCGGCTCCAACGATGAGGAGAGGCTCCTGAAGCTTGATTCTAAGAATCTCTGGCTGGAGATGCTCAAGGGGACGGCCGTTAACCTTGATCAGACCCTTGCCCTCCTTGGCGTACACGACGGCGGTAGCCAGCTTCTGAAATACAACAACGTTGCATTGTTTTAGATATCTATCGTAAAAATTTAACTTTGATAACAAAACCAGCTAGAAAGATTAAAAGCGAAAAAAGTTGCTTTTCAAACAAAAATCTTTAAAATTTGCCAATAGAAACCACGTTAAAAAGAAATTACACTTTTAAAAAAATCTACACTTCCATACCATCTGCTACCACCTAAAATCCAAACAAAAACATCAAATTCCTTACCTTGCGGCCATAGACCTGAACGGGTTGGGCTGTGTTCACTGGTTTCTCAACTTGAGACATCTTACCCTGAAAATAAGCCAAAATCAATATTCAAAAACAATAAAAACCCATCTAAAACACGATAATTACATATATCTACAATTTTACAATTAAAAAATCTAAAAATTACCAAAATTAAACAAGTAATTTGTAAAATTTTTCGCGAAAAGTTCTTTATAGAAAAAAGAAGGGAAAATATTATTCTCCGTTACCGTACGTTTTTCGTCTGGCTTTCTTTCGTTTTCGTTGTGGGACCAAAACGGCTCTGTGGTGTTTTACTTTTCAACCGAAAAACGTTGAACAACAAGGCTTTCGAGCTGTAAATACTACTAAAACCATGGTAAAAAGGTATATTCTGCTTATTTGCTTCATGGTTGATCATTTTTCTTTTATTTTCATTCTTACTTTATTTTATATTGTCCTTGACGTTTATAACAACATCCCTTCTTCAATATCTACGTTTACTCCACAAGACCACACTTATCCTGCGCACCACAACCATAACTATTACATATCACTTTATTCATCAGCAATATAAACATATAAACAAGTTGTGACAGATTAAAGTCATATGCGGGTCCTCAGTCATAGGAATGTTTATTTTGGTGAAAAGGGAGCACAAGAAGAAAGAAACCAGTATGTTCGGGGAAGAAGAAGAGATGAAATAGAAAATAAAATAAGATATAGGAGACCAATAATAATATTTGTGAGCAATTTGTGCCACGAGCGACTGGTGCCGGGGGCGATTAAGGCCTTTGAATCAGCGCACCGTGTTGTCAAACTTCTTGATTAGGTCAGAGACTTTGGCTTGCTGGTTCACCGAGGCGGAGGTGCGTTCGTGGAGGCCTAAAGGGACTAAGACTGGATCGGCGCCTGAAATTTTATAGTTACTGTTCTGTTTTTATAAAGACCATCATTACCTACTACATATCCATTTTCCGCCTCAACTTTAATTTTCTACCCTAAGCCTACTATAATATGCATTATTATCCCTTTCTTATAGTTCTACTTTAAAATCCTGCAACAACGAGCATGTTCTCCCCAAACGTCATCTTTTTTACCTCAACCACCTACTATAATATCGGTGTTTTCCATATATCTTCGGCAATTTTTCTTTATATCTTAATACCTTCTACTATGTCATCTCAAAAGCCATTTATCATCGAATACCCTCCCAAAAGACTTACCCAACTGTCTAACAACTGAACTGTTCACCTGATGCGGAGCGACCTGCGACTTCTTTCTCTTTAACAACTTTGAAAGGGTGTTTTTTGGGACCAATGCGCCACTCTCCAGACTCAGTTCGTTCCTGTTGTTCAGGGTGTTGCGACGTTGAATCGCTTTTCGGCCGTCTTTTAGGCCGGAGTTGAGGGTATTGGGTTGGTTTCGCTTCAGGTTTTCCAATTGGGTGGTTTTTCGGCGGGGCTTTATCAGCGGTTTCTTGCGTTCCTTCATCTCGGCGTTGGTGAATTCGTGGAGCAGGTTCTCCTTGTCGTTCTCGGCTTTGGCGGCTTCGATTAGTTGAGGCGGGGGTGGGTTTTGGGCGGATATTTGGTTGTTTCGGAGGTAATTTTCATTGTTTTGTCCTAAGGCTTCATGAAGTTGGTTTTGGTCATCGTACTGCCCTGTTTGCGCTCCATACTGTGCCTGTTCATCGTTCAGTCCTCTGTGAACATCTTGTTGTCCTCTGTGACCATCATTCTGTCCTCTGTTCCCATCGTGCCTCTGCTCATCGTGCCTTTGCTCATCGTACCGTGCTCGATCGTTTTCCCTCGTCTTCTGGCCAATTTCCGTTTGGTTTGCGGCGTCAAATTCGAGTTGACTTCTGGAGGCGTGCATATTCTGATGCGAATCCAGCTGATTCTCCATGCTTCTTTGGCTTTCGAATAGTCGGCGCCCGCTGGTTTTGGGGCTATATTGTCCATCGCTTCGTTGATATTCGTGGTCTCGGCGGCTTCTTCTTTCGTCCGATCTTGCGGTACGTTCATCTGATCTTGTAGTACGTTCATCCGACTTTATATTCCTCTCATCCGACCTGACGTTCCTCTCATCCGACCTAACGTTCCTTTCCTTTGATCTACAACTTCTCTCATCTGATCTCGTGGCCAAATCCAGACGATCGCCTTCTGAATCCTTGCGTGGAGTTCGAATCTTTCGTCCCGAATCCGGCTTCCACGCCTCTTCCGCCTCGGAATCCACGCCGTTCTGGTTGCTCACGTAGGTCATGGAGCTTTGACGTTGAATGTCTTGGTGTCTGTCCATGGACGGTACCTTGAGGTATGGTGCTTTAACTGAGACGGATCGTTGGATTCCGAGTTTCTTTAATTTGAGTTCACTGCACGATGAGTTGTTCCTGGACAAGGTGTTGTCCGCAGGCTCGTCGTTGTTGACTGAGGGACGTCGGCTGCCCGTAAATAACCTGGTCAAGTTGGTCAGGCGCTTCGTCACCGAGTTACGTCTTTTCTGAAAGAAAATTGTTCAGTAATATGTTGATTTAGATAGTAAATTACATAAAAACATTTAAAAGCAGTAAAAGTTTAGAAAAAAATCACAAAAATTACAAAATTTCAAAAAAATTATAGTTCCATTAAAGCTACTGTAACTTTTTCAGTGAGTGCAAATTTCAAAAATACTATAAAGCATCTTATACACAAAAGAATGATATACAACTACGTAAAAATTCAAGCGTCTAGCTCTGTTTTAAAAAGAGTTATGACAAAAATCATCAAGCCTTCAAAAAACATCTACTACAATATAAAAACAGCAAAAATGCATCGACAAACCTATTAAAAACTTGCTCAAAAACACTTTCTAGGTATCCTTAAACCATTTTCATTCTAATAGCATCAACAACACAGCAAAAATGGCAATATAAAGCTAGGATAAAGTCTTGTCGTTTTTTACTCTTCAAACCCACGGAAATTGACGACAAAACTTTTCTACACCCAAATAAAGCCATTAAAAAGCCGTCTGCACCAACACCATACAACACTGATGGGAAAGTGCAAACGTACTAAATGCCAAAAATACCTTAGAAGCGGTTTTCTTCAGGTCTCGTTCGCCGATTCGCTCAGGGTTCGATGGGGGTCGGGTGGTTGGTGGGCATGGTGGTAGGTCCGCTGAGTAATCGTACTTCCTAAAATTAAATTTTTTTATTTCTTTAGTTACTTTAAAAGAGCAGAAGATAGGCAAAGTAAAAAAATTTTTTTGTGTAAGGGGGAGGGTGATTTTTTTTTTATTTTAGGAGGGGAGGGTAAAAAATTTTTTGATTCAAAATTAAAACAATTCCCAAAAATAGCCCTTTCCCTGCACTTACATTGTATTAGAACCAGTTTTCTTGGGGTCTCGTTCACCAATTCGATCCACGTTGGGCATTGATGCGGAGGTTGGCTTAGGCGGTAGTTCTCCTGGATATGCGTATTTTCTGAAAAATTCGTTTTTTAAATCATACTGTACTTAAACTTAGAACAAAAAAATCAAAAAACAATAAGCCAAAAAAAAATTTTTTGCCCCCCCCCCCACACCTCATAAACAAATCTGAGGAGACACCCCTGCCAAAAATCATCATTTTTTTATTTTCGACACTCCTGCCAAGAATAATCATTTCCCAGTTTAAAAGCTAAGACCTACATTGTACTTTTGAAAGCTGTTGATGGGGTCGGAGTTGTCGTAGGCGGTTGATATTGCTCTAGGTCCGCTGGATATTCGTATTTTCTGAAAAAAAAATTTAGCTTTTTAGTTATAGATAGTGCTTAATCGATCTAGTAGTGCTTAAAAGTTGACAAAAAAAATTTTTTTCAATTCCGACCCAAAAAAATTAAAAATTAAATATCCAAAACAATATTCTTTTACTTGCAATATACATCAAAACATTATCTTTTACTTTTAAATACTTACATTGCATTACATGAGCGTTTAATGTTATTTCCGGACGTTCCTCGGGGCAGTGTGTTCTTCCTGGTCTCGCCATTTGTCAATTTCATCGGGGGCTTAACTAAAATTCAAAAAATTTTATTTAAACTAGCAGTGCATCGGTCAAAAACTGTCAAATTAGCACAAAAACAGCTTCATAAACATAAAAAGGCCAAAAAGATATGAAAAAAGGCCTATAAGCAATACAAAAATAGCCATAAGCAGCAAACAAATGGCCAAAAAATGATAGACAAGACCAAAAACAGCATAAAAATACCCAAAGAGACATAAAAAAAGGCCAAGAACAACTCCAAAATGACCAAAAACACAAAAAAAAAGACTTAAAATAACACAAAATGGCCAAAATGATATAAAAAACAACAAAATTTTTAAAACTTACGAATTTCGGTGTAGTGATTGATCATGTACGCTACTAAACGATTCACAACTCCGACGGCATGCTTAACATAGTCATTCTAAAAAATGTCATATTATCCCAAATTCACTATAAGAATTTTACCATACCCCCATATTATACATATAGGCCGTTCACTTAATTCTACACCCCCTTTCTAAGCAAATTTTCGCTGTTATGGGGCACAAAATTAAGTGAACGATCTAATATAAAAACAAAAATCAAAATAAAAAATTCAGATTGAAAAACAAAATTTCCAATTGAAAGCCTTACATTTTCCCCTGGAGTCATGCTAAAATCAGTGTTAACAAACAAGGACTGGCTGATGCAAGTGGCTAGGTTAGCGACCGACATCTTGTTCTCCGACTCGTAGTCTGATATCTAAAATGGCAGTATTAAACTTTTTTTACAAACAATTTAACCGTCTAACCGCTTTTCAAAGTAAATTTTCACTTTTCTAAACCTTTTCCACCCCCTATAAAAATACCATTCACCCCTCCCATAAAACCCCAAAAAAATATTTTTTACCCCACCCAGTCGAATAACATTTCCCCAGCCCAACAACATCAACCTTACCCTCTTCAAGCTGTACATCAAGTAAGCCAACGTGCATTGATTAAGACTTGGCAAGGTTTTTATGAAGGTGAAGATTGCGGCCGGCTTTTCAAACATTTGTCCCTGGTTATCAATAGAAAACTCGTAGATACGAGCCTCTTTGCCCTGAAGAAGACCGTGCTGTATCCGCTTTATGAAACGTTTAATCAGAATCGCCACATCAATCGCTGTACAATCATCCGGGATATCACCGCCGTAGAATGCGACCTAAAATGATATTTCGATGTTTATGTTATAAAAATTCAACAGAAAAACTAATTTTCAACACTATATCATTTTACACATCCTATTCTAACTCCAGGTTAAAATTCCCCGCACTAATCAAAGTATGATTAGATTTCTATCGATATTCATCATCATATCCACCTAAAGCAACAAAACAAAATTAAAGACAACTTACGGTTGCGTTCTCCACTCTTTGGTTATTACCATTGCGGCGAAAAATGCCTTCAGTACGTCGGCCACCATTTTCCTTAATGAAGGCGAACGCTTTCACGAGAAATCTGAAAATTAAATTGTTTTAGATCACCTTTGTATCTAGAATATTAAAAAAGCCTAAACTGTAAAGAAAAGCTCAATTAGACTGTCCAAAATGACTTAAAAGATGTTAAAGTCACTTCTTGAAGTAATGTTGACATTAAAATATCATAATTTGATGAACAACTTATAAAATTATATTGTTTTAGACCAGCTTTACATCAACAAAAGTGAAATCATAAAATACATCAAAACTAAACCATTATGTATCTTTTCCTGTCGTCAACCAACAAAAAATAACATAGTCCACTACTACAGCTTTGAGTTATCAAATTTTAGACTTCTTTAAAATTATATTGTTTTAGGTCATCAGAACTTCACAAGAAGAAATATGCATAAAACCAAACTCAATTAGAAAGCAAAAGTACAGTTATCGTCTCTAAAAAACAAAATTCAAATCTTGTTTTTCAAAAATTTCAAAGTTTACTCAAAATTCAAAGAAATCTCTCAAATTCATCAACTCCTCTCGCTGTTATTACCTAAAAACACAAAAAACAAAAACTCAAAACACTTACTCCGGTACACGGACCCGTTCGCAGCGTTCATTCTCCGTAGGCAACGGGACCTCGGTGAGGTTCAATTCATCAAGTCGAATCGGTGAATTATTCTGCATTTCGCCGCATTTATGAAATCCGACCAGCTGTTGGTTCGAAATAGGAATGGTTGAAATTTTGAATATTAAGATAGCTGTTCCTCTCAGAGCAAAACCTGCAAACACAGTTTTCTCTTCTCGGAGGAGATGGACGCGATTCTTGTCGCGGCACGGAAAAAAACGGACCGATCGTAACGCGCTGAAGAGAAAAATCGAGGGGAAGAGCTGACGCGCTTCGTGAAATGGCGCCAAAATGCCGGTTCGAACGGCCGTATTTTTCGGTGGTTTTCGAGTCGAAAATTTGCGAAATTCGAAAAAGGAACGAAATGGATTGAAGTGAAATGAAGATTTTTTGGAACAGCAGAAGAAATAAGCCCGTTTTTGATAATTTCAAGGCCCCCGAAGGTTGTATAGAAAACTAAGGTAGGTCACTATGGTACGATCACTGTAACTTTTGTATAACTCAATTTAAGAAAAGACTGTTTTACATTTTTAAAAAGCTAAGTATTTGCTATAAAATACTCAAAATTCAAGTTTTTACTGTCACTTACGAAAACGTTGTCTTTATTTTTGTAAAATATTAGGTATCTACATGGCGGCTTTTGAAAAATTACTGTAACTTTTTTTAAAACTTAAAATTTTAAAAGCCGCTAGACATTTTTAAGTAAAAGTGTATGGTGTATGTAACACTTAAAAATCAAGGTTATAGACTCATTCAACTCAAAGTTATAAGGGTTTAACTTATAAAATGGTCGAAACAAGGTGATTTTTCTAAAAATTACCGTAACTGTTAAAAAACTGAAAGTTTTATAAAAATTTTTGGCTAGGTTGAAACTGAGGTATTTCTACACTACATACAAGAAAATCATATCATTTCGCTGTGTTTTAAAGATTTGGCAACAAAAAGAAAGCCAGCCGTTCGGGCTACTATAATATAATCTTCGTAGTTGACCTAAAGCTGTTTTAAAATCTTTAAAACCTAAAATTTGGCTTCAAAAATGTAGCTAAACTATTTCCAAACGAATAAAACCAATCCCGCAAGTTCGAACCATAAAATAGTTTTGACAAAAGTCGTTATGTTGAGCATGTTAACCCTTGACATGTTCACTTTTTACATGAAATAAAGGGGGAAACATTTCATTGTTTATGTGATAAAGTGGATAGATAGAAGCGGATGCATAGTAAAGAGATCGTTTTTTATGTTTATGAATGGTACGGGTCGAACGATGTTAATATAGGGGTGATGCGAAAGGAATGGCGCGTTTTAATGTTTTTTGGTAAGAAATGGAAGAGAGAGCTCAAGGGTAGGGTAGGGTAACATAAACTGTAGTAAGGCAAACCAACTCCAATTTTTATAAATTGCAAAAATGAAGAAATTATATCAATTACCACACCCTAATAGTAAACAGCCGGATGTAATGGCACGCCACGTTCCGCGGATAAGCCAATAAGTGTTGTTATGTATTATATTGTAGTATGTGACAAACATTGTCATGTACTTTTGTTGGGAAACACGGTAATTTTTGATGATTCTTTAAGATAGAATCACGAAAATTAGATTTGATTTTGAAAAAGTTTTGTAAAAAAGGTCAATTTGCGCTTTTAAAGATTGGTTTTTAATCATTTTAGGCGAGGAAGTGCCTTATTCAAAGAGGTATGGGGGTGGTTTAGGTAATGTTAGGGTGGGGCTGGGTAGGGACTATGACAAGGTAGGGTATAGTATAGTAGGGAAAACCAAGGCATGACAAGGCGCGGCATAGGATAGGGTAGGGTTGGGTAGAGTAGGATAAGGTAGGGTAGGTAAGGGTAGAATAGAGTAGTAAAGTAATGAAAACTTGAAATTTTAATCATAAGCCCAATAGCCCTTGAATTAAAAAAAAGTATCATAGTTTTCCATTTTTTAACTTTTCTATGTTTGACAATTTTTACGTTTTTTGCAGTAATTTTGTTTACAAACATAAAAACATCGAAAAATGAGCGCTAAATTGTGGTAAACAGTAGTAAACAACTAACTTCCAAAACGATTTTTGTTTGTTTCAATTGCCTTTTTTAATAATCGTAAAAGAAAACGTAATTTGGGGTGTTAAATTAGGGCAGAGAGCCTTTTATCGTACTCTAAAATATCCTACTTTACCGTGTCTTGCCCTAACTTATCCCGCCCTGTCCTACGCTACACAACCCTACACTACGCTACCCCGCTTTGCCCTACCTTACCCTACTTCACCCTACCCTACACTACCCTACTTTACTCTACCCTTCCTTACCCTACTTCACCCTACCCTACCCACCTTACTCTACCCTACCCTTTTACCCCAGTGTTTTTCCTGGATCGTACTGGCGATGGTTTTTCAGGGCCGGTCCGGCTATTTTTGTGGTCCGGGGTGGTCCGCCCAAAATTTTTTTCTTTTTTGTTCAGGCCAGACCGAACGGTCCAAGAAAAACACTTATTTTACCCTGCCTTGTCGTGCTCTACTCTAGTGTACTCTACCTTGACCTACCCTACAATATCCTTCATACCCTACTCTTTATTGCCCTACTCTGTCCTACCATACCTTACCTTACTCCAACCTACTAGATCCTACCCACAATTTTAATATTTAAATTTTAAAAAATGAAATAGTTAAGCTCTTTGATCTTCCGCCTTCTTCAATACAAGAAAAACTACATTATTAAAACCACGTTATTTATACAGTGTTAGTCATTCCATAGCCGTTATATTTATGTGATATGTGAATATTAATTCACATTTTTTAAAAAGTTAATAAAAATATTTTTTTTAAATCAAAAAAAATTAATTTGCACTGTGTAGCAGCCTTACTAAGCCTAAGCCTACTGTAATAAATTTATCACAATTTTTACCCGCTCGGTGCCTAGTAGCGGTAAAACATTTGAAAGTGATTGAGAAATTCATTTGAAATTGAGCTTATTTCACGTTTTTTCATTATTAAAGTCGTAAAGAACCACACTGAAGTGGACCAAATGTTGTTATTGACGTCATATTGACAGTAGGAGGTTATTTTCGAAAAGAATAAAAAGCTTGCAAAACTTTATACCATATGTTGTTATGGTATTTGTAGAAGTTGAGGAAGCATTTTACTCCCCCCCCCCTATTTAAAGAACACGAAAATTAGTGACCTGTCTTTGCCCTGCCTTTGCCCTACATTTGCCGTGCCTGTGCCTTGCTTGTGCCTTGCCTGTGCCTTGCCTTGCCCTTCCCTGTCCTGCTTTTTTCTAGCCGTAGCCTTGACAACCTTACCCTGCTTCTCCTTCCTCAACTAAACTTTTTAAAAAATTCACCCCCCCCCCTCCCTTTTACTTTTTACTCGCCAAAAAATTCTCCCACTGAACACTGTATACATTTATACGTGTATATATACGTATATGACGCTCCTATCAGTGATGTCAAATCAAAACCAACATAATGACAAATTTGGCTGAAAAGCCACGCTTTTTTAATTGATTTTATCATATAAATTAATCATCAAATTTACATTTATCGCATAGTCTAACAATAATGTAAAAGGACATTTTTTAAATAAAAATAAACAAAACATCAAGATAATCATCAAAAACGTCATTCATTTTTTTTGTTTTGTCTAGCCCAGAGCCCTAGCCCAGAGCCCTAGCTCAGAGCCCTAGCTCAGAGCCTTATAGTTAGCCTAGAGCCCTAGCCCAGAGCCCTACCCCAGAGCCCTAACCCAGAGCCCTAGCCCAGAGCCCTAGCCCAGAGCCTTAGCCCATAGCCCAAAGCCTTAGCAGTAGCCCTAGCCGTAGACTTAGCTGTAGACCTAGCACTAATCTAGCTCTAACCTAGTCTCTAGTCTTAGTTGTAGCCCTAGCTAGAGGTGGCTGTTGCTCCTGTCAGGGCTCGACTGGTGCATCGTTCCGGCCACGTCAAAAACCATTTTCAAGTCGTTCTGGTCAAAAAATTTAGGACTACGTTCCCGGTCTTGGTTCTAGGAACGTTCTGGACCGATAGCCACCGTTAGCTAGCCTTAGCCATAATCTTAGCACCCTACTCTACGCTACTATCCTATTCATCCTACACTACCCTAGCTTGCCCTACTGTGTTCTACAGCACTCTACCTAGTTTGCCTTATCCTATCCTAGCCTTTCCTAAAGTACTTTACCCTAGCTTTAAACTCAGCTTTAGCCAAAGTTCCAAGCGTAGCTGATAGCTTTTCTTTAGCTCTAGCTAGTTCTCTACCCTGTCCAGAAACATTGCCATATTTACCTAGCGCTATATCTTCTACTCTAAGCCAAAGTCACCCATATCTACTCCAAGCAACCCTCCTCCCTTCACCTCCCCCCCCCCGTCCCCTTACTAAACGCTATAAACCGCCACAAACCCTGCTCCAAACCCCCACCCTTTTGAATCCAATAAAAGAAGAGGCGTTAATAGCCTTGTAGCCGGTGTAATCTTATTAAAAACGCTGAATATCTGTTTTATTGTCCTCGCATCATCGTGTTCGAAGAAGGGTGGGGGATGAGGGCGGGGGGAGAAAGGCGAAAAGAAGATTGCGCACTTTGCTTTCATTTCCGCCACTAACCCCATGTAACGAATGGATGCGTCAACGTTCGAGGAATCCCTGATTCAGGGCCCAAAAGGAGTGCTTCGAACGTTGCAAAGTTTACCATGGATTAGGGGAACATTCTAGGGAAGTTGAGGACAAATATCAAGTTCAAAAAGTCATTTTTAAGGGTTTATGGATGTAACAAGTAATAATTAAATCTAACCTAAGTAATCGGTATCACCGTCATAAAAATCGAAGCCTAAGTGTATAAGTTTAAGCCTACAAGTCGAAATATATAAACGAAAGCCGAACCTACTATGTCTAAGCCTACTAAGCGTTAGCTTACTAAGCCTCAGTCTACTAAGTCTAAGACTACTCAGCCTAAGCTTAATAAGTCTAAGCCTAAGCCTACTAAGCCTAAGCCTACTAAGCCTAAGCCTACTAAGCCTAAGCCTACTAAGCCTAAGCCTACTAAGCCTAAGCCTACTAAGCCGAAGCCTACTAAGCCTCACCCTCTTAAGCCTAATTATACTAAGCCTACTAGTTTACTAAGCTTAAGCCTACCAATTCTAATAATAAGAGCAAGCCTACTACTACGCTTCGTCTATTTAACCTGGTCTACTAAGAATAAGCCTATTAAGCCTAAACCTACTAAACCAAGTTTATTAAAGCCTAAGCTCAAACCTAAGGCTAAGTCTCTGCTTGCTATGTTGTATTTGCTAAGCCCAAACCAATTAAGCGAATGTAAAAAACAAAAGTTTATGAGCCTAAGCCTATTACATACTTAAAACAATTTATCCACCGCGTACCATTAGCAACTTTAAGATCTCTACACTAAATCCTTACACCGAAACAAGCTTTATTCAAACACGTCATACTCAAACAACCTCAATGTCACCTCCTCGTCATGAAAACGCAATTTGTGACGCCGAATCCGTAGATTGTTGTGTAGCCGTGCTGATTCGATTCCCAACCTCACCGTCCTGTTCGTAAAGATGACATGGCCGTTCCGGAAATGTCATGCCCTGAGGGTTCATTTCCCATTGTTAGGTCGAAACGTGCGAATCCCTGCGGAGGCCGAAATCAGAATGGCGCGCCAGCCATTTCCGCCGAATAAAACATTGAAATGACACGCTACAAATTGTTTGCAACCCGTTGACATCAGGGAATTGCAAATATGAGTACAAATCGGTTTATATCAAGGCTATTTTTTGGAGTTGTAGACAGTTTTTGAAATTGAAAAAAAAGTTTTTTTAATTCTAAAAAGTAAAGTCTAAATAATTTTCAAGTTTAAAACTACAAAGGAAGTTGTACCAAACATACCCCGGGTTTTAGAAAAAGACTTATATAACCGTAGCTCAAGGTTTACCCTTAGCGCTAGCTCTAGCTATAGCCCTTGCCTAGCATTGGCTCTGGCTTTAGCTCTAACTCTAGCTCTAGGGCTATATCTAGGTCTACGTCTACGTCTAGCTCTGGTTCTAGCTCAAGCTCTGGCTCTAGCTCTAGCCTTTGCTCTGGCTCTGGCTTTGACTCTGGCTCTAACTTTAGCTCTAGCTCTGGTTCTAGCCTTAGCCCTAAAAGGTATAGCTTTGAAATTCGAAAATTGGTATTTTTAATTAATATTGCTTTTTAAAAACAAATAAAAGAAAAAAATTATGACTAATAAATATTTTTCAATCAAGATATTGCTTGACTAGCCAAAACTTTATGCCAAAATAGAAAAAGTTCAAGATTTAATCGGTGGGATTCAAACTCACTGCTTTGTGATCGCAATATTAAGAGAAATTTTTTAAAAATTTTAGTTTACTTCAAAAAAGTATAATGAAAAAAATTTGCCTCAGAGTACCATGTAGATCATATTTTACGTTTTCGTCTATAGCACAAGCCGTAAACTTCGGTAAATTCATCTGACACGCAATGGGATTCGTCCTCGGCAAGTTTACCGTGGCAAGAAAAGGGTTAAGCCATTCGGCTATCTGGTCCTTTTGCTTGTTCGCTTCATTTTGGTTTTGAGGTTCGGCTAGGTTGTTATGTAATATGACGTATTGTAATGTATTCAGCATGATTTATAGTTTAGACTGGAAGATATGAGAGAGTTGTAGTAGGACCGGGCCAGGCCAGGCTTTGGTTTTAGCCCTTGCCCTAGAAGTTTAGTCCATTAAAATGACCGTTCTGCAAGAAAAATGCGGTTTATTTTGTGATCAATGAGCTAGCAAAAAAACTAATTCATTAATGTTTACAACAACCTAATTACTCAAAGCAACATTGAACTCTAAAAGAGCATACAACAAAACTTATCATGTAAACAGTAAGCAGGCGTTTAGATCAAAGTTTAGTGTCGTTTTAAAGTGTAACCTCTTGAAAATTTTAAAAATTCAATTTTTTCAACGGTAGGGTCTTTAAAGCTAGGGCTCTTGGCTAGAGCTTTGGCTAGAGTTCTGGGCCACGGCTCTGGGCTAGGGCTAGGGCTCTAGGCTAGGGCTCTGGGCTAGGCCTCTGGGCTAGGGCTCTGGGCTAAGGCTCTGGCTGGGGCTTTGGGCTGGAGCTCTGGGCTAGGGCTTTGGGTTAGGGCTCTGGGTTAGGGCTCTGGACTAGGGACCTGGGTAAACATGGTGATATGGCCGGGCCGACCTTAACCCAGATTTAGGTCGGGCCGCATCTGCAAAATCAGAGGCCCGGTCCGGGAACCCCGGCCCATTTGCATGTAAAAAAATTCGGCGACCGGGCTTGACCTAAATTTATATCAGGCCTAGTCTGAAAAATGGGCCCGGACCGTTCCTCATGTCTAGCATTGGGCTAAAGCAACGGTTTGGTTAGGACTAGGGCTAAACTAAAACCAGCTACCTAACTCTAGTCTTAATTTTAGCCCTCTAGTTCTGTACCTAGAACTAAACCTAGTAATAAGAAAAGCTGGGTTAGTTATTACAAAAACATCATTACCTACTCTACTGTTCAAAGTTTACCGCTACCAGAGAACGTTGCTCTTAATAGTTTATCAATAATTAATCAAAATGGTTAAAAACGTAATTGATAACACTGCTTCGATGTTGTTTACTTTGACCTGTTACAGTCTATAGTCGTTTTCAACTTTAATATGTTACCTTTAATTTATCGGTTTCTATTTATATTATCAGCACCTAGTTATAGGCTTAAAAACGTCTGAAAATTACTGTCAATGCCTAAAATTTGCTTTAAAATGCAGTAAAATTACTTAAAAAAGGCTTTTCTCTCTACTTTTTGACCATGCCAACTCTATAAGCTCATAAATCGACCATTTTCACTAGACAGTTCAAAAAGCTCTGCCCCCTTTTTTATTTCTATTAGGTTGTTCAAATAGTTCAGTGCCCCCTCTCAACGCAAATTTTTGGGAGTAGAGGGCTCAGAATTATTTGAACAACCTAATAAATACTTTTTTGGCCACGTCAACCCTATAGACCCATAAAGCAATTATTTCTAGATACTTTTCGACCAAGTCAAGCCAGTAAAATCCCTATTTCCAGCCCAATCCAAGCCACTAAAATCCCTACTTCCAGCCCAATCCAAGCCACTAAAATCCCTACTTCCAGCCCAATCCAAGCCACTAAAATCCCTACTTCCAGCCAATCCAAGCCACTAAATCCCCTCAAAACTCCCAAACTTCAAAATGACATTACATTTATTGGCCTTGAAAATAATATTTTGTTACAGTAAACTTAAGTAGTCTCTTTGGACATTATGCGATCACAATTTTAAACACCTTTGAAAGGTAATCCAATACATATGTGTACAATATACATATATATAAAAAACAAATAAGCAAGTGAACAATATCTATCGATTCTGAGAATAGTGGTGAGTTCGGCTCTGAACGTACCTGGTGGATAACATAACAGAGTACGAGCCGCCTAACAACATATACATAATGTGATTGTATTAAAGGATGTATATATAAATGCCAAAAACTTGTTGAGCTGTGATATCATGAGAAAATACAGACTGTAAGCCTACGTGCCGCCTTGTTTTAGGGCTTAATTTAAACATTTTGCTAAAAAATTTCAATCTTTGTTGAAAAATGCCAAATTTTAGTCTTAAAACGTCAGTTTAAGTTTAAAAAAATAACTTTTTAATCAAAAAATGCAATTTTTCGATAAGAAAAAGTCATTTCTCGTTACAATAACATCAAATATATACTTTTTTCAACCTAAAACACCCCTAAAACAAGGTCGAATAATCTGACTAGGCCTATATATTACGTTAAAAGTAAGCAGACCGGTATTCGAATAACAACCAAAGCCTTACGTAAATAAAACAAATACAAATGGTACCAAAAGCAGCATAATGGTTCCATTAAGACGAGTCTTGATCCGACGAGCAGCAGGAGCTGTTATCACCTCGATTCGGTGGTGAACATGAGCAGGCTGGGTAGTCGTCAAAGTTCTCGTACATCCTCAACTTTTGCGACACTTTCTCTCCGAATCGCTGTTTGTAGCCGGGTGAGAGGACTTCCATTAGGTCGTACAGGCTGTCGTAATACTTTGTGAAGAGTTCCATTCGAGTGAAGTCGCCTTGCATGCAGTCCGATCTGAGGGAGGTTACTCGCCAGCCTTTGTGCGTTAGTTCTAGACAGTAGGGTTGACCTGAAACAATAAAATACGTTTTGTTATGTTATACTAAAGTTATTTGATAAGTACAACAAGGTATTTGATAAGTAATACAAAAAACAAGTCTTATGATAAGTAATAGTGCAAAACCTGAATATTTGAGTAAGATACTATAGTTAAAGTACGTATTTTTGTTTAAAAATGATCAAAATATGATAAAAAGCTAAAAATACTATCTATAAAAAATTAATTTTCAAGCAATAAAACTTGTTTTTATCAACTTATACTCAATTTTAAACTGTTTTGATAATAAAAACCTTAATATTAGTCTACTCTCATCTAATTTTTCTTGCTTCATACACAATAAAAATGTAAAATACGACCAAAAGTCCCCTCTTTTCCAACTCAAAACCCAAATTTTTATCCAAACCTTCAAACAAACCCATATATAAACCCGAATTCCAAAACAAAAACACCAGAATATCTCACCTTCAGCTGTGGTCAGATTAACAAAGATCAATTCGGGGGTTCGGGGTAGCATTTCCGATACGCTGATGGACTGGACGGCATGACTTAGTTGATGGACGGCAGCCAACGCTTCCAACTCCAGCGTGGACTCGCCTCGCGATTGTGACCCGCTTTCCAACAACAACTTGCTCAACGACACGGCTTTATCCAACGACATTGGTATCGAGCTGAAAACAATTTTATTACTTTATATTATTCATCTTATACTGATTCTTAATTTTTTGTTTTTTTTTTGAAGATCCACTAGAATTAGCCAAATACTTCCAAAAATCATTAAAACAAGCCAAATTTTAGACATAACACCTTCCAAAATAGCTAAATCTAGTCATACCAATCTAATTTTAAAATCACAATCCCAGACAGAGCTATAAAATCCCAATGTCCTTTACTTAAACTTAAGCATGTGTTCTACTTAAAAGCTAGAAAAAACTAATTAAGGCTAAAAAACTGAAACAAAAAGCACTCAATCACCCTGAATCTACTTTATCAATACAGACTATCAAAGAATTAATCAAAAGGTTAACATTCTCTTCCTCTACCTAGCTTTTTGAAATCGCCTGGTTCGCTGATATAAAAGATCTTCTTAAGAGAAAACTTCTTCTTTATCTGAAAAACTTCGCTTATATAAAAGATATTGCCTTCTCTTTACACAAAAAGACTCGCCTTATAAACCACTATACCTTTTATAAGTTGGCATTCAAGGAGAAGTTGCTTTGTTTATAATAAAAATGCCAAAAGAAGATATAGACAAACACAAATGTTGTCCATACCTTCTTTTTTCATTTACATATAAAGCAAAGCATCTATCCTTGTATGCCAGTGTATAAAAGTCGTAGTAAAGGTTATAACGCAAGTCTTTTTAAACAAAGAAGAGGAATATCTCTCATATAAGCCGAGTTATTTTCATATAAAGAAGATCTTTTATATCAGCGAACTAGACGATCTCAAAAGCTTGATAGAGCAAGAGAATCTTAATTTCTGTTAATTCTTTGATAGTCTGTGTCGATAAAGTAGATTCAAAGTGACAGACCATTCAAAAATCCAAGTAAAAAGTAAATATTAACCTTTTCATCAACTCCTTAACTGTCTATATTAGTAAAGTAGATTCAAAGTGATTGTAAACCTTCCCAGCAACCCTTTATAAACCTATATTTGTTTCACAAAACATATAAGAAAATGACTATTGATCAAACCCTTTACACAATACAGACAAAAAATTATTTTTGAAAAAAAACAGTTGAACAAACTGTGGAAATATACATCATTATTTTAAAATTTGTGTCTTTTTATGGTTATCTAATGTAGGCAACAGAAACCTATATATAGCTTGAAAGATCGAGATCTAAATTTCAACATGCAGCGCCAAAAATATTGAGTGCAATCCAGTACTATTAATATTTTTAAACCTTACGGTACCTTCTTGTACCACATGACGATTTATATCTCATAATATAGTATGTCAAGGAAGATGCGTTTCAATAAAACTACCATAACTTCAAACAGTGCTACTACTATTACCCACCAATCCCAACAGCACTACTAGTACCGACCAATTGAAAAAGTAATACTAGTACCAACAATTTCATTAGTACTACTAGTACCTACCAATCCCAACAGTACTACTAGTACCTACCAATCCCAATAATACTCTCCAATCCAAACAGTACTACCAGAACCACCATCTCTACCACCAGTACAATCCAAAAACCTTACCCTCGGCGATCATCTTTACAACACGGCCTCTCCACGACGAGCGCTTCGATCAACGATGGTCGACGGAACATTCTTACAATCAACTGTGTTTTAGAGTCCAAACACGGGCGAACCCAGACTATTTAAACCTTCTTTCAGGGGGGTGAGAACGATCGGGCGGAGCGCAATCCCAAAAAATAATAATCTTTAAAAAATAGCGCTCTCGTTCTTTGCTCCACCACCACCTATCGACTATAATCAGTTGTGTTTTGATAGCCATATTATTATCAACAGAAAAACAGCGCTCGAATATTATCAACATTGGAGGAGGTTGGTCAATTCTTTAATGGGTAACCGGGTCGAACCTAGTAAGCCCCCGTTCGGAACTGATCATAAACTCTTCCAATACCCCCAAAAAAACTCAAAATCATCTCAATATTGCTATCAACCTAATATCACCCTTCTTTCCACTAGCTGACGACGAAAAAACTGTCGGTTTCCCCGACTCGCTTGTTCTAACACACCCAATTAGAGAAGCACGTGCTTATGATAGAGATGTTGAAATCGACCCGATCAAAGATAATATCTCACGAAACTCTCCTCAAATGCTAGCGACAGAAGAACTATAGCTATGAGCTGTTGATGCGATTGAAGATAACATTAATTAGCGAGTTTTCAACGACAAAAGTTGAAAGGCTAGCGATGAAAGGTGATTGCTTTGATCTGATATCGAAGTTGTGGCATTATCAATGATTTTAATCAAATTTAGACGCATTTTTTCTCTAATTTCAAAACATTTTTCAACTTTTTAAAAATTTAAAAACCATAAACATATTTTGTAACATTATTTACATAGTAACTACAATATAATTCATTTTGTAACAAATCACAACCTTTTTTTGCTTCATAAACCGGATTACCATAAAAAGTACAATATTATCAGACAATCTAATCTATCATGCAGCAAATTTCAAAATTCACATGAAAAACACCTAAATTTCGAAACAGTTTACCATGAATACCATTTCAAAACCCGCATTCCACCAAATTACAGTGTTTTGAACTAGTAACAGTTATATTTAGTCTGTGACAACATTATCATGAGGTTAATCAGTCTTTGACCTATGACAACACTACCTTCTTTTCCATTATCGTCTTTTATTCTACCTATGAGGTCAGATAAAATGAAGGAAACGACCGTTTGTACCTATAATACCAACAAAAAAGCCGAAAAAACCTACCTCATTTTGGAACAGATCAAATCTTCTGGATAACACAATCTGGATGGGATGTTCAGGTTGAATGGATCAGGTCCTCTGCATTTACAGTTGAACGACGACTGGAATAGCTCGTCGCTTTGGTCGAATGAATTCCGGTTCACTGGCGATGGTGGCGGAGAGCTGGGCACGGAGCACACTGATCGCCACAGATTTTTCGAATGAAGACTAGCCATTTGGTGTCTAAAACGAGACAAATTTTATGATAATGTTATCATTGCCTCTATGAAACAAATTTCTTAATTCGCGTATGAAACAAACGTAAATTCTTATCTTTTCTCGCATTAACATTCTTTAAAATTAAAAATGTAAAGTAAGTCATAAAATAACTTTTGAAGGATAAAATTTCAACTTATTATAAAAATTAAAAACAGGGCTGGGTAAAAGTACCATAACTTTACAAAAAATATAAAATTCAAATCAGTTTTAATTTTATTAGTTAGTCAAATAATTAATCTACAACCACGCCAAATTTCAAGCCTCTACATATACGTTCAAAAAAGTTATAACCAAAAGCGTCTGGCATGCACATACTAATTATAATATAACTCTCAAAGCCATAACCTCAACATATAGAGTCAAGACCATAAAAACTTGACGACATAACAATAAAACTGTCTACAACATATTTTTCATTTGAACATTCGCTTGTTTTCGCGATATTATGTTTTGCAAGATGTAAAACAATAAAACTGAAGAATGTTCTCATAAAAAGTAAAAGTTTCCGAGAAAATTTGCCTGCTGGCCCTTCACGACGACGAAGCGAACCCGAATGCACGTGAAAAGAACATGGAACGCGACTGACATGTACACACACATAACACTGGAATGTTATTCATCTTCATTATCCGCGAAATTATTTATTCGATGATAAAAATGCGTCAAGTGTAGGCGTAAAATCAGCGAGTCAAGTGTAGCTTTGCAAAAGGAATCTTGGAAAAAACAAAAAATTGTCGGAGAATTGCGAAATTTAATGAAAAATTGGTGTTTTTGCGGGATAAACAACACTATTTGGTCAAAAAGTAATTAGAATTTCCTTCCCATCATAACATAGTCTTTTTTTCTCCACATTGCTATTAATTTTCGTTAAAAATAGCAAAGAAAACTGGGGAAAGTTGAGAAAGCATTAGTATAACTCCGGCAAACCAAACAAAAACCCTAATGTGTATCTTGAAGGTAACGGATTATAAACTCAAATTTTCAGGACAAAACCGCTAAAACCAACCCTCATAAACTTTCTAGAATTGCTAAAAGAAGTTATGGATAACATCTGCACCGAAAAAGGACGAAATTCGTCGCTTGATTCTAGGAAAAACCCTTGCAATCAGTTGTTTATAAGCGCGCGAAAGACTCGTGGAGTTGTTTTTGCAACGAAAACTCAAACGAGATGAACTTGAGAGGAAGCAGGGCGTGGATGATGAACTTGTAATGGCGTTTGAGACTGATTCATACATTTGGGATGGTTAAGGGCGATTGGGATGTAAAGGTATCAAAAGTGGGTAAAATTTGAAAGGTTTGCACTGTACGTTCAAGGTCGTTGCTACAGATGGTTTTTGAATTCGACTACAGTGTTTTTAAGGCAAATACAGTGTTTTTAAGGTAAGTTGACATTACGTTTTGTTGTAGAACATTTAGATTATTAAAGCTGGAAGTAATGGCACGGACATCCGAAGTTAAAAGTAAACGATACGAAGCTAGAAGTGAAATGAAGATATGAAGCTCGAAATGATCGAAGAAACGATACAAATTTGAAAGATAACAATGAAATTTCTTTAACAGTGAAAGGAAAACAAATCCAAATGAATCAGCAAAAGGCGATTGACAGGGCAGTTAACGGGTAAGTGAACTTCTTGAGAAACGTGCGCGAGTTTTTGAACTTTAGGAAAAGATATTTGCTCGTCAAAAGATGAAGTAGCGATGAAAAAAGGCGTTGAAGATCACAGTGAATTGAAGAATGCGAAAAATGTTAAAGACGGCTGATTTTTTAAGGAAGAAAGATGTTGAAGATCACTTTGAATTTTTTAAGAAGGAAAACATTGAAAGCACGGTGAAATTCGAAGAAAAAAAAACGCCGAAAGCCACAATGAAAGTTCATGGATATTCCTCACTTTATATGAAAAAAACCACGGATATTATCGATAATATTCCACCCTTCGTCAAGGAAAAAGATCATGGACAGCCATCTAACCGTCAGTGAAATGAGCCGATTTCGAAAGCTTTATGAGCAAAAGCAAATGGGGAACGAGCGAATAAATGGGGAGGGCGGGAGGATGACGCAAAAAAAACGATAAATTTTTGGACGTTTTTTTTCTTCAAGGCCCCGTCTGGCCTACTTCCAGTGGCCAGAAACGGAAAGTGCGGGGACTTCCCTGCCCCGACCAAACGGGAGAATAAATAGGATTCTTTTTCTATTTTTTCTCGTCATGAGTCATGCCTGCCAAAATTAACCATAGTAAAGGGCTGACGGTTTTTTAGTGCGCAATAACATTAGTTAGGGGAGGGTATTAGGGAATGGCATCACGTAGAAGAAGCTAGTGATGAATGTCATCATGTAGGCGAAGCTAGTGGGCAATGGCGTCATTTAGGAAAAGCTAGTGGGCAATGGCATCATGTAAGAAAGGCTAGTGGGGAATGGAATCAAATATGCGAAGCTAGTGGGTAACAATATATTAAAGACGAGTTCTACTGGCTAGGGTAACAACTTCTGGACTGGCTAGAGAAATGGCGTTATATAACAAGAAAAACATGGTAAACAGGCTACTGGGGAATTGCATCATCTAGGTTAAGCTACTAGGTTTGGAATGAAGTGCCTTTTGAAATAAAAGCTAGCGTTGCTTAAGAAACCAACATCATCTCCTAGAATTTCAAAACAAAAATAGCATCGAGAATGAACTTTACGTTAACATCATCTACCAGAATCCACTGTGTAAGCAGGTTCTGGTCGGTGATGTTATTTTCGAAAGTAACATCGTAGAAAGAAATAGCTACACTTTAAATCATAAATCAGCATCTACTGCGATTACTGTGGTTGGGTAGGCATAGGCTAGAGTAGGGTAGACTAGGCTAGAAAGGCCCGGATTAAGGGCTTGAATAGAGTAGGATTAGGTTATAACGGCTATGATTAACACCTAAATAGGTGCAAGTTCAGGCGATTTGTTATGACTAGCTACACTATACTTTAAAAAATCACAATTGTCAACAGGCAACTATTGCAAAACCTATTAGTGTAAAAAATGGCTGTTTTTGTAGCTAAAAAATGTGAATCTGGCGAAAGTTGACTGTTTTATACTAACCTGCTGCTTGATTTGTCGTTATTCGATAAAAATGGGGCGGTATAAATGCCTGCATTTTGTAGGAAACGTTAAGTTTGAACTTTAACAAGGAAGGGAAATGTGAAAAAATGCCGTCACTACTAATTGCTCTTTTTTTGTAAAATACGCGGTATTCAGGCATTAACGACAAAAGAACTTGAAAAATAGAAAAAAAAATAAAAATTGTACGTTAGCTGTCATCAATTTATACAGAAATCAGAGCTTAAGCTCATCAAAACAAAAGTAAACTAAAATATAATATAATACAGTACGATATAACACAATAAAATAACCCAAAGTTAGCCTTTAGTCTAACACAACACAACCCATAGTCTTATGACATAATTGCCATGGACCTGTGGCTCGTTTAACCGGATGTTTAGCCCTTGTTAAACCCTTGGCCGGGGACTACAAAAACTTTGTGAGTGACATGTGAAGACGGGTCAAATCCTGGCTGACAGGTGTTCACTGTAGGCGGGCGGTCGGTCGGCTCTGAAAATAAAAAAAATAAAAAAAAGTTAAAAGAAAAAGCACATTGCTTTAACAATCCCAACGAGAATGCTTTAACATTTCCCGAAAAAATCACATTGCCTCGATTTTTTTTTGAGAAAACGCACATTGCTTCAATTTTTCGAAGCACATTGCTTCAACGTTTTGACGATCACGGCGTGCACGTGAACGGCCGTAAATCGGGCCGACATAAACTATTGAACTTTCGGAGGGAAAAAACGTTTCTAAGTGGTGGGTGCGGCCAAAGGGCCAAAAAGGTAGAGAAGATAAAAGAGTTTTAAAGGGTTTGAATAGACTTAAAAGGGGGGTCCAGTAGACATGGCAATCGGGCCGGGTCGAAGCTAATTTGAAAGGGGCTGGGCTGAATCGTGCTGGCGCGAGTGCCGGGCATAACTGAATGTACCAAGGGCTCAGAAGCGGTGCGATGCAAGTTATTCCAATTAAATTTGGGCGAAAAACTGGGCTTGGCCAATTATATCTTCTTCTGAACTCTACAAGTCAGAAGATGAGATAATTGGGCATTACCTTTTAGAAAAAATTAAAATCTGGACCCCTGTTAAGTTTTAAGGGGAGTAACCAGTATAATAAAATCAAAAGAAAATGTTAATGAATAGCCTATAAAGATAAAGGAATTAATTATAATATTATTCAATTACACTCGTGTTATTGTTAGTGATATCCTCTTATTATTATTAGTGGGAGGACTACAATATCCCAAAGGAAAGTTGTATTAATAACAACCTAATTTTACTTTTTCATCCACCTACTTATAATCATAAGTGTGAAAGTTATACCTATAAACATGAGCATAACAAGTAGACGTACAAGTTGGCGTGTGTTATCGTTTTGAACTTTTTATGTCAACAATAACACATTTCATAGCTTGTGACGACAATAAGCTGCAGCATGACTTCGTACGACATGGTATTTCATATAGATGAACTATGGTTTTGCACAAAAAATGATAGTGTTTGCTTGACCAACCTGTGTATCATATCTAGTGGGGAACTCCCAAAAAAAATTTTCGCAAAAAGTTGAACGTGGTCTCCCCCCCCCTCTGTGGATTTTTGGAAAAAAATTTTCGCAAAAAATAGACACAGGTCCCCTACTACCCCTACCCCTATCCCCATTCCTACCCCATCTTCTACAACCCTTACGCTTACTATACTACCCCTGCTACTAATACCCCTACCCCAATTCATCTAACACAGATCAGTACAACTGGATGAAAACTGACACTGTTTTATAAAGTAATAGGCCATTTTTCATTGTGTTCTAAACTGAAAAAATGGCCGAATCTTTCACAAAAGTGTCCAAAAAGTCCTGTCCAAAGCAAAAAACAACAATTAATTAAAGGGAACTTGGCCCATAAAGTGGCCAAATGACGCGAAGGCCAATTAACAAATTCAACGTCAGAAGGGCGTTGGAGTAATATGGTTTTGGAAATGTACATAAAAACAAGTTTAATGTGGGAAGGGCTGTTCCTTTGGAGGGGAGGAGGGTACACAAATTTTCAAAAAAAGTTGAACTTGGTCCCCCCCCTGTAGATTTTTTCGACCCCCGCCCTCTGACCAAAAGTCCCCGCCCGGCCCTGGTAGTGTTAAAAGGTTAATTGCTGGGAGGGGTGGGGATTTTCATAAACCCTCCGGTTGATTTTCGAAAAAAAACTAAAAAAAAGTCCGCAGGTAGGGGGGCCCGTGGCAAAAAAAAATTGTGTGGACTAACTTGCCCTACCCTACCCAGACGTACTCTACGTTACCATACTCTACCTAACACTCCGCTACCTTACTCTACCTTAATCTATACTACTCTACCTTGCCTTACCTTACTGTATCTTATTATATGCCACCTTACTCTCCCCTACCTAGCTTACCCTGCCCTTAAATCATCTTACCCCAACCAAAAAATGCCAAGCTAACCCAAAGTGCAATTTCCATGCCGTCTGGCAAATAAAAATGTACTCGTTTTGAGATAATGGGTAAAAGTGTACGGACGTGAGAGGAACGCTGTGATAAACACGTCTTTCGGCGTTCTTCAGTCTTTCCCTTCTCACGTTCCGACTTCCTGCTTCTACTATAATATGCGATAAAAGTAATCGCATTTTACTTAAGCTTAATGTAGTTTTGGCAGTGATGGGTTAGAGTGGGCTTTTGAAAGTTGTGGGTTAGTATTAGGTACTGTAACATAAACATAAGAATGTAAAATAGAAAGGTAAAATGTTTTACAGAATTGAACGTCTTAGGGACCTAACAGTTTATATAGACAACATCTTATTGATACCTATTGACAAGTGTAAGCCTAATCCCCGAGATTGCTCTAAAGATTATGCTTTTAAAGCTCATATTAATCTTCATACAATCCTTTGACTTTGTTGTTTGTACAGCTTAAAAACCGCGGCCAAGCTCTCTCAGCTGGCCGTTCTAATCCCACTGATTTCCTTGATCTTGACCTTGCTTTACGTGATTTTTAAAAAGATTTTTGGTAACAATTCTCGACTTCTTAAAACCAAACAAAACCAAATTTTAAAAATTCTCAAAATTGTGCCCAAAGCATTATTCAAAAATGGCAAAAACTATTAATCAAACTCCCTTACCTAGCCTCATCATAGCTTGGCGGCGACACAACAGGTCCAGCGAAAAGGTCGACCGTTCGGCCGTTCCAAACCCTTTCACTGGCTCTTGATGTCCATACTCTAGCTCTGGTTCTGCGTCGTCTTCGCTGTTGTCGTTGAGGTTTTGACGGTATTACACATCGTACGATTAGAAGAAATATACCTAATAAGATTGCTAATGAGCCAGCACTGACCAACGACCAGCCAATCGCCTGTAAAATTAGGATTTGGGTAGATATTAGAGTCTTGAAAAGGTGAGGGTAAGGGAGTGTATTAGAGACTATAAGAGGTGAGAGAAATGATTTTTTAGTTCCAGCCTTGCCGTATCCTAGCACAAGCCTTAGCTCAAGCCCTAGCTCAAGCGCTAGCTCAAGCCCTAGCGCAAACCCTAGCTCAAACTCAAGCTCAAGCCATAGCTCAAGCCCTTCCTCAAGCCTGATCTCAAGCCCTAGCTCAAGCCCTAGCTCAAGCCCTAGCTGAAGCCCCAGCGCAAACCCTAGCTCAAGCTCTAGCTCAATCCATAGCTTTAGCTCTATCTCAAGCCTTAGCCAGTGCTCTAACCCTGGACTTAGCCCTAGCTCTAAACCCCTTCTCTCTAACCCGGGCCCTAGGTTGAGCCCTTTCCCTAGCTCGAGCCGCAGACTTGATCTTTATTGATTTTTACCTAAAAATCAATTAAATCTACAAGGAAAATTAAAACTAACGACACCTTTTAGTACTCAACGTTTTTCTGATTGATTGCAATTAGAAAAAGCAAAAAAAAACTTGTGCTTTTTGTTTCATTATAAATTGTTTTCGTCTGAAATCATGCTGCTACCATGTGGTATTGAAAAAGGCTTTGATTTCGGAAATGTTTTCAATTGAAAATTTTGAAAATTTCAATTTTTTTTAAACAATAACAAACTTTACCCTACCTACCCTACCCTACTCTACCCTACCCTACCCTAACCTACTCTACCCTACATTTCAAAATGGTAACTTAATCCAATTTCTTCTACATTTAACAACAGCTGCCAATTTGTAGCCTTTTGACGTCAAAAGACCTAAAACTGCAAAAATCGAACAAGTTTTTGTCACTAATTTCTTATCTACAGTGTTTTTTGTTTTTGCAAAATTTTTTTCTCATAACGAATGTTTTTCAAAACAAAGATATAATAATTGTAACATATTTGTAGTGATATTCACATACAAATGCTAGATATTATTGTTTTTTACAAGTTTTTTTGCACGATTCGTATCTAAATTATCATATTGAAGTTGACGTAGCGTTTAAAAATAGCTTTTCGTTTTGTACAAGCTACTGAATTATATTAGCCAAAAGTATAAAGTTTTAAAATGACGTAAAGCCTACCCTAGCCCTGTCATATTTCTACCCTAGCTCTTCCATAGTCCTACCCTAGCCCTTCCATAGCCCTACCATAACCCTACCTTAGCCTCCTAGCCCTACACTAGCATTATCCTAACTTAACTCTGACTTTGTTCTCTCTTGTTACTATTCCTATCATAGCTACACCTTGCCTCATCGTTGGTAAAAACACTAGCAATAGCCTTTAAATTCAACAAAGTTTAAGCTTATGTTTCGTATTTGCACAACAGTACCCCAAGCTCTTTAAAATTTTTTGTTTTGACTAAACAAAAGAGAGATCAAAGACAAAACTTTTAAACTTTGACGTCAAGTTTTCAAAAGTTTTAAGTCTGTAACAAAGACGAAGAACGACGTGTAAATACAAAAATTCACGTTTAAATCGAATTTCAAACGTTTTTTGCGAAATTTCCAGACGGTTCCTTACAAATTTTCAAAGCTAATTCTATTTCGTTTTGTTTTGATAAACTTTCAATTACATTTTAGAAAAAACTGTTTTGGAATTGAAAAACGGTAAGAAATTTGCTAAGCTTAAGCCTAGTATGTTTAGGCCTACAGAGGCTAAGCCTATTAAAAATGAGACAACTTAGTCTAAGCCTACTAAGCCTAAGCCTACAAAGTTCATGCCGACTAAGCCTAAACCTACTAAGAATGAGAGTACTTAGCCTAAGTCTAATAAACCTAAGCCTACTAAGCCTAAGAAACTAATCCTAAATCAATCCTAAACCAAAGCTTACAAAACCATGACACATACCCTCACAAACCACTAACAAGTACGAACACTTAAATAAAAATTAAATTTGAGATAAGAGACTAATTCAATTAACCAAATATCAATTAACAAGAGTCAAAAGAATTAAATTCAACACCAAAAAGCACGTACCGTCTCGTCCTGAACCCGTACGAATACTAACCCAATGCAAATAAACAGCAAGCCGAATATGAACGTGAGTATTGTCGTGTGCACGAACCTAAAACAATGTCAAGGTATTCTAATTGAAAGAAGCAAAAATTGAACTCTAACGTTTTTTGAGGGTGTTTCTTATTCTTTTAAAGGTAAGATTATTTTGTAAAATACTAATTTTTACTCTGTGAATTACATATGTATAAGTTCCTAACATTACAGTTCAAGATTATTAAAGAAAGTTCTTGCAATTTTTTGTTTTGTAAAGAAAGTTCTTGCCATTTTTTATATTGTAAAGAAAGTTCGTACCATCTTTAATTCTTCAAAAGATTTGCCATTTTTTATAGTAAAACAAAGTTCATTTTTTGTTTTTGATATCTTTTTTTGCAAGAAAGTAAAATTCGTCTGTGATTTTGTAAAAATATCTGAATTACGTGCACTTTATCAGATTATTTAGACAAAATCTAAACATAATTCAATTAAAAGTTGTGTAACAATACGAGCTAAAAGTGCAAAACGTTTCTGAAACAACACGTTTTAACACAAAAATTTAAAAGAAAAACAGTAAAAACAATATTTAAAATAAACGGCAAGAACTTTCTTTACAAAAAAAATCTACGCTCACTAGGCTTAATACTAACCCCAAGCGCAAGCTTAATTTTAAATCTTTAGATCGTGAGCCTAAGCCTAAGCTTCTAATTAAGCCTAAGCCTAAACCGAATCCTAAGCTTAAGCCCGAGCTCAAACCCAAGCTAATACTTGAGCCTATCACTGAACCTATCCGAAGCCTAGACTTGACCCAAGCCTAAGCCCCGAGCACAAGCCCAAGAAAACACCTGAGCCTAACCCTGAACCTATACCGAAGCCTAGACTTGAGCCTCAGCCTAATTTTAAGCACAAGCTTAAGTCAAAGACTAAGCCTATTCCGCAGTGCTTAAGCTCAAAAATATATTTAAAAAATGTAAAACCTCACCATGTAACAGTACGAATCTCATTCCTCAAGTTGTGGTACCGCGTCTGCAAACCATCATGGCACTGTTTGAACAACGTTCCCATCGTTGAATAAAGTCTGAATGTGAATACGAGTCAAGAACACATTAAGAACGACAATCCCCAGAAAACAAACAGAGAAAAAAGGTCATCAAAATGAAGGCATCAGTCGGATTCAATATAAACATCTGCTCATTTACGACGTTATGACGTTTTGAAACAGTCATATTTTTTAAAATTTAATTTTTTTAATTTAAAAAACAAAAAAAAATTTAAAAAAATTGAAAAAATCATAGAAAATGTTTTTAAAAAAGTCTTGTCGTAATTTTCTATGTATTTGCACTGTAAAAAACGACAAAACTTTTATTTTAAACTTAAAATTCAAAAAATGACAAAAAACTAAATTTAAAATTAAAAATTTTTAAAAAAACAAAATAAAATTGAAAAACAACCCTCAGTTTAGATGATATTCACCATACTAATTCTCAGAATAACATAACCTTCAGCGGTTGAACTGTTTTTGTCTTGGAAAATGCGAGCTGATAAGAAGACAATACCCAATTATTTCGTTACACAAACTTGGTGGAATGTTAAATGTGGTCAGAGATGACATAATTTTGTAATTTGGTAATTACAGTCAAACCCTCTTCTCTCTTTGCACAAATCCCCCCCCTAGCATTGACTTGCACCCTACCTTTCCTACTCTACTCTGCCCTACCCCACTCTACCCTACCCTACCATACCATACCCTACCGTACCCTACCCTACCCTACCCCACTCTACACTAACCTATAACCAATATCTTTACAAAATACGCCACGTAACATTCCATAGACACATATCAGGTTGTCCGGATATGAATGAGCTAAAGCGCCCAATTATGAAAATTTTGGCTCATCCATATTCGGACAACCTTAATATTAAAAAATAAAATAAAAAACTATAATAAAAATAATAATTAATTATAACTTTAATAAATAAGTTCTCATACATACACATAAATATAATACAGTAACAAAACTATACTCCATAACCCCGTAGCTGTACATTCATACTGGCACTATGTCGTCGTGTACAGAACCTGGCCAAAAGCAAAATTGAAATTGTTAGTGACACCAAGTTCCCTATAATCAATGCCATAACAACCTTTTTGAATTGTTCCTTCAGACGATTGCACGGTTTTTCGTCTTTGGATTCAACTGAAAATTAAAATCAAGAATATGTATTTTAAAGTTTACCCTACCTTACCCTTCACTATAATATCATACAAGTCAATATCCTACCCTACACTACCCTACTCGACTAGGCACGATCCTACCCTATCGTATCCTACCGTACCCAGCCATACTCTACCCTACTCTATTATATCCTACCCTAACTTACTGTGAGGATACACAAATGAAGCCATAGTAAATTCATCTGCTTTCACCGTGTCATCATTCTGTAGTTGTTGTAGCGACTCATCGTTACTTTGTACATTACTACCTAAGCTGATACCTTCATTATGATGAAAAAGATCATGATGTTGTTGAATAAGTTTTTCCAACTCGTCTTTTTCAATCTGATGACTCGGTGGAACGACTACTCCATGAACTTGATCATGGTTTAAGTTATAGTTGTCTTCAGGTGAACTTGGTGGTACAGTACTTTCTAAATTATTGTTTACTGTATTTTCTGGATCATACACAACGTTATGATTTGCTTCTTGATGTTGGTCACGTCCAATGACGTCCGGTAGATCAGATTTTTCCGTTTCTTTGACCTTTTGTTGATATTCACCATGACTTTGGCCTAAATTTTCATTGTTTGAGCCGAAATTGTCACTTTTAGCAGCTGTCATAAATAAATTATGTTCTCTAAAGTCTTTTTCATCGACTGGCTGATAAGTTTTGTCATTATCCAATTTCATTCCCTCAAACTTTCCAACATTATCCATAGTAGTCTGATATTGGCCATCATGGATAATATGTTGATATCTTTGTGCATTTTCCACCGTTCTATCCAATTTTTGACCAGTACCTTCATCAATATGTGTGCTATGACTATCTTGAGCATTGTAACCACTTTTATATCGATCATTGACATTATCAGCGTTTCTTTGATATCCGCCTTGATGTACAACAAGGGAATCTTTGATATTGTTCATGGCTTGATGTCCCATTGAAGTGCTTTTGATGTTGTTCAGCACTGTGTTTGTATCGTTCTGACTATAACTGCCTCCGCCGATTACTGTATTTGGCATGGTACTTCTTTCTATGTTCATAGTACCATCTTGGCCCATATCATCCATAGTACTAGTACCATCAGTACCAAGTCTAATTCTGTCAAGAATATTAAGCCTATTAGGCATACCATTGAGGCTACTACTTAAGGAAGTAGCTATCCTATCATTCGATTCAGCTCCAGGCCTATAATTTGATTCAGTACCAGGCCTACTACCAAAGTAAGTACCATGTCCACGTCGATACTCATTACCAGTGCCATGCCCAGCATAAAAATTGATGCCGGTATTACCACCTATAGTACTATGTAGCTCCTGGTAGTACCGTTGATCATCATAAACCGGATGTCCATTTGGAATGTCAAAAACTTTGTTTACAGACAGCTCGTCCTCCTCGAATTCCTCGTTTTTCGGAGCAGATAAAGTTGAATTCACTGTGAATAAAGTCTGAACGGCAGAACGTTTAGAACGACTTGAACATCTAGGTGGCTGAAATGTCAATATCAAGAACAATATTACCTAATTTACCACAAAACACTAGCAAAAACGGTAAAGAACTTATTTTTTAGACCAATTGTAGCTATATTATCAGTATTTATCGTTATATTCGCTAAAAATTTTACCACAGCTTGTTGACAAGCAGGATCACTCTTCGGACACATGTACAACAAACAGTTGAAGAACATTTTTGTTGATTCAGCAAATTTAAAAACCCGGCTGGCAGCAAAAGCAAAGTTCAAAGATGGATCATAAGTTAGGTCTGGTATTATCGTCTTGTCTTTGGAACATCTGGAAAGTTCAAAGTAAAAAATTGAACTTGATATTCTACCCTACTCTATGCTACCCTACTCTATCCCACCCTATCCTATCCTACTTTACTTTACTCTACCCTACCCTGCTCTACATTGTCCTACCTTACTATATCCTTATATTATACCATTTCCACCTATCCAACATCAAACAGAAAGAAAAACAAAATACCCGTGCCATGCCCCATCCATTCCCAAGAAAAATAATAAACCTACCCCTCCTCATCGATAAGTTTGTACTTTTTATCAGCACCATCATGCACAAAACAGTCGTAAACCTTGAAGGCAAAACTCGAATCGGCACATTTCCATTCGTGAAACACCTTATCACCAATTTTAGCATTCTGGGCTGGTGGTCCATTTAGCGACCCATACCTTAGCGAGTATTCACAAGATGGTCCACTTTGTCCACCGACCAGGTAGTTCCGAGCATACGTACTCACTTCCATTACTGTACCCACATCCTTGTAGTTACTGTAGTAGCGGCAGCTTAATGTGAACATTTGGTCGTCTTCTGTCATGTGAGTATGGTCCTTGCTTACTATTACAGTTAGGGTGTATTCTAGGCCAGAGCGGGGGTGTTGCTGAAAGTAGTAGTGTGAAAGTAATACGTATTATTTTTGATGAAAATAGTAATGTAAAATATATGGGCATATAGTACAGTAAATTACCTATAGAACAACCTTATCTTACCATTCTTTTAGACTTGATACCACAAGGTAAGAAATTGAATGGTATATCCAATGTTATCCTCTTTTCAAACTGAAAATATTTTTAAAATACTCTGTAATACAACCTGTATAAACATAATACCAGTCTACAGTACAAAATCATGCTAGTACTATATAGTACGAGCTTAAAATAATAAAACTAAAAATTTGTTTGTACTTCAGAATAATGTTTAACACAATTTGGATCGTTTCCATTCTTCCTCGCGTATATTCGACCATCCCAGCCTTCAATATTGTCTAATTCGATACCAATACTGTTCTCTAAACACCTGATGCGGGTATGACTTATAGCTGAAAAATGCCATTTTTAAAACTATGTACTTTAGTAAAGATTATATAAAAGGCTTCTGTATAGTATCCCAAATCATCATACTAACCAGCATCAACCTAGCTATCAAAGACAATGAACCATGACCAAATATAGTCATTCATACCCACATTATCCTACCTACCTGATCCGCTCCCAACAATCTTCCCAGTCTGATTCAACGCCCCGCCAACGTTCCAAAGCCACAATATTAACAGAAAAATCAGTAGCATAATCTTATAAACAGATCAACCGCATAAGACTCAACAAACTTTCCCTCTCCCTCAGAAGCGGCACTCAACCACCGATTTCCGTTTTGTTCCGAGAATCCCTTTAAACGACCCTCAATCATCTCCCGAATCCCATTCACAAACGAAGACAATTAAAAAACACACTCAATGTTGAACTGTAGGATCGGAGTGTAATCAATATTATTGTAGGTGTTAATTTGGATTATATTATCCATGATGAACCAGCCTGCACCTTCAAATAATTTTATTTCAGTCAAGACGGTAATATGAAAACAAAACTTTCAGTTGAAGACCAAAAAACCTATCATGACAAAAAATTCAGACCTCCAGCTATATATTCAAAAAAGCTACAACAAAAACAAACAGGTGCATCACACATTTTCGCCTAAAACATACAAGCCAAAAGTAAAAGTCAAAATTTATTTTTTAGGCAGTTGAATTTCGTTTTGAACTTTGGCTTCAGGCTCCATTGGATCAGGATGAATGTACATGTAGTGCAAAGGCGGGCATCTGTATCTTGGACCTCGAATCTGAAAATAAAAAGTAAAGTAAATCATTTGTGATACTTCGTGTTTTTACGCGCGAAAAAGTCGTTTAAAAGATATTTTTTCGGACTTTTTTCGGCCGAATTTTCCGCCTTGCTCTAATGATAACAAAAGAACATATAATACGTTTAAAAATAAAAACCATTCTAATTAACTTTTATTTTAGCTTCAGGAAGGCGTCCAATGCTTAAAAATGACGAATCAAGTTGCTACGCTCAAGTTCAACGCTGTTATCGAAGGAATCGACAAAGTTGGCTATTTCGTTAGTAAGTTTTACATTTTTTCTATATTTTTCTTGAATTTTAGAGAGATTGATAGGAGTTTCCGAATTCTACGCCAAGTCTACGTTGATTTTGACCATCAGCGAAGACAGTTTTGTGCTTTGCAAAGGTGTGGACAGCGTTTTATCCTCAACTATCACTGAGCTCTGGCTGAATAATGTAAGAAAATAAACATGAAAACACAGAAAGAATATGTCTTAATCGAAAAAGTAGTTATAAATTTTGATTTAGCAAATAGTGAAAATTCGTTAAAAGGACTTTTTTATCGGAAAATTGATACGGATTTACCTTTTTGACCAGAACTTTCTTCCAAAATTAGATAGAGATTTGAAACTTTCTGTGATTTTAGGTCATTCATTTAGCCAACTACCACAATGTTAAGATTTTTCAAATTCATACGCATCTTCAAATTACAGTAGATCTAGCAGGCCATTATTATATAAACCTTAGAAAATTATATAAAACTAACTTAATTCAAGAATTCAGAAGCAATGTTTCGACCAATATGAATTTATGGAGACAGAAAGAGGCCAGGTTTCATTTGAGATCGAATCAGACCAACTGAATGATGTTCTACGAGGTATAGAAGTTTACAAACAACGGGTTGATATGCTGAAGCTGAGAGTGGCACAAGTGGATTCAAACCTCTACCTACGAATTAAAATCCCAAATCTTAATGCTACACACGATATTAACACAGAGTTAAAGCCGCTGGCTGACCTAACCGAGTATCGGATGCCGGTGAACAATAAAGACTATGTAAGGAAGTTATAGTGGGTAAATTAACCTTGATTTCAGACCTCAGCAATCATCCCAGAGTCTGGTAAATTGGAGAGAATACTGACTGGATTCAAAAACATGGATCATCCGACTGTTGAGTTTCTGCTATGGGTTTCGAAAAAGCAATTGCGGATTTCTGGTTCTGATACGGACTGTTCTAGTACTATAATAATGAAGGATTTGGATGTTACTCAAAAGATAAATGGTAATGTCTTCTTCTGACTTAAAACAAAGCTCTTAAAGCTATTATTAAAGTCAGTAAAGTAGCGTTTAACTGTAAAAAGGGATTGTCCGTTGCAAAATGCGGAGATAACGTTATCGCCATTTTAAACTTTTTGAAAATTTCAGGTGAGGATGATGCAGATATACTAGACAAAATGAAAGTGCGGATAAGTCTTCAAAATTTGCATACTGTCCTAAAAGGCTTCTTGGATTCTCGAGAACCAGTGGAAGTTCGTAAGTTTTTTAAATTTTTAATTTAGAAATAAAAAAAAGTTGTAACAAAAATTAGGTGGTTGTCTACTATATTATAATTTATGATTTTCAGGGGTCACAAACCAAAACTCGGCCAGATTTGTTGTTCAAAAGACAGATGGTATTTTTACTCTACACCTATCTCACATTCATGATTAAATTCAGCTTTAATTTCCTTGATCTCCTCCACAAACCGGTTGAAATGTAAAATAAATTTTATATCAAATAAAGGTTTAAAAAACAAATTGTATATTGGCTAAAGCATGGAATGTAAGACGCTTACCCGTTGACACAGTATCACAACCAATATTATCGTGCTCCACAGTCCAATAAACACCCCGGCGACGATGAATGGCACGGTTTCGTCGGCGAAAAACGACTGAAAGCTGTCTTCAGTCATGTCAAATATGTAAAAATTGTGGTTTTAATGTTTTTTAACTTTATCTCAAATTTTCGTTTTTTGGTTATTTTATGTAAAAATTGATTTTATTCAAAGTTGCTGGCTAAAAAAATATCAGAGTCAATTAGAAACAAATCGTCAAAATCTACTTTATTACCTAAAATCATAAATCACGAAGATATAAAAACAAAATAGTAAAAATAAAATTTGTTACCTAAAAACTTTTCACGCAAAACAACCCTGGTATAAATTCATTTCCGATTAGACATGAGAAACGGACCGGCCTTGAGCAAAATTCCGATCGGGCCGGGCCTAACATTCAGGCCCGGCCCGTTTCCACGTAAAAAAAATTTAGGCCCGGGCCGGCCCTGACCAAAATTTCGATCGGGCCGGGCCTAACATTCAGGCCCGGCCCGTTTCTCATGTATATTTCCGATCCTTGAAAACACTTTGCTTCGATCCAAACCTCAAAAACCAAAATTTTTTCCACAAAAGTCCAAAGTTATCATCCTCAGTAAGCCAATGAAACCTGAAGTTTGCAAAAACTAAAAAACCGCGAAAAAAATTTGAAGCGAAAAAAATTTTCTCGTTACACAAAACAAAATTGATTTATCAAAGACCTTTTCAAGATCGAGCCAAAAACTCTCAAAATCGAACCAAAAACTCGGAAGCCAAAAATCCTTCAAAACACTCAAATTTAGAAGCTTATTCCCAGTCTGCCAACGAGATCCGCAGTCTGCACAAACTAAATTCCCGGCAAAAATGTCCTTTCAAATTGCCATCGCACCGAGCGAAAGAAATTCCTCAAAATCCTTTTCAAGAACGAGCCAAAATCCGCAAAATTCAATCCAATTCTCAAAAACCCAAGTTTTTATCACCAGCCTGCCACCGAAGTCCGCAGCCTACAACAAGCAAAATCCCGCGAAATAAGGCCGTTTGAAAACTCATTGCACCGTGCGAAAGAAATTTCTCAAAATCCTTTTCAAGAACGAGCCAAAATCCGCAAAATTCCTTCCATGTCTCAAAAACCAAAAAATTCTCTTGAAAAATCCAAGTTATTACCACCAGCCTGCCACCGAAGTCCGCAGCCTGCAAGCAGTAAAAACCCGCTAAAACCCCTTTCGAAATCGCCACTGCACAGTGCAGACGTTTTTTGACTCTCCAAAATCGTCGATTTTCTCCCTTCCGATTTTCCTCCAAAAATCTCAAAATCGAACGGGCCCGAAATGGCCTTTTCCAATCAAGTTTGGCCTGCACAGTGCAATCAATCGGGGAAACGAGAGAGCGCGCGATTTGGAGATAGGAAGTAGAGAAGAAAAGAAATCGCGAGAATAGATTGCGCAACTACGCAAAAAAGGAGGGACAGACTTGCGACAGGTGGGAGACTGTTGCGACAGGGTAGGGTGGTTAGAGAAGGTTAGAGAAAAACAAAAATGGCCAAATTTTGGAAATTTTGAGATCTCCAAATTTGTCGAAAACCCTTCGATCTTCGAAGAGGGATTTTTGACCACCAAAAAAAAGGTCTTGCACGGTGCAAACAAGAAAAGAGAGAGAGCGAAATTTGAAGAGAGTGGGCAGAGAAAGGTTGTGGCCGCGAAAATAACTTGCGCAACCATCCAAAAGGCAAGAGGCAGACTTGCGACAAAGAGAGAACAACGCGATGTGGGAGAGTAGCCAGAGAAGGTTAGAGAAAAACAAAAATGGCCAAATTTTGGGGTTTTTGAGAGCTCCAAATTTGTCGAAAATCCTTCGATCTTCGAAGAGGGATTTTTGACCACCAGAAAGGGGATTGCACGGTGCAATGGAATTTCAAAAGGCCCCCTTTTAGCGGCTTTTTGAACTCTGCGACCTGCAACATTGTGGCGCAGAGTGGTCGGGAGCTTGGCCCCCATTGAAAAATTCTTTTCGATTCCTTGAGCTTTCATAATTTTGAGAAAAATCAAAAGGCAAGAAATTGAGGGTTTTGGAGAGAATAAAAACGATTGTGTAGCGATAATTTGGAAAGGGATTTTTGGCGGTTTTTGCTTTTTGCAGCCTGCGGATTTCGGCGGCAGGCTGGTGATAACAACTCATTTTTCGAGAGATTTTTGGGTTTTTCGGGTTGAATTGAATTTTGCGGATTTTGGTTCGATTTTTTAAAAGGCTTTTTGAGGGATTTCTTTCACTCGGTGCAATGAATTTTCAAACGGCCTTATTTGGCGGTTTTTGTTTTTGCAGCCTGCGAATTTCGGTGGCAGGTTAGCGGCAATAACTTGGATTTTTCAAGAGAAATTTTGGGTTTTTCTTTTGCACGGTGCGATGGCACTTTGAAAAGAGATTTTTGCCGGGTTTTTAGGTTGTGCAGACTGTGGATTTCGTTGGCAGGCTGGGGATGTCTCTAAATTTTAGTGGTTTTGAAGAATTTTGGGCTTCCGAGTTTTGGGTTTGGTTTTGAGAGTTTTTGACTCGATCTTCAAAAGGACTTTGATAATTATATTTTTCACGGTGAAACGAGAGTTCAAATGAAGTTTTTGGCTTGTGCGGACTGTTTGGATTTTAATAGAAAGTATTTTAGTTTTTCAGGATTGGGTTGAAGCAAAATTTTTTCAGCGATAGAGCGTAATTTCACACGAAAAGTTTTTTTGTCTGACAAATTTTTAGGTAACAAATTCAAACTTCAATATTTAAGTGTGAAATCTTTGAGTTTTTAGTAACTTTAGGTAAAATTAAGCAGTCTAGCCAATTCTAGATAGCTGACGAAGCCAGTAGTAGAAAAAAATGTGCCTGAAAAGTTGTCCAAGCTCAATTCTCACCTCTAGAAGCCATTTTGTTAAAATCATTTTTTCGTGCTTAAAGCGACAAACAATAATGATAATTAAGGATGGTAAAGTCAGATCATATAATTTATTGCTTTCAAAGGCAGTTTTTCCTATTTCAGCTACTTGTGAACAAAGGACCAGTAAAATTTTGATGGTACATTCACACGCTTTTACATTCACTGGGCCCCGTCGCGAAAGCAATTTATGGCGTTCTGTCAATTTATTTTTTTTCCGAAATTTTTGGAATAAAATTGATTCGTTTGTTTGTTCGGTCGAGATGAATTAGAGAAAAATAAGATTGACATCTTCATGGCACTGGATTCAGAAGTTGTCAAGGTACGTTTATTAAATTTTTAGTGTTCTTTGATTTTAGGTATCGAATGATATAGTGAGTTATATTATCGGTGGGTTTTTTGTTGGAATAAGTTTTTTGTGAGGTTTTATATCTGTTAATTAAGCTCACGGACGTTGGATTTTATGTTATTATAAATTAAAGAAGGTTAAGATCGATTTTATTGACGTATTTTATTTCAGATGCTTGACGACATTGACTTACCTCATCACAATAAAGTTGACGTAGTCAAAAACGCGCGATTAGAAGCCCGTCAGCGGAAAAAGAAGAAGATTGCCGAGATTTTGGCGGATTCAAAGAACGACGAACAGCTGTACGATAACTTGAGTTATTTCCGCAGATTTGCCACGACATCAGGCGGCTTACTGGAACATGAGTTTAGATTGGCAATATGGCCGGTTTTGGCTAACACAATGCCTTATGCTGACGGTGTTTTAAAAGAGAAGAAGATTCGGATAGTTTGCGAACGGTTTCATGAATCTTCTTGTTCTGATTCCGATTTTTTCGAGTCGGCACGATCGAGTTTGTCTTTGAGTACGTCAACACAATTGGATTCGGAGGAGGATGAACCAACTGATGAGATAATATCGGTATGACATTTTTTATTATTTTGCTGTATAGTTAAGTTTAAATTGAAGATGTAGCTTTTTTTGAGGAGGCATATTACAAAAAGTAATTTACACGTCATTTTTCTATTTTAGACTAAAACTATTTCCTAAAATCGATAATATTTATTTTTTAGCCAAGCCCATCAATAGAAGACCTTCAAAAGCACGTTGAATGGAATCAAGTTGAGTTGGATGTAAATAGGACGTTAGCAAGGTTTCCACCTAACATATCAGAGACGGAAAGGTTAACTTTACAAGCGGATTTGAGCCCAATGATTGTGCAGTTACTCTACATGAATAGCAATTTTAGGTATTATCAGGGTGAGTATTTATTTTTTTTCTTGTTGATTTTTAGATAAAGAGGATCAATTTGAACCAAGTTATGGTGATATTGGGTCTGGTTGTGCTATAGATTATGGATAATATATATTTTAAAGTTTTTTGGGGATGTGACGCTTTGTAAAAGTTGTTTTTGTTTTTATTTTGAAAGTATGGTTTAATTTAACATGCAAAGCTACATTAAAGACTTAATTTACAGACTTCTGTGATATGAATAGTATAATATTTTGTCCTTTTTAGGATTTCACGACATATGCTTAACCCTATTACTAGCGTTAGATGTAGAAAAAGCGAAACAAGTGGCCAGGAATATATGTCAACGATCGTCGTTAAGGAATTACTTAACAAAGTCACTGGAAGAGTCTGCTTTAGCCGAACTCAACTTGATGTATGTTATACTAAATCACTGTGATCCACAGATTGAGAAGGTTCTTCGAGGCGCGGAGCTTGGCACATTGTTTGCTTTAAGCTGGCCTATCACTTGGTTTTCTCATTCACTTCGTTCTTTTGATCAGGTAAGGTATTTCGGGGGTTTTAGGGGGTGTTACACATGTTTTGAGGGATATTGTAGTTGTTTTGGGTGGATTTTTAATTGTTATGGATTTTATATACGAGGTTTATTGACCTTTTCGTTTTTAAAAGATTAAATTTTTTTTTTGATGTTTTTAATGAATAAATTGCCAATTTTTTTCAATTTTTATACAGAAATCAATGATAATATTGTTGTAGGTAGTATTATGTTTTGACATGTTCTTATCCTCTCATTATTTGATGCCAATTTACGTAAGTGCCGCATTAGTGGAACATAGACGACAAGAAATACTGGTATGCGAGCCGGAAATGCCATCACTTCATCATTTACTCAACAACGTGCCAGCCAATATTGATATACAATGTGTACTGGAGAGAGCTCAAGAATTGTACAATCTGTATCCGCCGAGCTTAGTACAAGGTATGTTATGGGGTTTTTATGATTTAAGTAGAGCAGGGTAAATAAAAAAATTTTGAAATTAAATTTTCAATTTTGAAATTAAAATTGAATTTTTCAGGACCATATCTACGTGATTACGAAGCGCTATGTATCCGAGAAAAGTCGAATCAAATGCGGTGTCAACAACAACCCCCACTACAAAGGCATAATGCCTTAGGCGCTCCATGGCTTGTAATGGGAACGGCCGCTGCCGGAATGGCGGCCTACTGGATGTTGTCAAAATACACCACTGATATATCGTCGTTGTTATAGGTGAGGAATCTGAAGAAGTAACTGCGCTTTGTTAGTATTTTTTCAAATTAAAATTTTTGAAAAAATCAATTTTACAATTGATTTTTTGGACTTTTTGAGCAATGTTTGATCAATTTAGCGCAGTAAATTGGTATAATACGATTATAGTTGCATTTTTTGTTACCTAAAAGTTAAACTTTTGATCTTGTTACCTAATTATGTATTTTACAAACGTTTTTTTTTCTAGAAGTTAAACATTTTAAACATTTTAATTCAAAAATCATGGCGAACGAATAAAAAACGTGAAACATAATTGGATTACAATCAGCGAAATAAAGAGAACCTTGTTTCAGGTAAACGGGAATGGTTATGAAGGCATTGGGTACAGCTCGTCACATTCCTCGACTCACTCTTCCATCTGTGACTGGGATGATCAACATCTACTGATCAAACACGTCTAGTCGATTGTAAATACACTCATTTTGTTTCGTGTTTTTTGAGTTTGTTGGACTTGGGCGGGGTAGAAAGGGGGGAGGTATTGAGAATTTTTTTTTGAAAAGTTTGATTTTTAAAGGTTTTTATTAGGACGGGAAGTTTCTTATCTAAAATTGTCCAAAAGCTTTTCTAACTCGAAATTTAATACCTACTTGTCTGATCCAACAATTTTGTATCGATATGTATTGTCCAATCCTACAATATTCATATAGATAGGGGACGATCTGATGCTAGAATACTGTATTGCCAATTGTTATCGAATGTTACAATGAATGTAATTTTATGTTCCGACATGAAACTCGACTGTTTCGAGCTATGCAGAACGGCTGAGTCGAATTTCAAAGAGTATTTTACAATTTTATTAAAGATTAAAGTCTAAACTAAACAACATCGTACTTGTTATCTCGCTTTTGATGCTATTATACCTTGAATCTGAGGTTTCATTACTTTTTCATCGTGAATCGTTCCGTGAATCTTTATGCATTTGAAGGATTTGATGTTGTTTTGATTGAGGACGTGTTAAAATTTTGGAGCTCTTTTGTTAATTACCTAATTTTAGTCATTTGGATAGAGGCCTTAGACTTGGATTTTAAGGGTCGTAAGGTAGGGTGGAGTACAGTGAAGTAAACTAGGGTATTTTAGGATAAGGGAGAAACTTATACTCAAAAAATTTAGCAGATAAAAGGCTTTGCCTCGCAGAAAAATCTAATGGGATCCCAGCACTCGCAGTCATTTGTTGGGTCGTTTTACATCGAGGCAAATATTATATAAAACAACAATATAACATAAGAAAACGTTGCGCAATAGCATTTCTTGCAATTTCTCTAAGGCTATCTAGTTATATCATTCATATTAGGTAATAACACATTGCGTAAAATCTTTTATTCATCATGCTGTTTTTAATATATATATATACATTGAGCCTGTTCTATAGGCAACGGCTCGGACTACTTAAAGTTTAGGTTATTTGGGCTTAGCCTGAGGAGGCTTGGGCTTAGGAGACAGGCTTAGTAGGGCTTTGGTTTCTAGGGTTAGGCCAAATATTTTTTCACAAAAAATATTTTATTATTAAGACATCTAAATTTTGCTCTAAAATACGTTACACTTTTGTTTGGGGTTCATTGCCGTTCCAACAGGGCACTTCATGGCTTCGGCGAAGCCGTCCAAGTGTTGCATTATCTGATTCAACCTGGAATTGAAAATATTTTTGAAAATTGAAAAATTTGAGAAAAAACTTTAATTAAGCCCCTATAATTACGTTCTAATTAAACCTCTATAACTAATTAAACCTTGTTTCAAAGAACGCACTTTTAGAGACGCGGTAAAAGGCGTGAAGACGGTTTTTGATATGATTTATGCTTAAACTGTTTGCATTGTAACAAGTTATTTTGCCCCGCTTTTAATTTACCGCTTCGCTTGCTTTGGGTTGTGCTTTTTGTGATTGTTTAAAACTGTAACTCACCGTTGGTTTGGCTCCGCGCACTCACTCTGAAATTGGAAGGGATTAGGTTTGGAGGCGTACTGTATTTTGTTCTATGGTTTTTTGTTTTTTTTGTGAAAAGGTCCGTGTTTGGAATTGGCTTAAACTTGTAATATATGTACTAATGTACTAAGTTGTACTGCGAAACAGAGGCAGAGGGTCAATTTACATGAGAGAGTAGGTTTTTTTTTCAAAAAAAAATTTTATGGGAGGCGTGGGAAAGGGGTACAGAAAATAACCGATATTAGGCTGGTATTTCAACAGAATAAAATCTCTTAACTTACCGTACTATAATCCAAGTAAAACAGTTTTTGGCTGCTAAATTCTCCCAGTCCAGGCAATGATACCATATTGTCAGGTTCCTTAAATACGTTGATATAGCTTGTGTGCAAAATAAATTCAACTTTTTTTTCTAGCTCTGGCAGAGGCTTTTTTATTTTTTTAAAATTTAAACTTTTTTGTGGTTTCAAAACTTTGATTTAAAAAAAATTTTGGAATTTAAAAAATTTTTGAACTTACCACTTCAATGCTCTCAAAAGCGCAAATAGTATAGAAAAGCTGTTCTGGATCAGTTGATTTGTTCTTAAAACACTCCAATTTGGAGTTGATAACAGAGTGGGTTTCTCGATTCAATCGCTTTAGGAAATCTGAAAGCTTGTGGCATAAAAATGAGTTTTACATAAGTTTTCCTTCCCATTTTTAAAAAATAAGCTTGAATTGGAGGGGGGGGAAGAAAAAAAATTGAAGAGCAGGGGAAAGACTATGTGAATTTTTAGTAATTGTCTCTCTTGAATTGACTTACCAGGCCCAAACAAAACTTTATAAATCAGCGAACTAATGTATATGTCCTTATGAAGCTGATTCATTCCTTCTACTTTGATAATAGTTGATGGGCTGAGAACTGAAAATGAAAAATTTTTAAAAGTAAACAAAAATAGATGGTAGGCACAAAATGATAAAAAAAATTGTGGTTTAGAGGGGTAATTAGACCTGTAAGGGGGTCGGGACAAGGCCAACTTTTCAGCCAGGCTCTTTTTAAATTTGCTGCGGACAGTGACCGAGCCTGGTAGGCTCTTTTTTAGATCTAGGTGGGATAAAAAGTAGAACGTACTCAATTCCGAGGTGTCTGTTATATACATTGACGTATCTTTCTCCAACAAACCGGTCCATTTTTCGTTTTCTAAGATTGAGTTTGTTCTGAAATGAAATTTATAAAAAAGTCTTGAAACAGAGCACGTTTTTTGATATCTACCCTACCTTTTTTTAAATTTTTGTGTTACCCTACTTTAAAGTTACCCGCTCGCCATTTTACATAACTTACTGTGCATTAATTTGTCGTAAAATCATGACATTTTCGAAATAAGAGGTTGGATCGAGTCGTTCTTTTTTGTAAATCTCTCGAATTTTCTCCCAATTTACAGTATCGAAATTAGTTACAGTAATTGAATCTAAAGTTTCAAATAGCGTCTCTTTACTTTGATAGTCAATCCAATCGACAGCTTTAATTTTGCGTAGAATGCGAGACTTCATCTCGGTTAGTTCTAGCTAAAAATAGATTGTTTAGGGTAGGGTTGGGAAGAGTAGAGTAGGGTATTATTAATTAGGTGGGCATGGCAAGGTGAGGTGGAGTAGGGTAGGGCAGGATAGTGCTGGTTAAGGAACTTACACCCCGCTTAACAGTACTCTTGGTCATTTTCTTCGAAAACTGTAGTAAAGGTACGGGCAAAATGTGTTTTAGTTCGTCAACACACTGTTTCCATCTCGGTTTTATGTCATCGTTCAGGTCTTTGAGATGTCTTCTGTATTTTCTAGATAAAGATGGAGCCAGTGACAGTAGGAATCGCATCATCTGGTAGTTTATCGTTGTTCTGAAAGTTCATTTTTGGATGATTTTAGTGTATAATTTGATTGTTTTTAGGCTTGAATGGTTGCGAAAAAGGTATTTTAAAGTTTAAGTGGTCTTACTCCAAATCCTCATTGAGCTCATTAAGCTTTCCAAGGTAGGATGGATTGGCGTTGACTGATCGTTTCATACCTAAACTCTTGTCATCACCAAAAAACACTTTCCACTCGACGTGAGGATAGTCTAATTCTAGCGTCCTGCCTTTGATTTTCACAAACAAGCCCTTGTTTTTAGCCTGAAAATCAGTTTCTAAAACTTTGAGGTTTTATTTAAAATTTTAAAAGTTTGCTTTATTATCTTTGAAATGTAAAACACATTGAATACTGATATTCAGGGACGTCGTTTGTACCCTCCCCCTCCAGAGCCGATCCGAAAAAAATTCCACAGGTAGGTACCTGTACGCGGAAAAACGAAAAAAAAATTTTGAAAAAATCGGTCCACAGGTACCTGTGGACCAAAAAAAATTTTTTCGACCTTCTCCCCCCAGAGAAAAACCGTAGCGACGTCCCTTCTGATATGGTTAAAAACTTTTTATATTCTCTTACCCTGATAAGTTCCTCTTCTAGCCTTAAGACCTTTTCCACGGCGACTTGAGCCAAATCTATGTCTACGTCCATTTCCGTTAGGAGATTCAAGAAAAATTCATGTAGATTCTGCTCTTTGTAAGTTTCTTGCATGAATTTTGGGGTTGATATCTAAAATGTAATAGTGGTCACTTTTTTAGAAATTTTTTCTGTCGTTCTGCTTTTCTGTTCGTAAAATATCGTAAAGTAGGATAGGTCAGGGTGCCACAGTATGGTAGGGTAGGGTAGAGTGAAGTAGGATATATTAAGGGTAGGGTAAAAGCGGTTGAGTATATCATTTTTGAGAAAGGCTATTACTTACAGTATCGTCCTTGACAAAAATCAAAGTTTCAGTGCCATATTTGTGCAATTCCATTTCCAACTTTTCAAATTCCACACTTTCATTATCAAATTTGGCATTCTGTAGCAAGTGCCAACCGCCCAACTTTGATATTAGGCTTGAGAACTCGATTAGGTCCTGTAAATTCAATATTAAAAGAGATATTAGGTTTTTTCGATGGTTTACAGAAAGCAAAGGTAGTAAAAGTTTTGAATGTGGTAAGGCAGGGTAAAGTAGTATTTCTTGTGGGAGGAGATATTGGGGTGACTTACTAATTGATTTTGATATTCCTCGTTCATACACGAGTCATAGTAGTCAAATAACAATCGCTGAGGTGTAGGGAAGCTGGGTCTTGGCTTTTCTTCTAGTCTTTCTGAAATCAGAACAGTAATTTTGTCTAAATTATCTTTATGAAATAATTTATGTAGTTCATGATTTACCTTTAAGTATGTTATCAAAGCTGGTGTCTAGTATCTGGTCTATAACTTTGTGCCCACATGAATATTGATAAAAGTCCTTGCATGGATCTATCGTTTCGTCTAGGCTACTCAGAAGTCGTCCGGCTAAAACGAATTTAGGTATTGTATGGTAAGGTAGAGAAGGGTAGTTTAAGGTAATATAGGGAAGAGTAGGGTAGGTAGTGTAGTGCAAGATAGGACATGATACTCACAATGTACGATGCAATCCCGGGACAAGCACGTTTTGTCGTCGTTCTCGACGGTCATTTGAGTCTTTTCTCCACAATAACTGTAGCCGTCCGTCAGGAAGGCTATGCCTACTATAACACATACGATGACGGTAATCATGGTTAAGAAGATTGGGATTAAAACAGTCGCAACTTGTTGTATTGGCATCGGTTTCTTCACCATTGGTACTCTGAAATTAAGGCGTATGGTTAAAAATGGAATTAGGGTGACTAGGGATAATATGATATAGTACATGAGCTCAGTTTAGTATGAAAATGTCGTTGGTACTAACTTACGTTCGTTTGAAAATCCTGGAGAATGTAAAGTTAGGATTGAAGAATATATTGGGCTTGTCATTTGGTCGTGGACGATTTATCGGTGGGGGTGGAGGTACTGGCAGCCTAGGTGGAACACTGTAATATTTAGTTACATAACGTTACAAATAATTAAAATTTTTGAAAAAACAAAATTTTTAAACAAAATTTTCAAAAATTTCAAAATTCACTTCCTCAATCCCAACCTCACATTAAAAAACTTACTGTGGCCTGGAGTAATCGCCTCTATCGTGCATTAAGCTCGAAATGAGCGGTTATTCTCGAGCTTCAGCCCCGCCGAGAGTGTGGCCATAACTTAAAGCGAAATGCGCGCTGCCACTTGAACTTGAACACCAACTGCCTCGAACACTGTGACCACTTTAATAACAATGTCCAGCTAATCAAAATATTACGTTTTGATGTTGTTGAGTGCTTTGGGCGATTAAAATCGGGCGGGGGCGGGCTTTAGGTGGTTTTTTCAAAAAATTTTTTACCCCTACGCCTACCCTTACTTCTACCCCTACCATACCTGTATTCTGACCCTTACCTCTACAGTAACTTACGTTACCATATCTTTATCTTTAACCTTATAGTATAACCTGCTCCTTGAGTTTTACATTACTCAACGTGCTGTACGTGCTTTTAAAACTATTTCCTATATTTCAAATTTTTTTAAATCAAAATTTTAAAATTTAAAATTTCAGAGGCCATGAGTCGCCAGTTCGTTCGTTCAGTGATAAAGAACCTAAAAGGCGAAGTATGTCATCTGATGAGTAACTCACTGAAAGGCCGCGAACATGAGATGTTTCACAGTCGATTGGAGAAGAACTTTGCCTACAACATGGGGGATGGTAAGTGTGCTCGAGCAGCATTGGGCATGGACATCTACAACGCATTGTGTCCCACGGCTACAGAAGAAGACAAAACGAACGCTGCCAAAGTTTGTATCACCAATGAGTTGGTAGGTTGTTAAAGTTGTTAGGGTGAGGTACGGTAGTCCTGGGATAGGGTAGAAATAACTCAAGGCGGGAAAAGACATGACAAGGTATGGGTCTGATACAGTAGAGTAAAGTAGGGTATGGTATGCTAGGTCAGGGTAAAGTGAGGTATGGTAGAGTATGTAAGGGTAGTTAGGGTAGGCCTTAGCACTCTATTTTAGGCTTAGAACACTATTTAGGCTTAGTACACTATTTTAGGCTTAGAACACTAGTTTAGGCCTAGAACAAATCTTTAAATTTTTTTAGGTTTAGTATACATTTTTAGGCTTATTTTACGAATCTTTTAGCTTCAAACCTTCCTATTAGTTACCGATGACATAATGGACAATGCCACAACGAGAAGAGGTAAGCCTTGTTGGTACAAGTTGGATGGAATAGGCTTATCAGCTATCAATGACGGTCTTTTACTCGATTCTGCTATCGACCAGTTGATACGAAGTGTCATATCTAACCACCCGAAAAAGGATGCTATTTTAAGGGACGTAAATGAGGTAGGGTGATTTTAATTTTGAAAATTTCAAAAAAATTTTAAAATTTACAATTTTTTTTTAAATTAAAAAAGAAGTATTAACACTTCGAAATTCAATTTTTTTGTATTTTTAGACCAAACGTGTCACAATCATCGGCCAAACCCTGGACTCCCTAATGGCCGGTATCGACGGTTGCACTTGGGAACGATACAAACAAGTTGTTGCTCACAAGACGTCTCATTACACATACTTACTACCACTTCAATTAGGCTTCCATTTGGCCGACCGAGTGGACTATAAAGAGTTGGTACCACTAATGTATCGATTGGGATACCTTTCCAGGCTCAAGTAAGTTGTTTTTAACGACAATCCTCTATTAAAACTGAGGTCAGACTTGCTAAATATGACTTGAAAATGCCTAAAGTAATATAAACCAATGAGATCGTTTAAAGTAATGTAAACCAAAAATTGAGATTGCCTAAAGTAATATAAATGTCTTTTCAGGACGACTATCTCGACATTTTTGGCGATCACACAATCACAGGCAAAACCCCAACGGACATTGCTGAAGGCAAATGCACGTGGATAAGTTGCAAAGCTCTGGACATTATGCGAGACCCAAAAACCAATCAAAACCTGCTAAAAGAATTCACTAACAACTTCAACAAGGAAGACGACAAATGTGTAGCGCGAGTCAAAGAAATCTTCACGGATTTGAAACTGGACTCAGAATTCAAAAAGTTCGAAAAGACGGAATCGGATGAAATGGAGAAGTTACTGGAGCAAATCCAAGTTAACGAGGTTCGGCCGATCCTTCAGGACACGCTAGCCCAACTTTCCGGCCGCAAAAACTGATCTTACAGCATATAGAGTAGTGAAATCTTATGTATCTCATTCGTATTTTTAATAAATTTACCAGTGATTGATTGAACCTTTGTTTTTTGAGCTTGTTTAACGGTTTTTCCATAACTTTTTTATATTTACTGATGTCCAAACCTCTTTTTCAATCCAAACTCCAGGAACATTGCGCATTCATTGAGTCCCGCCACGAAAACAATTGTGGCATTCTCCTTCAAAAGCGAAAAATAATTTCGCAAAAATATCTTTCGGGGTTTTTATATCTACTTTATGTTAATATTAATAAGAACTTGTTATAATTTATAAAATGGACGACCTGGAGAAACTAGAACATTTGTCCTTGGTGTCTAAGATTGTGACAGAGTTAGAGAATCATTTTGATATCAACGATAAAGATGTCGCCGAGTTTATAATAAGTTTGGCCAAAGAGAATCCGACGTTTGACAAGTTCAAGAAGGCGTTGATTCAGTTTGATTTAGATCAGGTAAGTCTTTTTCTTCTGTTTCTTGGTTTTAGGTATGAATGTGGATTTGGTTGATGTAAAATTGAGTTTGCTTATAATTTTTCTTCAAATTGAATAAAGTTAATATTTTCAGTTTAATGACAATCTTATACAACATTTGCTGCGTCTTGTAGTGACAATGGAACCAAAGAAAGGGACCAAAAAGCAGAAATCTCCGCCACGTGAAAAGCACAAAGAAGAAGATCCGGATCATTTGTTTAGGACGATTGCCGATGAAAAGGAGGATTTGAAGAAAATGTTACCTGCTTTAGCTATGCCAAACGAACCTCAACAAACTTCGGAGAGTTTATTGAGTGAGTTGGAGAGTCTGATGCCGGCTTGGAAAGGAGAACAAGATTCTAAGAAGCGAAAAAGAAGCAGATCAAGGAGTCCACAAGATAGAAGAAGGTCGAGAGAACGTGATCGTAGAAGGGATTCTAGGGCAAATGGCGGTAGAAGACGATCAAGATCAGGTGACAGAGATAGACGGAGGTCAAGATCTAATGACAGAGACAGTAGAAGAAGAAGAGACAGATCAAGAGAACGAAAATATTCACCCAGAAGAGATGACAGAAGGAGAAGATCTCGAAGTCCGAGGAAACAAAAATATTTTGAAGAAGTTGAAGTTGGCCATATTTATGAAGGAAGAGTAAATAATATTCAAAGTTTTGGAGCGTTTATTCAAGTAAGCTTAAAAAAATATTATTGAATTTTAGTTTTTAGGTTACCTTTGGAAGTTTTCGTTTTGCTTTCTATAATAAGTCTTTTATTTTTAGTTAGACGGATTCAGAAGCAAAACCGAAGGCTTATGCCACATTTCTCAACTTCGTGATGGTCCCAAGATCAAAGAGGTGACAGAAGTCGTGAACCGTGGAGATCGAGTAAAGGTGAAGGTCCTCAAAAAAGGCGAGAAAATCAGTTTATCTATGAAAGAAGTTGATCAACGAACTGGAGCTGACTTGAATCCAGTAGAAGCTCCGTTGTCTGAGGACGCGATTGGTGTAGCCGACCGACGTCCAGATGCACCATGGATGAATCCGGAACGCGACTCTGCCGATCCTGTAGCTGCTGTAGCATCTTCGAGTAGGTCCAGGGTGAGGTTGTCAACTCCAGAACGATGGGAGTTACAACAAATGAAGGGTGCTGGAGCTATCACGATGATGGACTTCCCAGACTTTGACGAAGAAAAGGGAATTCTGAATAATCACGATGAATCGGATGGAGAGGACCTGGAGATTGAGTTGGTGGAGGATGAGCCGGCTTTTTTGAAAGGTTTTGGCAAGCATGTACAAGAGATTGAGGCTGTTAAGGTGGGTTTATACCTAAAATAATGTTGTTTTGAACTTGATGTTAAAAATTCTTTGTTTTTATTGAATTCTACGGACTATTTTGACCGTTTTAGTTTAAACTTTTAAAAAAATTTAGGTAGTGAAAAACCCGGATGGAAGTTTAGCTCAAGCTGCTCTAATGCAAGGAGCTTTGTCCAAAGAACGCCGTGACATGAAGATACAACAACAACGTGAAAAAGAAGGTCAGAAGCCACGCGGCGGAGTCACTGGCTCTAAAATCCTCGACCCAATGGCACCAAACGAAAGCCGACACGAAGAGGACGAGCCGGCGGCCCCAAGTCGAGGACGTGAAATGCCAGAGTGGATGAAACACGTGACAGCTGGCGGTACCGCCACATACGGCAAGAAAACCAGCTTATCAATCAAGGAACAACGTGAATCGTTACCTATTTTCCAACTCAAAACCGCATTACTTCAAGCCATTCACGACAATCAGATTCTGGTCGTAATCGGTGAAACCGGATCAGGAAAGACGACTCAAATGACACAATACCTGGTGGAAGCGGGCTACGGAGCACGGGGTCGGATCGGATGTACACAGCCGAGGAGAGTGGCCGCAATGAGTGTGGCGAAGAGAGTTAGCGAAGAGTTTGGCGTACGATTGGGTCAAGAAGTCGGCTACACGATTCGTTTTGAGGATTGTACATGGTAGGGTTAATGGCTTATTATGTGGGAATGGTGAGGTAAAAAATGAAGAATATAATTTTTTTTGTTATCATTTTAAAAATTTAAAATCCGATTTCAGCTCCGACACGATAATCAAATACATGACGGACGGTATGCTCCTACGTGAATGCCTCCTCGACCCCGACCTCATGTCCTACTCATGTATCATGCTGGACGAAGCTCACGAACGGACGATCCACACCGACGTACTGTTCGGCCTGCTGAAGGCGGCCGTTAAGAAGCGGCCCGAACTCAAACTCATCGTAACCAGTGCTACGCTGGAGATGGAGAAGTTTTCGGAATACTTTTTTGGCGCCCCAACGTTCACGATCCCCGGCCGAACGTTCCCCGTCGAGATATTGTACACAAAAGAACCGGAAACTGACTATCTGGATGCAGCTCTGATTACCGTGATGCAGATTCACTTGACTGAGCCTCCAGGCGATATTTTGGTATTTTTGACCGGTCAAGAGGAAATCGACACGGCTTGTGAGATTCTGTTTGAGCGGATGAAAAAGTTGGGCAGTGAAGTGCCGGATCTTATCATTCTACCGGTTTATGGTAGGTTATTAAGATTTTACTATGGTTTTTGATGTTATTTTGATTTTGGTTAAAAGTTGTGTTTTTGATCAAAGTTATTATGTTTTCTATTAAAATGTTAAATTTTTTGAATAAAAACACTATTTTCAGGTGCCCTACCAAGTGAAATGCAGACCAGAATCTTTGAGCCAGCACCGCCAGGCCAACGAAAAGTTGTGATAGCCACGAATATCGCCGAAACCTCTCTTACAATCGACGGTATCTACTACGTGGTTGACCCGGGCTTTGTAAAACAAAAGATATACAACCCCAAGTCAGGCATGGACTCACTGGTCGTCACTCCCATCTCTCAAGCCGCCTCGAAACAACGCTGTGGACGTGCCGGCCGAACCGGACCCGGAAAATGTTATCGATTGTACACGGAACGAGCGTTCCGCGACGAAATGCTACCCTCCCCCATTCCCGAGATCCAGCGAACCAATTTGGCATCCACCCTCCTCCAACTCAAGGCCATGGGCATCAACAACCTACTAGAGTTTGACTTTATGGACGCTCCACCGGCCGAAGCCATGATCACAGCTCTCGCTCAACTGTACGATCTCTCCGCCCTGGACGACGATGGCCTTCTCACCAGGCTTGGCCGAAGAATGGCCGAATTCCCGTTAGAACCGTCCCTATCGAAACTTCTCATCATGTCGGTCGACTTGAGCTGCTCGGATGAAGTCCTAACCATTGTGTCGATGTTATCAGTACAAAACGTCTTCTATCGGCCGAAAGAGAAACAAGAAATGGCAGACGAGAAAAAGTCCAAGTTCCATCAACCTGAAGGTGATCATTGTACTTTGTTGGCCGTCTACAACTCGTGGAAACACAATCATTTCAGTCAGAGCTGGTGCTTCGAGAACTTTATTCAAGCCAGAACGTTGAAAAGAGCTCAGGTAAGAGTTTTTTAAGTTTTTGAGGAATTTGTTACCTAAAATTTGCTTTTTGATTTATATTAAATTTAAAAAAATAAAAAAGTGCTACCTAAAATTTTCAAAAATGTAGTAGTATTTTAACCTTTGTATACTAGCCAAGCCTATTCTACCCAAAAATCCACATACTACAACATTAATTTTTAGGACGTGCGAAAACAGCTCCTAACCATCATGGATCGCCACAAACTGAACATAATCAGCTGTGGGCGCGACGTGCAACGTGTCCAAAAAGCCATTTGCTCGGGCTTCTTCCGAAACGCCGCCAAACGCGACCCCCAAGAAGGCTACCGCACCTTGGTCGATGGCCAAACCGTCTACATTCACCCCTCCTCGTCCCTATTCCAAAACCAACCCGAATGGGTGTGCTACCACGAACTGGTCATGACCACCAAGGAGTACATGCGCGAAGTCACGCTGATCGACCCCAAATGGCTAATCGAGTTCGCCCCCTCCTTCTTCAAGTTCGCCGACAACACCAAACTCTCAGCCTACAAAAAGAACCAACGCATCGACCCGCTGCACAACAAGTACGAGGACCAGAACGCGTGGCGATTGTCACGGCTCAAGAAGAAGATCTACAACCCCAATCGTTAATTTATTCATATTTTTGGTCCGGAGGGACATTGTTGGCCGTTTTGGCCTACATTATTGTAGATATATACGTCTTTTCGAATAAAAAAGTACGAAAAGTTTAAAAATAAACTGACCCTATCAAACACGTAACTTTTAAATCAAAAAGCTTATACAAAAGTTATGGATATTAACCATGAACAAGCTGTAAGCTCATTGAACTTCAGCCTACACAGAATTAGAGTTTACTGACAATATATACACAATTTACTCAGAATAAATCACGACAGAGCATGAGAAGGTTTATCCCGATCCAGTAAAGTACTTTTTGATCTCGGCAACGTCGACGTAGTTTGAGAAAGTGGCGGTTGTAAATGGCACAATTTGTCCGTCCGTAGTGAAATCGTAGTTTTTTGAGCCCTGAAATTAGAAGAATAGAGCTGAAGAGCTTGAAATTTCAAAAAATGCCAAAATTTTGCAAAAAAAAATTTTTAATTTAAAAAATATTTAAAATCCAAAAAATTCGTCCCAACTCACCACAATTTTTTGCTTCAAGGAAACAACTGCAGTATCTGGGAGCAGTCTTTCGATTACCGGCTCATCAATCACTGGGTATCCCTTGATCCCAATCAGTTTACAAATCATATTCATGATGACACGCCTCTCAGCAATGACAATCACTGCATCCACCCTGTTCTCCTTCACGATGGCATCAATTGTGTTCTGATTCCGTGTAGCCAAAACTTCGTCAGTGATGGGGGTGGTGACACGGTAGGTGGGGGATTGGCAGCTCTTGTAGAGCGGGTTCACACGGTAATTGGCCTTCTCAAAGTCGCGAATTGACATGTAGACGAACCGTTCGTGGCCGTCGACGGTTGTTAGGTTGTCCAGGCCATGTTCAATGTTCACCCCACCATCAATCAAGACCTTGGCGATGATGGAGCCGGTTTCCACGCATGCCAACGCTGGGGCTGAGTAAATCTTGGTGACGGCCTGGCGTGAACGCTTCATCGAAATGGCCATTCGATAGGCTTCGGAGGCGCCCCCTTTGGTCAGTGGCGGGTCGTACTTGAAGCATTTCAGGCCCAATCGTCGTGACGGTACTGAGTCCGGCATGTTGGCGTTGTACTTGTGATAGACGCCGTACTTGTTGGATAATACGTGCCATGACGGAAAGATGGATTTGACGTTTTCGCCGGGCGTCATAAACAGTACCGTGCTGGTCGCGTCCTTTATCACTGGATTGTACTAAAATGTCAAAAAATTAATCACATTTTAGTAATTTAAGTCTCATGCTTAAAAGGCATGACATAACAAGCTTAGGATTAGAAAATATAGGCTTAGCTCAACAAATTTTTAAAAAGCAGCCATTTATATTAAAAAAACAGGTTCAAAACTCACATCAAAGAAGAAAAACTTTTCAATTTCTTCCCTCAGTTCAGCGTAATCTTCGTCTTCGGCCGCGCCGTTGATTTCATCTTTCTCTAAAAAATATGTCATCGTTACACAAAGGTAATAATATTCTTCTATACCCTCCCAAAGTAATAGCTTTAAACATTCAATATAAAGACTTATCCCTATAAAAACTACCATACCCTTATCATCTACACCTGACGATTCAATATTGGTGTCTTTGACAATTTTCTCCGCCGTACCTACGCTCGGTTTCTTCTGTTTTACAGACTGAAATACGACATTTAAGAAGGTTAAACGAATAAAAAGTTAATAATCTACAAAAAATATAGTTTTAGGCTCAATTGTACTAACGGCTGTACTAGCGGCCGATTTGGCACGAGTTTGCCGCTTGCTCTTGGTGTTTGCCATTTTCTTCTGCTGGTCCTCGTTCACATCTTCATCGGGTTTGGGAGCGGCCGGTGTTGGTGGCTTCTTGTACTCTTCAATCTTCTTTTCCGCCGCCGGCGACACAGCATCGTCCTTTTGTGCCGGAGATTCTGGTTTTTGTGCTGGAGACTCAGGTTTTTGTGCCGGAGACTCGGGTTTTTGTGCTGGAGATTCAGGTTTTTGGGCCGGTGATTCAGGCTTTTGGGCAGGTGATCCGGTTTTTTGGCCAGGCGCTTGGGACAATATTTTCGAAGCATCCTGAATTTTGGACGGTTTTTCAAACTCTGCTGGCTTCAACGCGTCCTTATTCAAGGCGTTTGCTGGCACTGGCAAGAGCTTCTTGCTCGCACCTGAAAAAAGGTGAAAAAAATTTAACCATGATTTAAGCCTAAAGCTAAAAAGCCAAGTTTAAAGCTAAAAAAGGTATGTTCAAGACAAATTTTTAAAAAATAAAGAAAAGACATGGTCCCTTGCTGAAATGGAAAAAAATCAAGTTTTGTTACCTAAAACAATGTAAAAATAACGATTTAAATAAGGTTTTACCTAAAATAACAAAAGAATGACCATTTAAAGCCTATACGCGTTAAAAAGAATTTTTGTTACCTAAAATAGTAAATAAAATTATCAGAACACAAAGACATTCATCTCAAATTTTCCAAAAATAATATTTATTACCTAAAATTAAAGTTAATAAAGCAATTAGTCGTGATACCACAGGCTGTAAATTCTTATACTCAAAAATACTGTCAAAAAGGCAATAGGTCATATAAAAAAGGTCAAAACTCACCATCCTCCCCATCCGACGAACTTGAAGATGAATCCTGGTTGCCGACGTTAGCAGCTGGCAATCCCTTGGCCGCGGCTTTCTTCGCTTCTTCTGCCTTTTTCTTTTCATCGTCCGCCTTTTTTCTAGCCGCGTCGCCCCATTTCAGCTCAAAGTTAAACTTTACTGGCATGTCCGACCGGTCGCAAAGACGAAGAAGATTAAAAACTGAGAAATTCGAGAGTTTCAGTTGGTCAACCAACAATTTCACAACTCAAAATTATCATAAAATCGAATTTTAAGGAAAAATATTATTTAATTATTATTTTAGCCATAGGCTCAAATTTAGGCTTAGCTTTAGGCTTACCTTTAGTCTTAGCTTTAGGCTTAGCTTTATTCTTAGGCTTAGTTTTAGGTTTAGCTTTAGGCTTAGTATTAGCTTTAGTCTTATCTTTAGGCTTAGCTTTAAAACTTGTTTTAGGCTTAGCTTTATTCTTAGGCCTAGTTTTAGGCTTAGCTTTAGGCTTAGCTTTAAAAATAGCTTTAGGCTTAGCTTTATTCTTAGGCTTAGTTTTAGGCTTAGCTTTAGGCTTAGCTTTAGGCTTAGTTTTAGGCTTAGCTTTAGGCTTAGATTTAGGCTTATCTGTAGGCTTATCTTTAGTCTTAGCTTTAGGCTTAGCTTTAGGCTTAGTTTTAGGCTTAGCTTTAGGCTTAGATTTAAGCTTAGCTTTAGGCTTAGTTTTAGACTTATCTTTAAACTTATTTTTAGGCTTGGCTTACAAAGCCCACAGTTATGTATTACACTGTTATGACGCCACTGACGCCCTGACTACAAGTGTTCTATAGCGGCTATATCAGTCTCACTTTTGCATTAGTCGGATAGAGCGACCGTTTTTTTTAAGATTTGGTTTTCCTAAAAGCTACCCCATCCTACCATACACTACTCTTCATTACCCTGCCCTACCCTACCAACACCATACCCTACTTTACCTTACCCTAACCCCCCCCCCCTCTACCCGGTTTGAGAACCTACATCAATACTAGTGAATACAATATTTTTTGATTAATTCATAAATTGTATTTTACTTTGATAGAAAAAGGTTAAATAAACTGTAAACTGTAACCCCCCCCCCTACCGTACCCTACCCAGCCCTACTATGTACCACCTTGGCCTGAGCTCTAAAAACTTATAAATAAAGTATTTAGTAAGTATTACCATAGTATAATTAAGCGTTGTTTTACTATACGGTATACGTAAGCCTAAGCCTTGTTTTAAGTGCGGCTTAAGCGTTACTTTACAATATATGTCTGTTTAACCTGCTGATAAAAAATTTTTTCGTGTTGCGTAATTTCACGCGTCAGTTATGTATAGTGTTCATTTGTGTATTGTGTATTGTTATGGGAAGGTTGTGCATTATTTATTCTACTGTTATTTTTTACCATGAGACCTTTGATGTAATTTTGTTAGTGATAAGTTAGGGTTAGAGTGTAAGCACTAGGACAAAGTTAAGGCAAGGGTAGCGAGTCAATGGATAAAATTTGGCAATTGGATATTGGATATTAGGTTTAGGATTTTGCTTAAGCTTAGGCTAACTATAGTTTTAGGTTTGGGCTTGTTTTTAGTCTTCGGTTTAGGCATAGGCTTAAATTTAGGCTAATATTTAGTCATTGAATCAGACGCAAAATAAGAACAATGAAATTTGAAGACAAAAAAATAATTTATTTTTTCTTTTTCAGTGCGAAAAATCTTGTTTTTATTGGGTTTTTTTCGATGACTTCGAACGCGGACGAGGATTTAACCGAGAACATCAAGTTCTTATGGTAAGTTATTGTTTATTTTTCTATATTTTACCTTTTTATATTAAAATTTACCTGTTTTAATTCAAAAATCGCAAAAATTTTCATCAGAATTGGCTTGATATTGTTTTAGCGAGAAAATTGATGGATTTGAAGACATTATCAGGCAACCTTCCGAGGAAACCTACGCCAAACTGTTCCAGATTCTCACACAGAAGTGTAAAGACCATGACCGAGCCAAACAGGTAACAGTTTACTTGTTTTACATTGTTGTTGTGTTTGATAAACGGTTTGCTTTCATAAGTTAAAATTAGGTAATATATTGACTTTAGATCTTATTTTTATTTTTTTTTTATTAATTTTAAGGATTTTTTTACGTTTTGATGTATATTAGATAGATCTTTTGATTTTCATCGAACAAATTTTGGTGTATATTACTTTAGATGGTGTAGATGTTTGTCGATGGTGTAAAACAATATGTGGAGGTGTTACTTTTGATTTTTTTGAATAAGAAAGTCAAGAAGGATCTTTTTAACCTTTAGAAAGATTTTAGAATGTTTTCGTTTCACTTTTGAGTCGAAAAAAAAATAATTTATATTATAGTAGGTGAAGATGTGGTTGATGGTTTGCTTTTTGTTGTAACTTTTTTCATTTTATAGATATAGACTTGAAACTTTGTGTGTTTTTAGATTAATTACTTCTTTAACTAATTTGAAAAAGAAAACTCTGCAATTTTTCAAAACTTTGAAGTTACAGTAATTTTACCGTAACACCATAGTTTCTTCAAAATTTTAGAATTTAAAAAAAAAATTATTGCTGTATGAGAATATAAGATTATTTTTATTATATTATAAGGCATCTAAGTCTAGATATATCAATAATTTTTTTAAATTTTCAGTACATTGACATGATAACCGCGGAAGTGCAAAAGAGCAATTCCATGGTTGATAACATGAGACGTGAGTTGGTGAAAGCCCGAGAGCACATTAAGGAGTTGACATTGAGTTGTGATTCGAGTATGAGCAAAAATGCTCAGGCCAGAGTTGAGTTTCAAAGGCTTATGTCTGACTTTAAGGCATTACAAGAGGTGTGTGAACGTCAGCGAAGGGAACAAAATCAAGGACCTGATTTGGCTCCGAAGAGTAGACCGTCAGTTTTTTTTTTTGTTTTTGGTTGATAAGTTTAAATTTTTGATGGTTTTTGATTTTTTATAGTCTTTTATAGTTTTTGTGGGCACGGCAATGTCGAGCGGGGTAATTTGTGTCTGGGGATGAGTTAAACTCTCTTTTTGGTGTTTTGGTTGATAATGTTTTTTAAATTTCAAAATGTTTTAGGAGTGAAATGCAAGCTCACATTCGATATCTAGAAGGTGAACTTCACAAGTATGCGAACATTCGGAAAAAAACTACAGAATACATCTCGTAAGTTGTTTCTTCTTATTATTTTTGACTTATTTTTGATATTATTGTTGGTAATGGGGCTATAACTTTTGTTTTTTTTAATTCACAGTATCTTACAGTTAGTTTTTATCAATTTAAAATGTTCAAAAGCAAGTGTTGTTAGCTTAAAATGTAGAAAATGTTATTTTAGACGAGTTCACGCCGAAACAGACAAGTGGAAGAACAAATGTAATGAGAATCAAAAGCAGTTGGATGCGGTTTGTGAGGAGAATGTTCGCCAAGTTGAGTTTCGAGCACGTGCTGAAGATTGCATCTACGAAATCAGTCGTAGCTGCTTCAATTTGAATTTTGATAAGGTAAGAAGATTTTGTTTAGGCTATTATGTTTAGGCTTAGTTAGCTTTGTTTTAGTAGGCTTAGGCTTAGTAGGCTTAAACTTAGTAGGCTTTGGTTTAGTAGGCTTAGAGTTAGTAGGCTTAAACTTAGTAGGCTTAGTTTTAGTAGGCTTAGGCTTAGTAGGCTTAGGCTTAGTAGGCTTAGGCTTAGTAGGCTAGGCTTACTAGGCTTAGACTTAGTAGGCTTAGACGTAGTAGGCTTAGACTTAGTAGGCTTAGGCTTAGTATGCTTAGGCTTAGTAGGCTTAGGCTTAGTAGGCTTAGGCTTAGTAGGCTTAGGCTTGGTAGGCTTAGGCTTAGTAGGCTTAGGCTTAGGCTTAGTAGGCTTAGGCTTAGGCTTAGGCTTAGTAGGCTTAGTAGGCTTAGGCTTAGTAGGCTTAGGCTTAGTAGGCTTAGGCTTAGTAGGCTTAGGCTTAGTAGGCTTAGGCTTAGTAGGCTTAGGCTTAGTAGGCTTAGGCTTAGTAGGCTTAGGCTTAGTAGGCTTAGGTTTAGAATTAGTTAAATCTTAATTTGTAGACTCAAGCTAAATTTTTTAGGTTTATGCCGCATCTTAGTATAATAGTACTCTTTTTCCAGCACTACCTTTTGAGTGCTTTCCAATTCCTCGAGTACGAGTTTGCCGACTTTCTCGAGCGCAACGGAATCGTCCACTTCAAAACCAAACTGGACATTGCTCAATATCAAGATGGTGAACCGCCATCCAGAAAACGCAAAAATCCAGGAGATTCAGCACTATCAGCTAACAAGGAAATCGACCTCCTCAGTGCCTACTATGCCATGGTCAAAAAACGAAGACTCTCGTTGAATCCGGCTTGCGAAATCGACGAATGCTCTAGATTCATGCGTCACGAACAGATCAGACAACGTGGAATGACTAGCTATTCCGAGAATGGGTCCAAAAAGTAAGGAATCTTAAGTTGAAATTAGACCTGTAGGATGGGAGGGGAGGAGAGGCTTGCTAGGCTTGTCTTGGCCGAAGTTGGGTGTTTAGGTAACAAATTTCCAAAAATTGACCAAATTTTGTTTCAGGGTCATGCCACCTTCACCAACTTCACCACCTCCTTTATGAAACCCATAAACGTCATCACGCTTTATATTGTTATTAGACTATGTTCAACATCGGGTACCAATCGGGTAAAACATATTTTTATTTTTTTGAAAAGCTTATTATTGTTGTTATTAATATTTTAGGCTAATAAAACGAGAGTAGAGCTTAATAAAATGAGGTTTTGGTTTTAGTAGAGGGCGGGGTAGATTTGATTTAAGGGGCAATATGAGATGGATATTATAGGGCGGGGTAAATTTGATATTAAAGGATGGGGGTAGATTTGATTTTATGGGCGGGGTAGTTTTCATATTGTAGGGCAGGGTAAATCGTATATTAAAGGGTAGTGTATTTTCGACACGATAGGGCAGATTAAACTTGATATTATAGGGCAGGGTAAAATTGGTGTTATAGGGCAGGGTAAACTTAATATTGAAGGAAAGGGTAAACTCAATACTAAAGGGTATGGTAAAATTGAAAATTTAAAAAATTTCAGTTTTTAATTAAAAAAAATGAAATAAAAAAATTTTTTAATTTAATTTTTTGATTTAAAAAATATGTCATTACAATGAGATATATACAAGGATAAAAATCATTAAAATACGAGAAAATACGATAGTATGTACAAATATATTGTTGTTTAAGGGTCACAATGTTATGAAAAACAGAGTAAAATTACGAAAAAACTAACTTTTACCTAAAAATTTTGAAAAAATTTTGATTTTTTGCTAAATTTTTTGAAAAATACTTAAAAGTTTTTACATGATCAGGCTTAAAATGGCATATAAAGCTTCTTTTAGGACCGGGAGAAAGTTTTTACCTCCTATCATTGACGTCGCTTGGGACTAAAAGGGAAGGGGGGGGAGGAGGGTGAATGGTAGAGGTGAGAAATGGGCCGTGTACGTGTGAGACTCGGCTTGGCCTTACGATCGGATCGGGCTTGTCTTGAGCTAAAATTGAAATTATCGGGACTAAAAGCTTGGTCTAGCCGGCGAGGCCGGGTATAAATGGCCGGATCTTGGATTTTTATTGACTGGCCAGGCCGGCCTAAGGAAGCAAAAAAAAACGGGTCGGTCTACTTTTAATCCCCCCTCTCCCTTTTCTATCCTCTACTCCACCCCCCCCCCTAAAAAAGATGTATAGCGACATCCGTGCTTCCTAAAACAATATCACACCACAGTAGACCGTCGATGTTCGTAGTATCGAGGCGGAGGCGGTGGAGCTCTTGGCGATCGACTACTATCAATGGTCGAAACATCCAGTTCGTGAGGGTCTTTTCGTCGTTGACTTTTGGTCCATCTTCGGCTTCGTTTCGCGTCTTCGTCCTTATATCGACGTTGTGCGTCAGTGATAAGGAAGAAGCAACAACATCCACAACCGCACAGTAAGGCGAATATTATACATACCAGGAAGATTCTGAAAGGTTTTGAGTTATGGGCTTCTAGACAGGGTTTAGGTGAGTTAGGCTTTCAAATTGATTTTAATTTTATTTTTAGGGTCAGGGGTAGGGTCAATTTTTCACTTTGTCACAACTTAAAACTTACAAATTAGGCCATTTTATGAATTCACAGCAGCCATCCTGACAACAGTCATAATATGTCATGATTCCTTCATTCGGACATAACCTAAAAAATTTTTTTAAAAAAGTTTTAAAATTAAAAATTTTTTTTGAAATTTTGAAAATATATGTTACTAGGTTTAAGAATACTAAGCAAGGACAGGGTAGGGTAAGGTTGGGTAGGGTAGGGTACTGTAACCTAGGTAAGACAGAATAATTAGGTAGGGCTGGGTAATTTAGAGTAGGGCAGAGGACCGTGGGTATGGCAGAACCCATTTTTAGGCCTGACCCGACCTAAATTTTGCTCAGGCCTGACCCGGATTTTTTAGTTGCAAACAGGCGTGGCTTTTTTTGGTTTTCATGCCTGGCCCAACTTAAACTTTGGTTAGGATCGGCCCTGCCCGATGGTAGGCCTAGACCGTTCCTCATGTCTAGGGTAGGGTAGGGTAGGGTAGGGTAGGGTAGGGTAGGGTAGGGTAGGGTAGGGTAGGGTAGGGTAGGGTAGAGTAGGGTAGGGTAGGGTAGAGTAGGGTAGGGTAGGGTAGGGTAGTCTAATGTAGGGTAAAGCTTTAAAACTTTCAAAAACAATTACCTTGGGGCCCGATTCGGGCAATTATAAGTACACGGATCCCAACAATAAGCCTGTTGACCATTCGCCACGCCAATTAGAGCCCCAAATATAAATAGTATCCAAGTCAATATCATGGCCATAAAAAGCGAGTGGAATGCGTCGAAGATTATCGGAAGTTGTTCCCTGAGGGGATGGGGCGATAGACAAGTTATTGACAGCTTTCACAATATTTATTCTTACAGAAAAATTATTTTATTGCGTTTGACTCATCGTATGTGGCTGAAGGTAGAGGCGGTGGTGTGGAGGTATAGAAGAGTAGAAAAAATTTTTTATTGGTTAAAGTGATACCTCAAATTCGTCGTATCAATCAAATCTCGTTGGAGAGCGATGTTACGACGTTTTCGGCCGATAATTGCATTTCCTTTGTAGAGGCGTTCTTTTTGTTATATGACATTACAGACATTTTATTGCTTGATATCATGTTTTTCTGGAAAAGGTCAACAAAACAAATATGTTAGGGTAGGAATATGGCTAGGGCAGGGCTAGAGGACGAATGCAGGGCGAGGAAGACTAGGGGAGAGATAGAGAACTAGGACGTGACTAAGGTAGGGCTAGGAAGACTAAGGTGGGCTAGGGGACTAGGGTAGGGTAAAGGTGACTTCGATAGGTCTAGAAAGGCTAGGACATGGTTAAGGGACTATTGTAAGGCTAGGGGACTAGGGTAGGACAAAGGAGACTAGGATAGGTCTAGGGGACTATAAGTAGGGCTAGGAGACTAAAGTAGGAATACAAAGACTAGGACAGGACAAGGAAGCCTAGGGTAGGTCTGGGGGGACTTGGGTAGGTCTACCAAGGCTAGGACATGGCTAAGGGACTATTGTAAGGCTAGGGGACTAACAATAAGGTTGGCTTAAGGTTAGGACTAGGACATAAAGTTGTTGGCCAAATATAGCTATACATGTAGTCTAACTACATATTATGTAACACCTTCAAGCCCAGCTAAACTAAAATAAGCGCTAAGCGTCGCTTTTTAATGCTCCCCCACTTATACCATCATAAGTCCATTTACTATTCGTGGTCTGCGAAAGTAAGTCGGTTCATTATGGTTATGCCAAACATCAATGCTTTGTCTATTTCAACTGAAGATCCTATGACTGATAGAGATAAGCTTCTTCTAGAATGTAAGTTTTTTATTACAGTGTTTTTACCACTCCAAGCATTTTTTTCTAAAAATGGCGAAACCGATCCCTTCTGTTCATTTTTCACATTAAAAGTAAAGAATTAAGCGACTGCCAGTTTGAAACCCATATTGTTTTAGGTGCAACAAGAGTTGCCTGGACTACATTTGAACTTGTAGACCCATCGCTTAAAGATTTTGGCATCAAAATGCTTTATGGCTAAAGCTGTAGACGTTAATAAAAACACAGAAGCCTATCATTTTAAAGCAATGTATTGTGGGTACTTAAAACATTTGGGCGAGGACGAAATTGCCAAACGTTTGTACAGAGCGCCACATTTTATTTTTGACTTATTGAGAGATGTTTTAAAGGATGAAGATTCAATCATAAAGTATTCTACCATCTACAATATTATTGTGAGTACAAACAAAAGCGCTGTTGACAGTATTATTAACTGTACGAGCATGGTTATGCCAAACAGGAATGCCTTGTCTATTTCTCCTGAAGATACTTTGAGCGATAGAGATCAGATTCTTCTGCAATGTAAGTTTTTGTATCATAGCGTTTTTGCCACATGTAGGTTTGGGCTTAGTAGATTTAAGTTTAGTAGGCTTAAGCTTAGTAGGCCTAAGCTGAGTAAACTAAACAAACTCTATATAGGATCGAAGATTATAAAATACCGGGAAAACTACGTTTAAAACCTGATAATCAAATTAGTTTTTGTAATTTTAAAAATATTTTTTTACGTTTTAAATTGCCATTTTAAAACTTGTATTGTTTTAGGTGCTACAGGCGTTGCCTATTACTGGCATGAACTCAACTGTTTACGTCCAGAATTGAAAGATTTTGGCATCAAAATGCTGTATGGCTTTGCTAAAGTTGTGGAAATGTTTAAGATCGTGAATGTCATGTATTATAAATTACTGTATTGCGGATATTTAAGACGTTTGGGCAAGCAAGAAATAGCCGAAAGTTTGAAAAAAGTGTCAGATCAAATATTCCAAAACCTGAGAGAAATTGTGCAAAACAAAGATAAAATCAAAGAGTATTCTACCTTCTACAATATTATTGTTAGCACAAACAAAAGTTATGTTAACACTGCTATTAAATGCACGAGTTTCAATCCTTTAAAATGAAAGCCATTCCTAATTGTAAACGAATAACCTCACCACATATCTTTGTTCCAGTCCTTATTCTACATCTTATAATGTGTTGTGTTAGATCGTACTAATAAACTTGAAACATATTCACATTGGAAGTTCAATTTGAATTGAATTTTTTGTATTTTACGTTTAGTCCTTAAAAGTTGAGCCGTTTGAAAAGGTATGCTTACTTTTTTTGTTAAAATTGTGCTGTATTATAGTATATTCACCTATGTATTTTAAAAATGCAAGTAGAGTAGATTAAGACAGCGTAAGGTAATTTAAGGTAGGGTTGAGTACGTAAGTGTAGAGTAGGGTATGTTAGAGTAGAGCAGGGTTAAGTAAGGATGAGTAAGCTAGGATAAGATAAAGTACCGCAAGGAGGGTCGAGTACCTAACCTATTCCTGCCCTAGGATAGGAGACTAGAGTTGATCTAGGGGACTATGTTAAGTCTGGAAAAGACTAGTATAGGGCTTAAGTAGATGTATAGCTATTCATGTAGTCTAACTACATATTATGTAACACCTTCAAGCCCAGCTAAACCAAATTAAACGCTAAGCGTCGCTTTTAATGTCCCCCTCTCTCCCTCTTACCTATATCATCATAAGTTCATTCACTATTCGTGGTCTGCAAAAGCAAGTCGGTTCGTTATGGTTATGCCCAACATCAATGCCTTGTCTGTTTCATCTGAAGCTCCATTGTCTAAAAGAGATAAGCTTCTTCTAGAATGTAAGTTGTTTTCTTACAGTGTCGCCCAATCAGACCTGAAAGGTACATTGTTAGAGGCCGATCTGTCAAATTTCGATTTTTTCAACTTTGTATGTTAAAAAATATTGTTCCGCAACTTAACCTGACACTTGAAAACCCATATTGTTTTAGGTGCGACATGCTGGGCCTATCGCGCGAGTGGATACAACTCTTTAGACCCATCGTCTGAAGGTTTTAGCATCAAAATGCTGTATAGCTTTGTTAAAGCCGTGGACGTTGATAAGGACACGGACGTTTCTCGTTTTAAAGCAATTTACTGTGGATACCTAACTCATTTGGGCAAGGACGAAATTGCCAAAAGTTTGGAACAAGCAGAAAATCACGTACTTGAAGGATTGAGAGAAGTTGTAATGGATGAAGTTTCAATCATACAGTATTCTACCCTCTACAATATTATTGTGAGTACAAACGAAAGTGCTGTTGACAGTATTATTAACTGTACGAGCATGGTTATGTCCAACAGCAATTCCTTGACTACTTCATCTGAAACTTCATTGTCCGATAGAGATAAGATCCTTCTGCAATGTAAGTTGTTTTTGTAATTTAAAAAAATTGTTTTACACTTTAAATAGACATTTTAAAACTCATATTGTTTTAGGTGCTACAGGCATTGCCTATTTCTGGCGTAAAGACAACTGTTTAGATCCAGTATTGGAAGATTTTGGCATCAAAATGCTGTATGCTTTTGCCAAAGCCGTGGACGTTAATAGAGACCTGTCTATCCCTCCTTATAAGTCGACTTATTGTGGATATTTAAGACATTTGGGCAAGGACGAAATTGCCAAAAGCTTGGTAAAAGTGCCGAATCACGTATTGGAAGACCTGAGAGAAATAGTGAAAAATGAAGATAAAATCAAAGAGTATTCTACCCTCTACAATATTATCGTCAATACAAACAAAAGTACTATGGACAGTGCTATTAAATGTACGGGTTTCAATTCTTTAAAATAAAAGCCATATTTAAACGAACAATCTCACTACTATCTTTCTTCCACTGTTTCTATTCTACATCTTATAATGTGTTGTGTTAGAACGTACCAATAAACTTGAAATATAGATACGTTGGAAGTTAGGTTCGAGAATTGCATGAAACTATAAACTATTAAATAACAAAAATCACATATTTTTTAAATATACATCCTTCATCTGTTCAAATTTACCATTTTTATTCCATATTAACATTGATTGATCTAATGATGAACATTAACGTCCAATTCCTTTTACAAATTTTATTTTATGCCATCTTGACTTTACACAAGCCGTATCAGTAAAAAACAACGATTAAAATGGTACCAAAAACGTCTATTTATATGAAATACTTTCTCATATTGAAAAGCTTAATTTCCGATATTATAGTAGGCCATCAGATCATTTTAGTTTTAAAAATACTTTTACACTTTCGCTTTCGGTATATAGTTGAGTCTTTTATCAAAAATTACCATTTTCGTTATGATCTTGTTACATCAAACCTAAAAAATGGGAAAACAATAAGAAATACTTACCAAGACTCTCCCCAACTCTGCCTCTAATGTACAACAGCTAACAAGATATTATACGGAAAAATTGGCTAAAACAACACTTTTGACTGTGTAATAAGTTGATAACTTATGGAATCGATTACGAATCTCTACTTTGACTGATCGGTGGCGTGCCCTTCCGCTCCCTATCACCTATACCATCATAAGTTCATTCACTATTTGTGGTCGGCAAAAGCAATTCGGTTCGTTATGATTATGCCCAACATCAATGCATTGTCTATTTCAACTGATGCTTCTATGACCGATAGAGATCGGATGCTTCTAAAATGTAAGTTTTTTTATTACAATACACTGCACCCGAAACCGTCTAGAATGTCTTTTTAGTGATTCGTTAAGACATATTTCTGCACTGAAAAATGTTTTTGTTACCTAAATTCACAAAAGGTTGATATCTTTGAAAAAAGTGAATATACTTTTAAAAAATGATAATGTTTAACAAAAGATATGCTTATTAACCTAATTTAAAAACGTTGTTACCTAAAATAGAGAAATAATACGTTTTATTGTCTAAAAATAAACTTTATTCAAGTTCGGGTGCAGTGAAATAGTGTATAAAAATCAAAAGCCCGGCCCGTGGGCGGGACTGAAAAATTGTGCCCGGCTCCTTCACAGGTCTACAGCCAATAATGAATCACATGGCACTAAATTCGAAACAAATTTCTTTTTTTTCAAATTTGTTACCTATAAATATATTGTTTTACATTTTTAACTGCCATTTTAAAACCCATGTTCCGTATCTTGAACTGCCATTTTAAAACCTATGTTCCGTATCTTGAACTGCCATTTTAAAACTTATGTTCCGTATCTTGAACTGCCATTTTAAAACCTATATTGTTTTAGGTGCATTATGCTCAGCCTATCTCGCGCGTACACCCCCGCATAACTATTTGAGCCCATGGTATGAAGGTTTTGCCATCAAGATGTTGTATGGCTTTGCAAAAGCTGTGGAAATGAATGTTATCACTTCGGACGTTGATTATAAATCTCTGTATTGTGGATATTTAAGACATTTGGGAAAGAACGATATTGCCGGAAACTTGGAAAAAATGCAAATTGAGGTATTTGATGGCTTGAAAGAAGTTGTGGAAAAGGAAGATAGAATCAAACAGTTTTCTGCCCTCTACGATATTATTGTTAATACAAACAAAAGTACTGTTGACAGTACTGTTAACTCGATGATTTCCAAATCTTCATCGACTTCCAAGTCTTCATGATTTCAGCTCCCGGTCTAGTCTTGTTTGATTGTATTGAGCACTAAATTCAATACCATTCTTTCATTCCTTGACTTTTGTTATACCTCCTTCACTGCGATAGAGTCATCTCACTACATTAACTTTGTTTCGTTTCACTATTTTCATTCTACACCTCATATTGTTTTCTCTTAAACCGTACTAATAAACTTGAAACATAAATATGTACATTGGAAGTTAATTTTGAAGCCCAAATTTATTAACGATTACGGTACGATAGGGTAGCGTAGTAAATATAAGGTAGTGTAAAGTAGGAGAGAGCATAATAGGTTAGAGTAGGGTCCAGTAGAGTTTGGTAGATTAGAGTAGTGTACAGGTGGCGACATGTAAACCAAAAAATTGTTTACTTTTACTTAGCAATGTCTACGAGTAAGTCGAAGAATTTTTTTTAAATTTTTTAAACGGGCCGCGCTAGCCTAAGAAGAACTAAAAACGAACCAAGCCTAAAAGTCGTGACCCAAGCCTTCAAAGTGGACCCGGTTTGTTTCTCAACCCTATCCTACCCTCTTCTCCCTAGGGGTGTGAAACGGTCCGGGCGCACTTTTGCGGCCCGGGACCCAAGGTTGAGACCCAGCCCGTTTTCATTTTTAGCTCAAGGCCAGTCGGGCTCGATCGTAAAACCGGGCCTACACGGCCCGTTTCTCATCCCTGCCCCACCCTCTTTCCCTTTACCCCATCCCGCCTATATTGTTAAACCAAATCAAACCGCCACATATATTATCGAGTTTACTCTGTTCGAAACAACGAATGGTTAAAATTTGTTAAAAGACCGCTTTATGAGTAAAATATACAAAAAGAAAACGTTTAATTTACACAAACCAGGAGAGAGAGGAAAAAATATACGTGCTTTACAACTTTTTCGTAGTATATCCACCATTCGAGAGGGGTAACATTAGTCAGGTTTGGGAGGAGAAAGGGGGGGGGGGAAGGAAAGGGAGAGAAGAATACAAGAAGATGGGAGGGGGGGGTAAAAAGGAAGAGTGAGGGAGGGGGGCTTGAGAAAAAAATTCTTAGGCGGATTGGGCGTGGTGAGGATGGGGGAGAGGGTGGAGGGGGAGTGGCGTGAGGAGGAAGGAAATAGGATGGAGGGGGGGGAGGGTAGGTTAAAAATATAAAAATTCTTGGAGCAACGAAGGAACATGAACAACATTTTAAGAAGAGGAATATAAAGCCTAAGAGCAGAAAAAACGCAATTTAAAAATAAGGGGTGGTAAAAAATTTTTTGAAATATTCCGAGAAGGGGATGTAAAATCCAAAAGAGTTACAACAAGAACAAAAACCGAAGATTACTTTGCCAAAAACGTATAAACGACCATATATATATTAATACATGAACAAGCTGTGAAGGAGCGATTCCATAGGCTGTAGCCACATACGATACAACTGTGTGGTATAAGCAGTCATTTAGACTGTAAATTATATTGAGTATGAACAGTCAATTTGACCTTAGGCTATGATATTCATACTTTACCTTTATAGATGATGACAAAGATAGTACTGTGTAAAACATGTAAAAAAAGTGTAAAACAAGATGAAAAAGCCCAATTTAAGCCTAATGAAGTAGAATATTAACTTGTTCATCAAATTATGAGCTCCCAACACCAAAAATTTGTTTGGGGCTCAGAATTATTTGAACAATCTAATATAATATAAACATAAAGACTTCAGAATGATGCTACAGATCCCACAGTATGAGATAATGTTACAGAGAGCACAATTGCTTCAGTACAAGATAATGCTACAGATCCGACAATTGCTTCAGTACGAGTCAGATATGTTTTGTCATCACTACCCCTACATATGACATCCTTAACCACATCTACCCCTACTTATGACACTCTTAAAACATAGCTATCTTCGACGTTATACTACAGTAAACACTAGTCTACACTACCCTCATATATCAATACTTTTTTGAGTTAAAAGGTAGCAAAAGCCTTACATGATTAATACTGTCATATTATAGTAGGTAAAACGGCTATTCTTTTTAAAAAAACTCGCTGTACTACTAAAAGCTACAGTGCTAATACACTTTTCTATGTCATCTCCGAACTGACAACATAACCTACTATAGCTATAGTACCTTCACTCAACTCACTATGATACTCTAACATAACTAACTATAGTAATTTTATATAGCTCTTACGGAACCTTCATATCACCCACATGATCTCAACATCACCTACAAGATCTCAACATAATCCTACGGTACCTTCACATCAACCCCTCCAGTACTTCAACATAACCCTACAGTACCTCAACATAACTGCCCTCCAGTTAAATTTAAAAACTTCAAACCACCTCACATCATCCGCCTGCCAAACTCAAATCCTCCGCCTACAATCGAGCATTTATTGACATAGTTAACAAAGAGAATTAGTTATGTACTTACGAGCAATCTACGAAAATCTGTAACATGCTTAACAAAATTAGGCTTCATAGACAATAGTTTAAAAAATTCAAAAAATCAAACAAAATTCAATTTCAAAAAAGGTTGGATTTTCGAAAAAGCGTTGGTTTCTGGGGTTCTGGAGGGCTTCAAAGTGGTACTCTGGGAAAAGTTGTTTTGACAGATCAATGTGAAACATGAATATTGATATAAAATAAAACTATAAATTTTAAAAAGCTTTGAAGTCTCAATTATTTTAGACCAAAAAACTTTGAAATTTGGCCAAAAACCCTCAAAATCTGGCCATAAAATCTCAATATTTAACCAAAAAACCTCAAAATCCCAGCAAAAAGGCCCAGAATCCTCCAAAAATACCTTCAGAATCCCTACAAACCCAGCACTTTCACGACAAATCCCTTCCACACATTCTACACAACTTTACACTTCATTCTACCGCATGTTGAGATAGGCCCCAAAAAACTTCGAAGCTCCATCACACATAGGCCCCAAACTTCGAAGCTCCATCACTCCCAACCTCAGGCCTTCACTACCGACCTCAGGCCTTGGCTTCGGCGCCCTTCTCGCTATGCTTGTCGGCCTTGTCGTCGCGTGAGCCGGACGAGGCGGTGGAGGACTTTTTTCCGGTTCCGGGAGATTTGTCGCCCGCGCCCTGATTACCCGTTGCTGTTGCCGTGGGCGGCGTGGCGCCGCTACTGTTCGTCGGCGCTGTACCCGGCTGTTTGGGCGCGATGAACGCTGTCATGGGGGTTTTGGACAGGATTTGGGGCGGCGACTTGACTATTGTTTCCTGGTCTTGTTGCTCCAGCACGGTGAGCCGCCTCCACAACTCTTCGCGTTCCCGTTCTTTTCGTCGTTCTCTGAAGGTGGGGGAGGTGAGAAAATGAAAAATATAAAGAAACAATACATTTTTCAAAAAAAATTTAAAATTTTTTTTAAATTTCAAAAAATTCGTTTTCTGGCCCCACGCCCCTTAAAAATCCAAAAACACCCCTCAAAACCCCCTACCCCACCCCACAAACTCACTTTTGTTTCTCCAATTTGTAGTTAGCAGTTAAATCATCGAACAATTTCCCATTCATTTCCATGAACGTTTTGAGCACGTTGTACACGAGCGCGACGATGGTTTGATTCCAGTGTTCTCGGCTGATTCGATACAACGCTGGGAACATGATGGGCATGACGAGAGCGCTGGTCTCCTCGATTAGTGACAATATATACTCGTTATTCCAAAAGTACAACGCTCGTTCCGCCACCTGAAGCAAGATGGTTGTCAAATATCTCATCAGAAGTGTCATTTAAAAATAATTTTTTTTTGAAAATTAAACATTTTTTTTGACTTTGACCTAGTAGGTAAAGCCTCAAAATTGATGTTTTAAGTTAAAAAGTGCCTAAAATAAAGTCCAAAACCCAAATTTTTGCCATTTTTCGCCTCATATCTCCTTCTAAAGCTAAAAACAAGATTCGACCCAAGGTCCAAGAGCTAAGAAAAGATCTTCATGGGCTTCGGCCTATCACTGTTAGTAACACCATACTCTCAATTCTGACCCCTATCTTCACCATCATCAGCTCAAATCGGCCTTTTCGTGCATAAAAACAGCTTTCATCTACCCTTTAGACCAATCTTTTTCTATTTTTCACCTTTCTCATCATCACTATATCTTCCCCATCTTCAGCTCAAACCATCCTTTTTATCCAAACTTCAGCCTTCTTTCAATTCTTTAGCCTTCTTATTACATTCACTTCAACCTAAACACCAAGAACAACAATCAAAACCAACTCACTTGAAAATGCGGCGACGAAACACACTTGGCAAGCTGTTTGAACAATGGATCAATGATTTTCTTAAACTGTTCCGGCTCGATTATATCCAATATTTCTTCGACTTCACCCAGGAACATGACCTCTTTCGAGCTGCAGGTTCGCGGCCAAAACTTGAGGAGGGCTTCGAATACCTGAGGGGTTAGGGACGCGTCCTTCTCGATGAATTGTACTACACAGTAAGCGAGCTGAAACGGCAAGAATTTAGTCCAAAATGAAATTTTTAAAAATTTTATGTAATAATAGGTAATAATGAGACACTTTTTTATATTTTAGATAATAAAACCAGTTTTTCCAAAATCAAAATTTTATTTTTTAAAACCTGAGGCTAAAGTTCAACCAAACTTTTTAAAAATTTAGGTAACAATCCAATCACTAAATCTCTGAAAATCACTTTTCCTTTTGAATTAAACCAGAGAACCTTGCATTACCATTTAAAAACAAAGCTTCACCATTATCCACCCCTTAAAAAGCCAAAATCAATTAAAAATCCCTCTTACCTGAGCGTGATACAAGCTGAGACATCTGGGTTTGTGCAGAGGAAGAAGAACCTTGACCAGGAATACCTTGTGTTCTTGTTTCAGTGGCAAAGCAAAGCCGTTTATGATACTAAAAATTCAAATTTATGTTGTTATAGTTTACGAATATTACCTAAAATTAAGTTTTTACACAAAAATCACATATTTTGTTTACTTTTTTCAAGAAAAATTCAAAAATCTCAATTTGTCTACCTAAAATCAACTTTGAAAAAAATTTTGTTACCTAAAAACCTTAAAGATCGGTTTATAAGCCCGAAAACTCTACTAAAATTCATCTTTTTTCAAATTTCCAACCCTCCCTCACTCTAAAACACCTATATTTCCATCTCCACTTCCCTTCGTAATACCTAAAATTTAAAAAAACAAACTTCAAAACAGCTTACCTTCCCAATATCTCCAGTAGTTCACCAACTCCATTGAAAGAGTCCGTTTCGAAGACAAACGACAAGAACATGTTGTTTATTTGTTTTCGTATGAATGCTCGAAGCCCTAAGAACTTTCCGTAGATTCTGTGTAGAATTGTCTTCAGAAAGTCGCGTTCTCGTGGATCTTCCGAGTCAAACAGCTCCAGCAGCTATAAAATGGCAAGTATAATATCAAAAAGTTTTCGAAAAAGCAGTATCAGTAAATCCAAAGAGCGGTATTAAAGTGAAAAGCTAAAACTTATACCTAAAAAAAAGCAAAAACTTGACAAAAACCTAAAATATTTCTCGTTTTTTAAGTCTACAATATCATTTTGTTACCTAAACATCGGTTTTTGAGAAAGTCACAATTGCTCTTTACCTAAATAACAAAAAACAGCTAAAATACATTATACTAGACGTCCCTAAGCCTTTTATTAACTAAAGGTTATACTAAACACCACTGAATGTTATATTAATTCAAAATTGTTGTTCTTACATTAAGTACGAAGCGCTGATCAATGTGCTTCTTGCCGATTGTTGCTTGAAAGTCGGCGGATTCCAAAAACCGTAAAAAGAACTCGTAGACTAGCTGAAATAAGGTTATCATTAATTTTTGTCAAAAGACAGTTTTGAGCATAAAAATACTTTTAGTCATAACGCTAATAACTACAAACCTAAAAGTTGGTTTTAAGCCTAAAGCATCATTTTAAGCTTAAAAAACAATTTTAATCATAAATCCATAACTTTTAAGCCTAATACAACCAATTTTAAGCCTAAAAATCATCTTTAAACCTAAAAGATCATTTTAAACCTAAATGTATTTAAGCCTAATAAAATAGACCTTAATCCTAAAAGCAACTTTATTCATAAAGATATTCAATATAAGCCTAAAAACTGTTTTTAGGCCTAAAAAATCATGCTCAGCCTAGAAAAGTCATTTTAAAATTAACAAACAGCCTCAATCAATAACTACTACCTTTATGCCTAAACAACAGTCTTAAACCTAAAAAATCAAATTTCAAGTAAAAAAAGCCACTCAGTCGCCTATACCTGCAAATGAGGCCATGACACTTCTAAGGTTGGCTCGTCCTCTTCCGGATCGAACTCGGAATTATCAGATGGGGGTAGTACTCGAAAGATGTTCCTCGACACCATACGAATAATTTCGGGATAAATCGGCTCAACAATAGCACCTTTGGTCGCGGTTATGTAGTCGATCAGTTCGTTTAGGGCTGCTCGTTTTATCTGCAGAAATATAGTATAATATTGAGTTTGCCTACTATAATATAAAGCTTAAGAACGATATTTACATTCTTCCTTCATCCGATAAGTGCTAACGTATAATTATTTAATGGCTTGTCTTCGAAAGACCTTTTTAACCTACTATAACATAATTCAAAGTCAATATTGAGCCAAAAACAGACAGATTTAGCTCGTAAAAGGTCAGATGCTCGAAATAGAAGCAATAAATCATAGTCTTACCTCTTTACTCTTCAATTGAGCAACAGGATCATAAAAGTCAAAAATCTTTTGACATTGTTGAAGCTTCTGAATGGCCAAAGCTGTCTGTTCATTGAACGGAGCGTCTAAATCAAGATCATTAGCTTTCTCTGATATTATACGGCTTTATTTGTTGATAAACTAATATTATACACTATTTACGGAGTAGAGACTGAAACAATACCATCTAAAGCACCATCATCATGCTTTATATGTTATTACACTACTTTATCTCCACAAAAGTAACATTATACACCATTTAAAACCTTGAAATTGACATAATACGTCATTAACAACATCAAAACTCCCATAATATCATACAACAGCTCAGTTATAAGCTTTTTTCCTCAAATTTCATACCTAAACCAAGAAGAACAACAAAAACCGAAGCTTACCCTTGATCAATGGCAATTGCACTAGGTCCGGATCATTGTCGTTATGATATCGACTACTGTTAACGGGCCTTCTTCTCCGACGACTGTTACCGCGTTTACTGAACGGATCAATCTTATCTACGAACTGATTGGCGGTGGCGGAGAGTTGTTGGCCGCCGGTGGCCGCGCCGGACGTTTTCGGCGGCGGAACAGTGTGCTGACCTCCGGCGAGCCCACTCTTATCCTTTTCCGACATGCTAAGTGCTGAAATTGATGTTGTTATAGGTATAGCAATATATTTACATATAATGTTACGTTATGACAAAAATAGGTAAGAAATCAACGAAAACTGATGTTTCTAAGTACTTATTGACCAAAAACGACTATTTTCATAATCTTCGCCCTAAGAAACGTATCTTATCTTAAGCACCAACAAAAATCACGTGTCCTAGGTGTACCAACTTAGCAAAAACAATATAAAATCAATAGTTGAAGCAAACTTAATATATAAAGGATGATTACATAACCTTTTCAAATAAATTACCAGTCTAATCGGTTAATTTGAAAAGAACTTATAACATAACAACAAAACGCTCAAAAACTTTCACATAAACACACGCCGAACGCTCGTCATTAACGGTGGAAGAACGTTGAAAGAACATCGAAACATAGGCGGGATCACAATGCCTTAAACGTCCAAAAACCTTCCGAAACACCTTATCGGCCGAAAGTTTTACATATTGATGATAAAAGGATAGAACTCAACGAAACTTGCTTTAATTTGTCTTAGAATAACATGTTTTTTTATTATAAACAACCTTTTTCGTCTCTTATAAGAAGAAACAAAGTCTCATTAACAATAAAACAAAGAAAAACTTAAAATTAAAACTCCCCCTAGCTAGATTAATGCAAAGCCAGATGAAAAACATCCATAACCACCAAGCACTCGCCCCACTTAAGCGACAATCTTCTCTTCATTCCAGTACGTGTCCCCAAATAATTCTCACAAAAGCCGGCGGGTTAACCGGTCCATGTTTCACATAATCAATCTACAACCCCAACATCCTATACCACCCCTAACCCAACAATACACCATAAATTCGACCCAGTAAACCATGATATTGACCGATAAAACTGTACAACTTTGATCAAGTAAATAAAATATACTCCATCCTTATGGACATGGCCCCGAGGGGTAAAACAACACCGCCGAGACGGCCGAGAGTGTGTAATCCGCCCACCCGACCCGCCGCCGGCGTGGCCCCAAACCCAGAGGGCCACGGCAAAACGCGGGGCCAAAAACACTCGCGAAACCCGCAAAAATCCCTCTCCCCCCAGCTTGTTTACCACTTTCTTTCTGCCCTGTCCTGCCGGCTTTCAAGACCTCTCTCTTCTCCTTCTCTCACCCAATGCCAGTTTTCTCTGGCTTCGAAACGACTTCTCAAATTGTGGCTGTTTCCTCTAGTTCAGTAGCCTTCTCTGACTTTATGGCCGCCTTCTCGGCTTTCAGAAGCCTTTCTTCTAACTCCATTGCCTTTAAACTTTCACAAAACAAAATATTAAACTCTCTTTCAGTACGCTCCTCACGAAAAACAACAAAATCTCTCCATTCTCCCACTTTTCTCTCGCTTTACGCCCATCTTAAGCACGTCTCGCCGTCTTCCTTCGTTTTCCGCGCCCTTCCCTCAACAAACTAGCCTCCTCTCACACGATTTCCATACCCACACTACTTTCTAAAACCTACCATCTCCCGCCGACATTACACTGCATTCCCTCGGTCCCTTTTCGGCCACGAACGGCCGCGCCTTCCCCTCTCCCCGATATTATCCATGCCTAAAAGTTTGTCTAGCCAGTCTTCGGCCTCTCTGACTTGTCTCATACATTTAAGTAGTCTATAAGGAATCCCTCTAGCCCGCTCTACCCTTTACATAGTCCATACTCAAAAGCACAAGACTTCTTTTCATAGAAGAGCATCAAAATGCTTGCTATTTTTCCGAAATTGTGGCTTTGTGTCGCCTTTTCGTTGCGGGACCGAGAATTTTATCTTATGTTAGATTTTTTTTTCAGTTTTTTTTTTGATTTTTGGCGATAACTGGAAAATTGATCGAAGTAACACAATATATGAGCTTTTTTTTTAATCCGACCCTTCAAATACACTGTTAGCTTTGAATATTATTGAGAAATTACAATATTGTTGATGAATATTCGGGTTTTGTTTGGTTTTTCGGTGAATAAGCGCTTTAAACTTGACGTGTTTGCTTCTAATCTGATTGAAGGCTTTAAAATCTCGTTTCCAGAATGACTACTGCACATCGTCCAACATTCGACCCGGCTCGTGGTGGAACAGGAAGAAATGAAGGCGATCTCTCAAAACTTTCCACACAATATTCGTCTAAAGATTTGCCTTCGCACAAGAAGCTAAAGTACAGAGAGCCACAGATTGTCGATGAGCACAGATCAAAGGTAAGACTTAGCTTACAGTTTTGTTGTTTTAGACATTTTAAGGCTCTTCTGGCTTAGAATTGCTGTATATTACACTAGGTATCGAAATACAAGTATTTCGTAGCAAATAATAAAGACTTATGTTAATTTTGATATTTTCAGGACCTTCGCCGAGTTTTAGAAGAAAGAGAAAGCAAGAGCAAAGACAAAGGATCATCAAGTTCAGTTCCAGAAAAGAAGTTAAGGTTAGAAGCGGCAGACGTAAACCCAGATAAAGATGATCCATTGGACGACGTTGATATAGACGACAGTGATGAAGACTCAGATGACGATGAAGCGTTGATGGCTGAATTGGAAGCGATTAAAAAGGAACGAGCGGCTGAGAAAGCTGCAAAAGAGGCTAAAGAAGCTGCTGAACAGGTATGACTTTATGTTTTTTGTTTTTATTTAGGTGTGGCTGCTGAATTTTGCAAGAAATTTTGGTTTAAAAGATGCGGAAGAAAATGAAGATGGTGGTCTAAAAGATTATAGCTGAAACTGCGAGCTTTGGATGCTGAAATTTATGACAAAAAGCATATTATACTAGGTTTTGAAAGCGAAAAATTGAAATTGATTTTTTCTTTGTAAAATACGAACGTTTTTTTTCATTTCGTTTTTAGAATACAATTATATGGGCATATACAACTATTTATGGAATGCAAAAATTATAGCAAAAGTTTATTTATAGCTTATCAGAGCATATTAACCTTCAATATCAGTTGACATTACCTTCCGATATAATTTCTGCCTTATAATCCCTTTTAGAATTTAAATAATTTTCTTTTTTATGAAGGTCAAAAGAGGAACGAACTTTTTGATAGACATTTTTATCACTCAAATGATAAGCTCATTAACTTTCTACGAAATTTTCGAAAATCGCGAAGGAACGATTTACATGGAGAACATCAAAAAGAAACCGAAACTACAGTAAAAGTTGTGAAATTTGGCATTTTAGAGGGTTAATTTAAAAATGGCGGCTTATAAATTATAGGAGTTAATTGCTGTTTATGCATTTTGTTGTTTTAGATAGTATAATGAAATTTTTCGGAATTTTAGTGATAAGACAATAGAAAATATATGGTTTATATGTACTGTGCAGTGAGATAAGAGTAAGAATAAATTATTGAGCGTAATAGTGTAAAAAGTGAATTAATTAGGCTTGAAATGGGGTTTTTGTTTTGATTATTGGCTAAAAATTCATAAATTTTTGTGTTTCGAAGCGGGGCGCGGAAAAGTTATTGTAACTTTTGTTAAAGTGCAGATTTAAAAAAATGGAGTAAAGGTAATAGAACAGGTTATAATTTTACAAATTTTAAAGATTGTGTGGGGTAGATGACAAAAGTTATGGCACAAACAAAAAACTTGGCATATTTTTTCGTTACTTGGCTTTTAGGTTCGTTTTTTGAAAATTTTACTAAAGAACATTCAGGCTAACAAAACTAGTTCAAAAGAACATCCAAACGATCATATATATTGCTTACAACACATAAAATACTACAAAAATTTTGCGTCACTTTGCATTTCCGCCATCTCGTTGGGGTCGTTATCAGCGAGGGACGAACAACTTTCAGCAGCTACTTTCTATTATTTTTTTAAATTGCCTTATCATTGCCTCATAAATTATACTAGTTGGTGTTTCGGTTTTCAGGAACGGGTGCGACGTGAGAACCTGTTGCAGGGCAACCCCCTACTGCAACCTCAGCAACAGTCGGCCGAGTTCAAGGTGAAGCGGCGGTGGGATGACGATGTGGTGTTCAAGAATTGCGCCAAAGGTACGGACCAAAAAAAGCCGGCCAACTTTATAAACGACTCGATTCGGTCCGAGTTTCATCGCAAATTCATGGAGAAGTATATCAAATAGGCCTAGAGGGCAATTAAGCCTAGAGGAGAAGGCTAATTAAGCCGAGGCTTTATTGAATCTATGTTAAAGAGGACTTGAGCTTACCATAGGGTGGCTATAACCTTGATAATCTTGATGATCTACCCTTTTTCTTGTTTTTATGTTAATAATAATGTTGTCTATGAGAGGTTTGAGGATTTTTTGCTGTTTTAGCATCTGCTTCTGAAGGGATTTGTATTTTTTGAAGGTTGAAGGGTTATATTATAGTAGATGAGTAAATTTTTGAAAAACAAGATCAGTCTATAGCTTATTTTTCAGAAATATGGCTATGATAAGGATTGGTTTTGGATTTATTGTTGATTACAGTATGTTATAGTAGGTATATTCTTTATAATGAATTTCTCAATTTTTATTTTTTAAAATCTCATGTTATTCTCTACAATGACTTTTCCTTGCTTTATCTTTGATATTTTTACGATTTGAGGTCATGTAAGCGGTTTCGGCGGGATAAAACTACATGTTTGGATAATGTTTTTAGCCAAAAAAGGATTAAAATGGCGGTTTGTTAAGGAAAAACATTGATTTTGTGTTGTTTTTGATCATTTTTGTCATTTTTTTTGTTTTTTTACATTTTTTTGGGTTTTGTTTTAGAAAAAATCTTTGTAGATGATTAAAAATGGCAAAAACAAACTTTAAAAAACAAGTTTTGTTGAAGTTATTATACATTTTGATGGTTGAAAGTGGAAAATTATGTTGTTGTAGGTATAGGAATAAGCTTTTTTTCGAAATATTTTAATTTTTGTGGCTTTGAATTTTAAAATTTTGTCAAAAAAAGGTTGTTTTTGGACAGAAAAATGAGATTTTTTAAGTCTTGCAAGGATTTATTGACCTTTTTCGGTTTAATATTGTTCTTCCAAGTCATGTTTTGGGTCTTCAAAATCTTTTTCTGATTCTTCAACATCATTTTTTGGTTCTTGATCATCATTTCTTGACTTTTTATCATCGTTTTTTCACTCTCACATTATGTTTTGGTCCTTTATCATCATTTTCTTATTCTACAACATTATTTTCTAAGTCCACCTGCAGTTTCTTCAACAACACTTTCCAAACCCAGCTGAACCCTCTCGAGCCTCATTGCTCTCTCACCCTCCCAAATAATACCCAGTTTCAGACACAAAGTAATATCAACCCCTCGAATATACTGTTTTTACCATGGTTATCACTTTATAAACACTGTATAAATCAATTTACATTCCATAAATTCAGTTTTTGTTATTTCAAAGGTTTCAGTGTCCTTTGAGTTTTTTTTAAATAGTCCGAGAACTTTTGAAACGCGTTGTTGTTTTTTTTCGAATTTTCAGATGGGTACACACCTACAACGGGTGCTGGTGTTCACGTTGACCTTCATCTCGTACGCCTTGTATCATGCGTCGAGGAAGAATCTGAGTGGAGTTAAGGCGTCGGTAGCACACGAATGGCTGGATAATTCGACACATGAGGTATATTATAGTGTATCTCATATATATGATATGATATAGAATATGATAGACAATGGGTGCTTTTTCGGCTTGGGCTTGGTAGGCTCAGGTTTACTAAGGATAGGCTTATGATTAGTAGGTATAGGCTTTTTAGGCCTATGCTTGGTAGGTTTAGGTTTAGTAGGGGTAGGCTTAGGCTTACTAGGGGTAGGTTTAGGCATAGGCTTAGTAGGTTTAGACTTAGTAGGCTTAGGCTTAGTAGGTTTAGGCTTAGTAGGCTTAGGCTTAGTAGGCTTAGGTAGTAGGCTTAGGCTTAGTAGGCTGTGTCTTAGTAGGCTTAGTACTGTTAGACCGAGACGTAGGCTTAATGTTAGGCTTAGCAGGCTTAAAAAAAGTACTTTCCGTAGATTATTATTGCTTATTTTACAGTAGCTAAAAAAGTATTGCCTCGCAGTAAAACAAAGCCAGATCCCAGCACTCGCAGTCATTTGTTGGGTCGTTTTACATCGAGGCAAATATTATATAAAAGTACAATATTACATAAGAAAACGTTGCGTAATACCATTTCTTGCAATTTCTCTAAGGCTATCTTAATATGTAATAGAATTGATATTAGGTAATGCCACACAATTTCTGACGGAACACTTTGTTTAGAAAATGATGCGATATAGGTGTAGGTAGCTTAGCAGAATAGGGGCAAAATAGTTTGGGTGTGATGTTTTAGTTATAATGTTGGTAGACTTGGGTTTGGTATTCTTAGGCTTAATATGCATGGACTTAGGGGCTTAGGATTAGTGAACTTGGGCCTACTAGGCTTAAGCTTAAAAGGCTTAGGCTTAGCAGGTTTAGGCTGATTAGGCTTAGTAGGCTTAGGTTAGTAGGCTTAGGCTTAGTAGTCTTAGGCTTGTTGGCGTAGGCTTAGGCTGAATAGGCTTAGGCTTACTAGGCTTAAGGTCACTAGGCTTAGGCTGAAGAGACTTAGGCTTTGTAGGCTTAAGAAGTTTAGGGTTAATTCACATAGGTTTGGCAGGCTTATGCTTATTAAGCCTAGGTTTAGTAGGTTGAGGCTTAGTAGGATTAGGCTTATTAGGCTTAAGAAGTTTAGGTTTAATTTACTTAGGCTTAGTAGGCGTAGGCTTAGTAGGGGTATGTTTAGGCTTATGAACTTTTAGAACTTTAAAAAATTTTTAAACTCTTACTTTTAGCCATTTTTCGATGACCCAGCCAAAGCCAACACCTTCCTGGGCACCCTGGACGCTCTGTTCATGTTATGTTATTCAGGGGGTCTCTTACTATGGGGTGGAATCGGCGATCGATGGAATCCATTGAAGGTTGTTGTCATCGGTATGATTGGATCTGGTCTGTCACTTACGCTGTTCGGAACATTACCAGTCGTAACACACTTTTACAATGTCATATACTACATCATTATATATGCGGTGTTTGGTGTGATGCAGGGTGCTGGATGGCCAAATGAGGTTACTATCATGGTAAGGAGGTTTTTTGTTTTTGCTTGTTTTTTAGGTAATATTTTAGTATTTAGTACTATTTTTTGGTTTTTTAGGTAACATTCTATGATTTTAGTACCGTTTTTGGGTATTTTAGGTAACACTTTACAATTTGGTACTACTTTTCGGTTATTTTAGGTAACATTTCACTATTTTAGTACTACTTTTCGACGTTTTAGGTAACATTTTGCTATTTAGTACCACCTCAAGTCATTTTTAGTCCACTATCTACAATTTACAACCAATTTAGGTAAAATTTTACAATTTAGTATCATTTCAGGCCAACTGGTTCAAAAAGAACCGCGGTTTCGTGATGGGCCTATGGGCCGCGTGCCAGCCGGTTGGCAACATCATGGGTGCTCTTATAGTATCAATGGTGGTACCACTAGGCTATGAATGGACATTCCTCGTCAATTCGGGTATCATCATAGCCTTTGGCATAATTTTATTGTTCTCAATCGACAATAAACCACCGGTCGAAATGGAAGAAAGCAGTCCAGACCTGGAGGCTAGAGTGGAAGAGGTGTCACATGAACCAATTTCAATGTGGAAAGCTCTGTTTCTGCCTAATGTGTTACCTGTGAGTTGAGGATTTTGTTAGTACTGTGTAGTAGTAAGAAAGGAGGATTAGTACTGTATAATACTAAAAAGTAAAGTTTAGTACTATATAGTACGAGGGTTCAATATTGATTTATAGTACTAAGTAGTACTGCCAAATCGTACTGATAATTACTGCAATGGATTTTTAGTGTTATATAGTATGAGATAGCAATTTTAATGTATCGTACTATATAGTACGAAAAGTCAAGTTTTTGGTAATGTTCAATGCTATATAGTATTGAAAATGATTTTTGAGTATAGTACATATGTTTTAGTTTTGATTTTTAGTACCATATGGTAAGATAATTCAATTAGTACTACTGTTGGTACTATATAGTACTAAATATCGAATTTTGTTGTACTTACTATATTTTATTTAAAATTGATTTTTTAAATTTTTTTGGTACTAAAATCAACATTTGGTGCTATTTAGTACTAGTACTGAAATTTAGTGCTATGTAGTACTAGTACTAAAAATTATAAATATTATTTTTTCAGTACTGTCTATGTAACGCATGCCTAAAATTCGTAAACTACGCCTTCTTCTTCTGGCTTCCATTCTACCTACATCAGAACTTCCAATGGGATGAGAGTGTAGCCAACCAGCTGTCAGCGTGGTACGATTTCGGCGGTATTGTTGGCTCCGTTCTCGGTGGTATCATATCAGTAAGTTTATGAAGTAAAATACGAGTTTTATGAATAAAAATGTTTTTAAAACATTATAAAATGGCTTTAGTATCGAAAACGTGCCGAAAATTTCAAGAAATTTGAAAAAAAATTTTGGCAAGAAATTTAAAATTTGAATTTTTAAAAGTGCAAATTTAAATTTGAAATTTTGTGTGTTGACTAAACATGGTAGTAGTATGCAGACTACAAATTTTGAGCCTATATTTGTCAAGTGCTTCACTTTTTATGGCTTTTTGAATATTTTGAAGCTGCAGCCTGCGGATCGGTTTATTTTGTAGGGCGTAAGCTGTGAATCTTTAAAAATAGATTTTTGGTACATATGGTACTTTTAATGAAATAAAAGAATGTTTCTTTATTTTTTCAAAAAAAAATTTTTTTTTGAATATTTTGAAAAATAAAATTTTTTTTAAAATTTGAAATTTCCAGGACAAACTTGGCCACCGCGCCCCAGTCATCACTACAATGTTAATCGGCTCGGTCGGCCTATTATTCGCCTATTCGGACGCGGGTCCGAACAAATTCATTAACATTCTGTTGATGACCTTCTTGGGTGTGACCATTTCCGGGCCGTACAATTTGATTGTTGGTACGATTTCCGTGGATTTGGGCTCACAACCAGCACTGGCTGGTAATCCAAAGGTAGGACTGGGGGTGTTTTTAAGGGTTTTGGGGGAGGTAGTGTACGATAAGATATAATGGAATATGGTGGGGAAGTGGAAAGTGTGGTAGGGTGCGATACGATAAGATACAGTAGGATCAGATAACTGTAATGTGAAGAAAGGGGGTTATGGTACGATCTGTTAGTAGGCACGGTGATGTTATGGTAGATTTGTAAAAGGGCTGGGCCCAATTTTTTGGCCAGAGAGGGTCTCCTATTAGGTCTAGGGTAGGGTATGGTAAGCTATCGTAGGATAATATAGGGTTGGGATACACGTAGGAGTTGGATAACTCAGGGTACGGCAGGGCAGGGTAAGAGGTTACAGTAAGTTAAGGCGGGGTAGATCAGGGTAGGGTATAGTAGGGTAGGGTACAGTAGAATAGAGTAGGGTAGGGTAGGGTAGGGTACAGGGCCGGGCGGGGACCTTTGGTCTGGGGGCGGAGGTCCCTGTGCCGATTTTTTGCGAAATTTTTTTTCTGAAAATCCACAGGGGGGGGACCACGTTCAATTTTTTTTCAAAAATTTTTTTCTGGGGGGATCCCCCCCCCTCGTCCCCCCCCTCGCGTCCGGCCCTGGTAGGGTAGGTAGGGTAAAGTAGGGTAAGGCATGATAGTGGAGTGTAGAGTAGGGTAGAGAAAGCTAAGTTACAGTAAGATGAGTATAATTTTTTAATTTTAAAATTTCAGGCCATGTCTACAGTAACCGGTCTCGTGGACGCATGTGGATCTCTGGGCTCAGCCGTAGGCCAACTGTTCGTGCCAGTCGTTCAGAATGGCTTGGGATGGAAATACGTCTTCTTCCTGTTCATTATCATGGTATGCTCGTCGTTGTGCTGTCTCTGTTGTACCATACCTCAAGTCCGCGTTAGACTGTATCCAAAACATTTTGGATCCGAAAAGAAAATTGCGAATGATTTTGAAATGAAATAATAAGCGAAACGAAAAATATTGTTTTTGAAAAACGGATTTTGAAGTTTTTGGCTAAAATTTTTGTTTTACTGCGGTTTTTTGTTGCTTTTTTAATATAATTATTGCGCGTTTTTAAGCCTAAAAAGTAACATTTAAGTTTATAAGATACTTTTTAAGCCTAAACAGTTACGTTTTAGCTTACAATATCCTTTTAAAGCCTAAAATTCAACAGTTAGGCTTATAACATCAGTTTCAACCTTAATATGTAACATCTAAGTCTATAGTTAAGCTTTAAGCCTAAAATTGATTTTTAAGCGTAAAGTTGACTTTTTAAATCTAAGATTCATTTTTAAGCCTAAAAATGACATTTTAATCTTAAAATATTCTTTTTGAGCCCAACATTAAATCTTTAAGTCTAAAATTTATTTTAAAGCCTAAGACTTTTTTAAGTAAAAAAAAAACTTTTAAGCCTAGAATTTACTTTTTAAGCCTAAACTTGACTTTTAAGCCTAAAATTAACTTTCGAAGCCTAATATTTTTTTTTAATTTAAAAAAAGCCTTAAGCCTGACTCTGAATGTTTAATTCATTTGTAAGTTTTAAAATCTATCGTTCTATTAGGTTGAGCCAAAAGTAGCGGGACACTTTTAGTTAGAAAACAAATAAATAATATCCCGCTACTTCTGGTTCAACCGAATATCTTTTCAAGCCCAACTTTAATTTTACTTTTATTTAAACCACTATCGATTAAGTTCTTCGCTTTAATTATGCAAATTTCAGAACTCCCTGTCGGTGGTGTGCTTGATCCGACGCAGCGCTCTCGACGTGTACGACCTGTACCAAACGCGGCAACGACGACGCAGCGTGCTGGTGGATGAAGGCGAGGACCAACCCCTCCTTTCTTAATCTTTCTTTTCTTGTTTTAGTTTCGCCCAACCTATCCAAGTGATCTTACCCTCTCCTTCTGTCTCTGATCGTGTATAAAGCGGCGCCATATCATGGGTGTTAATAAAATAATTATTGTGTTTGTGGTACTAACAAGGTCATATCGTGCTTATATTTTGTGGTACTAACGGGGTTTTGTCGTGCTGTTGTTTTGAGTACTAACAAGATTTTATCGTACTGATGTTTTGAGTACTAACAGGGCTTTATCGTACTTATGTTTTGTGGTACTAACAAGCCTTTATCGTAGTGTTAACTTGAGTACTAGAAAGGGTTTGTCGTACTGATGTTTTGGGGTATTAACAGAGTTTTATCGTGCTGTTGTTTTGAGTATTACCAGGGCTCTATCGTACTTTTGTTCAGTAGTATCAGCGTTGTTTGTTCGTACTGATACTTTGAGTACTATCAAGGCTTTATTGTACTTGTATTACGTGGTACAAACGAGGTCATATTGTACTGTTGTTTTCAGTACTAACAAGGCTTTAGCGTACTCAAATTATGAGTACTAATAAGGCTTTATCATACTGTTGTTTTCAGTACTAACAAGGGTTTTTTGTGCTTATATTTGGTGGTACTAACGAGGTTTTATCTTACTGGTTTTTTTTAATACTAAAAGCGCTTTATCGTACTTATATTTGGTGGTACTAACAAGGAGCTCCTCGTACTTTTATTTTGAGTACTAACTATTTTATTGTGTTGTATATGGTTTTCAAACGTATTTTTATTTGTTACAGTAATTTGTAGTACAGAGTATTAGTACTGTGTACATATGACAAGATCATTTGGTATTCTGTATATGGTCCACTACTTTTTAACGCCACTTTAAACACTTAAGTAATCAATACTCTTGCCACTGTCAATGTAAAGCAATATTCATTCCAACCTTTGTTCAAAAAATGTATCATTATGACGAGTTTTTATTGAATAAATCGAAGTTATGTTATTGTAAAACTTTACGACAAAGTTAAATAAAAATGACATACAGTGGAACCTCCGTATAAGGAACTATAATACTATATAACGAAAGCCTCTCATAACAAACATGTTTCAACTCCCTTAGCGATTCATTATACAATGGTTTCACTGTAGTAAAAACTCGTATCCCAACCTTTGTTGGGCACTTGATCTGTTTGTGTGTTTTGTTTCAAAACGTATTGTTTTATCATTTCATTGTTGTTTTAGGCTTTTTTTAGGCTAACAGTGTCAAAATGACAAACTTGATGACATTTTTTACTTCAGAAATGGAATTTTTCAATAATTTGTAATTGTATGCAGGGCCGGGCGGTACGTTTGGTCTGGGAGCGGGGTAAAAAAAATAGGCACAGGTAAAAAATTTTTTCGAAAAATCCACAGGGGGGGGACCACGTTCCACTTTTTTCGATTTTTTTTTTCTGGGGGGGGGGGCTCTACGCACGGTAATGGAGCCGAGCCTACTCTTTTTAGACCCGCCCGTGCACCAAGTTTATTGCCATTACTTTTTGTGACATTTTGTTTACTTTGTATTGATTTAGTTTTTATTGCTATCTTTTTGCATTTTTTATATTTTTATTGTCTTTTTTAAAGTTACACTGTAATTTTTTGTTGGGCGGGGTAATTTTTTTTTGTGAGAGCAGGGGGGTTAAAAATTAAAAAAAAATTATTTTTTTAATTTTTTTTATTTTTTTTTAAATTTTTTTTGTTTCTGCCTTTTTTTATATTGGGGGGGTAAAAATTTCTTTCTCTCTCCCCCCCCTTCTCTACCCACCATTTTTTGCAATTTGCTTTGAGCTGCCAAAAAACGTTTAACTTGACCCTATTCATGATTCGAAAATAATGGCGTGGGCAGAGTCAAGAAATGAATTATGAGTTACATTAAAAAAAACCCTCAAACTTTTTGTTATTTTGATCCGAAAACTGTAGTTTAAGGCATCTGACACCCTCTCACATTGCCCCGAACACCCCCCCATGTTTGTTTTGAGGCTTATCAGCCCTGCGGCGCTGTTTACGAGACTATCAGAAACGAATGATTGTTGGCTTTGAAACTTTGCTAAAGACATTGTTTTTGAAGCGAAAACTTTGTTTGAGGATTATGCTATCAACATATGTTGTGATAGACAATATCAATTAAAAATGACAGTTTTGTCGGTTAAAGAATGGCAGTTTTGTCGATTTGAAAATGGCAGTCAAAAAAATTTTAGAAACTGAAATTATTAGGTTGTTCAAATAATTCTGTGCCTCTAAACCCAAAAATTTTAGATTGGGTTAAAAAATATCAATTAAAGAATGGCAGTTTTGTCGATTAAATAATGGCAATTTACAAAAATTTTAAAAAATTGAAATTTTTAGGCTGTTCAATTAGTTATGTGCCCCTTACCTCAAAAAAATTGCTTTAAAGACAGCGCAGAATTATTTGAACACTATATTAAATAGAACCAACTTTAATGGTGTTATAAGCCTAAAAATGAATTTATAATGAATTTTTAGGCTTAGCATACAGGTTTAGGCTTAAAAAATTTAAGCTTATAAAACAAATTTTAAGACTTGGCCCACAGTCATAGACTAACGCACATATTTAGGCTTAATTTAAATTTTTAGGCTTTATTTACATTTTTAGGCTTAACTTACATTTTTTTAAATGAATTTATAATTAATTTTTAGGCTTACAAATACAAAATAATACTAGTAGCAGTAAGTATAACAAAGTTGATTGTAAATTTCATAACATAAACGTTTAAATCATTAAAAAACGTAATAACAATTACCACACCTTATTGATGATGACTTATAACAGGAGTGGCACTTTAAGGCTTCAACTCATGATTTTGAAACTTAGAAGATTAGAACAACAGTTTACATATTGGTTATTAGTTTGACCTGTTTCATTGATTTTATATTAAGAAGATTTTGTAGAAAAATTAGAAGGAGGGGGGGGAGAGGGGTAAATAGGGTTAGGACTAGAGCTAAAGCTAGGGCTAGGGCTAGGGCTAGGACTAGAGCTAGGGCTAGGGCTAGGGCTAGGGCTAGGGCTAGGGCTAGGGCTAGGGCTAGGGCTAGGGCTAGGGCTCTGGGCTAGGGCTCTGGGCTAGGGCTCTAGGCTACGGCTCCGGGCTAGGGCTCTGGGCTAGGGCTCTGGGCTGGGGCTAGGGCTCTGGGCTGGGGCTCTGGGCTAGGGCTCTGGGCTAAGGCTCTGGGCTAGGGCTCTGGGCTACGGCTCTGTGCTAGGGCTCTGGGCTAGGGCTCTGGGTTAGGGCTCTGGGCTAGGGCTCTAGGCTAGGGCTCTGGGCTAGGGCTCTGGGCTAGGGCTAGGGCTAAGTCAGTTTATTATTCATTTTGTGATCATTTGTACCTTTTTGCAAAATTTATTATCTGCCTACGTCATCATTCTTCTGAATCATGGTTGTATTGACCTACAACCCATTGACTCATTGATTGTTGATATACAATCGTAAAGGATGATAAACAAATTAAAAAAGATAATTAAATTGAAGTTTGAGTCATCTTCAGGGCCGGGTTACCCCTCCGTCTCCCGCAGAAAAAAAAATTTCGAAAAAAGTTGAACGTGGTCCTGTGGATTTTTGAAAAAAAAATTTTCTGTGCCGACCAGTGTTTTGCCGGACCGGACCGGACGGACCGAAACAAAAATTTTTGCGTACCGGACCGGACCCAAAAACCTGCGGACCCGGACCGAAGAAAAAGCTCCGGACCAGTCCAGAAGAAAAAATTTTTTTTTATTTTAATAGAAATGATTTAAAAATTGCAAATAAAATGTACTTTTAAGAGTTTTTAAGCAAAAAAGAAAGCAGTTTTAGCGCCTCTTGCTTTTTTTAAAAATTAAAAAAATTTTTTTTGCGGACCGGACCGGACCCAAAAATTTTGGGTTTGGACCGGACCGGACCCAAAAATTTGAGGTTGAAAATCGGCGGACCGGACCGGTGAAAAACGCTCCGGACCGGTCCGGGCAAAACACTAGTGCCGACCTTTTCGACCCCCGCCTCGACCAAAAGTCTGTATCTGGCCGGCCCTGGCCAACTTTATCAACTTTTTTACGATTCGGAAGTCTTAGGCTTAGTCATGGTCTTTATCTTAGTTTTAGGCTTTTGGTAAATCTGAAATTGTGGTTTAAGCCTAAGAATGCAAGCTAAGGCTAAATAAGTAAGTTAAGCCTAAAAATGTAAATTAAGCCTAAAAATGTGTGTTAAGCCTAAAAAATTTGGGCCAAGTCTTAAAAGATGTTTTATGGGTTCAAATTTTTTAAGCCTAAAAATATTTTTTTTTCAAATTTTTTTTGCCTAAACACAATTCATGTCATTTTAAACTATACTTTATCAAGTTTCTGTCCAAACAACAATATTTGTCATTTTTTCCAAATTTTATCGATAAAACGGTGATAACAATGTAAATGAGTAACCCCAACAACCTTTACGATTCTATTTGTGTACGATGGTCAGAAAGTGACGTTTAATCAGTTGGAAACGTCAATTTACCTTTAACCGTTATCACCTTAGCATGATGTCACGCTAATCAAGGAGTTGCAAATGACGATGAATTCGTCACTTTCGAATTGTTATAAAAGCTGAGGTGATAATAAAGAAGGGTTATCATTTTAAAAAAGTTTGGGGGATGATATCATTATTGCTGTTTAATTAGGTATAGTAGGGAAGGTCTGTGCTAGGCTAAAGCAAAAAAGTACTGGATATGCCCAATGGGTTGTATTAAGATTATGTTTTGATATTTTGTAGTGTTACAGTAACCCAAGGTGGAGCAGGATAAGGTAGGGTAGGTTAAAGCAGTAATATGGTAAGGCAAGGTAGTGAGGGTGGGGACAGCGCATGGGTAAAGAAGGGTAGGTTAATGAAGGGCAAGAAGGGCAGGACAAGGCAAAGTGCGGTAGGGTAGGGTAAGGTAGGGTAGAGTAGGGTAGGGTAGGGTAGGGTAGGGTAGGGTAGGGTAGGGTAGGGTAGGGTAGGGTAGGGTAGGGTAGGGTAGGGTAAGGTAGGGTAGGGTAGGGTTTTATGGTTTTATTTCAAAACTTTTGCTATTCAGAGTTATCGCTTATCAAATTTGTTGTCAATGTGTTCAATTACGAAACTCCTAAACTACTGTAACCAAACCATTTTTAATTTTTTTCAAAAAAACTTTATTTTATGATTTGCAATTAAAACGTCATTTTTGAATAAATTTTTTTATTGTAAAAATGTTTTATCACCACATTGTTGCCCTCCTTACCTCTGCCTTGTTGTGTTTATGTTGACACTGATGTTCGTGTTTATATAGACATTGTTTTGGGTCGAGAACTGGGTGCGGAACTCAAGTGAGGGCAACAGAAAGATACGTGAAGATTTGGGTCGTAAATGATCGGGTATTGATTTCAAGAGATCTACATAGCCAAAGCTATGAATACGTCTAGTTTTTAGCCGGCTAGGGCTCTAGGCTAGGGCTCTGGGCTGGGGCTCTGGGCTAGGGCTCTGGGCTAGGGCTCTGGGCTAGGGCTCTGGACTAGGGCTCTGGGCTAGGGCTCTGGACTAGGGCTCTGGGCTAGGGCTCTGGACTAGGGCTTTGAGCTAGGGCTCTGGGCTAGGGCTGAGGCTAGGGAGAGCTTTTACGAACTTTGGGTTTTCTTTCTAAATTGCCATTTTTAATTAAACTAAACCACCAAAAGCTCCAAAAATTTACTACATTATTCAAAAGATACCGCAGTATCATAAGAATTACAAAACTATTTAAAATTTTAGTTTAGTCTATTAAAAAATGGCACGAAAGTTTAAAAAATGTCTGTTTTTTGAAACATTTTGAGGCAATTTTAAAAATTAATTTTTGCTATTTTAGGTAACAGTAAAAAAAAGTTTTTAAGCCCAAAAGCTAGCCTACGGTATCACCTTTTATTTCTACTAAACTTTTTTTATTTCCGCTAATTAGTCGTGGTCTATTTTGTAGTCTAAGCGATAAGGCTGCAACACAAAGTAGACTCCAAATCAGCATTTGATGATATGACACGTATTGTTGACAAAAAAAGTACATCAAACTGTATCAAACTTTTTTTTGTACGCTGTTTATCATGGTTTAGCCAGTTGTACTCGGTTTTGGAAGAACTTATTGTTTGACAGCGATCAGTTCAAGTGCAATATTATTATAGGTATCGATAACGTTACTTTTTTGATAAATAAGGCTTGGGAATGAAAAAGTTATTGATTAGGAAAATTTTTTGAAAAAGGAAGTAATTTTGGGTATTATATGGGTATAAAATTGAAATTAAAAAAAATTTGTTTGGGAAAAAATCAGTTTTAAAAAATTTAAAAAACTGCACTGTGCAGTCATTTTTATAATTTTTAAGTCATAACTTTTTTTTAACTATTATATATATTTAAAAAAAAATTTTAGTACTATTAGCCTAAAAAACATATTTTTGAACTTTCAAAAAAATTTTTTTTTAAATTAAAAAAATTTTTTTTGAAAAAATATTACCAGGGGGACCACGTTTAACTTTTCAAAAAAAATTTTTTTTGACTGGGCAAGGGTAAAAAAAAGAAAAAAAAAGTTTGAGTTTTATATATGTTGTAAAACAAAAAATCTATGTTCGCAGCAATTTTTAGCTTTTTATTTACCGGTCGATTTATGATGAGTTAAAAGTCGAAACTTGAAAAAAGTTTGAATGCCTGGTGAAATAGGAAGAGGGTGAAAAGTGTTTTAACTTAATGCATGTTGTAAAGCATGTAAAAATGTATATGTGTAGCAATTTTTAGCTTTATATTCAATTTACTGGTCGAGTTATGACGAGTTGAAAAACTCGAAAATCCAAAAAAGTTCGATTCCGCTTGGAAGTCGATGATTTTTAGACTTAAAATTACTATAATTTTAGAGATTTAAAAGGTATAAAGTATAACAGTTCTATTTGCACTTTATTTTTGACCTATTCTTCAATTTCCATTACTTTTTGCAACCCCCCTTTCAGCCAATCAGCGCGCGAGATCTGGTCTCGACCTGAATCCGCCATAAACACAGGTTGGGGGCGGCTCGGTCGAGAATAAGGCGAATTGGGATTAGGAAACAATATTTTTTGCGAGGAAACACTATTTGTCGTTTGTCTGTTTTGCACACTGATAACGCGTTTGTTTCAGAACAATAACGAGGAAATGCAGAGATACGACCATTACAGTCACGACCAGCTTCAGTTCTACAACCCAAGCACGTTTTGCGAAGACAACGAGTGTTGTAAGTGGTTTTGGTAACTTGGGAGTGGGGTGGAGAGAGGCGGAATTAAAAAAAGTCAAATTTTGAGTTGGGCGGGGTAAAAAATGAAATTTTAAAAAAAATAAAAAATAAAAATTTTTTTTTAAAATTTTTGGTTCTACTACAATATAATGCAAGGTTTATTTATCCTAAGCTTCAAAAACAACATGGGCGTGGTAAAAATTTCATTTGTCAAGTTTTTTTTTTCGAAAAAAGTTTTTTTTTCAAATTTCGAAATTTGTACCCTTACCACAATATAACACAAAATATACCTATACATAGCCTTAAAAACTACTTATGCATTATAAAAAGTGGCATTTTCCACATTTGTTTTTTTAAAAAAAAAGTTTTTTTTGAAATTTCGAAGCTACTGTCCCTACCTCAATATAGCCCAAAATCTACCTCTACCATGCCTAACCTCACACCTTTAAGCCTAAAAATTCACTATTATTTTAATTTTTTGCACTTTAAAGTTAGTCCAACCTATTTTTTCGACTTTTCAGCGAATTTGACCTGGGGGCTTTCTGCGGTGATAAGGGCCTTAAGGGCTTGGAATGGAAACAACCATCAGTTGTTTCTTTTCCTCGTTTTGTAATCAGGCGGCTACAAAAATTGAATTTTTTAATGATTTTTGATTCGCAATAGTTTTTATTTGAGGGGGGGGCGGGTAGGGTGGTAAGGATGAAACGGGGGAGGGGGGGGGGGTATAGATCGGGAGGATTATTTTGAAGTGTTTTTATACTATGGACAAAACTGCAAGCCACGTATTTTACATTTTTTAAAACGTAAATTTAATTAAAAAATAAAAACCGCAATCACTTTGTTTACAAAACTTTTTTTTTAATTTGGGTTTGCTTATAAGCCTTATGGGTTTTCATGTCATACTTGGTTTTTACATTTTAAGTCTACCGTAGCCTTACATACTCTACCCTATTTAACCTATACCTTACTCTAGCCTTACTCTAGCCCTATCCTAATCTACTCTTAAATTAGTCTTTCCCTACCTTTGTATCTTAAGCTTACCCTAGCTCTACTCTAGCCTAGCCTTATCCTAGCCATACCATGCCTTCTTTTTGACCTCCGCTCCCAGGCCAAAAGCCCCTGCCCGGCTTTGCCTTACCTTATCAAATTTTATTAGGTCTCTAATAGGCTTAAGCTTGGCAAACTCAGGTTTATCTAGCTTGTTCTTATATTAAGCCCCGACATAAAGAACCCGCCGTTTTTTAAAGGCAATTACAGGCAAAGTATGGCGGGTTCTACATGTCGGCACCGAATACTTTGCTATGCCACTTTACCTTACCTTAAACTATATTATACTACTTTTCTACTTTGTTTGACCCACTAACCCATCTATTACAAAGTGTTAAAATATTATAGTATTCTTTTGTTAATTTACCATCAAAACGTCTCTCTTATTGTATTGATATCAGTGTTTATTCTAGCACAATTGGTCATAAACTCTTGCGGCTAAAGTTTGACGTGTTTTTGTGCATTTTCAAGGTATTTTTATCCTTTTGTAGAACCTATTTTTGGTATAAAATCAAATTTGAATAGGGGAGGGGGGGGAGGGGGAGATGTGATTTTGGAATTGATCTGGATGTTGTTGTAAGGGTAATCTTCTTATTGAAGGACTTGATGTTTGATATGATTTTCAATAGTTGAGCCTTGGCCTTAGGTTAAGCCTAAGCCTTAGCCTTAGCTTTAGCCTTAGTCTTAGCCTTAGCTTTAGCCCTAGCCTTAGCTCCAGTCCTAGCCCAGATAGACATCAGGAACAGTCCGGGCCGGCCTCGACTCAAATTTAAGTCGGACCAAGCCTGTAAGTCAAGGTTCGACCCGTTTCCATGAAAAAAGTTTTACCCTGCCCTTGTTTTCTTTTATTTGCTCTACCCCCCTACACTACCTTACCTTACCTTCCCTTACTCTACTCCTCCCCCCCCCCATAACCTAATCAACCTCCCTTCAAACCCAAAACTCCTCTTCGTCTCGGTTCATTTCCCTCACCCCCCCCCCGCTCTCTCTTTTATAATGTGCATTGCCTTATATGGGTTCATAAGTAGATGGTAGAGTCATCTTTGGTTTTTGTTCAGGTACCTCATTCGATTGCATGAAGACGTCTTGAAAGCCTTCGGAATGGGCGTCTGAATCACGTCTGTTTATCTAAGGGCGCGTGAACTGATCCACCCTCGGCGAGAAACATTCTCCGGAAAAGGATCGCGGCCATAACCCCACCGAGCGTCGTTAAATACGCGGTGACAGTAAAAATTGGGACGGCTGAAGGAGAGTGGGGAATGGGGGTTAGAGTGGTGGAAGAGTGAGGAAGGGGGGGGAGGCTAAAGGAGAGTGGGGGGTGGGTGGTGGGGGTTTTGGTTGATTTTTTGGCTTTATTTGGCTATATTGGGTAAAACTTTAAAAATTTTTTTAAAAAATACGGAACAGGCTTGAGGGGGGGGGGGTTTATGCTACGGGAAAAAAGTGATGGTGATGGCACAGTAAAAAACTTCAAGGTGGGGTAAAGCAGCTTAAAATATGATAAAGTAGTTTGGTATGATAGAGTAGGGTGGACTGAATAGGATAGGATGAGAAAGGGTAGAACAGTAACGAGTATATATTAGATAAGGTATGGCAATGAAAAATAAAGTACAATAGGGTAGGGTAGGGTAGGGTAGGGTAGGGTAGGGTAGGGTAGGGTAGGGTAGGGTAGGGTAGGGTAGGGTAGGGTAGGGTAGGGTAGGGTAGGGTAGGGTAGGGTAGGGTAGGGTAGAGTAGTGTAGGGTAGGGTAGGGTAGGGTAGGGTAAATTTCTTTTGATTACCGTAATCTAATGTTATAAAGTATTTGAATACAAGTATATCAGTAAAACTTATACTGTAACTCTTTCAGGCATGGAACCTACGTACGCAACAAACCCTCTAGTACATCATCAACTCAAATTAGAGCCGTATTCTGAATATTACTATCCAATGGAGTTCTACGCTGAATATCAACCAAACTACATCCCAACTTCTGAGCATCTGAATCAGCCTCAGTCATCGTATGAGCTATCGTCATCACGGCATGATTCTGCCTCTGAAGCGTTAAGTAGATCAAATATGGATTCAGAATCCCGACGATCACAAATGACTTCTAGTTTACCGTGCTCTTCTACATTGGCTTCAGATCTACCGTGCATATCTTTTTTAGAATCAGATATATCTTGTAAATCGTCACGGCTACATGATTTGTCGTGCATATCTTCACAGACTTCAGAGTTACCGTGCATTTCATCAATGGTTTCAGAATTACCGTGTAGGGCTTCTGACTTACCGCCGCTAGCTTCAGAGCTTCACTGTCCTCCATTCATGCCTCCAAATTCATCATGTCTACAGCCAATGACGTCATCGTGCCCATTAACCATGCCTTCAAACCCATCGTGCCGCTCCTCCCTAACCTCAGAATCCATGTGTAGCACAACTTCAGAACATCATAATCTATCGTACAAATACTCTCCAGGTTCAGAATTCTCATCAAGCTCTTCTCCCACCAACTTCTCGGTTATATCTTTATCTCCCGGTTGTTCATCATCACATTCGAGTTGCTCGAGCACGTTGATGAACGTTCATTTGCCTCCGGACATTTGTGCCAAAGTATTTTGTCCTCCAAGTGCTGTGAATCCAAGTGGACATCACCGTATGCCAAGGAGGAATAAGGTGGAGTTGCAGGAGAAACGGAATTACAAGTGCAATGTCTTAGGTGAGTCAATGTTTTTTGGGCCGTTTTTGAATTTTTCGAAATTTTTTTGAAATTTTTTTTAAAACGTTATTAAACTAGGGTCTATTGGGCACATTTTGACACATTTTGGCAATCCTACTTTATCATTTCACATTACTGTACTCATTTCTTTGTATATAACATCTTTATTTTTTCAAAGGTTAGCCACTGTCATTTTTAAATCATATTAAAATTTTTTGAAATTTTTTAAAAAAGTTGTTTAGACAGTTTTAAACTAGAGTCTATTGGGCACATTATGACAAATTTTAGCTGTCTTACCTTATTATATGACTTTACTACCGTCATTTCTTTGTATACACCATCTTTATTTTTTCATACGTCAGCCACTGCCATTTTTAAGACATATTTAAATTTTTTGAAATTTTTTTGAAAATCCAGTCAACATATCATAAGCTAGAGTCCTTTTGCCACATTACACCAAACTTTCACAATCCTAACTTATCACCTGACATAACTACAGTCATTTTCCGTATGTACCGTCTCTCTTTTCCCCAAATATTTGCGGTCGGATTAGAGATGGCGTAATATTGCATGGATATAAAGTTACTTGTTGTCTCAACAACTTTTAATCAAGACTCGGATTAATGCTGACTCATTTTACAGGCTGCACCAAGGTCTACACAAAAAGCTCGCATCTGAAGGCGCATCAGAGGATTCATACAGGTGAGGTCTTCTCTTTTTTTTGGCGTTTGTTTTGTGGTTTTGATGTGACATTTTTATCTTTACTGAGTTTAGTATGTGATTTTGAAGTTGTTTGTAGATACTAGGTAAATTACCAGAGTCTTTTACACCTTTGCTCAAAATTTCAGACAGTTTAGTCAAGTATAACATAAGTTATGGCAATTTATTTAAAAATATCGAGGTTAGACCTCATGGATAATATTATTTTTTGTTGTCTACGAATCGTAATTTAGTTTTACAATTTTATTTTTTTAAAATACGTTTTTAAATAGTATTTTACATTCAAATACAAAAGCATTTTATGATTTAGTTAATAGAACTTAAGTTATTCAATTTTCTTTGTCTCTTCAGATGTCATGGATAATATAATTTGCTAAATTTTTATTTGTTTTCAATTTTTAAGCATTTTTTTGCCATTTTAAGGTCCAGTGGAACATTGTGTGTCATTTCAAATAATTTCAAAAAATTATGTTTTCTAGAATTGAAGTTTTGGCTTTTTTTGACCTTCAGTTGTCATGGATAATATAATTTGCTAAAACATTTTTTTTGAATTTCAAAAAACTTTTTACATTTCAAAGTGTCAAATGTCATATTGTGACATTATAAAATAGTATTTTATTTTAAAATTTTATGGCCCCTTCGTATTTTACCTTGTTTTTTATTTTTTTAATGTACTATTTTGTAGTAAGATAGCTTTTATATTGGGTATTTCAGCTTTTTAAAGCTGGTACAAAATTGGAAAAAAGACTTACAAGGATACTGTAGCCTACTGTAGTCAATTATAAGCCCATAACTAATCTAAAAGTAACAAACTTTAAGCCTCAACCTCTTTGGGTCGTTTTATAACTCCCCATCCCACATACCACGCCGATGTTTATGTTACCATCGCGATTTATGTTAGCATCGGCGGGGGTAATAAAAACGCGTTTCGTTTGAAGCCGTTACCGTAATATTTGCGAAGAAGGACACGGCTATTTCGCGCTCTTTGACGGCACTCGAATAAAACCCTTTAACAACACCAATTTGCTGAATGGTACTTGAGCTGATACGACGATATACTTCCGATCGCCGGTATTTACCGCAATATGCAAATTATTGAAAAGTAAACAGTGGTTATGGCTAGGTAAACGTATTGAGAAAGATAGTTTTGACGTTGTGAGATGTGATTTTGACTTGTCTTCAAAGAGATTAAAAAATTATATTATCCATGACATTTGAAGACCGAAAAAGTGTAATAACTTAAAAACCAATTGGCAAATTTAAAAAATCGTATTTTATAATGTCCCAATATGACATTTGACACTTTAAAATGTAAAAAGTTTTTGAAATTTCGAAAAAAATGACTTTTTAAAATTATATTATCCATGACATCTGATGACCAAAAAAGTACCATAACTTAAAAACCAGTTGATAAATCATTAACAAATATTGACCGAAGCTTTAAAATGCCATTATCTTTCATCACTTATTTATCTTTTTTTAATATTATCAATAATTACCTAAAATACGATCAACATTCCGTCACTAATCCTGAACAATTTCAGGTGAAAAGCCGTACACCTGTCTCTGGCCGAATTGTAATTGGCGTTTTGCTCGAAGTGACGAGCTGACTAGGCATTTGAGGAAACATACTGGTGCTAAGCCATTCCGATGTCCGAACTGTGCACGATGTTTCGCCCGTTCTGATCATTTACAGCTTCATATGAAACGACATGAGCCTAAGGCTGGGAGGCAGTCTTGGTAGATAATTCTATTGTAGTTGTTAGAGAGTGTGGTACTGTAGTAAATAGGGATGGTATTGTAGTAGTGAAGGCTAGTACTGTATGTAGTAGTAAAGCCTGTTACTGTAGTAGTCAGAGCTGGTACTGTAGTATTAAAGGATATTACTGTAGTAGTCAGAGCTAGTACAGTAGTAGCCAAAGGCGGTACCGTAGTATTAAAGGGTATTACTGTAGTAGTCAAGGCTAGTACTGTAGTAGTCAAAGCTACTACTCAAAGCTACTACAGTAGTAGTAAATGCTGATTCTGTAGTACCCAAAGATGTTACTGCAGTAGTAACTGTATCTATTCCACTATAGTATCATTTAAAGCCTTACGGTAGTCATATTGTACTGCCGTACCTCTTCTAGCTTACTCAGTACTCTACCTGCCGTAATATCATATCTTGTACTATACAGTACCATAATGTCTTACCTTGTATTATAGAGTATTTCCTTACCATGTACCTTACCGCAACTTTTACTATACAGTATTACCATACTTTGTATCTTACAGTACCCTCATATCTTATGTAAATTACCGTCTCTTCATACTATGTACCTTACAGTACTCCCATCTCTATTATATCCTACCGTACCTTCATACCATGTATCTTCAAGTATATTACCATATCATGTATCACAGTTCACTTAATGCAAACATTCCGTATTCGAACATACGATCTGATGTCCCACTCCGAACCCAATGAACTCGTATATCTTATTATAGTCGTACATTTATTGCAATAAATACAAAGTTATGTTTATATATACAAAATGGTTACCAGTTTTTGTTGGACAAAGAGATTACTGTAAACAATACCGAATTCGGAAAATAGAGGGTTACTGTAATGGGCCGAACATTTAAATGAAAGGTTACTGTAATAGGCCAGAAATTTAAATAAAAGATTACTGTAAGGGCCGAAAGTTTGGGTTACTGTAAAAAGCCAAAAATTTTAAATAATAAGTTACTGTAAAATTGCAAAAAATAGAAAAAATGCGTAAAATGTAAGTAATAAATTTTTTTTGACCCGACCGGTCGTATTTTAAAAATAAAAAGACGCCAAAGACACTTCATAAAACCAGGTTCGAAACTACCGTATTGGGCTTGGAAAACCGAGAAAAAACTACCCTATTAAGTTTGAAAAACCGATGAAAATCCCCACCGTATCACTAGCACTACCATGATATTAACCTTAACATAACTATCGCGGTCAAGAAGTTCGTAGAACAAAAATTTTTCAATTTTAAAAAAAATTTTAATTCCACGTATTTTTTGACCTCTAAAATCCAAAAAATGTCAACAAACACCCCTCCCCTACCCAAAATTATAAAAACACCCCCTAATTCTAAAAAACAACAAAAACACCCCCTAGCCCTTAAAAATAATAAAAACACCCCCTAGTTTTAAAAAATAATAAAAACACCCCCTCCTCCTAAAAAATAATGAAAAACACCTCCTCCTACTAAAAAACCCTAAAAAACACCCCTCATACGCACAAAAATATTCTACCCCTCCCACCCTAAAACATATAACAAAATGAAAAGCCAAAAAATCTACCACCCCCCCCCCTCCAGAAGACATCTAACAATATGAACAACCAGAAAGTCTAAAGAACGTTAGTCAAAGACCTGATCGTCCGGTACCACAACGGCTCCGTGATGTAGTCTCGTGGCGGTTGTATCGCCTTCAATCGTGTCACCGTACCCACCGTACTCGTTGGCTCGGTTTCTTCGTAGTACACACAGTCGATTGGGTATACGTAGCCTGGGGTGAGAACGTCACAGAAGGCCGTCCCGGCTTCTAACGCCGTGACTTCGTGGATGTTGCCTCGGATTGGGTCGAGGAATACGACTGTTTCTGGGTTCTCAGCTGTTGATACTGATACTTCTTGTTCGCCTGGAATAGCAAATCAATAATATTATAGTGAAGCAGTTTTCTGTGCATTTTTTGACCTGTAAAATTAACTCTTCTTACACGCTTCATGATCTGAAAGAACCACTATTTAATGCCTTTTTTAAGCCCAAAAAACAATTTTTTCCAAGAACTTTTTGACCTCAAGACTAACTTTTTTTCCAAAGGCTTTTTGGACCTAAAACATCAGCTTCTTCTACAGACTTTTTCACTTTAAAACACAACTTTTTCGATAAACTTTTCGACCTCAAAACTCAGCTTTTCATACAGACTTTATGTCCGCAAAAATTCGTTGTTTCTACGGACTTTTTGACCTCAAAACCTGCCTTTCTCTTCACACTGTTCAACATCAAAAATCAGGTTCCTCCCCATCTGTAATTCCCTACCCTATCATTAATAACACAAGCTTCACCCTCAAACTTATAACAAAAGCCTTACCCTCAAACTTGGCAGTAATCATGTTCCTCTCCTTCTTAGTCTCATCCTGCACAAACGAGAACGATCGTATCCTCAAAGACCCTCGTAGCACTCTGATAAATCCGAAGCTTTGTTGATGATCATGCAATGGTATCTTCAAGCCTTCATTCTTCATTCCGAACACAACACACGACATTGTGGGGTCTTCGTATATGTCGGCACCATACATGTTGCCGTAGAGTTCGTATCGGTCGGGGGTTGGGTGTGGTAGGCGGATTTCGAGGACTTCTGGCGTTATCGTCGAGACTAGACGTCGAATTTCGGTTACAATAGCCGGGTCGTTTCTGTGGCGAAGTGAGATGCATAGTTGGGAGAGGGCTTGGAGGGTGGTGCGGAGGAGGCGTCGGTCGGCCATCATTGTGATAGCTGAAGATTTTGGTGCTATAGTCTATATCTGTTCGTATCAATCTTAGGATATCTATTCTTATCAACCTTAGAATATATATTCTTATCAACCTTAGGCTATCTATTCTTTTCTATTTTATAGACAGTAGGTTCCTACTAAAATCCTTCTCCCTATGTTACCTATAACAATATCCACCTCAAAATCAAAATAATAGTTGGCTGAAACCAATACTTCACCATCAACTTCCGAATAGTATCCATTAATACTTAGCCTTTATTTCAATATATTATAATACCCATATAATGATAAATAATTCCATGATATGACCAAACACATAAAATATTATGTTAGCCTATTATGACCAAAAATTAGAAAAAATACTGTGTGATATGAGCAAAGACCTTAAAATACTATTAAATACTACAATAACATAAATTAACCAAAGCTTTCAACTAAAAATGTAACAAAATGTGCAAAAAATTAGCATAAAAATGATAAAATACTTAAAAACCTTAACGTAGACACCTTGATACTATCACAATATAGCTAAAAATGACCAAAAATATCACCGTATGTATAAATTAAACAGTATGATAACAACAAAAAGATATAAAAATACAGTTAACAAGACACCAACGTATAGAACAAGCTCACAAACCCCTGAGTTAGTTAACAAATCAACATATTACACTAGACAATTCATGCTTTTATTAAAGCCGTATTTAATGTCGGTCGATTTTACTGGTCGATAAGTGCTCCAGATCATTTTTGGACAATCTTCCTGACATTTGTCTGTCACATTGTAGTTGAAATCAACCATTTGTCTGAACAAATCCGATATTGTAGTAGCTCGTTTTAGTTCTGCACCATTTTTACCATAGACAACATCAATATCCTTTGATACAACATCATTCTCCTTCATCACAAGATCATCATCTTTCAGTCCAGCCGGATTCTCTTTCAGTCCAGCCCCTTTTCCCTTCAATCCAATCCCATTTTCCCTTGGAAATATCGTAAATTGATATTGTAGTAGCTCTTCCTTGGTGTCCGGATGCTTCATGATGAAGGTATGGATTCCGGCTGAGGGATTTCTCACGGACAGATCAATTTTAACGTGTTGTTTGTAGTTGATCGAGTTGTAGGGTTCGATCATCTTGAACATGAACACTGTCTTGTCCGGCGACCAGACTTCGATCATAACCTTGGGGCTGGTCTTCTTTTTCTTGTTTGCCGCCTCTTTTTGGTCTTTCAGCTTCTGCCATTGCCATTGGAAGGTGACTAGAGAATCCTAAAAGACAAATTTATATAAACCATTCAAAAGGTATTAAGATAACATTCAAAAATGACTTAAAACTTAGAAAAAATCGTCAAATTTTGCCAAAAAATAGCCAAAAATCCCTCAAAATTAGCCAAAAAATGCCATTTTTAAACGCCACATAAATCAAAAACTTCTCTCAAGCCTGCTACAACATCCGAGAAACCTTACCTGACTAATCAAAGCCAGATCATCTCTAAAAATCTCTTCTTTTAGGTCCAAACTGCTTCCCACCTCTACCACCAACAACTTGTATCCACTGACAATCTTTTCCTCGTCTAGCCACTTCCGTTTGCCTAATCTGTCAACTTTCATCTCGTGAGTCTGGTCACAATCATCTTTGACTTTAAAAATGCTGTAGATTTCCGATTCTTTATACGATAGGAACATGTTAATCTCCAGTAAATCAGTAAACGCACATGTTGATATCGATTTGTCGTATAGAGCTTTTGCCAGCTGGATTAGAAGGTTCTTATTCTTTGGTTCTGAAAGAATATACGTTGATTTACATAGTAAAACGTATTATTTATAAACCAATTTTAAATTTTTATGATACCCCTCATGAGTAATATCCTAATGTCCTAAAAATTGCCATAACTTTTCGTACACATTCAAGCACTACAAGACCTATTTTGAGATAGTTAATTCAGACCTTTATACATCTCATAGGCTCGAAATTAAGCAATTTTTAACATTAAAATAACTTTTACAGCCTATTTTATATAACACATCATGAATAATATGTCGATGTCCATAAAAAATGCCATAACTTTCTCTATATCAAAAATATAAATCCAAAACTTTTTGACCGCAGTCATAACACAACATAGTTCATTTTATAAAAAAATTATTGCCATACCATTCCAAATTTCAAAGATACCAACAAAAGTATTGGCATTTCCACAACAAAAATAGCCGTAAAATTCCAAAAAATTGCCGTAACTTTCTTCAAACTGAAAACGAATGCCCCAAAGTTTCTGACCGCATTCCTAATACCTCTCTCCTCAATACACATCTTCCTCACTTCATCATACACCTCCCTCTCTTCAACATCTATCAATCTTACCCCACATTCCCAACCAAACCTACCATCATATCTCTTGTCGTACAGACTAACCCATCCATTGTGAACATCGTCCTCTTCATTCAGCTTCTCCTTCTCGAATCGATACACATTCTTCTCAGCGTCAGCTATCGTTACCGGGTCTACCATCCAGTCAAACTTGCGGGCAAAGTAGTTGGTGTTGTTGGTCAGTCGGTCCACATTCAACTTGTCATCCTCGGTTTGTATAGCAATCGGTGAACAGCCGCACCAATCCACGACATGTCGAAGGCCTTCGCATCGACAGCCTTGATCTCGCTTCCAATTGGTTAAGCGAAGGTTTTTGTACATTACTTTGTCACAAAAGTGAGTGTTTAGGGCTACCTAAAATATTTTTTATTTTTAATCGTACATTCAGCCTTTTGGTCAACTTTAGTCTAAAAAAAGTACTTTTGATCAACTTTATATTACCCTGCCCATCAGCTAGCCATGTTTTTCAAAAATAGGTATTTAACCTTAACGTTAAGCCTAAAACATCAAACTTTTTGCCAAAAAATACAAAAAACCCTATATTCCCCTTACAGTATGAAAAAAGCCTTCCAATGGCAATAATATCGTCTTGAACAGCTTCCGAAGGTCCACACATATCTGTTCATCTGATATGGCAAACTTGGCCAATTCTCGATTGATCACAACCCAATCCGATCCACCATCGACTCGAAGATTCGCTGGGTAATTCAGCCTAAAATTTCGTGAAAATTACTGTATTATAACCGCTCTATAATAGTTTAAAATACAGTAAATGTTATGAAAAGCTATACCATGAATAATATAATGATTACCTTGGCCCTACTCTCCACATTCGTTCTTCACATTCAAAAAAGTGGTAATTGTAGCCTTGCTTCTTCAAAAACGACCCTGTATTATACCCATGAGCGGCCATAAAACTCTTGTTTCTGTGTCTGAAAGTACAATATATTATTCATGACATCCTTTGCTATAACAAACTTTTTAATAGCTTCAACACTTAAATAAATTCATGACCTAAACCATCCTTAATACCAAAATCTAAGCTTCAAAACCCACTCAGCCAACATTGCCTCCAGCTCACTAATACTCAGAACAGGGTAATCTGATTCGCTCAAGTTGAAGATAAAGTCCCAGTCATCAAAGCCTTCAATCTGACCATTTAAAGTCTTCTGAACCACATCCAAGAACATGTCCAACAATGAGGTTCCTCCCCAGATCGTTATGAATCTCTCTTGAACAACCTTAAAATTGTTCTGACCTGAACTTTCCAGCAGCTCTTGGATTTTCATCACCTCTAAAATAATTTTTGATATCAAGGTTAATATAAGGCTATACCTTTGAATAACAACAATAATAGTTAGTGAAAATTGTCAATATTGTAGCTACGATCTGAACAACAATAATGCAAAGCAATAAGTGTTACCAATATTAACAAAAATTATAGTTTTATCAAGCTCAATACATATAGGTATACCTACTATAACATCATATGCTCCAGACCACTATCTCAAGTCAATCTTTTCAGTATATTAAAAACAAAATCAAAATAAGAATTTCACCTTATAAAAATACAAAACAGCTCTAAAACCCAACATAAAATTGACTTTTACCAACTTCTATCCCCATGTACACCAAATGTAACATAAAATTTAAATAACCTACCATAATGCATCAACTTCTGCCTCGCATCAACGTGAACAAGATAAAGATGTTTTGGATTGTATATAGCCTTCAGTAACCGCTTGATTTGCCGCACATTTCGGCCGTTTAGCTGAAGTAAGAATAATATCTTCACATCCTTCTTCGAGGTCTCTGGTGCGATATAACTTGGGTATTTCTTGTTAAACACTGAAAGAATATTAACTTTAAACCATTTTAAAACATAGTTCAGTCTTTCTTCCAACTTTTGACATCAAAAACGTATCTAAAATCGAACAAAAATATTAAAATCTTACCAGTTACACCAGTGCTATAGAGAGAAATGGCGTTGAATCCGCCACAAAACTGTTTTTCATTGCCTGGACATCTATATTCCTCACAAATTGATGAGTTAGCATCTGGTTTTAGATCGATAATGTCAATATCATTCCCGCAAAAACATTCGGAACCGTATTCAACTCCTGAAAAGATCAAAAATTATATTATTTATCAACAAATAAACAGATTTTAAATAAATTTTCATAGTAAATCAATGTTTTTCGTCAAAACTGAAGTTTGATAGCTGCACCTAAAAGCAAAAACATTTAAAAAAGATATGCAAACTTACCAGCAAGTCTTGCTCCAATCCTAAAACAGAACTGAGCACATTTTTCGATCGAATTGGACTTCTTTAGGTCGTACTTGAAGAAAGTCAAAGTCCGTTTTTTACTCGAATCTCTGAAACAGCCCCGATGTTGAAATTGAATCTCCGGATCGTAAATCGGACAAGTATTAGCTACGGAACGCACAGGCCATCCTTCTTGATCCATTTCACACAAATGATCTTCTAACTGCCGCTTACATTCAGGCGTCTTCATTCTTTTGTAAACATCATCAGCTGCTTTGTCGAAAAATTCACATCTTGGACCGAGTTCATAGTCTTCATTCTTAACTTTTGTTTCAGAGACTTTACTGGCCTTTAGGGCACGTTTTATAATGTCAGACGGCGAAGAGAAGGTCTGAAACGATTGAAAAATATAAGATTTATTCTCAATTCGACGGTTCCTTAGTTCTTTATCTAAAAGTCAAGAAATAATAGCCAAAACCTTACCTGATCTCTCCTTGATAACAACTGTAGAGCACAATAGATATTGATACAAAATAAGACCAGAACAACGGCCAGAATCATGCGCCATTGCTTTCGAAACCATCGTGAACAAGTTTGCTCCACAATCGCATGTCCCGAATCCCGCATTTGCGTTTAAGCTAAAAAATTAACTTGTATACTGATATCAATTTTTACATCGACGATAAGATTGAGAAAAGCTAGCTAAACTTTAAACTTCTGGCCCAGAAGCAAGCTTTCAACGCCAGAAATCAGTCTTTTTTCGCTTCTGATGGCCAGAAATCTGTAGTTTACAAAAAACGTCAGGAACATCAAAAAACATTTAGACTACATAACGTTCTTACCAACAACAATCACTTCTCCGAAAAATCGCTCCAAAACAGCTGAAACCACAAATTGCCTGAAGGCAAAAACAGGCAGTGAGGCAGGACGAGGGAAACCGACGGATTAAACGCACATAACAACAAATATACTATCATAGACGGATGAAGCCGGTCTGAAACGTGTTCACATTGTAATTTGCGATCTTGGTTGAGCCGTTTTTCGAGTAACATTTTTAAATGCGAACACTTGACGCAAAAAACGGAGCGGAATTTGGACAAGTGTTGCTTTTCCTTCCTCGAAGCGGTTTTCGCAAATTTGAATTTTCAAAATGTTCCCAAAACTTTTTGACCTTAAAATAACATTTATATTGTTCAGAAGAAACTCTAGATTATATTTTTAAAAATATTTTCATTAAAACATAATAAAATAAGCTTTATTAATAAGAATCAAGGTCAAAACATCTACATCTACTACAACATCGCATAGTGCGGTAAAAACGAAAGAAACCTTATTAACATATAAAAAATATATTAAAAATGCTAAAAATGAGCAAGAATAATCTATTAAGCCTCAAATGAACGTAAAGTAAACAAGATACGACAAGTTACATTAATATAAAACAAGGAACTGTCAGATCAGTTAAAATAGGTCAAAACTTATATAAAATAAATCGGAATGAACTTGAAACAAAGGTAAAAGCCTACAGTAATGTAAAGCTAGTCCAGATCAGCTAGAATTTTACAAATCTGTTTCAAAATCAAGAAAAAATCGACTAAAACAGAAGAAATTACTTTAAAATCAACAGAGATCAAAGGAAGAAGCCCAAAATCACTGAAAAACAGATCTGTAAGATTTAAAAATCAACGAAAAATAGAAAAAATAAGCCTGAAAATAACATAACTGATAAATAAAAATCTGAAAATATCAAAAAACATCTAAAAATCGACCGAAAACACAAAAAATCAAACTTCAAAAAATCAAAAATTTTTAAAAATTTAAAAAAAACAAAAACAATCCGAAATCAAGTAGTGCAAGTTTATTGGGATTCAAAATGGAGCCATCCTACTTCCTGCCGGCGTATGTCTTCTGGTAGTTGGAGGCCTTCTTATATTCGATCTTCTTCTTGGCTGGTGCGGCGGCCGGCTTTGGTGGTGGTGGTGGTGGTGGTGGGGGTGGTGGGGGTGGTGGTGGAGCGGCCGCTTCCTTCTTGCCTCCGCCAAAGTAATCGTTGTCGTCGATGTCAATGTCCAGGTCGTTCCCTTTCTTGGCGCCTCCGCCGGTCGCTTCCACTGGAACGTATGCAGACTTGTCCGCCATTGTTCCTCGCCAGATGCCAAAATGAGCCCTGTCTGTTTCACGCGTTCAAATAGGAGCCCACCGCTTCGCTCCGCCGCTTTTATACGTCATGAAAATTTTGGCTGAACTTTATGCAAATTTGGTTTGGAATGGTGGTGAAGTGAGGGGGAATTTCGAAAAATGTCATTTTTTCTTCGAAAACTTCGAAAATGTCGGTTTTTTCGAGAAAATGACAATTTAGCGACTAGCCATGGCTCACGTCGATGAAAAATAAATATTCTTGGCTTGAAACGAAAAGCCATAAAAATTTGTTGCGTAGTGTCACACTACGTTTAAGCCTGCAAGCCTAAGCTTCTAAGCCTAAATCTTCAAGCCTAAGCTTCTAAGCCTATAAGCCCCTAAAACGTAGCTTCTAAGCCTAAGTTTCTAAGTCTAAGCTTCTAATCCTAAGCGTCTAAGCCTAAGCTTCTAAGCCTAAGCTTCTAAGCCTAAGCTTCTAAGCCTAAGCTTCTAAGCCTAAGCTTCTAAGCCTAAGCCTCTAAGCCTAAGCCTTTAAGCCAAAGCTTCTAAGCCTAAGCCTTTAAGCCAAAGCTTCTAAGCCTAAGCCTCTAAGCTTAAGCTTAGTACAATGCCAAGTCTCTTAGTCTAAGTCTAAATCTTTACGCTTAAGCTAACTCTTCTAAGCTTAAACTTAAGCCTACGCAATAAATCCGCAAATTTTATTTTAAACTTTATTGTAAAGTTAATAAATTAAGGCTAGTTTTATAAAAACAACTAATAATTCAACAACAATTCCTTGCACAACGTCCATCAGCTACAGAAGTTGTTGCAGTCGCGGAACGATGCAAAGTTGTTGTAGTTGCCTCGAGCGCCATAGTAAGAGAACCGCCAGCAACTTTTGATCTCATCGCTCCATGCAAACCTAGGCTTGTCTTCGATTCCATCGGCAAAAGTGCCTGTTTCGTCGCGGAGGGAGCATACATACTCTATAATAATATTTTTTAAAATTAAAATTTTGAAATTTTAAAAATTTACAAAAATGACAAAACTTGGCTTGAAATCAAAAAATTTACCTTTAGTAGGACAACAATACCCATTTTTGCATTTGTGACCCTCAGGGCATGTTGATTTGCCCACACGACATTCTTCAAGTTTTCCGTCCGGGACCAAATGTGTCGCTCCGCATTGCTCAGCTAAAAATACAAAAATTTAGTACCTACCCTACCCTACCCTACCCTACCCTACCCTACCCTACCCTACCCTACCCTACCCTTCCCTACCCTACTCTACTGACTTACTTTGGTCTACAGTAACCAATCCTAAAGTACCTACTCCACCATACAGTACGAATTTCTTCGCCTATCCTACTCGATTCTACCCCGCCCTACCCTACCCTACCCTACCCTACCCTACCCTACCCTACCCTACCCGACTGACTTACTTTGGTCTACAATAACCAATCCTAAAGTACCTACTCCACCATACAGTACGAATTTCTTTGCCTATCCTACTCGATTCTACCCCGCCCTACCCTACCATCTTGCTCTACCCTACCTTTAGTTACTGTAATGCTAGCAAACATAAAAATATAACCTTACCATGAACCCATTGAGCATGACCAGTGCCTTTAGGCTTTGCCACAACACCAGCTGATCCAGAAGCCTTAGCTAGCTTATCTTTACCACAACTTGATTTACAGAGTTTTGACGTTTCAAAGTTATTGTCATTACCACCACAGCCAAGGTAATTAAACGGCTGACAAACTCCCATTCTTGAGTCGAAATAGAACCTCCTTCCTACTGTACCTTCATCGCATTCGTGGCCTACATCTTTGGGCTGGGTGCAGTCTGAAATGGCATTTTTAATTTAAGTTTATAAGGAAAAAGTAAGTTTATTAGGTTGATTAAATTTTTGCAATTTTAAAAAAAAATATTGTAGTAAAAGTCTGTTCTAATCTATCATTTTGATGTTCGGATGCCTATTTGATTGATTATCAGTTGAAATAATGTAATAATAATAGCAAAAAAAATGCTGTAAAGTGTAAAATCTCCCTGTAAAATCAAAAATTACGACTAATGGACGCTAAAGGGGCGTAGGGGTCAAATTCTCCCCTCCCCCCCCCTACAGTCGATCGGAAAAAACTTGAAAAAAAATACTTGCAAAATGAGTGCAGATGTAGCATTTGGCTTCTACTCCCCTCTCTCTCCAGGAAAAACTAGTAGCGACAGCTCTGCTTTAAACTTCTAAGCCCAACTTGTCTAAGCCCAAGATCTAAACCTATATTTTTAGTCTTATACTTTTAGTTTAAACCTATTGTAAACAATTAGATTCATCAAATGAGACTCTGTATGCTCTATCTTAATCAAATAATCTTCTACAACATCGAAAAGCTCAGTCTCCTAACTCAAGAACTAAAAATAGGTAACAAAATGTGCTTAGTACCATTATAACCGCCGCAAAAATAATATTCAGCAGACGAATTCGGCTAGTTAATCTATATTTGTGGCTAAAAAAGTTATGGATAAATATAATATAGCTAAAAGCTTTAAGTTGATACCTAAATTTGTTTAATTTCAATAGTTGATTTACCCGTTTTCCAATGTAAAATTCAAAAATTTATAACTGTAGACATTTTGAACGTTCACTCTTTGCTTTTACTCTTCCTCTTCCCTCCCTCTCCGCTTTTTATCCCTTCATTTTTCAACCCCCCCCTTATATTCTCCATCAAAAGATAAAACCTTACCTTGACCCAAACAATAACATATGGAACATAGTAAGCAAAGCAAAGTCAATTCCGAATGTGATGGCATAGTGAAATAAGTTTATTGTGAGAAGAAAATGCGATACCTCGCGCGCCTTTTTAAACCAACCGAAAACCGGTCGCTCCCCTACTCTTTAAGGTTTACATTGTAAGGTTTTAAGCACAGAAGGGGGTTTGCTATGGTAAGTTTTAGCCTTTAAAGTAGGTTTAACATAGTAAGTATTGGGGATTGATATGGGGTTTCCTATGATAAGTTTTTGGCGTTGGAGGGGGTTTACTATGGTAAGTTAAGGGCTTTGAAGGGGGTTTATTATGGTAAGTTTTGAGGATTCATATAGGGTTTACTATCATAAGTTTTTGGCGTTAGAGGGGGTTTACTATGGTAAGTTTTGAGCATTGAAGGGGGTTTACTATGGTAAGTTTTGGGGATTTATATGAGGTTTACTATGGTAAGTTTTGAGCATTGAAAGGGGTTTACTATGGTAAGGTTTGGGGATTTATATGAGGTTTACTATGGTAAGTTTTGGGCATTAAATGGAGTGTACTATAGTAAGATTCGGACTTTGAAAAACCTTTGCCATGGTAACTTTTAGAAATTGAAGAGAATTTACTGTGATAAGTTTTTCAATACTGAAGAAGTTTACTATAGTAAGGCTTTGAACATAAATTACTTTAGTACAAGCGCACTATATTGTAGTAAATCTCAAGCACAAAGAGCTCGACAATCTTGAAACTTTTCAAAGTTGTTGTAGTTGCCTTCGGAGCCAAAATAACTAAATTTGATGCAATTGTTCAGCCGTGGGTCATAGCCAAATCGACCGGTGTGGATATAATCGACCACTTCTTTTCCTGATTCCATAGGCTGAGCACAAATCAGAGCTAAAATATAACACTTAAATAGTGGTTTTTATCCCTAAAGAAGCCTTCTCAATTCCAAATGTTTAAGGTGAGTGCTAGGCTTGTAACTTCTAATGTAAGGCAGCGTAAGGAAAAAGAGAAACAAGGGGTGAGGGCAGACAGAGAAAAATTAAGAAGAGAGAACGGGGAGGGGGGTTGAGAAAAGTGGGCAGGAGGGGGAGGGGGGGGAGGGGGGGGATTTTGAAAAAGATTTTTAGTCAAAAGTTCTTACCTTTAGTAGGACAACATATGTCTTTATTGCACTCAAATCCTTCTTTGCATTTGTTTCCCTCACATTGTTCTAATTTGGTCGATAAATTTGGAGTTATTGTCAAATTACATTGATTTTTGTAGTCTTCTGAAAATAAGCTACGTATTAAACTCACAAGCCTTATGAGTTGCCACTTTCATTCTACTGCTTATAGCGTGGGATTTTAGGCTAAGAAAGAATGGTTACAAAAAGCTAAGTGAGGCTAGATGAAGACTAAGTTAGGGGTAAAGCTAGACTAAATAACCTTTATGGTTATTTTTTTCAAATCTTAAAGTAAGGCTACAAGAAGGCCAAAAGCTCGAAGACTAAGGCTCAGGGCTTAGACATAAGGAACAGGGCGATCCAGTTTTTAATTTTCAGGGCCAACCCAACCTAAACTTGGGTCAAGGCCGGCGCGGTCCGTTTCTTATGTCTACCTGAGCTAGGGCTTTGGACTAGGGCTCTGGACTAGGGCTCTGAACTAGGGCTCTGGGTTAGGGCTCTGGGCCAAAGTTAGGGCAATCAAGCTTTTATTCTCAAAGTCCCCCCCCCCCCTCTCTTCCTCTTTATCTGGAACTTTTTCTACGCTTGACCACCCAAAACTCTTTACTGTAATCTTGTAATACGTCATTTTTCAACAACCTTAAAAATCGAAATTTAATCACTCGACCAATTTTGCGAAATCGAGTTTAAAATTTGCGTAGAACCGGCTGCCTAGACTTACCTGAGCAAAATACATGAGAAATTAAAAATATAAAAATAACTTCAACGATCATGATTCAACTTGACGTTCACGCCAACTGGTTTACCCCTCTTCGTCTCTCACCACCAGCCGAACAGCGATTAGGAGGTGATAGTAAGGCGAATCAACACCTTTATTTACTTCGAAGACAATATCTTATTATTGTCACTATGGTTGATAATAAGAATGGTAAATATAAAAAAGTATAGTAAAAGCGTGTTATTTAAAACATAAAATATAAAGGATAACATAAAAACATTAAATTTTGGCAAAAGTATCTTTTCTTCTCATAAACTTCAAATATATTACACTAGATGAAAGTAGAAGGTCTTTAACTCAAATTTTTGACAAAACCTTAGGCTTTATCTGCCTTCAAGTTAGTTTTATATTGTAGTCCAGACTCTTGGCTTTCATTTAAGGTATAGGTCATAAGGTTTAACAACACAATGCCAGAGATACTCTAAATACAAACAACCACTACCTGATATTATGTTATACTGAACAAAATTTCTTGTAAATCAAAAACTATCACGTCAAATTTGATGTTTCATAACTTAAATAAACGGTATTCAAAAAGGCTATTTAGATTGTCATTCCTTGGACTAAACATCATTTAGCTTTACTTTGAAATTTAAAAAAATTTTTTAGATTTTTTGCAAAAACCCACAGGGGGGACCAAGCTCACCTTTAAAAAAAATTTTTTTGCTTAAGTTCTGAGAAATAATGGATATTATTAAGCATGCAAAGTTGTATCTATTTAGTAATTTTCATCGTTCTGCCACTTTGAATAACTCAGATATGACTAGTTGAAAAGTCGGAAATCCAAAAAAAGTTCGGTTCCGCTTGGCTTTGCCTTGCAAATTTTCCTTTTTTCACTGCTTTTTTTAATTAAAAACACTTTTTTTTATCTATTGTATGACTTTTAACTATGTCATATTATAACTGTTTTTCATATTTTTTTCTTGTACTATGATAGTTTTTAATTTTTTGCTATAAAACTAACAAAAATGATGTTTCATCCAAATAAAATAACTTTTATTAAACCATTATTAAACAATGGCTTTGGCAAACCCGATTCGCTTGTTACCGTAGTCGTAGATTTGGCAATATTCTCGAATAAAAGGATCCCCAAGTATCCATTTCGGTGTTGTAGCCCCTTTTCCCGCCGCATATGTGAAAATGGCGAGCTCACAAAGCCCTGTGCCTACTATAAGTTCATTATAGGCTATAGGATAGTCGATTCCATTGATTTTCAAAATAAGGTCCGGGAAAGTGGCATCACAGTCAATTAAATAAGCCTCGTACTCGGAGGAGTAGGTGGCATTGGCTTGTTTGGCTATTTTGGCAGCGACTCGTGAAGGCATACCTATGAAGGAGGTGCCGGTGTCGGAAATGACCTATAACAAGAGTGGTTTTACTTTTTGTGAAATTTCATTAAAATTTAGTTTTATCATATCCATTTTTGTAATGTCAATGCTAATTTTAGTGCTCTTAGCCTAAAGAAGTTATAAAAATTTGAAAATTTTAAAAATTTTCTAAAAAACCCACAGGGAAGACCAAGTTCAAGTTTTTTTTAAATTTTTTGATGGGGGGGGAGAGAATGAAGAAAAAAAATTTTGATTTTAGACATATAAGCAGCCTAAAATTAAATTTTTTTTCAAAGTTAAAAATTAAAAAGCTTTGAAAAAAAAACCGCAGGGAGAACCAAGTTCAAGTTTTTTCTAAACTTTTTTCAAGAGGGGGGGGTAACAAAAAAATATTAATTTATACGTTTAGACGGCCTGAAAATCCATTTTTTTCAAATTTAAAAATAAAAAAATTTTTTGAAATTTTCAAAAAAAAACCCACAGGGAAGACCAAGTTCAAGTTTTTTTCCAAAATTTTTTAAAAGGGAGGGGGGGGGGGGGGTAAAAAATGTTAATTTATACGTTTAGGCAGCCTGAAAACCAATTTTTTTCAAATTTTAAAATTTTTCAATCGAAAACAAATTTTTTTTAATTTAAAAAAAAATTAAACCCCGCTTACCTCCCACCCATAGCTTCGACTGAAATTGCCAATTCTAACCTCATCCAATCTAAACTGCCAATAAGCAGCTCTAGTCAAGTTGACATAATTCACTTCGCTATCACAATGTTCAGTATCAATACTGCCATAAGTGAAAGCGCCCCCTGACGATGAATTCGAGCTTTCTCCAGCTAGCCAAACACTAAACAAGGACTGATTTAGCAGTCCTTCATTAATGGCGTTGATCAAAGGTGGCACGGCGTTATTCACGGCTAGGGATTGGAACGCTAGGCCCAGGATTCCGTCGATTGGTTGATCGGCAAAGACTTGGGCTAGATGAGTGGCTTGGCCAAAGGTTGTGTTTGGTACTGCTAGAGTCGAACCATTGTCGTTTATGAACTAAAAATTAGTTTTTAGGCTTAGGCTTAGTAGGCTTAGGCTTAGTAGGCTTACGCTTAGTAGGCTTAGGCTTAGTTGGCTTAGCCTTAGTAGGCTTAGGCTTATTAGGCTTAGGCTTAGTAGGCTTAGGCTTAGTAGGCTTACGCTTAGTAGGCTTAGGCTTAGGCTTAGTAGGCTTAGGCTTAGTAGGTTTAGGCTTAGTAGGCTTAGGGTTAGTAAGCTTAGGCTTAGGCTTAGTAGGCTTAGGCTTAGTAGACTTAGGCATAGTAGGTTTAGGCTTAGTAGGCTTAGGGTTAGTAAGCTTAGGCTTAGGCTTAGTAGGCTTAGGCTTAGTAGGCTTAGGCTTAGTAGGCTTAGGCTTAGTAGGCTTAGGCTTAGTAGGCTTAGGCTTAGTAGGCTTAGGCTTAGTAGGCTTAGGCTTAGTAGGCTTAGGCTTAGTAGGCTTAGGCTTAGTAGGCTTAGGATTAGGCTTAGTAGGTTTAGGCTTAGACTTAGTAGGCTTAGGCTTAGTAGGCTTAGGAGGCTTAGGCTGAGCAGGCTTACCGTAACCGTATCCACACCAAAGAACCCACTACTACTTCCACTACCGTAGTAAATCGCAAATGACGTGTTGCTCGCCACGTACGTGGATGACGCACTGCTGTTGAACTTGTTCTTGGTGTCACACGCATTCGGAACGGCGGAACGTTTGATCCGGTCAAACAGCGGAAACAACGGTAGCGCGCCTTGTAGATTCACACCAATGTTGTTCAATGTAGTAGGAGATGCTGTAGTGGTTGCGGCGGTTGCTGAGTATGTTGTACAACAAGATTCATCACATAGGTATGGGCATAGACCTAAAAGGGCATGTTTAAAAACAGTTTTAAATTTAAAAATTATTAGTAGGCCTAAGCTGAGTAGGCTTGGAATTAGACTTAAGCATAGGCTTATGCTTAAGCTTAGGATTGGGCTTAGATTTAAGATTAAGCTTATGCTTAAGCTTAGGCTTATGCTTAAGCTTAGGATTAGGCTTAGATTTAAGATTAGACTTAGGCTTAGACTTAGGCTTGGGCTAAAGCTTAGACTTCAGCATAGGCTTAATTTTAGGCTTAGTAGGTTGAGACTCAGTAGACCTAGGCTTAATAGGCTAAGTACGCTCAGGCTTATGAAGGAAATGATTATTTTGGTCACTAAATATAATGTAAGCCTAAAAAACTTGTAAAGCACAATGCCAAGATTTCCGCCAAACCCCAAATTCAAATTTATATCTAAAATTATCTAATGAAAACCGACTTACGAGGTTTCTCCGTGCATTCTTCAGGACACAATGGATTGACTGGAGTTCTGCCACAATTAAAATCAGGTACCCAAAGATTGGCAGAACCAGTATCGAGTACTACTCTGAACTGTTGTGGTGGAGTGCCAATTGTTATCTATAATTTTTAAAAATTTTTGGTATGTCATGTATACTAAAGGTAGCTTTTGGAATCTTTTGCGTACTACAAGTAGTATTTGGTATATTATCTATTACTACAAGTAGCTTTTGTATGTTATGTATGCTACAGGTAGTAAAAGTGTAATAAATGGCCTTACATTGCCAATATACTCCACATCATCGTAGTTATTGACGGAATGAACAAAATTCCCTTGAGCACTGTCAGCCGAAATTGAAGCAAAACTAACGTATGATTGCTTCTCTAGCTTCTTTTTCAGCCTTCTGTAGTCTTTCCACTCTCCTGAAATTTGGCTACAATATTATAATGTATAAGCTGTACTTATAGTTGTAATTTTCTTTGTACTCAACTTAAAACAATTTATTGTTTACTATAATATCAGGTGTTAGGGAAGAGAAGTTAAGCCTAAGGCTAGAAATAGGGATATGCTAGAAGGAAGGTAAAACCCACAAAACCTAACCGTAAACTTACTGAACTTAAGATTAATATAAATACGCCTCCTAAGCCTAAGCCTACTAAGTCTAAGCCTACTATGCCTAAGTCTACTAAGCCTAAGCCTACTAAGCCTAAGCCTAAGCTTACTAACCCTAAGCCTACTAAGCCTAAACCTACTATGCCTAAGTCTACTAAGCCTAAGCCTACTAAGCCTAAGCCTAAGCTTACTAACCCTAAGCCTACTAAGCCTAAACCTACTAAGCCTAAGCCTACTAAGCCTAAGCCTAAGCCTACTAAGCCTAAGCCTACTAAGCCTAAGCCTACTAAGCCTAAGCCTACTAAGCCTAAGCCTACTAAGCCTAAGCCTACTAAGCCTAAGCCTACTAAGCCTAAGCCTACTAAGCCTAAGCCTACTAAGCCTAAGCCTACTAAGCCTAAGCCTACTAAGCCGCAGCCTACTAAGCCGCAGCCTACTTGAAAAAGCTTATTAAACCTAAACCTATTAAACTTCCTAAGAGTACGCTTATACTTACTATGTTTGAGCCGTAGCACCAAACTCAATATTTGATTAAGCCACCCATCAAACACTTTCATTTCTTACCTGATTTCTGAAGTTTTCGCCGTCGACTCTCCATTTTGTGAAGATCCACCCTCTTGAAAGGTGGTTCTTCAGGCCCACGATACTCCAATGGGGCCTCCATCTGCTGGGCTGCCACCATTAGGCTCTGACCTACCATGAAGTTCAGTGCTACCATAAAGCCCGGTCTTACCATAAAGCTCAGCCCTACCATGAAGCTAGGCCTCACCATGAAGCCAGGCCTGACCATGAATCCCGACCCCTTCATCAATCCCAGCCCCACTACAAAGTCCGACCCCACGATGAAGGCCCAGAGCGACAACAGCCAGAGGGTAGGATTCATGTCTGTGTCGACTGAACGGCTTTAAGCCGAAGCGGCTAGATTCAGTGGGAAACAGACCAGATTATGGTGGTATGTTCAGCGTATGTTTCAGGTTGTTTGTTTCCTTTTTCTGAAGCAAATTACACGGCTACGTGTGTGAAGTGTTCGCGGACAAATAAAGCTCATGTAGTTTGTTTTGTTACCTTCGTGTTTGTATTTTGGGTGTTACTTGTATGGGTATGGGTTTGGACTACGTTTAGGCTTAGTAAATTTATAATTCTTAAACTTAAACTCAGTCGGCTTTGGTTTTGTTAGCATAGGCTTAAGCGCAGTAGGCTTAGACTTAAGAAACTTTAGATTTGTAGGCTTAGGATTATAGGCATAGAATTAGCGGCTTAGAATTAGAAGCTTAAACAAAGTAGTCTTAGGTCTAGTAAACTTAGGCTTAGTAGGCTTATGCTTAGTAGACTTAGGCTTAGTAAGCTTAGGATTAGTAGGCTTAGGTTTAGTAGGCTTATTCTTAGTAGACTTAGGCTTAGTAGGCTTAGACTTAGTAGGCTTAGGCTTAGTAGGCTTAGGCTTAGTAGGGTTAGGCTTAGTAGGCGTAAGCTTAGTAGGCTTAGGCTTAGTAGGATTAGGCTTAGGAGGCTTAGGCTTAGTAAGCTTATTCTTAGTAGGCTTAGGCTTAGTAGACTTAAATTTAGTAGGCTTAGGCTTAGTAGGCTTACGCTTAGTAGACTTAGGCTTAGTAAGCTTAGGATTAGTAGGCTTAGGTTTAGTAGGCTTCTTCTTAGTAGACTTTGGCTTAGTAGGCTTAAACTTAGTAGGCTTAGGCTTAGCAGGCTTAGACTTAGTAAGCTTAGGCTTAGTGGGCTTAGGCATAGTAGGCTTAGTAGGCTTAGGCTTGATTCTATCTACTTTTTGACCAATTTTTTTACAAGTTCCAATCTATTTTAATCAAAAGCAATTTCATAATGATCAATGGCCTTTTGATGAAAAGGTTTGTCACAAAGTGCAAGTTGAGTTTTTGATTAATGTGGAATTGATTGGTAAACCAAAATGTTTGCTTTTTCAATTCAAAAAGCAAATATTTTTAGGCTCCTCATTGCTTTTTGGGTTTTAATAAGAAACGATATGCTCAGGCTTAATAGAGTTAGACCTAGTAAACTCAAGCTTAAGCTTAGTAGGCTTACGCTTAGAAGGCTTTGCCTTTGGCTTAGGCTTAACGGGTTTAGGCTTAGTAGGCTTAGGCTTAGCAGGTTTAAGCTTAGTAGGTTTAGGCTAAAGCTATGGCTAAGGTTGTTCTAAAGCTAAGCCTAAATCTAAGCCTAAAGCTAACCCTAAAGCTAAGCCTAAAGCTAATATTAAGCCTAAAGCTAACCTAAAAAGCCGAGGGATATGACGTTCCCTAATTAGGCTTAGCAGCGACTAAACGTATTCTCAATATAAGTTTGTATTTTTATAATAATTACCTTTTGTACAGCCGGATAGTACCAAAATTTGAGTGTAGTACTATGTAGTATGCAGTACTATGTAGTACCAACAACCTTAAGATTTAAATTTTTTGTCTTTTTCTCTAACCCCATCTTTTTTCCTACGCTTTCTTCAACTTCCGCCCAATTTTTTGTTAATTTCCTGTTTTCTCCCTCCTAACAATCAAAGCAAGATGTTGTTATTTGTTAGTATAACATAGTAAACATCCATCTGACACATAGTAAACATCCATTTTACATTCGCTTTTCGACTTTCTTTTTGCGGCTTCAATTTAAAAAAAAACGTTTTTAGTGAAACTGAGTCACTAATTAAATTTCGAAGCCGCAGATGGTGTTATTGACGCTTTGAATCAGTCTTTTGTAACTTTTACTTTTGTGTTTCAGGGCTTCTTATGGTCACAGCTTTAAAGTTTCTTAGTTTTTTAAGGTTTTAGGCTTAGTGTGCTCATTGTAACGCTACTTTAAGCCAACCTTTAAATGATGCGGCTTAAAGTAACGTTACTGGGCTATGGCCTGAATCAAGGCTTTGGACTAGAGCTCTGGAATAGGGCTCTGGGCTAAGGCTTTGGACTTGGGCTCTGGGCTAAGGCTCTGGGCTAGGGCTCTGGGCTAGGGCTCTAGACTAGGGCTCTGGGCTAAGGCTCTGGGCTAGGGCTCTGGACTAGGGCTCTGAGCTAGGTCTTAAGTAAAATTAAGCGAGGGCATGGGGACTTGAGCACGGGCTGAAGCTCGGGCTAGAGCTACACTATTAAAAACCCTACCCTACCTTACCGTACCCTACCCAAACTTATATAAAAATATGATTAAAACCATGCAAAAAGTAGCAATTTATTTCTCCCGCGCACCGTTTATATATGTTTACAATCATCTTATTTTGTGACTGACAGTGATCAAACAAACCCCCCCCTTCTTTTTTCGCTTTAATGAACGCGTCTCCCATTAAAGTCCTTAAAAACCTTGGCGAGAGTGTTTGAGAAACCTTTTTGTTGTTGTTTATTTATTTTCGGTCCGTTTTTGGGCGAAAGCGATATTCGATATCGTGGAATGTATAAACAGGCTTTCCCAATATTAAGCATGCGAAAAGGAACGGCTAACATTTCAAATGCTATTTAAAGTTGAAATATATTCAACATGGATGTTTCTTGTGGAAAATTGGGGCTTTACAGGGTTTTTTTTTGGGGGGGGGGGGGGAATGGTTTTTTGCTTTATTTTTTTAATTTTATATCTTATTTTCAATATTTTTTTATAAAGTTCGGGGTTGTTTTACCCTACCCTATCTTACCCTACCCTACTCTGCCCTACCCTACCCTACCCTACTCTACCCTACCCAACTCTACTTTACCCTACCCTACTCTACCCTACTTTACCCTACCCTACTTTACCCTACCCTACCGTACTCTACCCTACCCTACTTTACCCTACCCTACCCCACACTACCCTATTTTACCACAACATAGCTTTCTTTTTCGTACCAAACCCTACCGTACTCTAAGCCCATCTCTACCTTGCCCTGCCCAACTTATGTCCTGCCTTGTCATGTTCTACCCTTACTTTCCTTGTGATGAAAGTTTTAAAATCTTTTCTTACCCTAAACAATCTTGTTTAAGCTCTACTCTACTGTTTTTTATCTTTACAGCCTTGTCTACCTTTAATTTAAAATTTTTCAATTATTTATTATTTTCAAGCCTTGTTTCGTATTAACATGCCTTTTTCAACTGTCCGCGCAAACCCATGAATAATATCGTTTAGCGTTATGAGCCGTTTCATATCGCTGATCACTTTACACTCAAATTATTCCACTTTCAAGGCTTGCTTTAATCAGATCCGCTTATATGCGAATATGGTTCACATATTCGATAAACACATCTCAATCACGCCGTATCATCCGGATTTGGTACTGAATGGTATTAGGGGAGTTAAAGAGTAAGGTTTTACAAATTTTTTAAAATTTAAAAAAAAATTTTTAATTTTAAAAATTTTTGGTTTTTTTAATTTTTCGAAATTTTTTAAAATTTTTTTAAAACTTTTGAAATTTTTCAAAATTTTTTTAAGTTTTTTAAATTTAAAAAAATTATAATTTTAGTTTCTCCGAAACCTCGCTAAAACGCCTTCAATGGCCACACGAGAAAGGCCAAAGGAAGCCGGCTGGCGGCGATGGCGGAGAAATTGTAGCCGAGTCGATTACTGTATTGTGGCAGGATGGTCAACTAATCTTCCCCCTATCTGAAGTTGTATGTTATAATAAAGTTTGGTTATAGAGAGGTTAAGATAATAAAGGTTAGGTTAAAATTGCGGTAGGGATAGGGCATGGTTGCTAGAGAAAGCTTACTGTAGGACAGGGTAGAGCCGGGTAGGGTAGGCATCAATACGATTGGCTGGGGCAGAGAAAGTTGGCTTAGCTTAGGCTAAGAACAAGATATGGTAATGTAGAGTAGGGTATGATAAGGTAGGCTAGGGTAGAGTAGAATAGGGTAGAGTAGGATAAGGTAACGTAAGTTATGGAAGGCTAAAGTAAAGTATTTTAGAGCAAGGCGGAGATAAATACTGTAGAGTAGAGTAATACAAGATTTCATTACTATATTAATCATTTTCATTTCAGCCCCAAGCCCTAGCCACTCGAGAAAAAGACCACTCCATAGTAAAATACCACGGTTTGTTCCTCGCCCAACTCGACGGTGAAGTAGCGTACCAGCCTTCTGAACAAAACGGTGACTTTTACTATATTCTGGTCGAGAACGTTGACCACAAATGGAATGTGATTCGATTCGCGGCCGATCAAACCGCCGTTCTCGAGCCGTTCGTCAAGCATTCGATGCCGATTCCATCGAGGAACGGCCTCGAATACCTATCGTACCATCGTGCCGTGAATGCGGTCGAAAAGTTCATAGTCGATTCGGACGAAGCGCCAGTTTTTAATATTATGAAAGTCGACCGACAAAGCCTGGTGGCGACCGGTCGAGTGTCACATAAATATGCATCAGCCGGTCATGAACATCACAGTGTCACGAAGAGCTTCTCCAAACAGCTACTGAGTTTGGAGGACGCGGCCGATGACGTTTTTGAGCCGTTTGGTCAAATTATCACTGATATTGGCTATGTTGAGGAACCCACTGAAGTGCTATGGCCTGGAGTACTGAATAAGGAGGGGTTCGCTGGGGTATTGGAACAAGACTTCCAAATGAGCTGGGTGCCTAATGGTGAAGGTGCTTATGAACTGGTTTTTAAAGGTAGGACATAGCATGGTATGATAGATAAGGTAGTATATCAGACTGGGAAGGTAGGGTAAGGTAGTTAAGGATAGGGTAGGGTAATTGTATGGTAAAATAGGGCAAGGTATGATAGAGTAGACTAAGGTAAGATTGGGAAGAGTAGGGTAAGATAAGGTAGGCTGGGTAAGGGTGGGCATATTATGGTATGTTTAGAGTAGAGATTACAAAATGTATACTGTACTACATTATACTGTAAAACATTTGATTTTAGGCTTATCTGGATCATTTGCGGGCGATGAAGGCAAACCTGGAGTTGAATATAACCCTGAACTTGGCATCTACAAAGCTAATGTAAGGTTTTTTAATCCACCCCTCCTCCTCCCCCCAAAATTTTTTTTCAAAAAATTAGAAGATGCGCGCCTTGATTTGAAAAAAATTTTACCTCCCCCCCCACAATTAAATAAAAGAAAAATTACCCCGCCCAGACAGAAAGTGACAAATTAGAGTAATATAACAAGCTATTAAGTAATAAAATGACATTTCAGTTAATGTTAACCAGGCCAGACAGTAGCTTCTTCTTAAAAGCAGCCTCTCCAGAAGCTGCCTTTGCCATGTTATTCGCTTTACCTAAAGATGGCAAAGGAGAACCAGATGATCATACCCTTCGGGGATTCATCTTTGCTGGTGGTAAGGGCTTTATTTTATACTTTTTTTACTTTTTTAGTTGATTTTTATCATTCGTTTAAAGTTACAGTACTTTTTCGATCATTTTCAAGTATTTTTCAAATAATTACTGTACGTTTTTGGCCATTTTCATCCATTACTTTACCCTTTCTGCCGTTTTTAAAACCACACCCCTTTGTTCAAAACCAAAATTTTAGGTAAAGCCCTAAGGCTCCCACCTCACGTCTGGCACTCCGTCCCAATCCCATTGGCTAGCCAAGAATCCATTTTGCTAACGGAAGTTATTGCCGCCACCAATGCCAATCTTACCATTGATGTTGAGAACGAGACTGGACATTCAATTCAGTTCACTCAGTCGATTTAACTGCATTATTCACTATTCTATGAACTTTAATTTGTTTAAAATTTAAAAATTTTTAAAATACCACTGCCAAAACAGATAATATTACTTTAACGCCATATTCAATAAAGTTATGTTATTTTAGGTAATATTTGACTGTTTTTGTTTGTTTTATCAAAACATTCGAAATTTTTCTTGATTTTGGGTAACAAAACGTATGTTTTCTTCACTTTAGTTAACAAGACGTTAGTTTTATATATTTTAGGTAACAAAACGCCATTTTTTATCATTTTAGGTAATAACAAAGTATTTTTCCTCGCTTTAGGTAACGGAACCGCATTTCCACTCATTTTAGGTAACAAAACGTTGGTTTTCTTCAATTTAGGTAACAGAACACTATTTTTCCTCATTTTAGTATAAAAAACGTTGAAAACCATCTTACTCTTTGAACTACCTTCATTTTCACCATGAAAATTGCACCTAAAAATCAAAAAAATAATAAAAAAAAACACTTACCCAAAGCGAAAATTTAAAAAACAGCTATTTTTACATTTTTATAGTCTTATAACCGGTCGGACGATGTCCATAAAGGCCAAACCAAACATTCCAACGGCCTTGGACATAGTGCAACTTCAAAAAGGAGACAAGGTGGGACCATGGGAAGTAATCAGGAAGCTGGGTGAAGGTGAGAATGTTTAAAAGGCTAAAATCATTGGAAATTATATTATCCATGAGCTTTTTTGGTGAAACTTATCAAAAATTATATTCTTCATAGTTCTTTTGCCCAGAAATTATTAAAAACTATATTTTATAACCTCTTTTCCTTTCAAAACTATCAAAAACTATATTATCCATGCCTTTTTCTCCCGAAAATTTCTAAACTCTTATATTATCCATGGTTTTCCTCTATAAAATTTTTAAAAAAATATATTCACCGTGCTTTCAGGTGGATTTGGAGCCGTTTACCTGGTAAGAGCCGGATCGAACGCCAAGGTTGAATTCGCTTTGAAGGCCGAAAAAGCATCTGAAGTGGTGAAGGTGCTGAAGATGGAAGTTTTCGTGCTGGGAGAGCTAAAAAGGAAAAGAGCCAAACACTTCTGCGATCTGTTTGATAGTGGAAATATTGGGAATTACAATTATGTTGTTATGACATTGGTTGGACCTTCTTTTCATGTGGGTTTTTAGGTTTTAAATACGAAAAATTGTGATTTTGGGCTACATTGTTATAGAACTTTGTGTTATTTTTGAGTTTTTTTGAAAAATTTAGGTAACAAATAGAAAATTGAATACATACGTTTTGTAGAAAATAAAAAGAAGTATCTTTTCTGGAAGTTTCATATCCATACCTCATTTATAAAAAACGTTATGTAAATTTAAAAACTTCAAAAAATCAAAAAAAAGTTCGATTCCGCCCAGCAAAGGGGCCATTTTAAAAATTTCAAAATATTGTAACTTTTTTACTTTCAATGTTATGGCAATGAAACTTTTTGTATATATACATCATTTTATGGTCTACAAAACGCATGTACACGATTTTTAAAAAAATTGGTAGATCATGTTGTTTTAGGTCTTATTTGTCACAAACACCAGGTTTTTAGTCAAATTTTTCGATTTTATGGACGTTTTTTAAGTTGAAATTCAAGATTTTGAACTGAAAGGTCAGATTTTTAGGCAAAGATTTAAAATTTGAATTGTTTTTTTTTTTATTTTTAAAATTTCAGGACCTCCGAAAGAAGTACACCGATCCAGCGAAACAAAAGTTCACGCTCGGCTGTGCCTTATCAATTGGAATAAAATGCGTCGAAGCCATCGAAGAACTCCATTCCGTGGGCTATCTTCATCGTGACATAAAACCAGGAAACTTTGCCGTAGGCAAGTCGGATTATCGTAAAGTATTGATGCTTGATTTTGGGATGGCGCGAAAGTTTTTGGACGCGAAGGGCGAAATACGAAAGCCGCGATGGGCTGCCGGATTCAGAGGCACAGTACGGTACGCGCCATTGTCTTGTCATATTAGTCGGGAACAGTGTAGGAAGGACGATCTGGAGACGTGGATGTATATGCAGGTGAGTGGTGGGGTTAAATATGGTAGGGTACGGTAGGACACTGTAGGGTAGGGTACTGTAGGGCAGAGTAAAGCACTGTACGCTACTTTAGGATATAATAAATGTTTGTATTACTGTACTTTCTTTCCTATACTACTCATATGATTATAGATCGAGCTAACCAAAGGCTACCTCCCCTGGAAGCGAATTGAGAACCGCGAAGAAGTCGGTCGATGCAAAGACAAATGTCGCAATGACAATATCCAAGAGCTCTTTGGAGGTTGTCCAAAAGAGTACATTCATATACTGGACTATGTCGACAACCTAAGATACTACGACGTACCAAACTACGAGAAGATACGAGGTTTTCTGAGGAGTGGTATAGCCATGAACAATGTCAAAGAGGTACCATACGACTGGGAAGAGAAGCTGAAAACAGAAGCGTCGGAGAACAGGACTGTTGAGGCTTAGAAAGGCAGTAATATTATTGGTTGATAAATGATGACTTACTATAATATTGTCAAGGTTTTTGACATTTTTATATGTTTTACTGAGGCTGATATTGAATTTTGATTTTTTTGATTTATGTTTTGATTGTTTTTGTCATTTGGCGACATTTATGACTTTTTTAAACAATTTTTTGACATTTTTCGGAACTTTGTGACATTTTTAGATATTTTTAAACATTTTTTGATAGTTGTAACATTCTTCAATATTTTTTGATGACTTGTGTCATTTCTTGAAGTTTTGTATAATTTGTCTACAATTTTTTGAAAATTATGACATTTTTTGAAGTGTTGTGACATTTTTACATAAATTTATGACGTTGTTTGATATTTGTCGATCATTTCTGGCACTTCTTGATATTTTCTGTTTATTGATATTTTATTACTTTTTCAATTTTTTTACGTTTTTTAAAAATTTTATGACATTTTTCCATATTTTTGACATTTTTTAAAACTTTTAAGTCATTTTTTTACATTTTTTGGTTTTGTGTGACATTTTTATTTTTTTTTTTGATATTTTATCAAATTGATTGAAAATTTCGTAATATTTTCAATTTTTTTTGACATTTTTTGGTTTTGTGTGACACTTTTCATTTTTTTTTACATTTTGTGAAAGCAATGACATATTTTTTCGAAATTTTATGTCTTTTTTGACATTTTGTGAAAGTTATGTCATATTTTCGAAATTTCATGTATTTTTTTACATTTTGAGGAATTTTTTTGAAAATTTGTGTCATTTCTAAAGCACAATTTACGAATACATTTATATATTTTCGACAATATTTTTTTTCATAAATTTTACAACCCGATCCATCCTTTCATTATTTGTTTGACCTTTTTTGCTTCTCAGATAACGAATCGATGAGCTTTCGGTTCACGTTTGCTGAATTCCCACATACGTACATATCAACAACATAACAAATTCTGAGTGCAATGACAGGTCAATTATAATTTTGATTTGTTTTTGTGGTTTTGAAAAGGGGGGGGGGGAGGAAGGATGAGTAATATATAGCAAATTTTGAATTAAAAATTTTTGTAAGATTATAAGTTACTGTAGTTTTAAATTAGCTGCTCCACTGCTACCCTTACCCCTACCCTCACCCCTACCCTCACCCCTACCCTCACCCCTACCCTCACCCCTACCCTCACCCCTACCCTCACCCCTACCCTCACCCCTACCCTCACCCCTACCCTCACCCCTACCCTCACCCCTACCCTCACCCCTACCCTCACCCCTACCCTCACCCCTACCCTCACCCCTACCCTCACCCCTACCCTCACCCCTACCCTCACCCCTACCCTCACCCCTACCCTCACCCCTACCCTCACCCCTACCCTCACCCCCTACCCTCACCCCTACCCTCACCCCTACCCTCACCCCTACCCTCACCCCTACCCTCACCCCTACCCTCACCCCTACCCTCACCCCTACCCTCACCCCTACCCTCACCCCTACCCTCACCCCTACCCTCACCCCTACCCTCACCCCTACCCTCACCCCTACCCTCACCCCCTACCCTCACCCCTACCCTCACCCCTACCCTCACCCCTACCCTCACCCCTACCCTCACCCCTACCCTCACCCCTACCCTCACCCCCTACCCTCACCCCTACCCTCACCCCTACCCTCACCCCTACCCTCACCCCTACCCTCACCTCTACCCTCACCCCCTACCCTCACCCCTACCCTCACCCCCTACCCTCACCCCTACCCTCACCCCTACCCTCACCCCCTACCCTCACCCCTACCCTCACCCCTACCCTCACCCCTACCCTCACCCCTACCCTCACCCCTACCCTCACCCCTACCCTCACCCCTACCCCTACCCCTACCCCTACCCCTACCCCTACCCCTATCCCTACCCCTACCCCTACCCCTACCCCTACCCCTACCCCTACCCCTACCCCCTACCCCTACCCCTACCCCTACCCCTACCCCTACCCCTACCCCCTACCTCTACCCCTACCCCTACCCCTACCCCTACCCTCACCCCCTACCCCTACCCCTACCCCTGCCCCTGCCCCTACCCCTACCCCTACCCCTACCCTATCTACCTTACCCTATCCTACCCAACCATATCCTACCTTCCCATACCCTGCCCTACCCTTACCTACCCTACCGTACTATTAAAAATGACCCAGCTCCCTTTCTCATTTCTTCTAAATTTGATCGTCCTCCCCACCCCACCTTCCCCCTCCCACGCTTTGTAACCTTGATTTCCGCCTGCCTCCCCACCTCTTGTAACTTTGAATCCTCCCCCCCCCCTGTTCCTTACCCTACGCTTCATAACTCTGATCTTCCTCCTTCCCCCCCCCCTCTCCTCAACTCTTGTAACTTTGATCCCTCCCGCCCCCCCCCCTTCACCTTACTCTTTATAACCCAGATCCTCGTACCCTCCCTTCCGACCCCTTGTTACTTTGATTCTCCCCCCCCCCTCTTCTCCACCTCACCCTTTATAACCCTGATCTCTTCCCCCCCCCCTTTTGTAAATTCTTGTAACCCCCCCCTTTTCTCACCCCTTGTAAACCCTCCCCCCCCCCTCCCTTTTTTCTTCCTCCTTGTAACCCCCCCCCCTATATAATAGAAAGCGGCCGATGACGGAGAAAGCCTTGGCGAATTCGTCGAAGAAGCTGTGGTGTTGTAAGGAGGTGGAGAGACGGCGGGTTAAGAAGCCGCGCTGATTGCACTCGAAACGCCGCTTTTCCGTTTTCTGTTTCCTTTTTTGTACGGTCGAAATTCGAGGCGCCTGAAGGCGTTTTTTGGAAATTTTGGAGAAGTATCGGAATCGGCGTCTGAAGTCGAGCTTGATTTCGACGTCTGAAGTTCATTTCGAACGTATAAAGGCAAATTTGACGTCTGAATCTTTAAGCCTAAGCTGAATACAGAGGTCGATATTGTAATAGAATCTATTGCCGATTACTAGGAGCAGCAGTTTCTGAAATTGTTGTAGCCTTCACCGTGTTCTACAGAATCAAGACCGATTCGAAATCTGAGATTATTACCTAAATTTGATCTAAAACTACTTAGCACTGACTCATATTTACTTCACTACTATCAAACTCGAGGTTGATATAGTTCGCTTCTAGTACTGAATAGTAACATACAGTATTACCCAAACATAGTACTAAGTAAAACTTGTTATACTAATGAAAATAACAGTGATTCTACTGCTTTTCGTGCTGCTAGTTAGCCAGGTTGAAGCTAGGTCGAGGCTAAAGAAGTACGATGAAAGTTTACGGTGAGTTTGAAATTTTCATATCAAGCTTATACCTACTAAAATCATTATATTCTTACTTAACCTAAGCCTACTGAGCCTAAGCCTACTAAGCCTAAGCCTACTAAGCCTAACCCTGCAAAGCCTAAGCCTACTAAGCCTAACCCTACTAAGCCTAAGTCTGCTAAGACTGAAACTACTAAGCCTAAACTTCATAAGCCTAAGCCTGAACCTACTAAGCCTTAATAAGCAAAAGCTTACTAAACCTAATCTTACTGAGTTTGCATCTACTGGACTTAAGCCTACTAATTCTAAGCCAACTAGGCCTAAGCCTACCAAGCCTAAACTTACTAAGCTTAAGCCTAATAAGCCTTAATCAGCTGAGAACTCAAAACTCACTAAAACCATGGAATTATGAACTGTTCATATTATATATAATAATTTTTCTTTTCAGAGCAGCCCACATGGGTAGCCGTGTGAAACGATATGACACTATACTGGTAAGATTTTTAAACAATTTTTAAAATTAAACGCATTTTTTGGACTTTTCAACCGTAAATTTTTTACAAGCACATAAAATACAGTTTTCGGATACTTTTTACGATTATTTTGCAGTAAAACTACTCTAATTTGCGACTTATTACAACGGCAAAACTTACTTTTCCGCAAGGTTTAGTATTAAAACATGTAACATATATTACTACAAGAAGTTGCATTTAAACTTTTTAAACATTTTTTTTAACTTTCCATCTCAATTTTTTTAAACTATAGGCTACTAAGTTCATATTTTTTTGCCAAATCAAAATTTTTTCTACTGTAAACAAAGTTTTTGCATTTTTAAAAATGCCAGCCTTAATTTGGGAGTTTAAACTACTTTTAGGTATAAATCTTACAAAATAATGTTATAAAAGCCAAGAAAAGAGTTTGCGAACTTATCTAGTGTATATTTTGCCACTAATTATATTGTTTTAGGGTGTTGCACCAAAAAGAATTAGAAGAATGACAAAAGAAGGCAAAGTTCGATCAGATGGAGTAGCATAAAATTGAAAAAATGAGTATATTTGGTAGCTTTTAATGTAAATAAATTTATTTTTACTATCTTTTTATATTTTTACTTTCTAGGCGTAAGACTAAGCATAATAAGCCTAAACGTACTAAATCTAAGAATATTTGCTTAAAACTGAGCATACTACGCCTGAGCATACAAAATCTAAGCTTACTAAGTTTAAGCTTTATCATATGTTTGCCATAAACCTATCGAGACACCTATATATTACCTAAAGTGTTGACCAAAACACCAAAAATCGCATTTTTTCTTCAAAAACTACAACAATAACGTTATATTTTCTAAAACTTGAACAAACAACAAATAAAAAAACAATAAAAACAAAAATAAAACAACTAAAACGGCCCAAAAGAAGCCGTCTGAGTAACTATGACATTCGGCGATCATGTATTCACGCTCAAAACATTATCATCACTCGGCGAGAGTCGAACCCAGCACCCGCAGCGCGTTAGACGAACGACTTATCCACTGCGCTACGCAAAAGCACTTGTTCGCCCTTCGTTTTACCCTTCTTGTTATGAAAAGTGAAGGTCTTTTCGCCTTTTAATGGCGGAAAAACAGTAAAATAAGGTTTATAAATGTTTTAAGGCTAAAGTTCTGTTATTAAATACTCAAAATTTTATTGAGAAGATATAAATATGTTCAGATAAAAGCTTCTTCTTTTAAAAAACACTAATTCAAGACTAAAAATGAATAAAATGAAAGAAAAACCGCAGATCAAAGCAAATAAAAGCCGATACCTCGCAGTAAAATAGAGTTAAATCCCAGCACTCGCAGTCATTTGTTGGGTCGTTTTACACCGAGGCAAATATTATATAAAACTACAATATTACATAAGAAAACGTTGCGCAATATCATTTCTTGCAATTTCTCTAAGGCTATCTTAATATAGCATAAGATTAGGTAACACAGCAGATAATTTTGCGAATGTTAGGCAACATAAATTTGATAATATGATCTATCAAGTTTATGTATAATATTTTAAATAAATTGACCTTGATAGTGCAAACTTTATTAATCGAGCCTAAGCCTAAGCTTAACTCTAAGCCTAAGCCTAATGTTAAGGCTTACTTTTAAGCCTAAAATTAGCTTATGCATACTCCTAACCTTAAGAGAAAGTCTACCATTTACGTTCCTAATCTTTAATACCTTCCACACCTTGTTTCACTTCTCTTGAACAAAACTTCCAAATCTTGTTGTTCGATCTGATCCTTAACAGATCGTTTTGGAAATGGAAGGTTCGCGAACAAGAGACTTCTGACTCATTGACCTCGTTGATTTCACAACAGCTTTCGCTTTCCGACATTTTGTTTTGACATAAAACAAGACTTACCTTCTTCGTTTTAAAATGAGGCAAGTCATCGATGAAGTTTAGTCAGCCGCTTTCGACGGTTTTTTACGATTTTTGTTGATTTTTTTGGTTTATTTGCATGTTTTGAAATTATTTTTGTTTATTTTTAAAGCGAAGGCAAGTTTTTGTTAATAATTGGTTTTTAAAGGACAAGGTTTAAAAGGCTAAGCCTAGGGCAGCAAATAGTTCAAGTTTGAACCAGTTTTTTAGGATAATTAAAAGATAGAGTAAACCAAAGGCTGCGCGAAGTTATTAGGATAGGGCAATAAGAGTAGGACCTAGGAATCTAGACTTGAGCTAGGGCTTGATCTAGTACTTTAGTTAGGGTTTGAGCTAAGGCTAGGTTGACGAAGTGAGGGAGGGGATTGAGCTAGGGCTTGAGCTAAAGCTTGAGCTAAAGTTTGAGCTAGAGCCTGAGCTAGGGCTTGAGCTAAAACTTGCGCTAAAGTTTGAGCTAGGGCCTGAGCTAGGGCTTGAGCTAGGGTTTGGACTAGAGTTTGAGGTAGGGATTGAGCTAAAATTTGAGCTAAAGCTTGTGCTAAGGCATGATCTAGGCCTTGAGATAGGGGTTGAGCTAGGTATTCGGCTACGGCTAAACCTAAGATAAAGGCTAGGCTTATGGCTAGGGCTAAAGTCATGCTAGGGCTATAAACCGGACCTGTACTTGAATTTGGGGTGGGATTCTATTATACTTGGCCTAGACTTGAAAGGTTTTGTCTTGATTACTGTTTACTTTACTCAGTAAAGCTTGTTCATGCGTACAGCCATGTTTTGAAAAACAAATTTATAAAATTAAGGGGTGTAATATATGTTTTTTTTTCAATTTGTTTTATAGTGCTTGAAGGTTTTTTTACTTTATTTTAAGAAATTTGACTTTAAACTAGCATTATTTAAAAATTTTTTTTAATTTTAAAATTTGATATTATCAAAAATTCAATTTTCAAACCTTTCCACCCCTTATTTGTTTATGTTCCGTAACGTTACAACCCTAATCTGATCAGATCCTCACTTTCCCTGATTACTCTCATTCACTTTGTTCGTCGGTCGTCGGTCGTTTGCAGGTGGAACCTGTAGAAACGAAGACTAATTGCTGAAACTAACACGCTGTTCCAGGAGAGGAAAGGAGCGCCCGGCTTTAAGCAGATTATACCATTTGAATTGCGCATTCGACAATAATAGATGACAAGCGACGTGGATTATATACGATGACATAGTGGATATGGGTGGTGACATAGTAGTTGCATATGTGTGGTGACATAGGGGATGGGTTGTATGGAGTGTCGGGTTTGGTAGTAGCTTGTAGCTAGTTTATGTAGAATAAGGATTTATTTTTGAATTTGTGAAGAGGGGCTTTTTGTATGAGGAAAGGGGGGGGGGGTGGAAGAAAATAATATAACTTTTAATTTAACCTCTAACCCCAGCCTGAGCTTATGCTTAGCTTGGCCCTTAGCTTTAGTCTTAGTCTTGGTCTTAGTCATAGCTAGGGCCGGGTGCAAGGAGGGGGAAGGGGGGGGAGAAGACACGAGGGGGGGGAGGATTAAAACTCTGACCTCCCGCCTGGGCTTGATCCGCTAGCCACAGACATAGCTCTAGCCATAAACGTAGCCCTAGCTTTAGCCCTAGTTCTGTTTCCAGCCTTAATCCTTGCCGTAATCTTAGTCCTAGCCTTAGCGATAATCTTAACTTTAGCCTTAACCCTGAGCCTTACTTCAACTTTCCTTACAATTAGCCTTGCATGGTTGTGGCCTTACTCGAGTTTTACTCTTTAAAGATACAATTACTTTACATTTAAAATTTTTAAAATTTATCTGAATTTTGAGCGTTTAAAGTCTTCCCCTGACGTTACGTGCAATCAACGTGTTTGTATTCAAATTCCCACCGTTCCGCTTCTCATTGTGTAAATTTACGGTTCACGTTGCTTTAAATTCATCTTATTTTTTAGTCTTGCCAGTTTAAAATAAATCTGCTGCAATTTCAAAAATTTTTCATAACACTAGTACAGGGTGCGCCAAACGTCCTGTTACAACACTTTACCAGAATGCGCCAAAAATTCTGTTACAACACTTTACCGGTCGTTTTCTCGATGTTGCGGTTAAATTATTTAATTTTTTTTTATTTTAGCTTATTCTCCGTGTTTTTTTTTATTTATAATCATAAAAATTAAGTCTTCATTGTCTACCGTCTGTCTGTATTTAGATGTCAAACATGATTGCTACCCTGTATTATCAAATGTTATTGTAAAATACGTTCATATGTCGGTTCTTTGTTTTAATTTATAAAACAACATTTTAGCCCTAAAAACTGGACAGATGTCTATTATAAATAAACCCTCCACAGACATTTCGTCCTTTGCCCTCCCTTCTCTCAAGTATTTTTTGGAAACTAATCATGCGGGCTTAAAAACGTGCGGAACGTTATACTGGAACGGAGTCATAAAAAGAATGGCCCCTTCGATCATATCGCTTTTGGCTTGAGGAGGAAAGACAAAAGCCATATTATAAGGGTGAGGGGATGAAAGGGAAAACCATATTATAGTCGAGAAAAGGAATAATGTTGGAGTAAGTGGATAAGATGGTGACAATTATATTATAGTAGACAAAAGTATTAAGCAATTTTGTGTTTAAGCTTGAGGTAAGTCCACGCGAAAGATTAAGCCTATGCCTAAGGCAGAAACTGAGCCTGAGCTTATGCCTGAACCTAAGCCTGAGCCTGAGCCTGAGCCTGAGCCTGAGCCTGAGCTCGAGCCTGAGCCCGAGCCTGATCCTGAGCCTGAGCCAGAGCCAGAGCCAGAGCCAGAACCAGAACCAGAACCAGAACCAGAACCAGAACCAGAACCAGAGCCAGAGCCAGAGCCAGAGCAGAGCCTGAGCCTGAGCCAGAGCCAGAACCAGAGCCAGAGCCAGAGCCAGAGCCAAAGCCTGAGCCTGAGCCTGAGCCTGAGCCTGAGCCTGAGCTCGAGCCTGAGCCTGAACCTAAGCCTGAGCCTGAGCCTGAGCCTGAGCTTGAGCCCGAGCTTGAGCTTGAGCCTGAGCCTGAGCCTGAGCCTGAGCCTGAGCCTAAGCCTAAGCTTGACCTTGAGCTCGAATTTGAACGTGAGCCGAAATCTGAGCCTGAGTCTGAGCATAAGCTTGAGGAGCCTGAGTTTAAACCTGAGTTTGAGCTTAAGCATGAGCTTGAGTTTAAGCTTAAGCTTCAGCCTAAGAATAAGCCTAAGGCTAAGTCTAAGCTTAAGCCTAAGCCTATGCTTACCCAAGATAAGACTGAACCGTAAGCTTATGTTAAGCAATTTCTTGAGTCTAAGTCTAAGCCTAACTCATACCTTCACATTAGTACTCTCAAATTTTACGTTTATTAGAAAGATTATGATTGTTGAGACCTTATACCTTGGAGACGTGATAAACGGATTGTCGTGTGTAAGTTGTGCCTTCATTCAAATGTTTCATACGAATATAAGTCGTGTTGATATAAGTGATAAGAGAGTGTTTGAAGGACAGCATTTTGTAGAACTGTCTTTGAACTAACAAAGCAAACATATTGTAATAACAATTGGGGGTTGATAATGGCTTCAACTGTCAGTTTTGAAGTTTTTGTGAGTTTATACTTTAAATATATGTTTTGAATAATCATTGAATGTCACTGATTTTGGTACATTTTAGTACATTTTGAAGTTTTTGGGGATTCACTATGATTCATACTGTATTTTCTAAGATGTTACACTAATTATTCTTCTACAATATTATAGTTACTGTCAGTAATTATGTGTATAACGTTATAAAATGACATTTAAAAGCCTTTTCTTGAGATTTGCCCCAAGAACGTTCGCTTTTCAAGAGAACAACAAAGCCGATCAAAAACTATTTTACTCGTCTTTCCGAAGCCATGTGATCCCAAAAGACGTCATCTTCCTAACATTTCACGGCTTTTGTTTATTGAGCTATCAGACCCCGAACTTTTTGCCTCGTAGCCTAGTCAGGAGTTCAACTCGAACATTCTTTTCACCTTTCAATGTGAATATATACCTTTCAATGTGATTATACAGCTTTCAATGTGAGTATATGTACATATAGGTAAGGCTTCATTTTTTGGTAGGGAGGGCAAGGTAAAAAAGTGATTTTAAAGGGGGAGGAGGGTTATTTTGGTGGTGACTTTATTTTTGGAGCAAAATGGCTTCTTCAACATAGAATAGTGCCTAAAAGGGGGGGGGGGGTGTTCTTAAATTTTTTTAAATTTAAATTTTTGAAATTAAAAAATTTTTTTTAGTATATGACGTGCCTTTATATTTGGTGTATGAAATTTCATTTTTTTTAATTTCTGATCTTTGTCATGTTATATTTTGTCATTTTTTAAAAAAAAATATTTTTTTTTCAAATTAAAAATTCACCACCCCCCTCAACCTGCACCCAAGCCCCACCGATCGCTATTCAACGAACGGCCGAGCAAAACATGGAGAATGGTAGTCGCGTGTGCTTGTTATGATGTTACCCTTGAGAAAGGTGATAAGCACGGAATTCGGTTACGCCTCTGCGACTCGCAATAAATACTTTTCCTCTATTGTTTCGAGACATTGTCCTCGAATCAACAATAGAACCCTCAACTTTTTTCGGCGAAAAGGTCGAGATGGAGTTTAACAACCTTTTTATCATCTCAATTTCGATTTTAAACCTGAACCGCCGGGTTTAAATGTGATTAACGTTATTTTGTTTACATTATCAAGGAAGAGCAATTTCGGCTTCGGTTTCATGTTATAGCGGGTCGTTTTATGTCTGTTAACGTCTTTATGTTAACGTCTTTTCAATTGCGGAACTTTTACCAGGTGTTTGTTAATGATTTTGTTTGATTGCAAAGGAGTTTAGTCAGGAACTGCAACCTTCACTGTTTTTGCAAATATTTGTGGATTTTTAGCTAATATAATCTAAAAATTAATTTTAAAAATAATGAAAAATATTTACTTTATCTTTTTACCAACATTTCATGCACTTTTCCTTTCATTTACCGACAATAATCATCTTTGTTATCCACTTTCACCCGACAAAAACTGTTTGTGCCAACTCTTCTCATTAACCAAATTTGGGGTCAAGTGTTCCGCGGCTTTTTGTTTTTTGCCAAGCTTGGCGTTCGCGTCGTTCTGGTCATTCCCACCCCTAATCCTATTCGAATATCTTTCTTTCTTCTTTATCAGCTATAGCAGTGTTGTATTCACCTATCCAAATGTGTTTTTTACTCGCTTTCTAGTATTTTTTTTCGCTTTTTTTGTGCGTTCAAGGTTAGTTCACGTTACCATACGATGGTTTTACGCATTTCAGACACGAAAATTCAATGCGCTGGACAATAAGTGTGGACGGTGGTCCGAAACGCGTCAATCATGCTGCTTGTGCTATTGGCAACAAAATCTACTCTTTCGGCGGGTATTGTTCGGGGGAAAACCCGTCTCGAACAGCGCCGCTCGATGTTCACATGTTCGATCCAGGTAATTCGCTTTGTTGTTAATTGAATTTGCGTTTAGAAACCATGAAATGGACGAGGTTATTTGGTGAAGAGCCCGACCTTCGAGTTCCGCACAAAAGCGTCTCGTCGGAGAGTTCGGTATTCGAGGAGGAAGTCGATTGGGATCATGACATGTCTTATGAAGACGACGAAACCCAGGATGATTACGATTGGCGGTACAATCCGCTGAGCGACGAGATTAATGCAGAGTTTGATGTTGTGAACACGTTCAAAGAACTTCCCTTTATGAGGTGAGATTTGAAAGGTTTTTTGGGGATTTTGTTATTGACGATGGGATGAATAATATAAAAGTTGTTGTAATTTTAAGCCTTTTGAATTAATTTGAAGAATTTTAGATACGGACATACTGTGGTATGTTACAATGGTAAGGGATACATTTGGGGAGGAAGAAACGATGAGCACGGGGCGTCACAACGATTATACGAGTATGACCCAGGTATGTTAATAACACCTTTGTTGTTTTGCTGATATTTAGGTGTAGTTTGTTGACTTTACGTTAAACATACTTCTAGAAGTTTTTCTAGTTCATTTTTCTTGATTTACTAATTATTTTAATGACTCTGAGCCATTAGTTTTGTCGGCTTTTATCGATTATATTATCATAGGCTTGACACCTATAATTTACCAAAAAATTATCACTAATAACTTATTTTAATTGCCACAGATCAGCAAAAAACTCATTAGTTGAACAATTGGTTCATCGCGATCGTTGATCGTTTTGTTTTTGCCATGTGACTATTAGTTAGAGATAATGATCTGACGGACTTTGTACCACTGATTAGGAGTATATAGGTCATTTTGATAGGATGGTTATGAAATTAGGCTTATCATCAAATAATCTATTCTGTATTAATTATGTCACGTTTTTCTCGAATTTGTTTGTTTCCTATCGGTTATGAGGTATAAAGTACAGTAGGAAGGAAGAAACTACAAAAATGGTGTTATAGTAGGTAAATATTGGAAAAAATCATATTTTAATGTTAAAAATTGAAGATGAACTTAAATATGAAAAATATTACTGGTTTTTCTTTTAGAAGAGAACAATTTCCATCCAGTAGACTCAGTGAACGAAGCTCCACCAGCTCGAGATGGTCACACAGCTGTTGTTCATGGCCACGAAATGATCATCTTTGGAGGATTTGAAGAAGATAATCAACGATTCAGCCAAGAATGTTATTCATACAACTTTTTGAGCAGAGAATGGAAGCTTCTGAAGACCAAAAACACCCCTCCACAGTACCGAGACTTCCACGCCGCTTGTGTCATGGATAACAAGATGTACGTGTTTGGAGGTCGATGTGACGAACGAGGTCAATACCACAGCAACGCCGACTACTACGATGACGTGCTGCGGTATTTGGACTTGGAAACATTGGAGTGGATTCAGCCAGAAGTGAAGGGGGAGCTACCAATGGGAAGAAGGTCCAATGCCATGTGGACTCACAATGGCATGTTGTACATGTTCGGTGGCTACAACAGTCGTGTAGATCAGCATTATGGTGATCTAAGACGATTTGATCCAAAAACTGGCGAATGGCACAAACTTTTGTTCCCCGGCCTTCGACCAACTCCAAGAAGAAGACATTGCTCGGTTATGGTCGATGACAAGCTGTACCTCTTTGGAGGTACCATGCCACATCCTAATAAGAAGAATGGAGGTCTATTGGACCTGGGAGATCTTTATGTTTTGGAGTATGGAAATGTGTTAACTTCGATCTGTTTCGACTCGTTGGCTTGGAATGGGTACATGGATTTGATGCTGGAGCATCTGCCAACTACTGTAATGTAAGTTTTTAGTTTTGGAGTAAAAATTGGAATTATTTTAAGTTTTGTAGGCTTGGTATTAGTATTAGGCTTGAGTTTATGAGTATAAAAGTATTAGGCTTAGTTTTATGAGTATATTTTTTTACATTTTAAACCTAAAATACGTTAAAATTAAAAAAATTTTTTTTTCAGTGAAAGCCTCCGCCCCAACCTCACGGACAAACGGTACCAGAACATGACTCCTAACAATCCGTACTAACAATCTTGCCATCTATTTTTTACATTTTGTCCTAATTCTCACGGTTATTTTGTATCATTTTAATCTTTCTCAGCATTTCATATTTGTAAGGCCTTATCAGTTAATGTAAAGCATTTTCTATGTTACTGTATACATTTTCTTTATCGCTGTAACGGTTTTTCTGTTAAGGAAACCTTAATCATGTTACTGTAAAACTTGTAAGCTTACGGGCATTTCTTTGAATCAATACTATCGGGTTTCTCCTTCGTCTTCTCTCTCAACTTTTGCAAATCGATGATTCGAATCACAAAATCAACCAAAAACGGGTATTCACCAAGCCATTTCACATTGTTGCTACACTCATTTTGTTCATTTGTACATAAATATTTTGCCATGAGAGATTGAACTCGGATTTTTGTGGTTTTCTGTTATAAAGCGGCATTGTTTTTGAAATTTTTGAGGTTTTAATGGTAGAAGTTTTGAATATTTTTTGTTTTTTATTGGTTTCTTGGTTTGTGTATGTTAATATAATTGAATGTGGAGAAGGATAAAGTGACAGAAAGGTATTCTGAAGCTACAGAATATATAAAGTCTAGCATTTACTGCTGTTTTGACCATGAAAAATTGCAAAGTTTATGAAATTTGACTAAAAATTGGCGAAAAATCATGGATGGTGAACATGGTTTTTGTCATATCTTTTTTTCAAAACGTAGTTAGAGGTATGAAATTGTAAGCAAAGGTAGATTATTTAATGCGTCAACTAACTATTGTAAAATTATTTTGGGGTCTACTATACTTTTCATGTTACAGTAGTTTTACTGACCACTATTTTTTTTTCTCAAAAAAACTTAAAAATATGAAGTTTTCTTTTAAAAATTTGTTATTTTTAATGATATACAACATAATATAAAATGATCAAAAAAACCTTTTAATAATATAAAATACAATTCCAGGTGATGGAGGCCAAACACCTATACCTCCCGGCAGCTCTAACCGCCCCGGTTATGTACGTGGGGTCATTGTACATATTAGATAGAGATCAATTTCATTCTGATCATCCAGTAACGATCAAGAAACGATTCATTGGAGTTGCAGCTAGCACAACTATCACTGTTATGTCAACTTATATTTTGCTGTATCAAGTAAGGTTCTTGAATTTTTGAGAGATTATTAAGCTTAGGCTTATAAGGTTCGTGCTTAGTAGGTTTGTGCTTAGTAGGCTTAGGCTTAGTAGGGTAGGCTTAGTAGGCTTAGGCTTAGTAGGCTTAGGCTTAGTAGGCTTAGGCTTAGTAGGCTTAGGCTTAGTAGGCTTAGGCTTAGTAGGCTTAAGCTTAGTGACCTTAGGCGTAGTAGGCTTAGGTCTTAAAACTAAAAAAAATTTCAGGATTTTAAGACGCCTCATACTGTAATGGGTTTATATGCAAATCTAGATACGCTAGAAAAATGTTTGCATAGCTTCATACTGACATCCTCAATATATCTTGGCACATTTTACATGGAGATACTCGATGGAACGTGGGGATTTTACTCTGCTTTTTGTAAGTTTTTTCAAACATTTTAAATTTTAAAAATTTGTTTTGAAATTTGAAATCTCAGGATATGAAAATTTTAAAAACTTTTAATTTCCAGCCCCCTTCGAATGGCTAGCCTGCCTAAAAGACCTGGTATGGCTGCGAAACAATGTGATCGCTCCAATCACGGAAGAGCTGGTGTTCCGAGGCTGTGCCGCCGTCCTAATCCAACATTCTCTAGGAAAACCGTGTGCCCTGTTCTTTAGTCCACTCCTCTTTGCCATAAGCCATTATCATCACTTGAGGAACGATATTAACCATGGATCAACGGTAACTCAGGCTCTATTGACACGAACGTTCCAAGCTACCTATACCTACTTGTTTGGTGGGTATGCGACGTTTTTGACACAACAATATGGACAAATCTTGCCGACCATTTTGAGTCATGCCTTGTGCAATAGTATGGGACTGCCGAGAGTTTGGGATCTGATGGACTATCCCAAGAAACATCGGTTTTTTATTGTAGTCGCGAATATGGCTGGACTGGCTGGGTTTGCTTACGGGGTTTATAGGATGATTTGAGGGTAGGGTAGGTGAATTGGTGATTGGGATATGATTATTAATATATAAGGATGACAACTTGATTTTGGCTTGGTAGGTGCAGGCTTATTAGACTTAAGCTTATGTTTAATAGGCTTAGAATTAGTAGGCTTAGGCTTAATAGGCTCAGGCTCAATAGGCTTAGGCTATTAGTTTTAGGCTTAGTAGGCTTAGGTTTAGTAGGCTTAGTAGCTTTAGGCTTAAAAGGCTTAGGCTTAGTAGGCTTAGGCTTACTAGGCTTAGGCTTAGTCGGCACAAGCTTATTAGTCTTAGGCTTAGCAGGCTTAAACTTAGTCGGGTCAATCTCTGTAGGCTTAAGCTCAGCAGGCTTGTGGTTTTTAAACTTATGCAACTAGAGTTGTAAGTGATGGGGGTAGAGGTTAAAAACAAAAAAAAGTTTTTTTAATTTGTTTAATGAAGGCATGCTTAACATTTTTTATGGATTTTTGAAAATTTTAACGGGTTCAAGAGATGAAAAACGTGATTTTACGCTATTTCAATATCGATCGTATAATAAGTGTCTTATGGGTAATATGGTGACTTAAACATAATGAAAAGGCTTAACTTTACTTAACTTATTATTATCAAAACGACGTACTACTTATTATAGTCTTACTAAACTTTTATTATTTTATATGGTTTGATATACTTATATTATAATATATGAAATGACAATTTTTGAATAAATTTTTCACTTTTTGATATAAAAGATTGTTTTTTTAGGCTTAGCTGGTTTATGTTTAGTACACTTAGGCTTTGGAGGCTTAGGTTTAGTAGGCGTATTATTAGTAGACTTAGGCTTAGGCTGAGAAGGCTTATGCTCAGTAGGCTTAGGCTTAGTTGGCTTAGGTTTAGTAGTGTTAGGCTTAGGAGGCTTGGGCTTAGTAGGCTTAGGCTTAGTAGGCTTAGGCTTAGATAGTAGACTAAAATTTGGTTTAAAAAACATGAAATGTATATTTTTTCCTTTTTGTCAGTTGACAGTAATCAAAACCAAAAAAAAATTGTGGTACAAAGATTACATTTTTATCGAAAACCCCGTTACCACACTGTTTATTTGTTACTTGTGATAAGCGACTTGTTATTGTTAAAACAAATAATCTCACAAAATGAACGGAATTACGCCGAAATTCACGAACGAAATCGAAAATGTTGTGGATGATCATCTGTTCGGATGTGTTGCCACGAATCAGGAGGTTCAGTGGCATCAGGTAGGGGTAATTTTTTGTGATTTTTTTTATTTGAGGGGTGGATTAAAATTTTTTTTTGATGTCAATTTTTTTTGATGTGTGTTTTTCAGAACAATAAACGAGTGTTAATTCGAGCCGACATTGATAATGTGAAGAACAGACAAGTCACATTAGTTTGTGGTGGAGGCTCTGGACATGAACCTTTTGCTGGCGGTGGGTTTTGGCTTTGTCTTTATTATTTTACTAGTCTAAATTTAATTCTAGTCTAGCCTAAGCTAACGCTTAAGCTCTAACCTAACAATTTTGTAAGGGCTAGCTCTAGTTTCGGGCTTAGCCTAACCTCTAGATTTAGCCTAAAACTGAGATTAAGCTTTAGGCGAACTCTTACTTTAAGCTCTAGCTTTCTTCTTCGCTATTAGCCACACCCTAAGCCGTAGTTTGAGTTATAGCCTAAGCTCTAGCTCTAGCCTAAGATATAACCTAAGTTCTAGCCTAAGCCGTAGCCTAAGCCCTAACCTAAGCCTTAGCCTGAGCTCTAGCTTAAGCTTTAGCCTAAGCTCTAGCCTAAGCCCTAGCCTAAGCTCTAGCCTAAGCAATAGCCTAAACCTTAGCATAAGCCCTAGCTTAAGCTTTAGCCTAAGTCCTAGCTTAAGCCCTAGCCTAAGCTCTAACCTAAGTCCTAGTCAGTAGCTCTAGCGTAAGCCTTAGCCTAAGCTCTAGCTTCAGATCGATCCTAAGCTTTAGTCTAAGTCTTGGTTCTATCTTAAGGCTTAGCCTAAGCTCTAGCATAAGCTCTAGCCAAACTTTATTCCAAGGCGTAAATCTCATTCTAAATCTTAGATCTAGCTTATGTTCTCGCTGTAGCCATAGCAAAAACTAATTCTAGCTCTTACTGTAATCATATTATTATAGGCTTCGTCGGTCCAAACGGCTTATCTTCAGCCGTTTCTGGTGATGTCTTTGCTTCACCTTCATCTCAACAAATTCAAGATGCTATCTCTTCTGTACTATCCAACAAAGGCACTATAGTATTTTCGAATAACTATACTGGCGATCGACTCAATTTTGGAATGGCAGTTGAAAACTTGAAAAATTTGCATAAGAACCTCAAGTTGAAGTTGTATTTTGTGGATGATGATGTAGCTTTAGAAGGAAAGGCTGGTTTTAAAACTGGCAATAGAGGATTGGCTGGAAGTGTGCTGGTTTTACAAGCAGCTGGGGCTTTTGCTGAAAGTGGCATGGAGTTTGAAGAGATTTGTGAGAATGTGGAGGACATGATTGGGAGCTTGGGTAGGTTAATATAACTTCTTTTTGTGATAAGACAGGGCAGGGTAATGTTGGGTAGCGGAGAGGGCAATACGTTAAGATAGTGGTACCGCAGGACTAGGGTAGGATACAATAGGGCAGGTTACGTTGTAGGATAGAGTAGGGTACAGTGGTTCTATGGTAGGGTAGGGTAAGTTAAAGTAGGGTAGGGTAGGGTGGCGTTGGGTAGGGTAAGTTAAAGTAGGGTAGGGTAAGGTAAGGTAGGGGAGGGTAAAAATTTTAGAACTTTAATTTCAGCTACCTTCGGAGTCAGTTTATACCCCTGTTCCATGCCTGGCAAGAGCTACATGTTCAGTTTACCTGATGATGAGCTTGAGCTTGGACTGGGCATTCACGGGGAGCCCGGGTTAGAACGAATCAAGGTCAAAACAGCCAAAGAGATCATTGATATTGTCATGCCAAAACTCGTGTTTAGTAATCGATTAAAGTTGGGCCAACAAAGTGAGGATAAGATTGCCATTTTATTGAACAACCTTGGTATTGTCAGTCAAATGGAGATGAATATATTGGCCAAGGAGGTATTGGACTGGATTGGTGAGTGTTTATCTGATAGATGAGTTAAATTCTCTATTTTACATTTTAATTCTAAAAATGATGTTTAGAAGCCAATACAAAGCTAAAAGTAGCAGCATTGTTCCGTGGTACCGTCTCAACCTCATTAGATGGCCATGGTGTTAGCATTAGCATCTTGAGGTCGGACAGAGAAAATTGGTTGCCAGCGTTGTGTACCATTAGTCCTATTAGTAATTTTTGGAATGTAACGAAGCCACAGAAGCTTGAAACTACTTTATGAAATTTGAGAAAGTTTGGCTTTGTTTTGACAGAGTTATGGCTATATTATAGTAGGTAAAGCTAGCGAAAATTGGAAAAAATGGCCGAAAATTCTTAAAAACTGGCTAAATTGACAATTCTATTTGTATCAAATAGTTTATACATTCATTCTACAATAAATCAAACAGAACTCATCCATTTTAATACTTATTTAGTTACTTTACATCAAATTATATTACACTCTATGTGTACATAGATGAGAGCTCGAAACAAGATCGTAGCTTCTTTTTTTATGGTCATGACCTAACTCAGACGGTAAAAAAGCTCTGTTTGTTTGAACAAGAAACAATACGGAACCTAAACCAAGATCTTGGAATTTCGCACTAATTATATTATACTACACGTTCTGCACCACAAAATGTTTGAATTTGATTTTCTAGTGTTGTAACTTGACTTATATGGTTGTTTTTGGTATTTTTAAATAACTAAAAGACTTTAGTTTTAAATTTTAAATCGAAAAGATTGAGTTTGAATTGTTAGGAACATGAAAACAATCATTATATTAATCATGTTATCCATGGATGCGATAATGTGTAGAAACGTGATAACTTTTGAAGACGTTCACATGGTGAATTCTCCTGGTTGTACAGTGTCTGTAAGTGTTTAAGCTATTTAAAAATGGCAGAAGAGAATTTTTATTTTTGCAAGAACTTTGTTTACAGCCAAAAGTTTTGAAAAAAAGCTAGTTTTTTTTGAAAAAAGGCGAAAAATCTGGAAGTTTTAGATTTTTTTCGAAGTTAATGCCATTTTTAAATTAAAAAAAATAAATTTAAATTGAAGGTATGATAAAGATTGATGTTTTAAAATACAATTTAGGGTGATATGCTAGTAGAGTGCGACGGTACAGAGCGAGAAGTGTCCGCGGAAGAGCGTCTGGCCCTGGATTATTATAAAGAAGTGATACGAAAGTGGAATGAAGATCTTGGAAAGTTCGTAAGTCTACAAAATATAGTTATTTTGACGTAGATTTAGCTGTATTTTTAGCTAGACGAAGGGAAAATTTATATATTTTTAGCTAGGCCAAGCGAGGAAAAATACAAATGCCAAAAGCTTTGCCGTGCCAGATTACCCGCAGTTTCCTCCAATCTGCAAATCTTGTTCTGAATAACTAAATTATTTTTGTTCTTGAACTTAAAATTTTGTTTTTGGCTAGATAAACTTGGAAAAAAATTTGTTTTTATTTTAAAATTTTTGAATTTAAAAAAATTAGGGTATGGTAAAAACGTTAGGATACGGTAGGGAATACGGTTGGATAAGGTATGATAGGATAAGGCAAAGCATGCAGATCAAGACGGAAAAGGGCAAGGTAGAACAGGCTTAAACTGGGCCGGGTAGGACAGGGTTGGACTGGATTGGGCAGAACAAGATTGGGCTGGATTGGAAAGGACAGGATTGGACTGAACTGGGCAGCACAGGATTGGACTGAACTGGGCAGCACAGTATTGGACTGAACTGGGCAGCACAGGATTGGACTGGATTGGGCAGGACAGGGTTGGACTGGATTGGACAGAACAAGATTGGGTTGGATTGGACAGGACATGGTTGGACTGGACTGGGCAGCACAGGGTTGGACTGGACTTAGCAGCACAGGATTGGAATGGATTAAGCAGGACAGGGTAGAACAAGACATGGTAAGGCAAGGTGGGACAGAATAAGCCAGAATATGGTAGGGTAGGACAGGGCAAGAAAAGCTCGGATTTATAGGGGTAGGGTATGGTAGGGTAGAGTAGGGTAGGGTACGGTATTGTAGGGTAGGGTACTGTAGGGTAGGATAGGGCAGGAAAAGTAAAATTGAATACAAAATGAAAAAAAAATTTAAAATGTCATTTTATTTGGCTAGTAAACCAAAAAACCGGTCGGTTCTTTTCTATGTCTGTCATTCACTAAAACCGTCAGCTCATCATTTATGTCAAACGACGAAGGCTACGAGCTGAGCGAAACTCTGTACATTAGCTCGTACGAACATCGATATGCAAATTTCATCGCTGGGGTGTTGTCAGGTAGGGTTTTTTGTTAAATTTCGATTTTTTTTTTATTTTTTTTGAAATTTTTACAATTTTGAAAAATTTTGAAATTTTAAAGTTTTTTACACTAGCCATTTTTACTTTACCCTACCCATCTGAAATGAAAAAAAACCCAAATTTTTGTCGTTTCCCGGCTATTTGTTGCAAAAAGAATGGCATTTTAGTCAAAATAGGTAGGATTTTGAAACACGCCATTCTTTTCCGAACAAGATTTTTTGTTTGAAAAATGAACTTTGTGTTATATTATTGTAGATATGTTAAAATACGTGTTTTGATTGACTTACAGTTTATTTTTACAGTAATAATTATTAGCAATAACTCATAATTGTTTCAAAAGGCAGTGTAATACTTTAGCAGACGTTAGGTACCTGAACCCTGGGCTAAACGATGGATAGGGTAGGATTAGACAAGCCAAAATGAGACAAGCTAGAGCGGGATCAGAGTAGGAAAGGTCAAAGTATTACAAGCTATTGTAGAGTAGGGTAGGGTAGACATGAGAAACGGGCCGGGCCGGCCTTGAGCAAAATTTCGATTGGGCCGGGCCTGAAAAATGAGCCGAGCCCCGCCCATTTTTACGTAAAACAAATTCGGGCCTGGGTTATCATGCCCGAATTTAAGGTAGGGTAGGGTAGGGTAGGGTAGGGTATCTAAACATCACATTGTGATAACAGATTACTATTACTCGCTGTTATTGCTGTATAAATAGTGTTATGATTCATCATAACTTTTCGAATCGTTTTTTCTTTGAAATTTTGCGAAAATCATCGACGAAAATAAATTGTCGTATTTGAAAAAAAAGTTTGAAAAATAATGAATTCTAGTTTTTGTAGCTTCGAAATTCTACTGAAATTTAAAAATTTGAAGTTTTTTAAAGTGACATTTTTAAAATTTAAAAAAATTTTTTGGGTTTTTTTGAAAACAGTGCAAAACGCGCCATTCTTTTTGCATCAAAAAAAACTTTTTTTGTAACTTGGTTTTTTATGTCACAAAGTAGGTAACAAGACTAATAACAACAATATTTTCATCAATAACTGCTCATGAACTATCTAAAGCAATACATAATACAAAGCTTATATTATCATTGACATTGCCAAACAATAACTATCAAAAAAGCGTATGTTGCAATTTGAAAATATAGTAAAATACGCCAAAATAACCATTACCATTTAATGAACAAGAACTTCCTCAAAATTGATAAGAACAAAACAATTTCTCAAAAAAACGTCATGATGACACAGTAGCGGGCGAACGTCAGCTAGTCTTCGGTCTCGACGTTCCGTCGAGAACGGAGAATGAAAACAGCGAACAATTATTGACCATAGTGATTGATCAACCCGTGTCATTGACAATCTGATCATTTGTCGTGTCGTATGGGTTTTATGGAAGTGTAGGCGTATTTTTAGGGCTGCTCTGCTTCTTCGAACCATGTTGTATATCACTTTTGTTTGTCGTCTGGTGTCTTTGAGAGCGCTTTGAAACGTTAGCCTAGTTTAACCAGCCTAGCCCTAGCCCAGAGCCTTAGCCCAGAGCCCTAGCCCAGAGCCCTAGCCCAGAGCCTTAGCCCAGAGCCCTAGCCCAGAGCCCTAGCCCAGAGCCCTAGCCCTAGCCCAGAGCCCTAGCCCAGAGCCCTAGCCCAGAGCCCTAACCCAGAGCCCCAGCCCTAGCCCAGAGCCCTAGCCCAGAGCCTTAGCTGTAGCCCTAGCCCAGAGCCCTAGCCCAGAGCCCTAGCTTAGGGCCTTAGCCCTAGTTCACGATTTAACTTTAGTTCAAGCTCAAGTTCAAGCTTATGCTCAAGATCAAGTTCAAGCCCAAACTTAAGTCTATTGGACCTAACTTAAGCTTTTGCCCTAAGTTACCTTAAGGCTAACAGTAGCAAACTTTATATTGGCTTATTGCATCGTACTCCTATTTTACTTCAGTTATGTTATGCCCTATCATACTATACATGGGGAACGGGCCGAGCCGGTCTTGACCCAAATCTTGACCTAAATCAGGCCGGACTTAATATTCAGGCCCGGCTTGTTCTTCATGTTGATACCATGCTCTAGACTTACAGTAGCTGTTTTGCGTTTTACTTTTCGTGCCATACTCTATTCGATCTTTTTTGCCCATGCCTTCTTTTGACTATGTCATTTTTCATTTTTTTACGTGGTCATGTCATGCTGTAGCTATACATGCTAGTAGACATGAGAAACGGGCCGGGCCTGAGCAAAATTTCGATTGGGCCCGGCCCGTTTCTCATTTCTACATACTAGCCTTTTCACTCATTTTTCCAAACCACCAAGGTTTTTGTTACCTATAACCCTCACCCTCCCCCCCCCCCCCCACTAATCCGACTCATAAGCCGTTACCAATGTGTTGTCGAAAACCTCAACCTAATCAACCATCGCTTATTTCTCAATCATAATCACTCCCCCCCCCCTCCCCCCCCCCAATGCTTTTTTTATTTCATCTCTCAATTATGATCAGCGACTCAATTCATCTCGCGACGTCGCCACACCACTTTGTCGTCGATGCAAAAAGACTGTTACAACGACGCCACTTTCTCAAGAACGTGCATGGTGAATGTCGGTGGAGCCGAAGGCCTCATGACCCACGAACGCGTTTCTATTCGTCTACACTTGTTGACATCCGAGCACGGATCGGTGTTATTATAGGCGGTTTTGGTGAGCATTACGCGTTGGATATTGTTGTAGATTGGTTGAGGAGAGAGGTTGGATATTGTTGTAGATTGGTGAAGGAAAAGGTTGGATATTGTTGTAGATTGACTACGGAAAGGCCGGATATTGTTGTAGATTGACTACCAAAAGGCTTGGATATTGATATAGATTGGCTAAGAAAAGGCTGGATATTGTTGTAGTTTGGCTTCAGAAAGACTGCCTATTGATATAGATTGACTACAGAAGGATTGGATATTGTTGTAGATTGACTACGAAAAGGTTGGATATTGTTGTAGATTGGTTGCTGAAAACTTGGATACTGCTATACTTTGGCTTAAGAAAGATTGGACTTTGATATTATTTTGGCTAGCCAAAGTTGTATTAATCTACAGAGAGGCTACATAACTACATTTTCTATCTTTTGGTTACGGAAACTACAGATTCTGCCTGGTTTATCTACCTAAAACCTTGGATTTGCCTTCGTTTTTCTATCTAAAACATTAGATTTTGCCTTGACTAGACTAAGAAACCACTGAATTTTGTTGTAGCTAGGCTACAGCAACTTTTTGTGAGCTAGTACTCTAATTTAAAGGCTTTTTAGCATTGTTTTTTGATATTTTAGACTTTAAAGCCTTCTAAGGACCCCTTGCCTACTGAAGTTTAAGTTGTTTTCCTTGATGTTCTTTGCTTTTTTTCTTTCACGGTGAACTTCTGATTCTGAAATCTCTATTTTCAAGTTGTTAACCTTGATTTTTTACATTGTAATTGCGATATATATCTTCCATTGTTAACCCTACCTTTTCGTAAAGCTTTGTATTTTACTGTACTATCCTTGAAACTCTGAAAAATTGTTGTCAAACTAGCCTAAACTAATCTTCGTCCAAGCTATTTTTGATCTTTATGCCAGATTTTGATTCTTCTTCTTATCTTGAATAACATTGTAATATCGAAGAAACAATAATTGTATGATATTACCAATTATCGAGTACAAAATTGTATAGTACAAAACCTAGAATAACTCGAAATGAGTCTCATCGACTTTGTCGCCGGCTCTATTGGAGGTAAGCGCAAGGGGGTGCTACTAACAGTACTAACAATCAGGGCCGGGCGGGGACTTTTGGTCTGGGGGCAGGGGTCCAAAAATCCACAGGGGGGACCACGTTCAAATTTTTTCGAAAATTTTTTTTCTGGGGGGGTACCCCCCCCTCTCCGTCCCCCCCCTCGCGCCCGGCCCTGCTAACAATAACAACAAAGTGATACTAATACTAACAATGACAATGTGAGAAGCTCTAACATACCTTTATTCATCTCTACGTAACCCTACTCTACCTCACCCTACCCTACCCTACCCTACCCTACCCTACCCTACCCTACCCTACCCTACCCTACTCTACCCTACCATACCTTATCCTATCCTCCTTAGTTTTCCCTGCCCTACCCTATCTTGTCTTACCCTACCCTACTCTACTCTCATCTACTATAGTTTGTTCTTCCCTTCCTGACCTCACCCTGCCCCTGCGGTATCTTTTCCTACCTTACTTTTTGCCTGCCTTCCCTTAACCTACTCTACCCTATCCTATTTTGTTCTGTCCTACTATACACTGTCCTCCCGTACGTTATTTACCCTTACTTGCTCTACTCGGTTATCTCGACCTACCCTGCCTTATGCTTAACATAAGCCTCTAAGGCTTGCAACACCCTACTCTCTGCTTTTTTTAAACTCTAATTCCACTCTAGTCTGGATTTTGTTTCTAAGAAATATTAACCATGAATATACGTTTCAAACCCAACTTAAACTAATTTATTACTTTTCAGGCGCGGCAGGGGTATTAGCTGGTCACCCGTTGGACACAGTGAAAGTTCGTCTTCAAACTCAAAAAACCGGTCAATTCCGTGGGACATGGCACTGTTTCACGCATATCCTGGCCAAAGACAAGGTCCGGGGATTGTATAAAGGTGAGTTTTTTCTATTTTTTTAAAATATTAAAATTTATGATGTTTTGGTAATATATCGGGAATAATAAGCCTAAAAATTTGTTTTAAGGTGTTTTTGAAGCAATTGGTACCTAATTTTTTAAAATTGTGACATTTTTCAAAAACCGCAAAAAACTTTCTTTACAAATTTTTTTTTTAAATTTGAAAAAAAATTAAGTTTTTTATAAAGTCACAATTATTATTTGGACATTTCAAGCATTTTTAATCTATTTTCACTTCTATTTTAACCTTTTACAATCATATTTTCAAGCTTATCATTACCACAGATACGTAGTGTAACATAACCCCAGAAACTTAATGTTTAATCTTGTTGTTGTTGTGATATCTTAGAATGGAATCTCCACGAATGTTTATGATAGTTTCATAATCGTTTTGCCCATTAACAACCGTAAAAAGCGTTTTACAATGTCTAGAAGCGGGGAGAGAGCGTGCGAAAGCGAGAGAGCGGGTAGGGATAGAAAGAAAAATAAGCACAAGTTGTAATACGGTAATGGTATTGGCGAAAAAATGTTATTGTAGGAATGAGAAAAGGTCAACAAAGAGTGTGTCGATGACGTTTTGATAATTTTTAGTCGAAAATTTTGAAAAAAAAATTTTTGAAATTTTTTAAAATTTTTAAAATCTGCCAAAATTAAAAAAATTTTTGATAAAAATGACTATCTAAAGCAAGATAAAGATACAGAAAGGCATTATAAACCCCAGTAAATCCAAAAAACCACACTATTACAGCTCAATATATCAATATCATTATATTCACTATGCCCTTTTCAGGAATGTCAAGTCCCCTCTCCTCCCTAACCCTGGTGAATGCCATCGTTTTCGGCGTTCACGGCACGGTGGCCAAGCAATTCTCGGACCATCAAGCCATTTTCACCCATTTTGTGGCCGGTTGTTCAGCTGGAATTGCTCAGGCCTTTGTAGCCGCCCCCACGGAGCTTCTGAAGCTGCGAGTTCAAGTACAAGATGGACCAAGGCAGTACCGATCACCTTATCATTGTTTGAGGTGTATATTGAAGGAAAACCCGGCTACGTTGTTTAGGTAAGGGCATTGTTTTGGAGATTTTTTGGTTTTTAGGTATTAGTTCTAATGTACCTTGGCTTTGTCCTACTGTAGGTACCCTAGGCTTATCAGTGAACTTTCTCTGCCATTCTTTACCTTACAGTACTCATCATGGGTCTGGGGCTAAAGTAGGGCTATGGTAAGCCTAGAGTAAGGCAAGGGTCCTATTCCAGCCCTACCATAACCCTACTATAGCCCGTTCATATCATACTCTAAGGCTACAGTATCCCAGATCTAGTATTACCTTACCCATGGGCATGGACCATAATCATACAAGCAATATGTAAAGTATCCTCCCCCGTCCTATTGCATTTCTCATTATTTTAAAAATTTTTAACTTCAGAGGCACCTGGATCACCCAGCTTCGCGATTGTCCTGGCCTAGGAATCTACTTCGCGTCCTACGAGTACCTGGCCCGTAAAATGAGCAAAGACGGTACGATGGAAGCCCTCACGAGTATACAACTTCTAATGGCCGGCGGACTGGCGGGCATGACATCGTGGCTGTTCAACTACCCTACCGACGTAATAAAAACCAGGTATCAGGCGGACGATACCAGCCAAAACTACCGCGAAGTCATACGAAAGGCCTACGCCGAGAACGGGTACCGGACGTTCTTTTGCGGGTTCGGCTCAACGTTATTACGGTAAGGCGGTTTTATGTTATTTTAGAGGGGATACCCTGCCTTAAAAATTTTTTTGAGGAAGGGGGGTGGAGTTTTTTGAGGGGGAGGGAAGCTAAAAAAAATTAAAAAAATTTTTTTTTCAAAAAAAGAGTCAAGTTGGGCTTGGCCTCCTGTTTTATTTCGAAAAAAAATTTTTTTAGTTTTAACCATCCCCCCCCCCTAACCTACATTTACCCCCCCCCAAAAAATTTTTTTTGTTAAAATTAAAACTGATTGGCTTTGTTGATTAAAAAAAAATTTTTTTTACCCCTCCCTCGCCTAAATCTACCCTTCCTTAGCCTAAATTTACCCCTCCCACCCTCTGAAGCTGGAAATTCAAAAAAAAGTTTAAATGATTTTAAACTTTTTTAAAACCTAACAAAACCACTTTCAGAGCCTTCCCCACGAACGCCGCCACCTTCTTCACGGTGGAGTGGACCTACCGCCTGCTGTTGGACTACGACCTGCTGGGATATATTCAAAAAATGACGCGTCATAACAAAGGGAAACGCTACGTATCAGTGTACGACCTCTGGCAAAGGAACTCCTTTTTACTGCCCGAAGCCGGAAGCACCTACATCGACCCGATGATACACAGCTGTCGCTTCATCAACCACTGAACTCAACCTTCCCTCGAATGATCTGGGCTCGCGTTATGCCTCTTATATATACATCAGCTACCACAACATACTAAATTGACCACTGTTTACTAAACTTACTGCTTCAAGTTTTGTCGTATCTCGTTGGATATTGTCGTATCTTACTTTAGCATATCATGTTTCGTATATAGGCTTATGTTTTTGATGTTCTTTTAGCTAAATTCTCAGCCATCTTTTGTTCTTGTTTAGATATTAATATTGATATAGTTCTAGCCTTTTAACCTCTTCGTTACCACAGTATTTTTATAGTATTTGAGCTATATTAAACTCTTGTTAGCATAGTAAGATTGCGATTATTGTAAAATTTTCCCTATCTTTTTATTAAGGTAATATTGATATTGTTCTACAGGTCAACGGATATTTGTTAAATCGTTGTTTATAACTAGTATTTGTATCATATCTTGGATGAATATCGAACAAAAGTGTTTCACATATCAGATAATTGAAATTGTAATAAAAATTGTTGTAAAATCAAAGCGGGAAATGAGTCATAACGAATACACGGCCTACTATAACATAACGTTATAAGATATTATATCGAAATTAATAAAGAAACTAAAAGTAAATTAAAGAATATTAAACGACGTAAAAAATATTGTCCTTCTGTGCCTTCTAACTTTAAAAATAATGTTTTATCGAGCTCCTGTCTTGCTTTGCGAACTGCAACATGAGGAAAAGAGGAAGCGCGGCAAAAATAAATTCGAACTCTTCGAAATTCGTTGTTTTTTCGGAACTTATTTTTTGAACTCTTTCTCATTATTTTGATGAAGCAGAATGATAAAGTCTTCGGATGTAAGTTCAAATTTGAATCTATTTTCTATATTATCCTTCTTTTTCAAGCGGTTTCTTACTTTTAGGTTTTTTTTGTGTTTTAATTACCTTGTTCAGTCTTTTTATTTAAAACACTGTTTTCAGAAGTCTTTACGGATCCGTTACGTTGATAGCACGTCAATTCCAGTGCTGGAACGAGTGTTTGAGCGTGAAAAGGTGTTTCTGGTCGACAAAGTTGATGGAGTAAGTCGTTTTACCTATATTATTATATGTTTAGGCTGTTATTCCAAGGAAAGTCGTTCAACAAGCTGCCAAGACTGTTGTGAAGCAAGAATTAGTGAAAAGTGTCGATAATGGTCTACAGTTGGTTGGCGACCCATTAGAAGTTTCGATGATTGACTTGGACTTGGAAACAGAACGTATTGGTGAATGTATCTATGGAAATGGCCTTGATAAATTTCAGGATAGGATAGATATACAACCACTTAGCCATGTTGAAGCTGCAAATGTGATTAGGAAGTTGGTTTTTTTATTTATTTGTTTTTTTTTTATTTTTAGGTTTGATCAAGGTGAATATAAATTAGGTTGAGTTAAAGTTAACAACTTTTTTGATAGGGAATCTAATGACGTGAACTTTTTTCAGAAGGTATATAGTTCATTTTGTCAACTGCTTTCTTAAACAGAAGTTTTTAATCCATAGGTTTTTGTAACTTATAGTAGGTTAAGCGTTACCTACTCTTTTGAAGCTTAGAAGTTTAAAAAATAATTTTTTGTCAAATTATTAGTGTTTTAACGCTTTTCTTGTATAACATGTCGTATTTCAGAGTATCAGACACTGCTTTTAAACAAAAATTGGCCGGCATCTCTGGTGTTAACAGTCTGAAAGAGTTCAATATGGTGGTATGTGCTGACAGTGCTGATGTTCAAAACGTTGTTGTCTATGCTGTCAAAGTGACAAAAGAAGAAATTGTGGAATATCATGTACGTTTGCTGGGCAATCTCAACGATGGTATGATGCAAGGATTGGCACGGCAGATGATGATATACGGTCATGTTGAGAACGTCACCTATCACGCGATCTACGAGGATATGAATGGAAGTTTTGGTATTCCAACGTTCTCAAGTTGGCTCAGACCAATCTCTGTGGTTGGATTCTTGGGTAATGAGGATGATTTGAGTGAGCAGGACAAGTTTGAGGACGAAATGGTTCGCGCGTCTTTCAAATTCGATGTGGAATGGAAGGAATCGGCCAAAGTTTTGGAGAATTTCGTCAATTATTGGGAGACTACGAAGAAGAATGGCACTTTTAATGCAAAGTTGGCTTCTCCTTTTGAGCTTTTTCAAACTCCCGACACTTTGGGACATGTTAACCTTGTAGGTTTTTCGATTTTTGGTGGAAATATTAGATTACTTTATATTGTGGTAGATGAAATGCATTTTCTTTTGAAATAAATGGATAAAGGGCAATTAGTTTATAAATTATAGGTAACAAAAGGTCTATGTTCTTAAGCTGGTTGATATAAAGGTTTTTTGATTGTTAAGATTGTCACATTTTAGACGATAACACCAGGATGGCTTGATCCTCGAATAAACGATTTTGACCGGTCGATGAAGCTTCGGTTTTTGCATGTATGTTTGTTTTAGCTTTATAATTTGATATAGAAGGTTTAAAATATTAAAATTTTTTTTAAATTTATAAAAACCCATTTTTTTAAAAAAGTTTGATATTATAGTAGTTTTTGCTTCAGAACCTGGCTAAAGACGACAATATTCAATGGCCGATGAAGGAAATACAACTTGATTTGGTCAACAAGTTCAAGGAAAGCCTGAACGAAAGCGTTTGGGTCAAGCACGACGAATTTGATGTGATTGAAGCCCATTGGGACTATTTTGCAGCAGCCAGATCGACTGCCACTTTGAGAGAGATGTTTAGTCATATTATTACAATGAGCGAGCAGAAGAACATCACTGTGGCAAATGTAGGATATTATAGAGGATTTTTTGTTTTGTGTATGATTTTTTTGACTTGTAGATTAGTTTTTATATTCTTTGGGAAATTTGTTACCTAAAATCACTTTGTTTAGGTTCACGTGGACAACAAGTCTGAGCTCGCAAGATCAGTCATCAAAACCTCGGCCATTCGTCGATTGACCGACTCCAGGATCATCGAGTACCTGATCGAAGTTGGAATGGACCGATTCCGTCGAGAATTGCTAATTGCCGCCGGCTCGAAACGGCCCGAAATCGAACCACATTTGGAGGATTTGAGCGGCGACTACGAGGTCATGATGCACCAATTGCTGATGGTACACTTGGCTTTGCAGGGATACGAAATGTGCTTGAGGCGAATTGATAATGTCAACTTTGTGGACAAACTGTTTGGGTAGGGGAGGGGTTGGGATTGGTGATGAAGGTTATATTGGAGATGTGGTGAGACTAGGCTTGTAATGAAGGTTATATTGGGCTTGGTTGGGGTAAGGCTAGGCTTGTGATGAAGTTATATAAAGTATGGTGAGGGTACAGCTGGGCGTGTGATGAAGCTTATATAAGGCATGATTGGGGTTAAGAATAGCTATTTTGGTCCGAAAAGGGGGGTTTTGAAGACAGGGCGGGGTAAATTTTATTTTTTTTATGGGTGGGTAAGGTTTTTTTAGTTTATTAAAGAGGAAAGAGTGGTTCAAATATTTTTTTTCAATTTTAGGAGGGGTGGATTTTTTAAAAATTTTTTGCGAGTGTGGGGAGGGGGTTGGCTTTTTAAATTTTTTTGAAGGTTGGGGATTAAACATTGCTTTGAATGGAAAGCCATTCAAATACGATACTATATAAGATTAACATATTGTTTTAGAAAGTTCTTGCAAACCTTTGAGAAGGTCAACTTTGACAACATCAAAGACTTTGTGCTCAGTGTTCAAGTGCCGGTTTCGAATTTGACCAAGGATTTGTTTCATATGTAAGTTTAGCTCGGCTTTTTTAAACTTTTAGTTGATGAGAAAAGAATGGCGGTTGTATCAATTTTTTGAAATTTTAAAATTGATTTCAAAATTTTTAAATAGATTTTTAAAACGTTTTATGTGGCTGGTTTTTTCAGAAACAACGTTCTGGAATGGTCGGTGAACACCGAGTTCTGCGACTCAGCGACCGGTCGCAACAACCTTCACCTTCATGTTTGTCGTAATCAGGAGCTTCGAAGCAGGGTCGAGCCAAAGGAACGAAGAGTCAGGATCAGAAGATGCGAAATGGCAGTACCAGAACTGGCCAAAAGCTTCAATACCTACTTGACTGAAAGCAGTCACAACGAGAATTGTTTGAACAAGCCGCTGGTTCTCGGCGGAAAGCGATGAAGAATTCATTAATCTTTTCGCATTTTGAATTTTTGAAAAAATTTTTTTCGAAGTTTTATGCTTAGAAATCAATTTTTTAATGTTTAGTTGACCAAAGCTTGGAAAAACGACAAAATTAATGGATCATAAGTAATGAAATGCGAAAGAATTAATGGACTTCAGCTTTGTTCGATGTTGACATTATTATGTATCTATGATGAAATACGGTGTAAAAATTGATTTTATATCTGCAGTACGGTGTAAAATTGACTGTAATTTTTGATATTGTACGCTAATTTATTGAATTTTAGTTTCTTTTGGTGCTTTAGGTAATATATCTTGTGAATTGAATAAAAGCTTTGTATTATAATGTGTTTTTATTAGTTTGTTGATAAGTTTTTGTCTATTCACTATGCCTAGTCTTATATGTAAAAGGCTAGGGATGATGATTATATTTTGTTACGGCGATTTTCTGGTAAATATTAGGTTGTTCAATTAATTCTGCGCTCCTTCTTAAAGCTAATTTGTGGGGTACAAGGGGCGCAGAATTATGTGAACAACCTAATATTTGTAAGTATAATCTTCAAAAACCTGAGTTACAATGCATATATGAGTCTTATTGACTTTGATCTGGGTCATTTTGATGAGGATGGACAGAAAATTGTCGATATCTCAGCCAATTCTTGACAAATTTGGCTCATTTTTTAACTAAAGATGTAAAATGGCAAGAGAAAAAGGTGACGTTTACAGAATATTGGTATTGAGTGTTTACGGATATTTATGTTGTGATTAGTCTTTCATTGCACAGTGCACACTGTTTTTGGCCATAACTTTTTTATTTTTGACTTTAGTCTTCTGGCATTTTGAGATTCGTTTTTTCTATCAGATTTTGATATAGAATCATAGTTTTTAAGCCAATGTCAAATAAAGTCAAAATTTTAACTCGCCAGAAAGACTTACTGTGATATTCATATCTCGGTCAGTTCTTGAACTGTAGATGTAAAATGGCAATATAAAAGATGTTGGTATGATAATTTTTTTACTTTAACTACTAAAAAATAGTTATATTGTAATTGTCGTGTCTGCACTGTGCAAAAAAAAGTATTTTAGGCATAACTTTTTTATTTTTGAGTTTGGAGTTATAAGGCTTTGAAATTTCGATTTACCGTGCAATTTTGGTTTAGAATCATATTTTTAGGTAACAATTCGAATTTATTGTTTTTTGGAAATTATTATTTTTTTATATATTATGTTACACTAAAATAAGTCTCAATTTTTCAATTGTTTTAATTAATTTTTTCAAGTTTCTTTTCAATTTGATCACTCTTCGATTAATCTCCTGTACTGTTGAACACCTCCCGACTCAACACGCGACTTGTTGTATTTGTGTCAGGGTTGAGTGGTGGAGTGTTTGGGGGAGAGATAGTAAAGTCCTTTCAAATCCCCCGCAGCCCGTGAGCAAACAGTCGCTCTCGACGCAAAAAACGTGTGATGATGTTTTGAACCTGGCGGGCGAACATCGAATTGTACAATTTGTTTCCGCGGCTCCAGACGGGCGCGTTCTGTTCTGTGCTTTAATGTCGAGAAGAGGGGTGGTTTTGTTATTACTGTTGGCTATGTTTAATGTGGAGAAGAGGGGTGGTTTTGTTAGTACTGATGGCTAGGTTTAGGGCTGAGAAGAGGGGTGGTTTGTCAGTACTGATGGCTATGTTCTATACTAAGAAAAAAAAAGGGGGGGGGGTGGAAGTTGCAATACTGTTGGCTATGTTCTATCTTGAGAAAAGGAAGGTTTGGGGGGGGGGAATATAAAATATGATTTAATTTTAAGTTTTTATGTGAAACTACTGTTATAGGCAACAAAGGAATTGATTGCTTTGAGAGGGTAAAAATGAATTTTTATGTTTAAGAAGCTTTAGCTTAGGCTTACTTGCATACGGTTTAGTAGGCTTAGGCTTATTAGGCTCAGAATTTGGGATTTGGTTTAGTAAAATAAGGTTTCTCAGGCTTAGGCTTAGTAAGCTTAGGCTTAGGCTTTGTAGGTTTAGGCTTAGTAGGTTTAGGCTTAGTAGGCTTAGGCTTAGTAAGCTTAGGCTTAGGCTTTGTAGGTTTAGGCTTAGGCTTAGTAGGTTTAGGCTTAGTAGGCTTAGGCTTAGTAGGCTTAGGCTTAGTAGGCTTAGGCTTAGTAGGCTTAGGCTTAGTAGGCTTAGGCTCAGTAGGCTTAGGCTTAGTAGGCTTAGGCTTAGTAGGCTTAGGCTTAGTAGACTTTGGCTTAGTAGGCTTAGGCTCAGTAGGCTTAGGCTTAGTAGGCTTAAACTTAGCAGGCTTAGACTTAGTAGGCTTAGGTTTAGTAGGCTTAGGCTCAGGAGACTTAGGCATTTTTGTTGTATGTAATTTCTTTATTTTTACCTGGCTTAGCATAAAGTGTAAAAGCCCATTCTACTGTAACATTCATTGATATTGTTGTTGCCCAAACGTCCCTCCCCCCTCCCTAAGCTTCTTGCGCTTAATTTCAAATTTTGTCACGTTTTACACATGAAAGCTGATAAATAAATGATTGCGGTTAATTATTAACACTCTCTGTTGTAGGGTTATAAATAAAAATGAGCATGGAGGATCCATTTTATCCGGAATGGCATCGGCCGCATGAAGCTCGGATGCACAATTCGTTGTTTGATACGATGTCACGACCGTTGTCACGGCAGTCCAATCAGTAAGTTGATTATATTAACATTGGTATTTGTCTTAATTTTGCAGATTTCTTGTTTATTGGGCTTACAGATCATACTTAGTTATGTTTAGGTCCACAAGGCTTAAGTTCAGTCGGTTTAGGCTTAAAACGTTTTGTTTAAGCGGAAGAAGGGAGCCGTGCTTAGTAGGCTTAGGCTTAGTAGGCTTAGGTTTATTAGGCTTAGGCTTAGGCTTAGTAGGCTTAGGCTTAGTAAGCTTAGGCTTAGTAGGCTTAGGCTTAGTAGGCTTAGGCTTAGTAGGCTTAGGCTTAGTAGGCTTAGGTTTATTAGGCTTAGGCTTAGTAGGCTTAGGCTTAGGCTTAGTAGGCTTAGGCTTAGTAGGCTTAGGCTTAGTAGGCTTAGGCTTAGTAGGCTTAGGCTTAGTAGGCTTAGTGGGCTTAGGCTTAGTAGGCTTAGGCTTAGTGAGCTTAGGCTTAGTATGCTTAGGCTTAGTAGGCTTAAGTATAGTAGCATTAGGCTAAGGCTTAGGTTTAGTAAGCTTTGGGGTAGTAGCCTTAGGCTTCATAGGCTTAGGTTTAGTAAGCTTTAGGATAGTAGCCTTAGGCTTAGTCAGTTTTGGCTTACTTTGTATAGACGTACAAAACATCTAAAGGTAGCGACAGATACATAAGTAATGTTGCGTCGCAAGAACGGAAAGTAAAATTGCCGTACTCGCAGTAATTTGTTGGGTCGTTTTACATCAAGGCAAATATTACAAAAGCCGTAAAAATTGCATAATAAGAGTTGCGCAACAAAATTTCTTGCAATTTCTCTAAGGCTACTAATGATATCATTCATATTAGGTAATGCCGCAAACATTCTACGATTGTCATAAGTGTAGTTAGTTAGAGATGTATTTTATGCTTTAATACAGTGTTGCATGATAAAATATAACATTCGTTATGCTTGAGCTGAGAAGGTAATGAGTTTGTACATAGGCTTATGTTTAGGCTTAGGCTTAGGATTAGGCTCAGGCTCAGGCTTAGGCTTAGGCTTATGCCTAGGCTTAGGCTTAGGTTTAGGCTTATGCCTAGGCTTAGGCTTAGGTTTAGGCTTAGGCTTAGACTTTGCTTTTAAGCTTAGGCTTTGACTTAGGCTTATGCTTTGAATTCGCTTTTAAGCTTACTCATAGGCTTACGTAGGCTTGCGGCTAGGCTTAAGCTTAGACTTAGGCTTAGGGTTTGACTTTGTTTTTAAGCTTAGGAATAGCTTTAGGCTTAACTTTGGACATAAGATTTCTTGACCTATAACAAAAAACTGCATTTTTTTGAAATCCTTAAAGTATTTCCGTCTCAACGTTCCCATCGATGTGAAACATCCGGTGTTGCTACTTCCAAACCCTTAGTGATGTAATATAATAGCATTTATGTGACAAGTTTTTCAATAAGCTACCATGCTACAACACACACAAGTATCACACTTGTGTTTTACTTAGTATTTTGCAAAATTTAGCTTTTTACACGTCCTGCCCATACTATAATGTGTCAGTGAGTATGTTACGTTGCCGTTTTTGCAATAATTCTGGAAACATATTCTCATGGTAGTTGTATATAAGTGTAGATAATGGATTTTTTCAATTGTTAGAGATGTATTTTATGCTTTAATTATCTTGGGCAGGGTAAATTTATTGAGAAGCGGAGGGTGAACAAGAACAAAAGTCCCTATCCACCCTTGTTATAATTATAACCACCATAAAGGCCACATAAAACCTTAAATCTACCACGAAGGCCCCCATCCACCCTTGTTATAAAAGTGTTTGTACGGTATGGCCCCAAATTGTGGTACTTGTTAGGGCCGATCCATGAAGACTTGGTGAATGGGTAATCTCCACCAGTCAGGAAGTGAGCAAGTAACGTGTTATTGGGTGGTAGACCGTACTGTAGTGGATGACCATAAGTTTGAGTATGTGAGTATGACACCTCACCCGGGGTCTGAGGTGGTGGTGGGCGGGGAGGAGGTCCGTAATTCTGTGGTCGACACTGGTAGTTTGAGTCTACTGTCGATGGGGCACGACCTTCTGGAGAGTATCGGTTTTGCTGGAAAGTGAGGTTCTTAATAGTACGAGTACTGTAAGGAAAGAAGGTTAAAGACTGTCTTACTCTACTCTACGTTACCCTACCCTAATTTACTTTATCCTACCCTAGCCTACCCTACCCTACCCAGTATTTTGTAGTTTGAGACGGCTTTTTATGACCCGTTATGTTAAGGATATCACTAACAAATGACCTCTTATGTTATAGGTATCGCTACAAAATGACACATCTTTCAGAAGCCGGAATCAGAATCAAAACCATTCGTTTGCTGATACCAAGATACCGTGGGATCATTTTGGCAAAAAGCTGAGAATATACTTGACGAAACAGGACCTAGAAAGAGCTGGTGATCTGTTTCAAGTCATATTATCCAAGGTCCGAGAACAAATACCCAACTTTCAAGGCGTTTTGGCCTATAACAACTACGGTGGACGGCAGGTAGGGCTTGGTTTTAGGCTTAAGAAATGTCTAGTAATAGGCTTAAGAATTGCCCGTATTTTAGGTTTAGGCTTAAGAAAAGTTTGTATTTTAGAGTTAGGCTTAAGGAATGTCCGTATTTTAGTTTTAGACTTAAGAAATGCCCATATTTTAGACTTAGGCTTAAGGAATGCCCGTATTTTAGCCTTAGGCTTAAGAAGTGCTCGTATTTTAGCCTTAGGCTTAAGAAATGCTCGTATTTTAGCCTTAGGCTTGAGAAATGCTCGTATTTTGGTCTTAGGCTTAAAAGATGTCCGTATTTTAGGTTTAGACTTAAGGAATACCCGTATTTTACTTTAAATTTTAAAAAAAAATTTTTAGGTAATATTATACAACGACGCGGACGTACGCCGAGCACTACACGAAATGGGCCAGAAACTGAAGCTCTACTCTACAGTAGTCCCGGACAAGGGCTACATTGCAGCAGCTGACATTCGAGGCTCCCGATCTCAATCTGTACCTCCTCCAGTGAGTTTTTTTTGATATCATCATAATTTTACCGTATCTGTTTATAAATACCGTATTTGGTGTAGGTCATTAGAGTAGGGTAGATAGGTTAAGTAGGCAGGGACGTCGTTTGGGGGAGGGGGAGGGGGGGGGCACCCCCTCCTCCAGAGCCGATCCGAAAAAAAATTCTACAGGTGGTACCTGTACGCAAAAAAACGAAAAAAATTTTTTTAGGAAAATCGGCCCACAGGAGACGAAAAAAATTTTTTCGGCCTCCCCCCTCCCCCAGAAAAAAATCTGTAGCGACGTCCCTGTAGGGTACTACACTATAGGTTACGGTGTGGTGGGATAGGATGGAATAGAACAGGGTAGGGTAGGGCAGTGCAGGGTAGGGTAGGGTAGGGTAGGCTAGGGTAGGATAAAGTAAATTAGGGTAGGGTAACGTAGAGTAGAGTAAGGCAGTCTTTAACCTTCTTTTCATATAGTACTCGTACTATAAAAAACCTCATTTTGCAGCAAAACCGATACTCTCCAGAAGGCCGTGCCCCCTCTACAGTAGACTCAAACTACCAGTATCGACCACAGAATTACGGACCTCCACCCCGCCCACCACCACCTCAGACCCCGGGTGGGGTGTCATACTCACATACTCAAACTTATGGTCATCCACTACAGTATGGTCTACCGCCCAATAACATGTTACTAGCTCATTTCCTGACTGGTGGACATTACCCATTCACCAAGTTTTCATGGATCGGTCCTAACAAGTACCACAACTTTGGGCCATACCCGTACAAACACTTTTATAACAAGGGTGGATGGGGGCCTTCGTGGTAGATTTAAGGTTTTATGTGGCCTTTATGGTGGTTATAAAGGTTTATGTGGCCTTGATGGTACTTATTAGGTGCCGGCATAAAGAACCCGCCATTTTTTACAGGAAAGTACACGCAAAGTATGGCGGGTTCTTTATGTCGGCACCTAATATAAAGGTTTATATGGCCTTGATAGTAGTTTTAAAGGTAAACTAGGACCAAAATGACAGTTTTTCGTATCTTTTTGGTCATGTTTTACTTTACAATGCCATTGTTTTACTATACTATCGCATGTTTTTACTCACATATGCCTAATGTGGTAGTAATATTGTCTACAAGATGCTTTCATAGTAATGATTTGGGCCTTTTTTTGGCTAGTTTTATACCCTTTTGGCCTTCTTTGTATCCTTTTTTGGCCAGTTTTATACCCTTTTGGCCTTCTGTGTTTCTTTTCTTGGCCATTTTTAGCCCTTTTGGCCTTCTTTTTTGGCCATTTTTAGCTCTTTTTGGTACCCTTACCGGCCATTTTTAGTCTAGTCCAATCGTTTTTTGGACCTATTCACCATTTTTTGGCCATGTTTAAGCCTTCTTGGCCACATTATAGCATTTCTCGTACTGTGACCAACCTTCTTGTACTATAATATATCGTTTTATGCATTTTGCCTACTATAACATAGCATTTTTCAAGGATTTTCCCTACTGTAACATAGCATTTTGTCTACTACAACATACCCTACATTTCTTTGTTTTACCGCCTTTATCACCATCTACAGCAATGATAATATTTTCGAATTGTGATACTTAACGTAGTGTATTATATAATTTTGGAACGTGGAAATATCAAAACTATGCTCAGAATAACAATAAATTTATAATCATGCACGAGATCAGCCTTTGATTCGTAAAAGAATGGCATTAGGTGCCGACATAAAGAACCCGCCATACTTTGCCTGTAATTTCCTGTGAAAAATGGCGGGTTCTTTATGTCGGCATCAATTATTGGCTAAAATTAACCAAAAAGGGTTATTATTAAGTACTACAACATATCGTTTATACGAAAAAATCAATTTAAAGTATTACAACATAACTTTATGATATTTTTATACATCTATAAATATAAAATATTCATTAAGCTATAAGTTACAAGTCCGCCATGAAGCATATTGTTCTCAATATTGATTTAGAAAGATATTGTCCTCAATCTTCATCAAAACCCCTTGACCGACCATATTGTTCACCTCCTCCTCTAAATCATCGTCAACAGTGTTCACCTCCCCTCAATCATCGTCTATACTGTTCATCACTTCCTCCCATTAATCGATGTTACCCATCAACAAATCGAAGCAGTCTCAGTTAACAAGGCGTCCCAATTGAATGGCTCGGCGAAGACAGCTTCGTCCAGCCATTTACTGTAGTTCCGCTTGAAGTACGGTGTGAATTCGAATTCGGCGCTCAACAAGTTTTGGATCGAATTATCGACCGGTTCGAATTCCTTCGGGTCAAAGTCGTCGTAGGTCAGGTTTTCATTGTTGTCTGAAAATTTATGTTATAATTGGCTGATCCAAGGCAATTTCTTAGGAAGGGTTGGCCTAGAGAGTTTGATAGAGCAGGTTAAAGTAGGGTAGGGTAAAACAAGCCAGTTTAAGGTAGTGTAGGGTAAGACAATGTATGGTAGAGCAAGATAAGGCAAGGTAGGAAAGGTAGTGCAAAACAAGGTAAAGTAAGGTATGGTAGGACAAGGCATGATAAGGGGGATAAGATAGGGGAAGGTATTTTAAGACTTGGGTATGACCAGGACATCGTTTGGGGGGGGTTCGGGGTGGTTCGGGGTGACTCCCCCCCACCCCAGAAAATAAAACAAAAAAAAATTATTACCCCTCCCCCTAAAAAAATCTCTAAAACTCCCTCCTCTTTAATAAAATCCAAAAATCAGACCCTCCCCCCCCTACCTCGAATTCCAAAATACCCCTCCCTTACCCAAACATTGAATGATTCCATCTCAACACCTCATCCCTGCCTCAAAAAACCCCAGCTTTTCCATAACCCATTCCCTCCAAAACAACCACCCTTCCCCTCCCAAATAAACCCTCCCCATCCCCTTAAATCTTCAAAACCTTACAATAATTCAATTCCGGATACAAGTGGCTGTATCTCCGGCTGTTGAACTTCTCGATGCTCAGCTTCAACTCCCGTTCTTCCATTTGGAAATCCCAAGTTTTGCATCGTGTTTCGTTGGCGAAGGCCCAATCATCGTTGAGTCTGTGGCGGACCTTCATGTAGACGGCCGATATCACCTCCATATTGTTTTTGCGCCATTGTCGGCCAAGATATCTGGCCTGCATTTTCAGGAGTTTCAGCGTGTACAGTTGAAAAATGCCCTGGAAATTTAAAAAATTTGCATAAATTAGGCTTTTTAAGACATTTTTTTAAATTTTTCAAAATTTTAAAATTTAATTATTTTTTAATTTTAAAATTCAAAATTTTAAAAACCCCAAAAACCTTACCGATCTAACCTTCAAACACCGCCTCAAAATCGGCGCTGATTTAAAAACGACCAACATCATTGTGCGGCTCTGTTTGTTTTTGATCAACTTGTTCAGAATCCTTAGCAAGTTCACCGAAGCGAAGACGTTTCTCCACAAAAAGTAGCATTGATTTTCGGACCGGCTATCATCCACGTTGTCTGCGTTCAATTCTGGCCATTTATCTACAAAATAAATGTTCAAACTACGAAAAAATAACATAAAAACTGGCAAAAATAAAAATTTTTCCTAAAAATCGAGCTTGGGCCCCCCCCCCTGTTGACTTTTTTTCAAAAAAATAAAAAAAAATTTCAACTTAAAAATGAACAAAAATCATTTTAAAGGCCGTGGCAAGTCGCATTAAACCCATTTTCAAACATTTTAAAAATAAAAAAAAATTACCCCCCCCACCTCCCCTCAAAAAAATCAAAAATTACCCCACCCAAAAAAAAGCTGAACTTCAAGTCAGCCCAGAAAACCCAAAATTACCCTCCCAGTCCTCAATGTAGCCCTACAAACGCTTTATCGTCCTCATTGTAGCCCCACAAATGCTTTATCTATTATAACTACAATCTTATCCTTACTTCCATTCTGAACATAATGTACCACAACTTTTGGGTAACAAAGTGGAGTCAGCTCATTCTTCGACTGTAGATACCTAACCATATTTTGATCTAGAAACTTCAGTACCAGTGGCAAGCAATTGGACAGTACTAGCTGTTGAGAAAAGTTCTCAAACTGGTACACATGGTTCAATCTGAAGAACTTGAGCAAGTTGATGATGATAGCTGTCGTTGCTTTCACCACAATCTCCTTGTGCCTGTTGATGTCAATGGCTGTTCTTACGGCCTCTTCGAGGAGATTGGCCGAGTTTACGGATACATCTAGGTTCAGCGAGTTTGACAGCATATCAGTGGCATCAGCTGATCTTATTAGGACATCTGATAAGATCAGAGCTCCATCGTTTTTGGCTTTTGATGAGGGAATGGCTGCTAGCAGTACTTTGAGAAGACTTAATGAGTAGTTTGAGAGATTTGGCAACATTCCCGAGTAGAGACGTTCTGTTGGGTTGTCCTCGATGTTCTCCTTCTTTGAGAATGGATATTTGTTCAGAAGGACGTCTTCTTCTATCTGAAATACGCTTTTTTTGAATACATATTTTTAGGGTCATACCTATAAAACATAAAAAACAAAAATTTTCAAAAAATTCAAAAATTTTTTTCAAAAAAAGCTATTTTCCTACCTGAATTTCCCCCAGCGACTTATAAATATGTCGTTTGAAAGCCTGCACGCTCTGTTGAACTGGCTGTGGTAGTCCAAATAGTGTTTCACTATCTCCTAGAAGTTTGTAGCCAAAGAACTTTTGTCGTGCCGTTTGAATAAAGGTCTCTAGATCAGCTTTCCGTACCTTCGAACTCCACGGTAGGCAAGATGGTACTGGTGATGAGGCGGTTGGAGTTTGATCTCCACCTCTTTGGTTTGTCAGCGAATCTTGAGGTCCGTCCATTAGTACTGTAACAGAATTTTTTTAAAGCAACATAATCTTTAAAAAATAAATCTTTTGAAAAAAAATTTATCTACCCCCAAAAAATAAAAAAAAATTGCCATAGCCGACAAAACTTACGCTTCGGCTCCACCTCTCCCTCCTCATTCTTCTGCAACATCACAGCTGACACCGGCTTAGAGAAATATTCAGTTTTCTTGACTTCACCATCAGCTTCAACTGGTGTGGTTGGAGGTTCGTCTTCCTTTGAATCAGACAGTTCATCCGTGTTCAAGTTGGCCGATGTTATCCCTTCTTGTCGTTTGAAGGCTCGCACAGTCGATGGTCGATTTCGCTTTGCAATTATACCGCCTCCCAACCGTCGGCCGTCCATTCCTTCTTCCGCGCTAAAGTTTGAGGCTTTTAGGGTTGAAGCTACCTAAAACAATATCGTTTTTTTAATGATACAAGCAATTTTTACCATATATTGTAATGTAAACATGTTTTTAACAAATAAAGCAGCAAAGAAGTGACAAAAACATTCAATTTTAGCTATAAAAGCTAATAGAAAACTTCATTTTAGTCATTTGTTTGCAATTTTAAGCCTAACACTATATAAAATCCACCTTTTTTCCAAAAAATATTAAAAACCCATACCTGAACAGTATCCTCAATCTGACTCAAACCCATAGCTTCTCGCAATTCATGTTTTCTTGTCCTTAAAGCCTCCAGATCTCCCAACGTGGCCAAAATGATCTTCCAAGCCAAGAGTAGGACCTTCTTTATCGGATACTTTGGACATGATCCTCTGACGAATGGTGGTACTACATCCAACAAGAAGACGAACAAAGGTTTACTTAGGCCTTCCAGAGGTTCTCCTAAACAAAAATGTAAAAAAAAAGGCTTATAAAATCACTCTAAACATCAAAGATATCAAAAAACAACCAAAAAATTACCGAGTTCGACCAAGAAATTATGTTGTAAATTCTCCAACCGAGCCATAGAATAGTCGGAGACGTGAATAACCTTCTGTAGAACCTCTTTCCTCCGTATGGATTCCACCATATGATACATTGATGCCAGTAGAACACGTAGAATCTCGTTATCCGCCAATGTATACACCTTCTTCGACCTGGATTCACCGTCAATCGAGCTCATCGACCTGTGACTGGAATATTGCGACAACGAACTGTGCCCTCGGTCAGATACATTCAAATCAACCACATTTACATCACTGAACTCCGTCATGAACAGTTGACATAGTGCCTGAAAGAAAAGTTGTATTATCATAAGTGGAGTTGATCAGTTTATACGTAAAATCATTGTAAATAGCTTTAAAAGCTAAATTCGATACCTAAACTTCAAAAAATATGAATAGTTAACATGCCCTGAAGATTCCACATTCATAAGCCATGTAACAATTGGCAGCAGACTGAATTAAGCAAATTTGTTCAGCAAAGTCCGTGTCATCAATGTAACTGATATGGGAACGTGCTTCGTCCATTAACGCTTGTACACTTTCAGCATAAGGCTTCTCAAAATCCGCATACGCCCCCTAAACATTAAAATAGCAATAATATATTAATTTTAATAAAATAATGCCAAAGGTAAAGAGTAACTTAAAAATTTAGGTATACCTGAAGAAGATAGAGCAATATCCGTGATGCTTCAAGTCTAGTATCAATGTTAACACTTTCAAATCGTTGTATAAGGTCAATAAATACTGCTTTCATTTCGTCCTTCTCATTGAATATCCAAATTGGCGAGATCTAAAAGGATTTATATTATCCTTCAGATTTGTGTCTTCTGTTCTTTCTATTTGTTAAAATATAAAATCATAGCGTTTAGTAAAGTTATACTAAAATAATGGCTGAAGAAAAGCGTAATGTAACTTTTAGTATCTTGTGCACCACATGTTCTATAAACAGCAAGTTTTTATACATCAAAACAATTTGATCACCTAAACCTTTAAAAAATCAAAGGAATCACTCACTTTTCTAGCTTCAGCATAAGCTTGAAACAATTCCATGTTCACAGCAAACTCTGAGCTTTCCGAGTACGAGTACAATTCACTCAATTCATTGCCAAAACTGTCACAATCCGCATACACAAAACTGATATCGCCCATTTCGCACTTTGAATGGGTTTGATCCATCGAAACGTTCCCGGCATTCGATAACTCCCTCAATTTGGGCAAATAAGCAGATCGTCGTTGGGCTAGTGCCGATTCGCAAATTTGCGAGCCCATCTGGACGCGGGTTTTGGCTTCTTCGCCGTAAACTAAAACAATATCGCAAAACACCCGCTTAATCCTTACTATTTTCGGCGAAACTCGGTCGCACACTCCGCGGGGAAGTCGAGCTTTCCATATTTTCCTCCATCTAATTCATGCTCGGCTAATTTCCTTTCCAAAACAACAACAATATTAGTGGATTTTTGCGAAAAAGCGAAATGCAAGAAAGAGCGAAAAAGATTTTTTGGCTTCTAAAGTCGTCATTTCGACAGACTTTTTTCGGGATTTGGCTTCATTTTTAAAAAATAGAATATGAAGTACATTTTACACACTTTGTCAAAATGATTGGCATTACTTTTAGCTGTTTTGCGTTCCAATAACAGAAACGTTTACTCTGGAGTAAAATTTAGACTTATTTGTGGTTAAAGCCTTGAATTATGGGTCTATTACACCTTGTATCGTTTTAATTAAACACCATATGTAAAATTCACTACTTTTTCTGTTATAGTTATGCATTCTCCAAGAACAATTCGTGATTACACATAATCAAAAGCCAATAATCAAAGAAGTATAACATTTATCATTTACGCCTAACGTTTATTCGTCTTTTACTCAAATAACTAGGTATTAATCGGATCCACGACATGACAATCTAATGGTAGATGTGTTTCTTGATCTCCCAGTAACGGTGTTGCTTGAAGAACCAGCAGAAGAAGGAGAACGCGAAAATGGCTCTGAACATAGAAGTGATCAAGCTTCCGTAGACTGGACCGGAATAATATTTGTGGTGGACACGCCAGATGTTTCTCATGATTTCGTTGTAGGTGGCTCCAATACCGAATTCACGACGACCGAACCAGGCTGGCAGTTCCGAGACCTTGACGTCAAACAGCTTGACGTCTGCTGAAATTGAAAAAGTTATGTTAATATGACAATAACATACAAAAAGTTGTAGGACAAACCATTTCTACTGTAAAGCAAGTTATGAAAAGTATATAAAAAATACCCTGCAGCAAAAACTATCTTTTAAAAATTTATATTGACGTAGATGTAAATGAAGCCTATCTTATTTTTACCATAACTTTTTTCAAAAAATAGCAAAAGATCTGAAGTTTTCTGAGATTCAACACAAGTTTACTGTTATTACAGTCTACAAATTTTAATATGCTAGTTTTTGTTTAAAAAAGTTACAACAAAAACCATTTGAGCCTTTCTAACTACCTCAATATAATCTAAAAACTATAATCCTCATTCGCTGCCAACTCTCTGAAAAATCATATCACACTCCTTAATAAATCTCAAATAAAAAAAAATAATAGAAAGCACATCAGCAAACCCAAAAAGACGCTTCATTTCAATATCACCATACCAATACCTAAATTTCACCAAAAAATCGCAAAAACCTACGTTTTCCGTAATAACGCCAGTGGCAGTATGGTCCATGGACCTTTGGGTTGTAGTACTTGTGGTACAAACCCATTTCGGTGCGGCTGATCACTCGGTTGTAGAAGTATACACCAAGACGTTCGAAGGCACGCCCGATGGGGATGAAGATGAGGTCCGGCACCCAAGGGCTGAGGTGGGTACCTGGTGGTGGGGGCCGAAGGAAACTCATTCTGAAAACGGAATAGTTTGTAAAGTTGACTCTTTTTATGCATGATTTTCAAAGACACACGAAAAATTAGACATAAAATTGGTCTAGTCTAACATCAAGCTAAAACAGAAACAAATGAACATAAAAGTCAAAAATCTATTAGAAAGAAGTAATAAGAACAAAGATATACATCCTATCTTTAATATAAAACACAAATTTCAAAGTAAATAAACGTTATAGGACATGAAAAAGAAGTTGAACTAAACCTTGACGTTTCTGACCATTTTTCTGCAAAATTTTGATGAAAAAACCAAAAAATGTATAATAAAGAGCATAAAATACGACAAAATTAATTTACCACACTCAAAAACAATTTTTAAATCCAGGAATTTTAATGTTAAAGTTGTCAAAGAAAAAAGTAAAGGAAAATGTTCTCTTTTGTCTGAAGGGAATTTTCGCCCTTGCCGCCAATTCAAAGCGAATTGGTCTTGGAGCGAAAAGGTTTATTTTTAGCTTTGTTACTGGAATTGAAGCTTGTAAATGTTAACAGAGGTAAAGGAGAATAATGTAAGTTTGATTCATTACAATTTATATTTACTTATTTAATTTTTAATTTTTATTGTTGAATTTTCTTTAAATTTTGGTTTTTCTTTGAATGATTAGGTAATAACGAGCTTTTTTGTTTAAAAACGCATCTGTTTTGAGTGAATTTGATTAAAATTCAATTCAAATTTAATTGAATTCAATATTTTTTACCATTTCACTATATATATCCAAGCTGTAAGAGCTTTATAACCAGCTTAAATTGCGTTAAAAGGCTAAACAGCCTAAAACAAGCTTATTATCCTAATCATTACTGTAAAGGATAATTATGAAAAAGTACTGTAGTCACATTCTAATGTCATGTTATTAAAGCTGTTTACATGATGGATTTAGTAAGCGACAGTTAAAATAATGGTTTTATTGTTGTTTTTTGTTAAAGTTTGTTGTGTTATAAACAAGCTTTGTTTATGCCATTATATATGTAATACCAGGAATTGGGTGTAGTTGGAGTCTTATTATGCTATAATTTGACATATGTTAAAGGGATATGTGTGTGCGTCATAGATCGGTTATGAGCAAGGGTAGGGCTGGGGAGGGTAGGGTATGGCAAGGTAGGGTATAACAGGGCAGGACAGAGCAAGATAAGGCAAGTAGAGTAAACATGAGGAATGGGCCGGTCTTGACCCAAATTTAGGCCCGGCCCGTTCCTCACGTTTGAAGGCAAGAGAAGGGCATGGCAGGACAGGGCGAAGCGAGGAAGTGCAGGGTAAGGTAGGATAGGGTTGTCTAACGTCGGCAAAGGCAAGGATCTTGCGCTTACATATCAAGGGTGGGGTAGGATAGGGTAAAGTAAGGTAGGGCAGCTTGGGGTAGGGTACGGTATGGCAGTGTAATGTAGGGTATGGTAGGGCAAGTTAGGGTAGGGTATAGTACGGTAGCGTAGGACAGGCTAACCTAGAGTAGGGCAATGATCATTACGTTTACATATACGAACGGGTAGGGTAGGGTATAGTTTGGTAGCGTAGCGTATGGTACGGTAGCGTAGGGCAGGGTAGGATAAGGCAGGCTAACCTATAGTAGGGCAAGGATCATTGCGTTTACATATATGAATATAAATAGTCAAAAGCGAAATAAAAGACCGTGAAGTTAAAGTCTGTTATTATATTTACATAGTAATTCAAATATGTTACGCATTGTCCGAATGACAAATTCAAAAAAAGCGTCATCGTTTGTGTTCTTCTTGAAATGCTCGGAAGCACACGGAACTTCAAACAATGTTGTGACACACGTCGGCTGTGATCTTTGATTACCCAAAATAAAAATGAAACATTATGTTCCTTATCATTCTATCTTGGGATAAGTTTCTTCATGGGAGAAATGATTTTTTATTTGACTTGACTGTCTACAGTACCCGTCTCTCTGTGTGGGAGGTACGGGTACTGTAGATGGTATAATGGTTACAAATAAGGTATTCGTACATGATACATACAGTAATTGTTAATACTGCATAAGGTATTGTGATCGAAGATGGAAGTAGAGCAGGGTACACAGGAGACAGAGTAGGATGTAATAGGGTTGGGTATGGCAAGTTATAATGGTGTAGGATAATATAGGGTAGAGTAGGGTAGGATTGAGTACGGTAGCGTAGGGTATGGTACGGTTGAATAAGGTAAAATAGGGTAGGGTAGACTAGAGCAGGGCATGGCAATTTATAATGTGCTAGGGTAAGACAAAGTATGGTAGATTAAGGCAGAATATGACAGCCTTTAATGGACCAGGATAGGATAGATTGGCATGAGGAACAGGACGGGTTGGCCAGGTCCGTCTGTACGTGAATAAATGGGGGGGGGGTGGGCCTGAGCAAAATTTAGATCGGGCAGGGCCTAACACCACTCAGGCCTGAAAACTGGGCCCGGCTCATTTTTTATTTCTATGGGTAGATTACGATAGGGCATGGTAAGGTAGGGTAGTGAAATGTAGGGGAGGGCAGGGTAGAGTAGGGAAGGATAAGGTAGGGCAGGATAGAGTAAGGTAGGACTGGGCAGTTTTAAAAAATTTGTTTTTGTTAAAAAAAATTTAAAAAACTATTCAAATTTATTTTTTGGCACCCTTTGGCACTTTTTTCAAATTTTTCAATTTAAAATTTCAAAAATTTTTAAAATACATGCCTAACACTATTATTATGAACAACTACTGTTTGCTGTAAACAAGACGCATTACATTGCTAATTGAAGCATGAAGAAACACTGTGCCAAGTTTTGTTTGTTCTGTCCAGGAAGTTCTAGATTTCCGCTGGCGACGCGCCAACCGCGGTTTTATGCGAATAAGGAAGTGTTTTTTGTCAGATTCCTTGGTTTAATGCTCGTTATATGGTAATAAATAAATAGACATGGGTCTTTGGGGGATTTAGAAACTTTGGCATACATATATTACTGTATTTTAATGGGGTGGCACGGCCAAACGTTTTAATGGGTTTTAGGGTAGAGCAAAGGACATTCTTTGGTTTTGGTACAAATTTTTCGGAGGGTAGGGTAAGGTTGTATAAGGTAAGGTAGGGTAAGGTCAGGTTGTATAAGGTAGGGTAAGGTTGTATAATGCAGGGTAAAGTACGATAAGGTTGTATAAGGTAAATTAGGGTGGGATGAAGTAGAGTATGGTAGGATAAAGCAAAGTATGGTAGAGTAGTACTGGGTAAGGCAAGGCAAAGCAGGACAGGAAAAGGCATGACAAAACAGGACAGAGCAGATAAGCGAGAGCAGGGCAAGGCGATGCACGACGAGGCTGGGTAGGCCAAGGCGAGGCAAGTCACCGTAGAGAAGGGCAAGACAAATCAAGGCAAAACAGGGCAAGGCATGGCAGATCCAAGACAGGGAAGAGCAAGGCAATACAAGGTTGAGTATTGTAAGGTAAGCAGGGCAGGGCAAAGCCTGAGCAGGGCAAGAAAAGGCAAGGGAAGAGCAGGGCAGGGTAGTGTAGGATAGGATAGGGTAGGGTAGAATAGGATAGGGTTGGATAGGATAGGGTATGGTTGGGTAGAGTAGAGTAATGTAGGGTAGGGTGTTTAAAATAATATAAGATTACTGTATTTCAAACTTTACTGTTTTTAAGTTTCAAGGAAGTAATTTCAAAAACAACAAACATTTTTAAAATTTCAAACTTTATAATTTTTGAAATCCAACTTATTTCAGAATAGTTTAGTATTTTAGGTAATAAACAACCAAAGGTCTAACCTGATATTATTTATAACAAGACACTGAATAATTAACAAAGTAATGTAACCCGTAGTAAATTGCACCCGTAAATGCAACGTGTATATCGTAGTAATTGAGATCCGTTCATGTTTTGGTTTTTGTACTATTTAATAGTACTAGTAGTTCAAAGTCGTCGTACTGTAGTTTTTTTCATTTTTGTTGAAGGCTTACTGTAGCTTTTCATTTCGGTTGAAGTTTACTGTAGTTTTTTATATCGGTTGCAGTCATACTGTAGTTTTTCATGTTGGAGTTTTGTAGATGGTACTGTAAGGCCTCTTGTGTACTGCAGATGGTACTATAAGTAATAGAGGTTACATTGGGTAGTACTGTAGATTATCTTTCGTACTGTTGATAGTTGAAGGGGGTACTGTAGGGGATTGAAGTTTATACTGTATGGAGTTGAAAGTGGTTCTGTCGATAGTACTATGAGTGAGTAAAGATGGTGCTGCAGGTACTATATCTGACGATTTGGTATACTTTAGTACTGATATTTATTGTAGATGGTACTGTAGGTACTCATAGTACGTTGTACTCCAAAATCTTTTACCAACCGACATATTGTAAGGTTATTGTCGATAACTTATTGTAATGTTACTGTAGTTAACGTTTTATAAGGTTTCTGTAGGTAACTTATTATAAAGTTACTGTGGGTAACCTATTATAAGGTTACTGTACCAAAAAGTATCCTAGTATCAGTCCTCTACAGTATCATTGTAACACTATACTACAATGTATCTTCTGCTCTCGCTAATCACCTCAACGACATTTTGTTGTTGTTGTTGTTATTATCAAAGAACCGTGGCTGATAGCATTTGTTCCTCGGTCTGATTAGACTGGCCCCATTACGGTAATCATCTTGACTTTTACAACATAATCCTTTGATTATATGTAGATTACACGACTCCATGATGGCCTGAAAAAAACTACAATTAGTCCTCCAAACTGTGTGAATAATACGCTTTTGCAGTTGTATATTAGTGTAATTCTACTTCCTTTATGCATTTTCGGCAAAATGCCACAGAGATTATCGGAGAAAAAAGCGAGAAATGTCATTTTTAATTAAACTGACACGGTTTTTAAAACATTTTCAAAAAATTAACATTTAAGAAGTCATGTTTTGGTGTTTCAATCGTCTGTTATGCATTTTCGGGATTGTGACGAAACGTCACAAAAATTATTGGAAAAGTGGACGCAATGTCACATTTCTAATAGTATCGAAAATTGTAAAAATTGACAAAATATTGTTTAAAATGTCCACAAAAATCATTTTTAAGTGTTTGACGAAATGTCACAAAAATAATTGGAAAAGTGGACGAAATGTCACATTTTAAAAAATTTTCAAAATTGTAAAAAACAACAAAAGTAGATTTTAAAAACGCTCAAAAAGCCTTTTTTAAACATAAAAATGCTCAAAAATTTGCATATTGCCATAATATGACGAAATGTCAAAACTCACCTTATAAAGAATCAGTCGATATTTACTGCTGAACAAAATGTAGATAACGATAGTTGAGGCTCCATTAATGCACACCAAAAACGTACTTCCCTCAACCATCATAGTATAGTAATCGGTCATAACCGCGTCAATACCAAACAGCTCGAACAAATTGTTGATAAAGGCCAGCATGTTGAAGTAGATAAAGCCTGTCACCATTGCTACCAACATGATCGTTATTGAGGTTTCTTTGCGTTCTGAAAGATAGAAATGGTTAATTTAGGTTAGTTTTGTCATTTTTGTTGATTTTGAAGATTTTATGAAAGTAATGAATTTTGACATTTCGTCCATTTTTACAATAATTTTTGTGGCATTTCGTCAAAATCCAAAAAATGTGATACACTGTTAAACTTATTGTAAAACCAAGTTTTACAACAATTTTTATCAGTGTTTTCAATAATTTTGAAGTTTTTAAAATTGTGACATTTCGTCCACTTTTCCAATGATTTTTGTGACACTTCGTCAAAATTCCAAAATTCAAAAAAGTACTTTTTGCGTTAAAGTAGTGCTCAAAAAATGCAAAAACCTACCTTTTCTAATGTCCTTGTTGCTCTTCGTGCTAGCCCTAGAGCTATTCTCCTGTGTAGGTGTCTGTAGCGGCCGCATGGTAAATGACAACGACCTACTCGGCTCGTCCGTCAAAGTTTGTGTCATTTTCTTTCGGATAATTTTTGACAACTTCAACGCTGCCACAATACGACAATTCACCCAGGTTAGAACGGTGAATGGCACCGCGAACATTATCAGGGTGTAGAGGACGTTGCGGTAGACGATGGTATATGTTCGGCCTAACATAAAGTTGGTCGGTGCTATCATTACACTTGGTCTAAAAGATTTTTGGGTTAGAAATGGTTGTCTTAGCATAATTTTGATCTCCTTTGTCATTTATGACATTGACGTTCCCAAAACAGGGTTTCAAAAATTTGAATTTTGTTTTTCGCGCCAAAAATATTTTTTCTTGGCATAATGTTTCAAGGCTTAAAAATGATTGAAATGCTAGTAAAAGCACATTTCAAACTATTTTTATGCTACTTATCGATTAAAAATAACATTTTTTGCCCCAAAACTGGTTAAATCCGATATTATCCATGATAACTTACCGTTTCCAGACTTCACTTAAACATGGTATGGCAATAAGCTCCATCCATCGAGGTATATTAAAAGCCACACTCCCCACGAATGAAGCAAATATTATTTTGAGTACTACGCTTTTGTTACTGAGGCGGCGTACCTAAAATTTTGTGGTAAAATACGACGTCTTTACAAAAAATGCTCTAGATATTCAAATTTCGAAGATTTAAGCAAATTACAACAATGAAAATTAAAAAAATAGGTCATGTTTGGCCACAAAATGATATTTTTGATAATATTCAACCAAGATTTTACGTTAAAACACAATGCCAAGATTTGGCGGGAATTTGAAAATTCAAATTTTATTTTATGAAAAGTGCAAGAAATTGGGAAAAATTACTTTTACTGCCTTTTACTTTGTACTACAATACCAAAAAACTTACCAAAAACGGATGACACACTCCAAGGTACCTATGCACCGACACCAACGTGGTCAAGTACACCGAGTACGTGTGTGCCGTATGTGCCAGCGGGTAGAAGATGCTCAACGCTGTAGGTGCGAACCCGACCAGATCCTCGTTTTCCGTATATTCCGCAATTACCGGGAAACAGAACACAAAGAACGATGTGAATAGAACGATGGCGTCAGTTATCGCCAGACACAATAGGAAATAGTTCACCAGATGGCTTCGCATCTAAACAACAATATTATTGTACGATTGGTCCATGGAATTAGAAAAAATAGATAAAAAAATTGTTGGAAATGGCAAAATTTAGGTTCCTTTTATGATTTTAATATGGGAAGTTTAAAATTTTGAAGTTTGAACAGAATGCCAAAAATGGCGCCAAATTAAAAATTCAAAAAAAATTTTTAAAATTATTATAAAATTAAAAACAAATAAATTTCACATTATTATATATTCCTTTTTTAAGCTTAGAAGTACTGTAATTTCAATAAAAAACGTAATGCCAAAAATGGCGCCAAATTGAAAATTCAAAAATAATTTTTAAATTTAAAAAAGTAAAATAACAAAGTTTTAAGTATTAAAAACCGAACTTTATACTCAATATAAATTATTTTAATTTCAATTTTACTACTTTCACCAAATGTCAAAAAAATATTGGAAAAATGAACGAAATGTCACAGACTATATCGATTTTTTAAATTATGAAACAATGTTTTCATGCACTTATTAATTACGTTGCAAATGCTTTTTTAGGTACTTCAAACAGCTGTTTTTCTATTAATACAATTACTGAAGTGCACTGTAGTATGAGCTTTTATTAACATACATTACTTAAGTAGATACAGCAAATTAAAAGTGCATTTCTTCTTTTTTGCATTTTGTGTAGGTATTACGTATTTTACCCTACTCCACCCTACATTACCCTACTTTATCTTACAGTACTCTACCTTATCCTACAGTACCCTACCTCACCTTCCTATCTCTAAGACCTACCCCAGACGCTACCGTACCCCCACCCTATCTCTATATATATCCCTTCCTACAATATCAAAACCAAATTTCCCCACACACATACGTCAACTCAATACGTAGTAAAGTACAATAGTAACGACAAAACCCCTACCTTTTTGTTGGTGAAGACATACACGTTGCAGAGATTTGCGAAGATACCAAACAAGCAAGTGCATGGTAGAACGAAAACGCGGAACGTGACCTGAATGGGGGTGAATGTAAGGTCCGTCGTGTGTCTGCATCCAGGTAGGAGTTTGGCGGTAAAATTCATGGGAAAGATATGTCGGGCATGTAAAATATAAATAAAATTGGCTGAAATTTTAAAATTTTTAAGTTTGAAAATATTGAAGTAGGTGATGGTTAACGCGATATAACTCGATGCATACGCGATAATACGTTACGTAATGTTTGTTAAAATGTAGCCAAGATACTGGACAATAATTATAAAATAACAATTTTTTAATTTTCAAAAGGAATGTCAACGAAAAATGGCATTGAAGCTAAAAAATCAGAAAAATTTGCTAAAAACATAAGGTGGCTAATAGTAAAAGCAATATAACTAAATAAAAACACCATTGTATAACAAGTATTATATCTTAAAATACAACTAAGATACTGACAAATATTAGCCATATTAAAATTTTTAAATTTGCAAATGTATAACTAACAAAAAATGGCATCAAAGTACAAAAAACATCAAAAACTAAATAATTTGAGAAATATAGAAGTGGGCGTTGGATAAATGACTGTAACTGAGTGAAAACGCCATTCTACAAAACACATTTTGTGTCATATTGTAGTCAAGGTATCGGTAATTAAAATTCGTGTAAATGTCATGTTATAGGTACTTATAAAATTTTTAAAAAATTTAAAAATTTGAAAAAATTTTGATGAGTTTTGCCATGAATAGCTTTGTTTCAACCTAGCCTTTCATTAGTTAGACTTTGTGCTGGCTAGCCTTATTGTTGTCCTATCATAGCTCTTTCTTAGTCTTAGCTTAGTCTAAAACTAGTCTTACATAATTCACAATATTAGGCTTGTTAGCTCAATTCTAGTGCTACCTTAGTCCTACATCAGCCTTACTCACTTCATACTCTTAGCCTCACTCTAGCTTTACTCACTTCATTCTTTTAGCCCTACCCTTGCCTTAACATAACCCTAGCCCTATCCTAGCCCAACCTCAATCCTACACTGGCCTTTATCTATACCCTCTTTCTCAAAAAAACAAAATCACACACCATTAACCAGACAAAATTTCTTATTAAAGTACTATATTTAAGACAAAAAAGTACAAAAAGCCCCAAATGCTACAAATTGCCACATAAACCTTTTGTTCCCAAGTCAGAATGACCTTTGCTGAAGATTAAAGAAATGTACAATGTAACACATTGCATGCGGAAGCCTGTACGAGTTATTTCCCACCCTCTTTGCTCGGCCGTTCGAGTCCCCTCCCATCGTTCGCGGCCCGTTTGGCTTCGCCCAGCGTAATGGACATTTGTTTCGAATGCGGGTTTAAAAATAGGGGGGTTGGGCTTGAAATAGCCGCCTTTCATAGTTCTTTCGTAGTTTTAATGATAAGTTGATGGTTTGACAAAAATTTTTGGAAAATCCACCCCAAATTTTTTTTGAAAAAATTGCCCCGCCCTGAAAAATTTTTTACAAAAAATAAGACACACCTTCTTTTTAAACTTATCTGTTTTAGTTTGACCACCCGGTTCTAAAAATTTTGAAAAAATCCACCCCCAAAAATTTTTTTGAAAAAATTACCTCGCCCTATAAAATTTTGTTACAAAAAAATGAGACTCGTTTCCCCTTTTCAAGCTAACCTTTTTTAATTTACACACTTGCTTCAAAAAATTTTGAAAAAATTCACCACCAAAAAAATTTTTAAAAAAATTACCACGTCCGTTAAAAATTTTTTTAAAAACATAAAAAAGGACACACCTTTCTTTTTAAACATATTTTTTAAGTTTAAACTCCTCTCCTCCCTTGTTCAACCATAAAATAAGTTAAATTATGTCATCTTAACCGTGTTTTTACAGGCATCCATAAAACTAACTAATTCTACTGTCTTAACCTTCAAACAAGGCTAATCCTTGGGATAATCTTCACGAACTTGGCTATTCATCTACTACAATATACATTACAACGTAAATAGCATTAGCGACAGCATAAATACTGTGTTTTAAAAATAAACTGTTGTCAAAATTGTACGTGACAAAACATAAAAAGTGCATAGTTAAGAGGTAATCATATGTATACATATGATTAACTAAGGAAGCGCCAAAAGTTCTGTTACATGTAATAAGGAGGAACAACATACAAAGAACAAAGTGTAATGGTAAGGTGTGGGAAACTCTTCTTTAGGTAATAATTTCAATTTAAAAACATAAACACTTCATATAAACTGAATGTTTATATAAATACTCATTTAATATGATAGTAGTTTTTAAGTTTTATGAATTGTAAGGTCAATATAATATAATCATATTATATTAACATAAGATAAACTTTAAGTCATCAGAAAACAGATTAAAAAACACTATCTTTACACACAGTAAAACTGAGGCTTCCTATGCTTACGCCTACTCCACTAGAAAAGCTTTCGTAAAAGAGATGCAGACTAGACAGAGTTCTAAGCTTAAGACAATATTTAAGGCTATGCCTAAGTCTAAGCCTGTGCATAAGCATAACCATCATCCTAATTATAAGCCCAAGCATAATCCTAAGCCTAAGCTTTTTTTGTGGGGCTGAGCCCGAACCTGAGCCTGAGCCTCAACCTAAGCCTAAGCCTAAGCCTAAGCCTAAGCCTAAGCCTAAGCCTAAGCCTAACCTAAGCCTAAGCCTAAGCCTAAGCCTAAGCCTAAGCCTAAGTCTAAGTCTAAGCCTAAGCCTAAATTTAAGCATAAAAATAAGCTTCAGCCTAAACTTAAACCTAAGCCGAAGTCAAAGCCTTAGTCTGAGCATAAATCTAAGCCTAAGACTAAGTTCAATCCTAAATTTAAACCTAAGCCTGAACCATAGTCTAAGCCGACGCCGAACCTCAGATTCAGCCTCAGCATCATCCTCATCTTCCAATTCAACGTAAGCCTAACATTAAGTTTGAGCCTAAGCCTAAGCTTAAACCTAAGCTTAAATCCAAGCTTACTAAGCCAATACGTAAGCCTAAGCCTAATGCTAAGCTCTGAGCCTAAAGACGTAATAACTACCTGATATTAAACCTAATAATAGTTCTGTTAGCTAAGCCTACAATGCTATCTCTTACTCGGTTTAGCGAAGTCACGTTTTCTATTTCTAAGCCTAGCAAAACCATGTTTTTTTGTCGAAAACACACACTTTGTATGCTAAAAACAACATTACTTTATATTACTACAACTTTTTCTCCAAAAACAAATTTAAATGCGTTGTTTTTGAACTTGCCTAGGGCTGTTTTCCACCTTTAAGCACTGGAGTTAATGGCCGTTAATTTGAGCCTTAATGTTGCTTCTTTGTCGCTCTTAATGGCCCTTCATTGGCTTGGGCCTTTGATTAGTACATCAACATATAATTTTTTATAACCAGGAAGTTGTACTTTGTCAAAACAGTTTTTAAAATTTTTTACTTTTAAAAAATTTTAAATTTAAAAAAAAATTTTACCCTACCCTACCCTACTTTACCCTACTTTACCCTACCCTACCCTACCCCTTAACCCCTCAGTTTTTTATAATTTTTGACTAGTCCAGGCCGTAAACTTTGCCCTAGTTCTAGCCGTTTAGTGGTGAGTCATACTTGGCTAGCCCAAACTCCGTCTTTTGGTCTTGCCCTAACCTCGGATCTTTCCCCCCCCCCCCTCTTATTGTAAAATCTTTACAACAATTATCTACCCCGTCCTAATCTGAAATTCCCCCACCCTTTTTTTTTAACATACCTTAAAATCCTACCCTCTCTTATCACTTTCCACCCCACCCACACCCATTCCCTTCACCCACACCCAATCCCCTTTCCAGATCACCTTTAACCCCTCTAAAAGACGTGACGTCGCGCTCATTGTCTTCCTTATTCGCTTGGCCCCGTTCCGAGTTTAAATCAAAAATCGGCCAAGCGTGAAGACCCGCAAATGGGTTACCAGAAGCAAAAAAAAACGTCTGGTACACTGAAGACGAGCACGGAAAAACGAAGTAAAGTCCCATGCAAATCGAATTATGTAATCGAGGAAATGCGGTTGTAAATTGTTTTCTCCAAAAACAACCGGAATCGCATATGCAAATTCGGGTGAGCTTGGCTAGTCTGGAGGGTCGACGAAGGTCAGAGATGACATTTTGCACAACTTTTTGAAGGATTGTCTCAAATTTAAAAAAAGAATTTTTTTGTTTATTTTTCAAAAATTAAAAAAAAAGTTGAACTTGGCCCCCCCCCCTGTTAAACTTCCAAAAATCAAAAAAAATTTTTTTTGAAAACGAACGTGATCCCCCTTGTTAATTTGAAAAAAAAATTTAAAAAACACGTTAAACGTGTTCCCTCCCCCGTCCCTGTGGATCTTTCAAAATAAAAAAAAATTTTTTTTTGAAAAAAAATTAAACCTCCCCCCTATTGTTGTATTTTAAAAAAATTCTTAAGAAAAAACTTGAACGTGTCTCTCTTCCCCATGATGATTTTCCAAAAAAATTTATTCTCTTCTTCTCTCCTCCCCCCCCCCTCTTTCCCCTGTTGACCTTTAAAACTTCAAAAAAAAATTTTTTTAAACAAAAAAATTTTTTTTAAAAAAAATTGATCTTGGTCCCCCATGTTGGTTTTTGAAAACGATTTTTCTTTGCCCCATTCTCCCTCCCTGACCTAAGCTAACATCCCGGTGCAGAAAATGATTCTATAAAACCCACCCAGCTACTACAACATTAAAAATCGACCTCTTTTGATAAAAATTCCTGTAAAAACAGACGCCAAATTTTCTAGAATAATAAGTTCCCGGAACAATAACTGAACTTTCATGGCTACTGAAGACAGTAAAAATACCTACTGTACTTTTAAATGTAACTTATGTTATTGTGGGTGGAATGACAGTAAATATTGACAAGTAAATGGGTTTTGACGTAACAGTTACAGCAAAATTGGGTAGCAGGCAAGAAAGAACTTGGGAAAAAAAGGATAACAATACTAGGCCTAAGCCTAAAGTTTGGGCTAGAGTTGACACCAGGGATAGCGCTAGGACTAAGGCTAGGACTCTGGGCCAGGACTCTAAACTAAGGCTTTGAACTAAAGCTCTGTGCTAGGGCTAGGTCTATGGTCTGAGCCTAA